AAGAAGAAGGCTGATCGCCAAAGAATTGATGCTTTTGAATTCTGGTGCTGGAGGAGACTCTTGAGAGTACCATGGACTGCAAGAAGATCAAACCGATCCATTCTGAAGGAAATCAGCCCTGAGTGCTCAGTGGAAGGATAGATCCTGAAGCTGAGGCTCCAATACTTTGGCCACCTCGTGAGAAGAGAAGACTCCCTGGAAAAGACCCTGATGTTGGGAAAGATGGAGGGCACAAGAAGGGGACGACAGAGGACGAGATGGTTGGACAGTGTTCTCGAAGCTACGAACATGAGTTTACCAAACTGCGGGAGGCAGTGGAAGACAGGACTGCCTGGCGTGCTCTGGTCCATGGTGTCACGAAGAGTCAGACACGACTAAACGACTAAACAAGAAGTCCATCAAACATTAAAAGCTTCCCTAAACAGGGCTGCCTTCTAAAAAGTCTGGTAGTTGTTTTTCTCTTTGACATCTGGTGGGAAGGCATTCCACAGGGCGGGTGCCACTACCGAGAAGGCCCTCTGCCTGGTTCCCTGTACTTGGTTTCTCGCAGTGAGGGAACTGCCAGAAGGCCCTCGGCGCTGGACCTCAGTGTCTGGGCAGAACGATGGGGGTGGAGATGCTAATGAAGGCTAATGTAATGAAGGCGCCAGGCAAGCCTCCCTGGGCAGAGCACTCCACAAGTGAGGAGCCACCACAGAAAAGGCCTGTTCCTGCGTTGCTGCCCTCTGGGCCTCTCAGGGAGGAGTCACATAAAGAAAAGCCTCAGTTGATGATCTTGGGCAGCTCACAGAGGCTGCTGGAGAGCGGGCAAGGAAGAAAGGCTACTGCTGCCAAAGCCCTGCCCCCATAGCTGTCAACTTACAGATTTGAAAATAAGGGACCAGCAGCCAAAATAAGGGACCTGCAGCCTCACCTGTTCCAGGCACTCCAGTCTTCCTGTCCTCCTGCAGTCTGGTCAAACTCATGCTGGTAGCTTCAAGAACACTGTCCAACCAACTTTGTAACCAGAGGTTCAACTGAATAGAATCTGAATCACATGCACCACAAGGCCTATGCAGCCTCAACTTAAGATGGCTCCCGGCCTGGCTTTGCACTGCAAAGTTTGCAGCAGCACGTGCAACAAAATGGCGTCCAGCATTCAAAAACCTCCTCAGCTTGCATTAACTAGCCACACACAAGGCATGCAAGCTCCACCCCCCAGTCGTTCTTAGACTTCTTATTGGGTGAGCAACACAGCCAAGCAACACAGTTGGAGCCTCCCTCCTCCCTGGCCGGCAGGGAGGGAGGGAGAGGAGTTGCTTCCTTTGAAATTTAAGGAACATCATTTAAGGCACATCCATCAATAAGGGACAGCAGCGGGACATGGCGCTGGAATAAGGGACTGTCCCTTCAAATAAGGGACACTTGACAGCTATGCCTGCCCCACATGATGTGCCAGCTTTGAGATGCAGGCAGGGGGCAGGGCTACCCTGGTCAGACTCCTGTGTGTGTTTTTCTTTTCGTAAATCTACCAAAGAAAGGCAGAGCGGAGGGCAAGGAGTCTTGATTTTTTTTTTAAGCAAGCTTTGTGTGTCCGCTTTTAATCTTGCCCCTTTCTAAAATTTATTTATCTGTGTGCGTTTTTCTTTTCATAAATCTACCAAAGACAGGGTTGCCATATTCCCAAAAGTGAAAATCCAGACAAAGTTATTGGGGGAGGGGGGCAAAGTTGTTGAGCTTTGGGAACATCTCCTCCCCCCTCAAAAAACAACAACAAGTCTTTGGGCTTTTTTTTGGATTTTTTACAGCATTTTTCTTAAAAAATCACCGTAGTTGCCATATGTCTGGGTTTCCCCGGGCATTTTGCTGATTCGGCGAAAATCCTCCCAGACGCTAATTTTGACAGTCCGATTCCTGGACGTATCCGGGGAAACCCAGACGTATGGCAGCCCTACCAAAGAAGAAAATAAATCTGGGAATAAGGGGTTTTCTCACGACGGTGGGGGAGTGAGAAATGTCCCTGTTTTCATCTGAGGAATGTTCAGTCTTCAGTATCCCTTAACAGAGCTCGAAAACGACTCCTAGCTGCAACCGTGTTGTCAGAGTAAATGATACTGAGCTAGACGTTTTCTAATATTAGTTAAAGCAGCTACCGATGTTCCCATTTAAGCAAGGCAGCCCTGTGCATTTCCATGTGGTTATCATTTGGCGGCTATCGGACTTGAGCCTAACATGTAATGCTTGCTCACGAGTATGTAATCTTCAGATAAATCTCAGGAATGCTGACCTCACCTGCGATCAGATCCAACTGCTGATATAAACTGCTGGCACACATGGATTTGACCATGAACAAGACCATCTTTCTGTGACTCATAATCTACACAATCCGAATACAGATTAGGAAGAGCTGGCTGGTGCTGAAACGTTGCGTCTGAATCAGTTCTGATCAAAATGAATGAATGTGAGGTTTGAAAGAAAAGTCATGTGGGGTTGGGGGGAAATACTTGTCGGCATGTGCCCAGCATTGCCTTCTTGTCTTACGTGCGTGGAGAAGGACACACATATATATCACTAGAACTGAGATTCTGGCACAAAACTGATTTATTTTTTATTTTTTTGCAGACAGACATTATTTCACCTCCTTATGTTTGAGGTGACCTTGAGGAGTGTGAATACAATCAGCAAAGTCAACAGAGCTGCCAAGGAACAGTTCGGCCAGATGGGAGCCACTCATTCTTACAGCTTCTGACTCATGTGTGTTGCGTGGGTGTGGGGGGGGGCGAGAGAAGTGGAGAAAAGGGAATGGGAAAGAATCTCTTGCTATATTTAACCACGGATAATAGGAAGAGGTTTGGCTATTGAATTGAGTTGTAAATAACAGTAAAATGAAATCACTTTTTAGACATTCATGACTCTATCATTATAGCCTGCTGAGAAAGTGCCTGAGTAATGAAGATTGTGGCTTGGAAAAAGTCTGACCCCCCCCCCATAGTGTATGTTCTTTTTCTGCTCGATGTAGTTCTGCAACAGTACTTCAAGTCTCCTGGCTTGCTAAACCACATTTAAGCCCACTGCATTTTCTTCCCTCGTACTTTCGCCGTTGCAGTGAAAGTGGCTTCCAGACTGTCGCTGTCAGGGGTTCAGGGATAGAGGCACAGGGTAGGCAGGAGATGGAGAGCGATGGGGATGAATCCCAGGACAGCGAGGAAGAGGATGACAATGACTCAAGAGATTCCATGAGTCTTTCCAGCGAATCAGAGGATTCCCAGAAGGGGGCGCCGGTGGTCAAGGCCAGGGGAGCCCCAGGGGGGACGTGTCAGGAGCAGGGCCCAGCAGGGGATCCCAAAGTGGCAGCTGGGCGTCAGGACCAGCCTCCCCGCCAAAGTGCAGCGAAGGGTGTGGAGGTTCCAGTGTATCAGGGAAGCAGCTCCGGCAGCAGAGAAGGGAGGGAGGTCGGAGCAGCCACCCTCCCGGAAGGGGAGGGGAGTAGTGAAGGGAGTAGTGTAACTGTCAAAAGGAAGGTTAGAGGTTGGGCGCGCGTGCCAAGTTCAAATGTGGAGGCGCGCGGAAGTACAGGGAGCCCGGAGGAGGAGCCAGGTCCCAAAGCCTGCAGGAGGGGGGAAGAGCAATCTGGAGATTCCGCCTCAGGGAATCCAGGAGGGCGAAACCTCAGGGGGCAGGAAGACCCTGCGGAAAAGGAAAGAGAGAAAGAGGTGGAGCAGCGCAAGCTTCTTAAACTGGTGCAGGGGAGAGACTGACTCAGAGGGGACTTCAACGGTCTAAGCGTACAGACGTGGGGCTGCGCGCCTCGGATATGAAGCAAACAATGAACTGCAATAAACACTTTTGTATATAAGAAGAGATTGGCGTTGGTCTTTTGTGAGCTGAGACCTGAGGCAGCCTTGACAGTCGCTATTTTGGGATGGGCTTAAATCACAAACCGGTGCGTTCAGGTTGTGTAATTATAACTGATTTGGCTCTCTTTGGCAACAGGCCCACTCCCCCCCCCCCCCGCCAAAAAAGAAACAGACCTTTCGTGATAAGGGAAGTGTCAGGAAAATAAGCTCGAAAGAGTTGGCCAACAAGCACTTGACACAACATCATATAACCTCCCAGCAGATAAATCAGAATGGATGCCCAGTAAATAGTCCGTGTTGTCCAAGCTCTCTGCAGACTTCGCGCAAACAAATCCGGATGAATGCTCAGTAAACAGGTCCTCTGGAAGCGACCCTAAATGGCTTTTAAAAACCAAAATCCAACTCTTTCTGCCTGTGATGCTGCAAGACTATGCCCACTGACTGAAAGAATGAATGGCTGGTTCCCATCGCACTGGAAGGCAGGCAGATGAACAGTAAGTGGAGCCAAAACCAATGGCTGGCAGAACCAACTCATTCTAATTTTGCCCCCATCCTTCTCCCTGCTCCATTCTACAGGAGGACAGACTGAGGCTGGTTGGGCAGTGTCCCATTTACCCTAATGAACCAGCCTCCACTGATGCACCCTCTTAGTGGTGGAGCAATAGAACTGCAAGCACATCTGGAAAGCTAAGCAAGGTCCAATATGGTTTCAGATTGGATGGGGGACCTTGTGCTGAGATTCCTGAATTGCAGGGGGTTGGACTAGCTGACCCTCAGAGTCCCTCCCAATGCTACAATTCTGTGATTTGATGATTTAGGCCATGGGTAGGCAAACTAAGGTCCGGGGGCTGGATCCGGCCCAAACGCCTTCTAATTCTGCCTTCTAAATCAGCGTGTTTTTACATGAGTAGAATATGTCATTTTATTTAAAATGCATCTCTGGGTTATTTGTGGGGCATAGGAATTTGTTCATTATTTTTTTCTTCAAAATATAGTCCGGCCTCCCCACAAGGTCTGAGGGACAGTGGACCGGCCCCCTAATGAAAAAGTTTAGGCTGTGATTCTGGAAATTTAGGCTGGACTCTAAGCCTTTTCAGATCATTCGCCTACACACTGAACGTTTATCTTAAAGGCTTGCTTTTCGCTTTACCAAACTTAGGCAGAGTAACAGCAGCAGGGTTTGGATCTGATGTAACTGTATATTGGCTTAATTTACACTGGTTTGTTTTGCAACAGCTTCTTGTGCATGGGGATGATCCTAACACTTTTTGCCTTCCTTCCAAATGAATGCAAAGAAGATCTGTGCTCAATTTTTTCTAGGGAAAGAGTTCTGTTATCAGGGTGTCACAAAGAGAAGCCCCAACACTGAACTCCAGTCTGATTTCACAAGCTAATGAAGTCCAGAGCAGGTCCCTTCTGAGGATTAGAAAGTGTGTGTAAGTAACAGATGTGGGGTTTGTGAGGGTTCTGCCCCAAGTGAATTGCTAATTGTCCGATTATTTGGGTTCACCTGAAAGATCATCACGACTAAAGGAAAACTGATTCAAGTTTTTCAAATTATTATAAATGAGCAAGAGCGGGGGGGGGGCAAGGGTGTCTGGCCTGCTGGAATGCTGAAAACTCTAACAATGTGCTCAGCAGCCTTGACAAATATTTGTAAAATTATTTCCACTTTTACTTTATTTGACTGAAAAAAGCATTATGTTTCTGGAGAGCGCCCAAATATGTTAAGCAAAAGGAATGACCTACTGTGGAAAGGAATCACAGTCACAGAGGAACATTTTCGAGTCCTCCTTATTTTTATAGGCTTCATGAATGTAGTTATTGGAACTGGAGATTTTTGCACGATGAGCAAATTGACTTTTTGCATGTGCAGAGTTGTTGTCTTGTTTCCTCATTCGTTTTCCAGTTATGGATGACTCTGGAGGTGTACTTGAAAAAGGGTTGAGGAAATAACTAGTTCCTTAGCAATTTCAAACACTAGGAATGATTCCTTAAATGGAACATCATCCTGATGGCAACCCAGGGACAATTTGTGGGCTGTTTTAGGTATTTCTATATAACCAGTCAACACATGACTGCAAATGCTTTTTAGTTATTGTGTAATACAGTGGTACCTCAGTTTAAGAACAGCCCTGTTTACGAACTATTCAGTTTACGAACTCCGCAAAACCAGAAGTAGTGTCCCGGTTTGTGAACTTTACCTTGGTCTAAGAACAGAAGCCGAGCGGTGGAAGGGCACCGGCAGCAGGAGGCCTCATTAGGGAAAGCACACCCTGGTTTAAGAATGGTTTTGGTTTAAGAACGAACTTCCGGAACGGATTCAGTTCATAAACCGAGGTACCACTGTACTCCAAATCCCATTTTGGGGGCGACAAGAAATTCTCTCTGCATATAATAGACGTGCGAGTGGGGAGTGTAACCTTACTGAAGAGACAACTTTGCGAAGCGTGTCAGCCATGCTGCTGCTTGCTCTGCTTTTTAAAAAGTATCATTATTATTTATTAAATTTGTATGCCTCCCTTCATCCAGAGGCCCCAGGGTGGTTCACCAGCACAGGAAAAGGGGAATAGCTATTGGAGTGGAGCCCCAGCTTTATAGCCAAGCAAATACTCTGCATACAGAAAATCTCAGGTTCAATTCCTGGTATCTCTCAGGTAGGGATGGGAAAAACCTCTGTCTGAGATCATGAAGAACTACAGCCAGCTATCATAACACTGGGCTAATTGGGCAGGCTTCTTCTTCTTCTTCTTCTCAGACTGAAATATTGTAATTAGTTGTAATTGTAATGCACCGTAATGCGCACTCAGCACATGGGAAATGGCATTATGTTTTACAAATAGAATTGGGAAGCCAAAGCAGCATATGATCATTAAGTAGATTCTCCATGAATCTAGCAAGGCAGTGTTATTGTTTATAGGGCTTGTAGCAAGTCAAAATGCTGACTTATAAAGTTAAGTGCCTTTACACTGCTTCTGAAACAGATTTTGGTTGATAAACTATTTCCCCTACTAGCATGAAAAAGTACAAATCTCTTATAATAGCAACAAATATCACAAAGTTCCCCCATCTGCTTTAGCAGGATTATGATTAAAGGGCCCAAAGTTTTTAACCATATTTTTAGCAGCATTTTTTGGAGTGTTGTAGCATTTAATGCTTCACTGCAAAATTCAGAGCAATATAAAACAAACAGAAAGTTTTCTGCCAAATGAAACCACGGTAAAAAGTCTGAAAGTCAAGTATCTAATGATTTTGTGTTTCAGAAGAATCAATGTATTTCTTTAGTGTTTGCTTTCAGTATTGATTATTGCACATCACCTATCTGGACTACTAAAAATACATTCCCGTAAAGGACTCATCAAGGCCTCAGAGTTTATAAATGAAAGTTTTTTAGTGGCCACAAAAATGACTTCTTTTTTAAAAAAAACACAATAATCTCCAAACAGGAGATTTTGTGGTGAAAGATGTTAAGGTGGAGTGACTAATATTAATTCATTTATGCTGATGCACTGTCTGAGAATTTTTGGCACAGTCAATTACTACAGTTGCTCTCTGGAATGGACATCCTTGCTGCTGCTGCTGCTGCTGTTTTTTGTGTGTGTACTTATAATGGCACACAGAGTGGTTTGTCTGTACCAACATAGCTTCAGCAACATTCTGTGCTTTAGCATATGGGGGCTCAGTTGTCCCTGTTGTAGAGCCTGCCAGTTTTGCAACATAATGCAAAAGTCTAATAAGGAAAGCAAAAGACTGTATTGTTAGCATTGTGGCAGCCAAAATAGCTTGTAGGTGGAATTTAGGAAGCTGCCTTATAGTGGTTCATGTATCCCACGATTGTCAACACTAGCTGGCCGTGGCTCCCCAAGGATTCAGGAAGAGGTCTCTCCCCTACCTGGAGATGCTGAGGATTGAACCTGGAACCTTATGCACACAATGCATGTGCCTTACCCCACTGAGATTGCTGTAGTCCCATCTTCACTTTCTGCCCACGTTAAGGGATAGAGAACCCATGGCCCAACAGTTGTTGGATTCCACCTCCTATTCACCATAGTCAACATGGTCAATAGTAAGGGGTGATTTGAAGTGCATTGTGTGTGTGTGTGTGTGACTTCAGACCACAGACTTGCAGTGCAATCCATTACATGTCTATACAGAAGCCCCTTTGAGTTCAATAGGACTTTTTTTGCAGTAAGTGTTTATTAGGATTATTGCAGCCCAAGCGGAATGGCATGAGCACCCCAGTTGAGTCAAATGAAAGCAAATTTTGGGGAGGGGGGAAATAATGAGCCCTAATAATCTGTTCCTTTCCCATGCCATTTTTTGTTTCGTACATCCAAATCCAGACACAGAAGAAGAAGAAGGAGGAGGAGGAGGGAAAAAAGAAGAGTTTGGATTTGATATCCTGCTTTATCACTACCCTAAGGAGTCTCAAAGCGGCTAACAATCTCCTTTCCCTTCCTCCCCCACAACAAACACTCTGTGAGGTGAGTGAGGCTGAGAGACTTCAAAGAAGTGTGGCTAGCCTAAAGTCACCTAGCAGCTGCATGTGGAGGAGCAGGGAAGCGAACCTGGTTCACCAGATTATGAGTCCACTGCTCTTAACCACTACACCACACTGGTTATAGATCTTCAACACGCATGCTGTTGCAGACTAAAAACATGTGGTTGTTATCGCTCATTTTATTTTGTAAGGACATTTTTTTTTGAACAAATATTTTTTTCTTTAATAATGGATAGATAGCAATGTTTATTGTGGCTTTGCAGGTTCTTGATAATTGCTCTTTTATAAAAACTTTACAGTTCCAGACAGGCAGTGCAGGTATCAACACCCTGATGAACTGACATGGCTGATGGGCAAGTCATACAGACCTGGTCTAACCTTTACTATGCTGTCCAGTCTCATCTTTATCAAACATTACCAAAGCAGAATGTTTTTGCAGCCAGCAAAAAAGGTTGCTACAAATAACTGTTTCCTCCACCGTCTTATTAGCGCACCTGTCAAAAGTACCTGAACGAGTTATCTGAGTGGAAATGCTTATGACATCCTGTTTTAAAAAGAAATTGAAGTAGATTGGGGGGGGGGGGGTTGTTCTTAAGAACACAATGTAACTGGAGCCTTCATAGAGCATACTATGGATATTACTGTATGTCAGACCTGGTTAGCCTCTTCAATCAATTTGCAAAAAGCTTTCAGTTTTATTGATGCTCATTTATGTAGGCAGAAATGGCTGGATTCAATCTGGACTTTAATGTACTTGTAATTAATGAGGGTTAATCAGGGTCAACTGCATGTTGTTATGCAGAAGATACACAACTGGATCTTCCATGTCTCTGTGTGTGTGTGTACTGCAGGGCCCATGGGCACATTTGAAAGCTAGAGAAACTGTTGTGGGCATCCATCCCACACCATGACATATTTTATAGGCTACAACAGAATGCTTATTTAAAGCCTATTTTCAGTGTGGGAAGGGAACCCAGTGCTGGCTTGTGCTCACTGGGACTGGTAGGTACAGAGTGGGCAGGCAAAAAAAGCAAAGTGCCATCAAATTCAAGCACAATCTGTAGACATATCAAAGAACCCTATAGCGCAGAAAGAAAAATGAATCCAAATGATAACTTTTTTGAAGCCATGGGTTGTTGTTGTTGTTGTTGTTGTTGTTGTTGTTGTTGTTGTTTAGTCCTTTAGTCGTGTCCGACTCTTTGTGACCCCATGGACCAGAGCACGCCAGGCACTCCTTTTTTAAAAAAAGTTTTTTATTTATACAATAAGAAAAACAAACAAACAAAAAACACAAATACCGAATTACACACAGATTACAAAAATAACCATAGACACTTAATATTCTTAGCAAACAATAAAACATCTATTGGTCTTAACACTAAAGACCCAACCTCCTGTCTATTCCATACTTCAAATTCATATTACTTATTGCCAATACACTTTTTTTTTCATAATTAAACTTATTCTCATTAAATCTAATTTCTTATATCTACCTTGCAACTATTACTGAAGTTCCTCGAATGCTGCAACAGAATTTAAACTACTATATTTATTTTTATATATTCTTTAAAAACCTCCCATTTAGAAACAAATTCCTGTTTTGATTTATTTTTTATTTTGTCTGATAAACCATCTAATTCAGCATATTCTGTCAGCTTTTGGATCCAATCTTGAATAGAGGGGATTTCATTACTCTTCCATTTTGCTGCGATCAAAACTCTTGCTGCCGCCGTCGCATATAAAAAGATACCCTTCCTCTTTTGTGGAATATCCAAATCTGTTATTCCCAGGAGGTAGGCCTCTGGTTTTTTATTGAAAGTAGGCACTCCTGTCTTCCACTGCCTCCCGCAGTTTGGTCAAACTCATGCTGGTAGCTTCGAGAACACTGTACAACCATCTCGTCCTCTGTTGACCCCTTCTCCTTGTGCCCTCCATCTTTCCCAACATCAAGGTATTTTCCAGGGAGTCTTCTCTTCTCATGAGGTGGCCAAAGTATTGGAGTCTCAGCTTCAGGATCTGTCCTTCCAGTGAGCACTCAGGGCTGATTTCCTTAAGAATGGATAGGTTTGATCTTCTTGCAGTCCATGGGACTCTCAAGAGTCTCCTCCAGCACCATAATTCAAAAAACATCAATTCTTCGGCGATCAGTCTTCTTTATGGTCCAGCTCTCACTTCCATACATCACTACATGGATCCCCTTCATGGATCACTGCCTTGCCGTGGCGAAGGGGCTTGAATAACTCAGAGAAGCTACGAACTATGCCGAGCAGGGCATCCAAGATGGACAGGTCATAGTGGAGAGTTTTGACCAAACGTGATCCACCTGGAGGAGGAACCGGCAAGCCACTCCAGTATCCCTGCCAAGAAAACTCCATGGACAAAGAAGCCATGGGTAGTGGTTCCCAAATGCCATAATCCTCTGAAAGCACAGGTGCTTCAATGCACACAGACACACAGGCATAACTTCTTGCAATATTGAATTGCTGAAGCCAGTTACTTGTGTATAGAGGTGGGTGGAGCTGTCAATTTTGTTCCCTTCATTTTCTCATTTTTCCGATCTTAAATTCAGTTCTCCACACATCTGCACCAATTTGTGAGTTAAAAAATAATAATTTGTGAACATCCAGTAGTGTTTTAGTGCATATTTCCCCCTAATAAACACATTTTTATGTATGCAATTTCCCCTAATGTACACATTTTTGCAAATCAATTCCCCCTAATATAATGCATCTCTGTATGTCGTTTTGACTAATAAATGCACTTCTGTGCACACTTTACCTCAGTAGCTGTGCTTTTGTCCACATTGATTGGCTGGAGAACTGTTTTGCAAAATTCAGAGAAGTGTGACTTTCAAAGGGAGGCTGTGCTTCAGTTTACATACTGTTTCAGAAAGTGTAGATTTGGTAGGTTCATCCTTAAATATGAGTTTCATAGAATTTCTCCCTCGTCCCTATTTGCGGATGTATTTCCATGGGTGGAAATTGCACTGTTTTGGAATATCTATGAGACAAGTTAATTCAATAGTCATCCCCCCACCCCAAAGTTGCCTCAATCTGCCCAGTGGTGCAGCTGGTTCTGGAAGCAGTTCGTGGGATCCCAGAGAATGGCAAATCTGCAAGGTACCAGGGATCTCTAACAGAGAACTGTTAGCGCACACCATCACAGACCACCATTGCTAGGATTCTTTGGAGTGGAAGGTCAACTGGTATAAAAGCAAAATAAATTTGTAAAGTGGATAAGTTACCTGAGTCATCTTTGGAGAGACGAGAGATTAGTAGGAGACGGACCAAACACATTCTCTTGGCTTCCATAACTTATTCATTAGGCAACAGATTGCAATGTGTATATTTTCAAAAAGAGTTAGCTGCTCGGTTGTTAAAATATATTCTGCCGTCATAAACTTTTGCAATTGGAAACCTTCTTCTCGTTTCTACAATAGGTTAACATCAGTGTGCTTGTGTGTCACCAGTTTCATTCAGCCTCAGACTCCATACTCTCTGTGTCCCTCTGAGAGACCTGCTGGGACCTCCAGTAAATACAAATGGAGTAATATGATACTTGCTACACTGACTCAGTAAAAATCACAACATTGTGTATTCTGTTTCCTGAGGAAATGCCTTAGAACATTGCTCCCGGAGGACTCAGAAAGTATCAATTCTTCTCATTATAAGAGATAATTCTACGCATCCCCCTATTGTAGGAGTCAAGTTGACTGCCATACACACTTCAAGCTGAAAACATAGCATCCGGACAGCAATTTAATATACGGCTGGCTCAGGCAGGCATATGACCCGTGAAATCAAAAGCTGCGCACCAGCTTTGTTTTGCAGCTCTTGCGGGTGTTAGGACAACCCCAACCATCTTTGCAGTCCTGCAGGTAGCAATAAGAGAAAGCTTACTAAGCCTCTAGCAGTCCTCTGAACATGGCTGCCGGGCTGCGCTCAACTTGGTGAGTCATGAGTTGTTCAAGCCTGTGCTACTCTATTCGTTTTAACAGGCAGCAAACCGACAAGACCAAAACAAGACATTTTGCTGACTGAGGTGGACTAGCAATTGGACCCCATCTCCCCATGTAAGGGCATGTAATTGCAACTTGACTAGCTGGTTTATTTTGGCACCCAAGACAGAAAATCACACAAGGATATTTTCTTGTTTGCACAACAATAATAACAACTTACATTTTACTGCCCTTTCATGATTGCCTAAAATCAACCACCTGAGGCAGCTGCCTCTGTCTGCCTAATGGTAGGGCTGGCTCTGGTCAGCAAACCACTCTGCCGTGGTCAGAGACAAGAATAGAACAATTATAAGGAAATTGGACTCCACTCAGCAAACATCTTAAATCAGGCCAGTGTCACCCACTGAAGTAAACAATATGCAAAGATTGTTTACAGTGCACTTATTGTTTCTCTGCTAGCATTGTTGATTTGTGGTACAGTCATACCTTGGGTGAAGTAGCTTCTGGTTAAGCATTTTCGGGTTGCGCTCCACGGCGACCCGGAAGTAACGGAGCACGTTACTTCCGGGTTTCGCTGCTCGCGCATGCACAGACGCTCAAAATGACTTCACGTGCATGCACGGAAGCGGCAAATTGCGACCAGTGCACGCACAGACGCGTGGACACGGGTTGTGTTCACTTCAGGATGCGAATGGGGCTCCAGAATGGATCCTGTTCGCATCCAGAGGTACCACTGTATCTCTGTGATGGGAAACCTGTAGTACTCCAGATGTTGTTGGACAACTCCAGTCATCCCTGACCATTGGCAATGCTGGTTGGGGCTGATGGGAGTTGGAGTCCAGCAACATCTGAAGGCCCACAGGTTCCCACTCCTGCTTTAGAGAACAATGGTACATATTGCAACACGGCGCCCACTCAAAAGATTCGTAATGAGCTCATTTAAATGACAATGATGAATGCTTGTGATGGATATGCTGATGTCTTGACAGAACAGTTTATTGCTTGCATGTGTGTTGAATTTAAGACTCCAAAGATGCCGACATGACTTATCAATTATTTTCTACTTAAAATGCAGAAGGAATGACTTTTTAAAAATATACTTACAAACACATCTTAGGATTTGATTTGTGATTAAAATTCCATGTTCCCCTGGACTGACACTGTATAATGAATAACACTCTCTTGTGTGCTACACTCAGTAAGAATTATCAGCTACTACAATGCATTTTGGAAAATGACCCTCTTTGAAAGGCATGCTCACCATGAGGTATGAGTAACTTCCGATCGCCCATTAGCTTTCTAACATTCCCGACATGTCATGTGACTACTTTTGCTAAATGAGCCCAATCTATGCATGCATTTTCAGAAGGAAACCCCATTGAACTCAGTAACTGTGCATAAAATTGCACTCTTAATGAGGGATAGCTTTGCAATTGGTGGGTCATATGAGGCCAGTAAAGCGAGTTGAGCTCCACAACCCCAGAGTCGTTCGCGACTGGACTTACCGGTAACTGTCAGGGGTCCTTTACCTTTACCTTTATGAGGAGGGTTGCAACTCAGTGGTAGCACACATTCTCTGCATGCAAATACTTCACTCCCTGACATTTCCAGGGCTGAGAAAGACTCCTTCGTTTGTTTCTAACAAGTAGTCAATATTCTGGAAAAACCATTCTTGATATAATTCATTTTAACACCACAATAACACTTTGGTCCAAACCCATTTAAAAATCAGTTGTGACTAAGATCACGATCCTGTGCACACTTTCTTGAGAGTAAATCCCTTGCTTTGGACCTTACCTCTGGATAAATCTCCATAGAATCGGGCTCTGCTGTAGCTGAGAACTCTAATGCATTATTTGGATTTATTGGCACATTTTGCAAACACTTAGGCACTTGGTTCCGATACATTTGCCTGTGATTAACTTTGCCACACTAAAGAGGTTTCTTCCACATCTTCAACTGTATGAATTATTAACATTGGCTAATAGGTCAATGATACTAACAGATTGCCAAGCGTGCCAAATGTGGCTTTCTTTACAGGAAAAATGGCGGGCACCAGAGTTTCATTGCTTTTTCAAGGAGGGTCCAGGGCAGGTATCTGTTTTGGGTTTTGAGGCACTGGCAGCTGCTGGAGGAAGCTGGGTGCTGGCTTTGGCCCAGGGTGGCATGTGGGAGTCTGATCAGCAATGAACTATAAATCCAGCAAAGGAGTGACGTGAGTGAGAAATGTTTTTCTTTGCTCTTCACTGTATACCCCATAAAATTATACTGTGTGTGTGTCACAGAGACACACAAATGCACACAGAGAGAGAGAGAGAGGTTTTAGCCATTCTAAATAAGCACTGCTGATAAAAATGATTATTTATGTTGCCAGTAATGGAGCATAAACAGCGCCCTTATTAGTAGGCAATTTCACGGTATCTGCTCAGTACTTCTGCGATTCCTGATTTTAAATGGATGCGTCCATTAATTGCCTCTCCACCCCCTCAATGTGAAAGCCTGATTTAGTTCAAAAACAGTCAGGATGAAAACACAATCCTAGCTTAGGGATGGTATTTACATGCAGGTCTTTTTGCCGTTGTGCCACAGGTCCATTACATGCTGTGTGAGTCATCACAATGCGCACTGTAGCAGTTGGCTGAAAATGAGAATGTATTCCATGTGTGAAAGTTAATCCAAATATGGAAATTGCCCTGTTTTGTATTAACTACTGATGATACAGCATAATCCCCAGGGGCGGGGGTTATTTTCTAGATGCTTATTCCTTGAAACTTGTGTGTGTGTCTCAAACTGGCCATATATTTCCCCACAGTGAAGAAAGCTTTTTAATTCCCTTGGCATATTAAGAAACCAGTCTGGTGTGGCATACAGCAAACGTATAGAATGTAAGCACATTATTCAAGGTATCCAGATCAGGTGAGAGTCTGACATGACATCAGAACACAGCATCCTCCAGCAGCTCAGGGTCACAGGACACAGGGAACTACTACTGATCCATCTAGTTCAGTACTGTCTGTACTGATTGGCAGCAGCCTTCTCTCTCAGTCCTCCCTAGAGGTCCAAGGGATTGAACCTGGGATACTGTGCATGCAAAGAAGATGCTTGGCCACTGAGCTATGGACCTTCCCTGCTGTTGGAGGCCCAGTGTCAGAGACCAGGCTGAGGAGAGCTACTCTGATGAGGAATGGTGGGGGGGCCTCCCCCTCCCTCTGCTCCTGACCAGGATCCTGAAGCTGCCCAGGAGCAGTGGAGCAGTATAGACTTGGAGCAGTGGTTTGAAGAGGGACATAGTTCAGAAGACAACAGCTGGGAAGAACTGAGTGGAGAACAGCTAGGAGAAGAACGGGGAAGGGGGAGAGAGAGAATTAACAGACTCCCTTTCGCTGGAAAGTGTCCAACTGATCAGTCCAAGGTCAAGGAGAGCAGATAAGGTGGAATGCCAAATGGTTTCGAGATCAGGTTGCCAGACGAGGAAGTGACGGGGGTGGCTCAGGGGGAAGTGGGTGGAAACCTTAATTGAGAGCGCCTTTCCTCTGAGAATGGAGTCTTTGTTCTTTCGCTGTGATTATTAAAAAATTATTTAACTGGTAGGAGACTATTTTTGCTTTTTTCTGTTTATCCACAGCCAAAGGGAGGGAGGAAGGATCCAAGATGCAGATATGGCAATCTGTTTGCTCATTTGGAAGTTCCATGATACACCTAGCCACCACAATTTTGTCTCCATCCTTTTAGGAGGCCATCTAAATTAGTGGTCACCCCTCCTTCTCTTTTGTTATAGAGAACTTCATGAGTTTAGCTACGTGCTGTGTGAAGGCATACTTTCTTCTGTCTGTCTTGGCCTGAACTTACTAACTAGATTGGCAGTGTGCACATGAACAAAACATACATGCATACATATATATGTGGCGCTTCGCAACACGGCTTCAAATTTAATTTTGGTCTCCGAGATTCAAAGTAAGCAAAATGAAGAAATGTCATATGCTGGTTCTCCTAACAACAGGAATATCGGTTACAGAAAATTTACATTCAAGTTTTCATTGCAGGCCATGTAAGCAGAATGCAAATGACAGTAACAAATGCAGTTTAGTTGCTTGGTATCAGATTTGGCACGTTCAGAACAATGAACCCAGACATGGAGATATTCCTTAGTTTGCCATCTTTCATGAATAACCTTTTCCATGATCCACACAGTCCAGATTTTAATAAAACCTTTATTGATTTGCCTACAGAGGTTCTTCTTTTCTCGCAGGATGTTCTGTGGCCAATGTAGCCATGCAATAAACAAGGGTAATCTGTTCCACACTCACACAGTTCAAGGTTTATGAATATGGTGTGATACACAAAGAAGGAAACATAAATAGACATCCTTTCCCATAGCCAGAGACCCCTAACAAAGAAGGAAGAGTGATGTTTCTAAAGGTTCGCTCTCAAGACATGCTTCCAGAAAACAAATTATCCCAATTTTACTCAGAATCGCAGACAATTTGTAACAATATTTATGAAACTGCCTTATCCTGATTGAGAACATTGATCTATCTAGCCTGATGCTGCCTGCTCTGACTCATAGAAGCATTCCAAGGTCTTTCCCAACCCTGGAACTCTTTTAACTGGAGGAATCAAACCTGAATCTTGAAGGGTAGCTCTACCATTGAGGTACTGCAGGTAACAGTTAGCACTTTACATTAGAGCACATTTTCCATCCCAGGGACCACGTCCCCTCAAGGAGAACCTTCAAGTAGATTACCATTATGTTTCCTGGAAATTCACTTCCTCCCAGAAGCCTTAGGCACAACCCCTTATTTGCCCTACGGAAGTAATGGGAAACCTCTGGCCCTCCAGATGTTGATGAACTCCTAGCAAGCATGGACAATGGTAAAGGATGATGGGAGCTGCAGTTCAGCAACATCTGGAGGGCCACCCCTGCTCTACCGTAACAAAACCTAAGTACCGGTATGTGCAACAGAAATGAACATTTTTGCATTGGTTAACTGCTTCCATTCCCTTCCCTTTGTTTCCTGTGTCAAATTTTAGGTGGTAAGCTCACTGGGAAAGAGACCACACACACAGGGATAGAAGACAGTCACATCCATTGCCCCTATCCACATTTGCCTCTTCACCCATCTCAGGCAGGAGGTCCCTGGCCAGTTGTCCAAAAGGGAATGTAAAAGTTCGAATTAAGCAAGCTTTGATTAAACTGCGGCAAACACAGAAATTCCTGGGCTCAGTTTATGCAAACGAACCAGGTTGGCTTGGCAGGGCCAGCTGAGTGCAAGCCATGAAGGAATAAAACAGAGTAAATGGCTCATCAATGGAAACTGTCACCAAGGGCAGAAGACTTGACAGCAGAGGGAGGTTTCCAATGCAACAGAGGGGTCCTTCTTTGCTGTGCCCTAGTGGGCAGAGGCAAAGGCCCAGTTTAGGGTTTCAACTTTGAATGACGTAGGCTCGGGGGAGTTCCTTGGAGTCGGTTAGCAGCCAGGAGGAGAAGGAAGGGGACAACCTCCATGTGAGCTGAGAATGGCAGGCTGAAACAAAGAGACACAGAGGACGGCTTTCTGCTGAGCCTGGATAGATCCTCATAGGTAGTCAATGCTCCGCAATCCCTCCACCTAGGTGCAGGTTGTATGTATGTGTCAATAAACCATATATCATAAAGACATCACAGTCTCTGCTGTGCCCAATTTCTGGAGGAAAATTTTTGGGTAAGTGCCTGGAACCTCACGCCGCTCAGGGATGGGGTGGCATGTAGCAATATATAAAGGGACCAGATCTGTGCTTAACTTCATATTTATTCCATATAAGAGGCAACTCGCCTAGCTTTGTTTGAAAGTAGCAACTACCATGTTATATAAGCAATGGCACAAGCAATTCCAAATAATCAACGAGACCTTAGATAAGATCAGGAGAGTATATAATACGGGATACAGTTGCGCCAAAAGCAACCTCTTGGCATAGTGAGCGACTTCTACAGAGTTAAGAGTGAATTTGGCCCTGTAGGTCTGGTATAAATTTCAACACCAGATAATAATTTTGGCGTGACTTCAAGGCTATTGAAGGAGGACTTGTAAGATGATCTCCCACCCACCCTTTTCTTTTACTTTCCTTTTCTTTTCAAATCAGACTAGCTAGAGTATGCATAACAAAATTTATATATTAAATTCAACTATCCTGAATGTATTCCGCCAGGGAAATCGTTATTGGCATAGTAATACGAGCTAGATATAATCCTGGAAGCTCTTCAGGTTTTGTGCATAAGTACAGTCCTCCTTTCCTGGAGCAAGAAGTCAAGTATTCCCTTGGGTCTGGGAAAAGAGCAATTCCATCAAGGATAACAAAAGCCAAGAAAGCTTGATTATCTGTAACATCTGCATAGCTGAGATTGACGGCTGGTTACTGTGAAAGGAATATGAGCAGGTTTGGGTTTTTATCTGCTGCCTCGACCATTTTATGATCTGCTCTTGAACTGCTACGTGTTTTTAATGAGGTGGGTTTATTGACAACAGCAACATTATTTTGATATTTTTGTTCTCTTAGCCACCTTGGCCAGGGTCCAAAACTAATACAGGCATACCTCAACCCATGGAAATCATTGGGCATAAGCAGATTAAGTTGCATGTTGGATTTTGACCTTTGACTTGAGTGTAAGAAAGGCAAGATGTAAAAATAAATAAATGCACCGTGTATTGACGCTGTAAATGTGTTGGACACGATCCAGCAAAAGCTTATTGTGCTTCATGCCACTTTCTTATGTTGCTGTACATATCATCATCATCGTCGTCATTTTTTATTTGTATACAGTCTTTCTATCTTATAATACTCAAGGTGGTTTACAAGCTGAAGAAACAAAAAATGTACATCTTATAACAATCTAATGCAATACAAAAATGTAATAAAACAAAATTTTCAAATAAGCAACCTACATCAAATAAAGTAACACTCAACAATTATTAGAATAGTACAAAATAATAACATCAACATATAAAAGTTAAAGAGAAATCCACTCAACAGTTACAATAAATAATTTCTAAACTATAACCAAGAAAACAACAGCAAGCCACAGTACATATAATATAAAATATCAAAATGGGGGCTAGGAAATCTCCACCCAGTGTCCATTAGCTGATTCCCATTACTTGTTTCCCCATGTAGAACTCCACTTCCACTGAAGTTGTCGTCTGCACATGTGCTACTACTTCTTCAAGCAGCACATGGCTATACATGGAACTCCTTCCACAGGAGGCAGTGATGGTTACCAATTTAGATGGCTTTAAAAGAGGACCGGGCAAATTCATGGAGGATTCAGTTATCAACGATTCCAATTACTATATTCTACCTCCACAGCAGGAGGCAGAAATGCTTCCTGTGTTCCCCAGAGACCACAGGAGGGGAAGAGGACTCAAATGCTTGGAACCTGCTCACAAGTTTCCCACAGGCATCTAGTTGCAAGAAGAGGATGCTGGACTAGATGGGCCACTGGCCTGATCCTGCAAGATCTTCTTATGTTTTTATGTTCCTATGATATCATCTCCGCAACAGCTGATGCACACACCTCAGCTACAGGTGAAACTCGGAAAATTAGAATATTGTGAAAAAGTTCATTTATTTCAGTAATTCAACTTAAAAGGTGAAACTAATATATGAGATAGACTCATGACATGCAAAGCGAGATATGTCAAGCCTTTATTTGTTATAATTGTGAGGATCATGGCGTACAGCTGATGAAAACCCCAAATTAACAATCTCAGAAAATTAGAATATTAAATGAAATCAGCAAAACAAGGACTGCAAATAGAGCAATATTGGACCTCTGAGAAGTAGAAGCATGCATATGTACTCAGTACTTGGTTTGGGCCCCTTTTGCATCAATTACTGCCTCAATGCGGCATGGCATGGATGCTATCAGCCTGTGGCACTGCTGAGGTGTTATGGAAGACCAGGATGCTTCAATAGCCGCCTTCAGCTCTTCTGCACTGCTCGGACTCATGTCTCTCATCTTTCTCTTGGCAATGCCCCATAGATTCTCTATGGGGTTCAGGTCAGGCAAGTTTGCTGGCCAATCAAGCACAGTAATCCCAAAGGCATTGAACCAGGTTTTGGTACTTTTGGCAGTGTGGGCAGGTGCCAAAGTCCTGCTGGAAAATGAAGTCAGCCTCCCCATAAAGCTCGTCTGCAGAAGGAAGCATGAAGTGCTCCAAAATCTCCTGGTAGACGGCTGCGTTGACCCTGGACTTAATGAAGCACAGTGGACCAACACCAGCTGATGACATGGCTCCCCAAATCAACACAGACTGTGGAAACTTCACACTGGACTTCAAGCATCTGGCATTGTGTGCCTCCCCATTCTTCCTCCAGACTCTGGGTCCTTGGTTTCCAAATGAGATACAAAAGCTGCTCTCATCAGAAAAGAGATTTGCATGTCATGAGTCTATGTCATATATTAGTTTCAACTTTTAAGTTGAATTATTGAAATAAATGAACTTTTTCAGGATGTTCTAATTTTCCGGGTTTCACCTGTAAACTGCAGCTTCTGTTTTCAAATTGGATGGAAGCTGGTTTGAGGGAAACCACATTATCTCAAGAAACTACAGAATACAGATGGATTGTGGCTAACATCATGCGTACTCAGCTTCAAACACCAGCAGTGGAAGCGAGCGGGAGCCTGAGTAACCTGTAACGTGAACATATCCGAAGCCCTGTTGTTTTAACATCTTGGTCCTGTACATGTTTGTTCAGAAGAAAGTCCCACAGATTTCAGCCTGTCTTAAATCATAGAAAGCGTGTGCTACTCCGACTTGCAGTGGCAGCACAAGCGATTATGTAACTGGATTCCTCCCATTGTAATTTTATCTTCACACCCGGGGACATCTTCAAAGTGTAAGCTTTCTGTTGTTAGTCAGGCACTTCAAAAGAATCACTCCTTCTTCAAAGGGTTTTCTTCCCCGTTAATGGAGGAGTTCAGACTGATTGGGGTTGGGCTTAGTCATCAACAAGCTTGCTATTCTCTCACCACTTAGAGGCACACAGCCTAGTGACAGTCTCTGCCAAATTTTAATCGGAACAGACTATGGTCTGGGACACCCAAACACTCTGTATGTTTTAGAGGTTCAGGACATGCTTAGTCCTATTGATTCCAATTTTGGGGTGGGGGACGTGGAATCAGTTAGAGCATTGGTTTCTAAGATTCTATCAGCAGAAGACCATGATCGTTAAACAGATCTGCAATCCAATGCACAGTCAGTTGGGAATAAGCTGAATTAAACACACCTATTTCTGGGCAGATATGTATAAGATGGCACTGTAAGAAACTCAGCACCCTGGTTTCAGGGACAGGGCAGAATGTTTCAGTGCTTCTGAATTCTTCTGCCCTAATGTCAAAGCTGTGCTGGCCAAGAACCAGATTTGGTCTAATAAGAAATCATTGCCATACAGTGCAGGGTGGAATCCAAACACAGCAGTGGGATATTATCTTTATAAGGACCAAACAAAATGCCACAAAGCCACAAGAAGTTTTTTTTTGCATTCTCCAAAACTCTCCTTTAAGCTAGATGCTAGCAAAAACAAGCAAGGAAAACAGTAGGGTATGATATTAAAGCCCCAAAATCTTCAGTTTGTGGCTATCTTAAGGTGTCGGGTGCATATAATTATAGTGTCAGACTAGAAGTGGAAAGAACTGGGTTTAAATGTTTTCTCCACCATGCAGCTCACTGTGTCAGTCACCTGGCCTACCTCACAGGGTTGTTGTTAGGATATAAAATGGGCCGTGGGACCCTATACACCACCCTGAGCTTAAAAAAAAAGCTACTTGCCTGTCTTATTTCCCAAAGAAATTCAAGGAAGCTAACAGATTAATAACTAGCATTATTCCAAACTAAACCCAATACAATGAAAAACAGATTAACAAATCTGGTCACACAACCTAAGCTAGTAGAAAAGTTATTTAATGAGCCAAAGGCTTTATTAAAAAACCAATTCTTCATGGGGTGCATGAAATAATACATTGAATGAGCCTGTGTTCCTTTGATAATGAATAATAACGATAAAAGGTAATGAATAAAATGGACCCGGGGTGTGACTAGAGATTTGTGTAGATTCTTTTCCCCTGTGAACACAGGTCAGTTCTTCTAAACTTTGCCATACAAAGAGTACAGGAAGCTTGGATGCTGTAACCATCTGAATGCCCATCAGCATTTTCCAAGACAAAACGCATCACGGAGGTAAATAAAATCCAGATCACCTCCGCTGCTAATAACTGGGAGGTGATTTCTACACTGGTTATTTTTTGTTCAGTCTTTTGTAGCTGCCATAAATTTGTGCTTATCCCAGTTTGCTATTGTGATTGTGATACAACAAGCGATTGGCAAAGTGCATTGATTTTTTTCTTACAAATATCCCCTTACATTCAAGGTTATTACTGTTTTGGGTTTTTTTGCCTGAAATGCCATTTAACTCACCCTGGGGATCTTGTGAGGACTGATGCAGAATGCAAACATTTTAAGGGCTTGTGCACTCATTAAAGTTTGCCCATCGGTTCTTTTGCTACTAAGAGACAACTATAAGGCCTAATAAGTTAAAAGCAGAGGTAAGCAAGAATCTGTGATGGAAAGGGAGGTAATTTCCTCCTCTCTGAATTCATCCATCCCCATTCTGCCCCTGCCTGTGATTGCTTGGGCTGTGTTTAATGGTGTTACTTATATTTCTGTTTTGTAAGCCTGTGTTTGATTTTATTGTAGAAAGATGGGAGTTAAATGCATGAAAAAATGCAATAAAATAAACTTCTCCAACTTCAAGGTGCTGCTACAAGACTCCTTCTTGGTTTTTTCCTGCAACAGATGGACATGGCTACCCGTTTGGAAATAAATTCTGATTGTACACTTCTCCAGGCAGGGACCTGTCCTGTGGTTATCTGTTTCTGTCTTCTTCTTTTTTAAAGTTCCTTTTCCACAATTAAAGCGTTCAGCAAGGAATTACTTCTTTTTGTGAATATCATGGTCACTGGTATGTGACCAAAAGGAAACACCAGGAAGAACTTTCTGCTGTTTTGACAGTGGAATGGTCTCTCTCAGGAGGTTTTGGACTCTCCTTCCTTGGAGGTTTTTAAGCAGAGCTTGAAAGGCCATCATAGTTGAGCTTCTTGCATAGCCCTCGGGGTCCCTCCCAACTATACAATTCTATGGAAAGGTAATTCTGCCCACATGTCTCAAGACGTTTAACACCCTCCTTGCTAGACAGCCTTCTGGGTCCTCCTCCACATTCTCCAGGGAAAGGAAGACACCGACCTTTCTCCCTGGCTGGGAAGCGTAAGGGAGGCACCCGGCCAGGAAAATCGCAGCCTCCCCACTCCCTAATGGAAGAGGAGCTGCATTAAGCCCATTAACATCCGCCAAATGGTTATCATCAATTTTTAATCAGAAATAAGACCAGAAATATGGTAAGCAGCAGCTCCCAGCAGCAAGTAAATTTAAATAACGCCAATAGGGGAATCCAATCACTTAAGCGCAGGAACTCGAGCAGCAATGGGGGAGCAGAGGGGTGCGCGCCGCTACTCCAAAGGAGAAGGCGACAGGCAGCTATGTTAACGGAGATCGAAGCGCTGCAAAAAAGAAAAAAGCCAGCCGATCCCTCGGACCCATTAACCCCTTCCTAGGTCGCCCTCTCTCTTTGGCGCCCCGCGCGCGCAACCAAACACACACACACACACCAGCACACAGCCGGTGCCAGATTTTCCCGCCTCTCGCCTGCAGGACCCAGCCGCGCGGGCAGCTTTTGCAAAAAGCTGGATCTTGCACGGCATCTCCGCACTCCGCAGCTGGTCCAATGGGCTAAAGGGAGATCCATCCCGCGGCTCTGCGGGGCCGCCTTCCAGCAGCCTTGGAGAGAGGCTCCTTCGGCGGCAGCTCCCTGGCCCCGTCGCCAGAGTTTGCAGAGCGCCCTGAGAGCGCATGCTGGACGGGGCGAGGGTGGAGGGGCCAGCGAGGTCCCTGTCCCCTCCTCCTCCTCCCCTCGAGTGATCCGGTGCCCGACGGAGGAAGGAGGGCGAGAGGGGGTCAGGAGGAGGATGGGGGCCGGCCTCCCCCCGGGGCTGCTGGCGCTGGGGGCGGCTTTGCTGTGCCCGCCGCCCTGCCAGGGCAGCTGCGCGGAGCTGAAGTGCGGCGAGCAGGAGAGCTGCTGCAGCTACGGCAACGCCACCTACCCGGAGGTCAAGTGCTGCCGGCTGCCCTTTCACACGTTCCTGGACAACGTGGGCTGGTTCGTGAGGAAGCTCTCGGGGCTGCTCATCTTGCTGGTGCTCTTCGCCATCGGCTACTTCCTGCAGCGCGTCATCTGCCCGAGTCCGCGCAGGAACAGCCGTCGGCGCCCCGGACGCCGCCGCCGCGACGAGGACGACGACGACGACGATGGCGACGGCGACGAGGGCGACGGGGACTCGCTGGCCCGGGGAGGCACCCCGCTTAACGCCACGGCCGCCACGTCGCAGGACTCGCTGCTCGACAGCGGCCGGAGCAGCCAGGCGCCGCCGCCGCCGCCCCCCCACCTGCCCCTCGTGTCGCCCGTCTTCTTGCAGCTGCCCAGCTACGAGGAGGTGAAGTATTTGCCCACCTACGAGGAGTCCATGCGCCTCCAGCAGCAGCCCCTCGTCCTCCCCGTCACCAGCCTGGCCACGGGCGCGGGGAGAGGCCTCGCGGGGGCGGGCAGCTGAGGACCCGCTTTCCCATAGGGCCCCCCCCCCGTCCCGAGGGGGCGGCGGCGCGCGTGGCCCGACGGAGCTGCCCCTTTCCACGGAGACGCCGGGGCGGGTGGAGGTGGCGGGCGGGGAGGCAGGGGGTCGCTCCGAGGGGGGTCCCGCGCTCCAGGAGCTAAAACGCTATTGGCAACCGACCCGCCGTGAGGGACACAAAACGCCTTTGCCTCCTTCTGCCCGCCCGACGGCCCCGCCGGCCTTCCACGTCTGGGATTTCGGAGATACATCGATTAATTTTTTTTGTTAAGATGTTCATTAAGTGCCTGTGACATGCATTCGAGATGGACACGTTGGGAAGTAGGAGAAAGCAAGATTTTTTAATTATTATTTTCCTCCTCTCTTTTTCTTCTTGCCTCGCGGAGATGCCTTCCATTGTGTTAACGAACCCCTCTTCTCGCTGCAGATTAAAATCATGGAAGGGGTCGATGGATGTGATTTTTGTTTTTTGTTTTAATATGCGGCAAATGCAGCTCAAGTTGTTTTGGAATTTTATTTCTGTCTCCCTACGGGAATTTTCCTCCGGCTGCAACCCTGAGCCCAGTTACCGTACCTAGAATTAAACTGCCATGAAATGCAGTGCTGTTTACTTCCGAGGAGACATGCATAGGATTGCAGTCTTAAAAAAGCAAAAGGGGACGACGACCTTTTTTAATCAGACCTCCAGCTGATTTAGAGTCTGTGTCTTGCAAAGCTTCCTTTGAAGGCTGAGGTGGGGGTGTCAGAAGACATAGTCACCGTTTTGGGACTTTCCTTCATTGCGTCTTTGGTTTCCCTGTTTTTAAGGAGTTTGCTACAATTCACTTCCTAAAGATTGGGGGGGGGTGTCTTTATTTTTGCAGGTGCAAAACTAGGCTTTATTTTACCCAGATCAAAGACCCAGTTTGGCACACACACACATTTGCGTACACAAACACACAGGCTGAGGGCCTCAATGACGCCCCTTTGGAGGCTTCATTCGGCAAAAAAACCCCAGCTAGCCCTCTCCACCCCCCCAGCTACGGCTCTGATTTTTTTATGGTGGTTGGGAAACTCATCGAAAAACTTCCTTCGAAGCAGAGTATAAACTGCTGTTGATCCTTCCACTGATTGCTACAGGGATGGAAGTGATAGTCACAGTTTTATGGCTTTTCTGATAATTTGGATTTTATCATTAGTGTTGGCCCTAACTGAGTATTGGTGGCGTGCAATCTCATCCCCATACAATGTAGACATGGGTGGGGTTGCAGGTGCAGGCAGACTTGCTGCAAGAGCAGAGAAAGCACCCCACATCTTGGGGGGGGGGATCTCTGTTGGGGAGATGTGTGCTCCAGTGATGCAGCTCCCACTTCTGGCTAGGGCTTGCTAAAGATTCATGCCCGCCCTTTGTACCTGCACACTTTTTTTCTTTTATAACAGATGGGTTACAGATTAGTATACCGTATGTTAAGATTACATATAGCCTAACCTCTGCCTTAATATTTTAAGACTGCAATCCTGTACATTCTTAACCTGAGAGTGAACTCCATTTAAAATTAAGGGGGCATTTCTGAGTATTATTATCATCCTAATCATTTATGAATCACTTCCCGTGGGGCATCCAAATGCGTTTGCAACATAGACACGCATAAGAGGATTGCACTGCCAGACAATTGCAAACTTCTCCACCTTGCAACATCTTTATCTCTTATCTCCACCCACGTCTTGTTTGGTTTGTGGTTTTTGTCACTGGGCAGGGCTGATAAAAGATTTTTGATGAACTCAGAAGCTTTGTTCACTTCTGTTAGTTGGGACCCTGAACTGTTCCGTATGCAATTAATGTAGCACAGTTAAGGTGAGACACCAGTTCAAATGTTGCCCAGGAGGCCTTGCTGGATTCCCCCCCCCCCCAAGCTTCAACGTAAGGATGATATTTCCTTGGAAGGCTGTTACCAACACGGCTGAAATAATGTTTGTGAAGCAGGTACCACACCTGAAACACTCAGCATAAGTGCAAAGCATGAAGATTAGGTAAATAACCTTAGATTAATAAACCATTTGCTCTTCCCCCCACTACTTCATATTTTGCTCTGATCGACACAAACATTTAAGATCATTGCACATGCTAGCTCCTCACCTGGGGCCTGGGAGTCATGCAATGCTGCAGGCAATAAGACTCCATTTTGGATCATTGATGGTGCCATCGAACATACATAAACCTTGCTTTTGATGGCTGTCCATGACCAGCTGGTTGCAGGCAAGAAGTGAGCGTCTGTAGCAATTTCCAGCAGCCTTTGTGATCCCATTGGTTGCCAGAACCACACAGTCCCATTTACATCAGTTGAACTAACTTTTGATTCACTACACTTAAGTGTTGCATTTACTACCCTGCGGCTGAAACACCTACATAAGAGTAAGTCCCAGAGAGCTATATGTGGCATATTTCCAAGTAAACATGCATAGGGCTGGGCAGGCTTGGTGCTACTGCACAATAAGATCAGGCAAATGTGGCTCATGCAGCTGATAATGCCTGCGGGGATCCATCATTGCCTGAGCCACCCAGGCAGCTTTTAAAAACAAACAAACAAACAAACAAACAAACACATTAGATTCTTAGAGGAAGTGTGTTGGATAGTTTAATAATTTGTTGTTGTATGTCACCATGAGGTTCTGGCATAATGGTGATAAACAATCAAACAGATAAAATAATAAAGGTAAAATCAAATTTGCAGCCAGCCACAGAGTTTCCTTGTAACTTGGGGCTCTATTCAACTAAATGTGGAGATCTGAATTTACACATGGAAGAAAGAGAAACTGGGAGAAACAAAAATTGACAGATTCACCCATTCCACCTGCATCTGCTGAGGTCTTCCCTGGAGTCAGCAGGGTTCCATTTCCCTGCCAAAACTAGGCTCAAAAGCATTCTGTGGTAGCCAGTAGATTAGGTTGTGATTTGTGCTTGGTTGCTGTGTGTGAGTTGCACACAACGGTTTCTCCAGTTGGCAAATGTACCCACAAGCCCCCAACGGTTGGCAACACTTTAATCGATTAACAGGCTCACATGGAAATAGATGGTCCATTAGGTGTTAAATAGATGGTCCTAAGGCAGGAAAGGATTTTCAAGTACAAAGCAGCAATGGAAACATAGACAAAAGTGAACAAAAACCAGATAAGGTGATGTAAGATGGGTACCACCGGCTCCCAAGCATCAGCACGAGTCACAACCCTAGCAGCTGTATTGTGGACCAGCCGCAGTAAAACTTAAAAGTCACTTCTAAGGACATGTGGAGCTAAGTTTGCCTTGTCAGTTACAGTGCAAAGGGTTCGGTCACCACTTCAGTTCCTGATTTTACGTAGTCTGTACAAGTCTGTTGCTCCTGCAAGCTCTGTGCTTGTTATACTCGGACCCATTCTGGGTAGTTTATTAATGTACAGTACACTTTTTACTTCTATGTATGCATCCCATGTTCCTCAAGAGTCCAGCTTCAGTCCTGCAGTTTAGAACATTAGGTGAGTGTAAAGAAGTGCACTTAACACCAAGAATATAGAAAGTGTTTCATGTTTGCATGTGTTTACTGACCCTTAGCATGTGCACCGTATGTAAACAGGGAATTCAGTCAGTCAGATGTGCATTATAGGTGCTTCAAATCAGCATGGGCCCACTTTTCTGAAAAGAAGAAGCTAATACTGGCAATGCCCAAGTCATTAAAACTAAAGCTTCTGTGCCAGCAACTCAACTTGAGATTCCCTATCCCTCTTGAAGCCAGAGATATTACATGAGGTGAGGACGACAGCTTTTACTCAGTGCCTAAAGATTTCCTTTGTCCTGTCTAAAGATGAAGACAATCACAGCTTTCTTAAAGTGGTTGAAAGTGCTGTCAGTGCCTTCTAAACAAATGTGCATGTTTCTGTCCAAAAGGGTGTGTGGTTATGGGGGTGGGGCAGATTTTGCAGGTTTTCAGCTTAGTTCAGTTTGAAGCTAGACACTGATGGGCACCCATTGACCAGTGCCCATGTCGTCACCAATATATAGACACACAACCTCTAGAACAGTCTTGCAACTGCTTTTAAAATGTTTGTAAACTTTATTTTTGTAAGGTGAAGAATAAATTTATATTTTTGAAGTGCAGGCCCTCAAGGAGAGTTCAGAAACGCAGGCAGCTGCATGATGTATATACAGACTGACAGGCATGAACACAGATGAAAGAGCAACACTAGATAACAAATACCTAATTCATTAGGATCAGGATGATTGCAAGCCTTTGCTTAGTTACCTAGGAGTAAGCTGCAGGTGAACAACCTGTAGTTTGACTGCACTTTAAAAGCTACATGGTCCCTCTAGCTCAGTCTCTTAGGGTTTCAAGCCCCATGTTGAGCAAAAGATTCCTGTATTGCAGGAGGTTAAAGTTGATGGCCCTTGTCCCTTCCAATTCCACAATTCTATTATGTGTAGTAATCCTGATACACCCCAACCTAGTGCCCTTTAGGAGCCATTTTTCCCAGCTGAGTGATGGAGGGCACCAGATTGGGGAAGGTTTGTCCTATTTCTGTAGCGTGAATCTGATCAATATTTTATGGGCTTTTTTAAAAATTTAGATTACAATTGACCTTTAGCTTCCATTCCATCTGCTGCAATGCCGTTGTTTCGGATGTAAACTTTGCAGGTATCTGCTACAGCTTGTGGTTAAGAGGCAGCGATACATTTGATACATTTTCGTATCTCAAGCAGCAGCAGCATGTTTTGTGTGCTAATTGTTGTGTTTATTAGATGGAAGTGTTTTAGGAGAGCTATGCACTTTGAAAATGAAAATCTGTGGCATCCGAAACAAACTGTAATGTACGGCCGTGGGGGGGGGGGAGCACAACAAAGAAACCTTAAATGGCCTCCATTATTAGTCACTTTCCTGCAATTGAAATGCACCAGAGGTGGAGCCAATGACTTGATCTTTGCAAAAGGAATATTCTTCTGATCATCTGTGAATATATGGGGATGCGAACCAGGAAAAAAAACACATTGCCACCCTGCCCCTTTTCACCCAGTTCTTCCCCAAGATGCAGATTAAGTAACACCAAACCAGTGAAACAGTGAGCGGTTACTGTTTCTCCAACTTAATTTTTGCCTCATAATGCTAATGTGAGATTTAAGGAAGCATTCACAGGAAAGTCAGCAGGCAGGAGGAAAGGTGTATGTCTACAGAGCGCAGTCCTCTATTTGAAAGCATTCTCTGTTTGCTCAGTTGTCCAGTCCAAGCCCAACTTAAAGTAAAAGAACCATATGAGTGGAACACAGAGTCATGGAAGTTGCCCATTAAATGTTCACAGCTTCACTGCAGGCATACAGGTCACCTGGTTGCAGCCATCCACTCTGGTGAGCTGCATTGCATTTCTGTTTAAAGTATAGCAATAATTTCCAAATTTGCACCAATCAGCATATGCAAATTGGCCCTCTTTTTTTGGCAACGGGTAACTGGCCACCTTAGCAGAAGGCAGTGGTGGCTGGTACCTTTGGGATTGGTAAGGCAGAAGGGAGAGGACAACAGCTGGTGGGGGAGGGGTCAGAGACAATGACAGGCAGTGCCAACCTCTTCTCGTTTCGTCCCCATCATCCTTCCTGCAAGTTCTAAAACTAATTTAATCCAAGACTAAGCCTAGTGGGACTAAGGAGGAGGCAGCTGACAGCTAGTGGCACCGAAAGAAGGCAAGCAATTGAGGGGTGGCTGAAGGCAGGTGCCTCTACTGGTAGGCAGGGGTTCTTAACCATTAATGCAGCTGCCAATTCTTCCCAGGTAGTTCTCTTCCCCCCAGGAGGCTTTATAAAATTGAAAGTGAGCTTTGATGGAGGGAAAGCAGTGTGGTGGGTGTGTTATGTGTGCATGAGATTATTGGGAGGTGTAGGAGGAGCTCCTGCTACTCAGTCTTCCGTCAAGCTCCCCCTCCCCATATTTCTCTTATTTCCATTTTTCAAATTCCTCCTGAAAGTTAGTAATGATGGGGACAGATCCAGCTTACGAGAAAGGGCATTATATGAGTGGGGAACCACTACTGGAAACATCCTTGAATGGATGCAACGCCAGCTGGGTAGCCCCTTTTGGTAGCACCACCAACAATGCATCACCTGCAGATTGTAGGGTCCAAGATGGTTAACACTAGGGAAGCCTTTCCCCGCCTCTTTTTTTAGCTACTTGGGTCGCAAGCCATTTAGGGCTTTATATTATGGTGTATATAGGGCCTGGTAGCTCACTGGTAGCCAGTGCAGTGAAAGGACCGGTTCCACCAGGCTGACCTACTTACCCAGCTAGCAGCTGTGTTCTGCAGCCTCCAGACCAATTTCAAGGGCAGCTCCACATAAAGGGCATTACCAGTAGTCCAAGTGGGAGGTCACTGAAGCGTGGTCAGCTAAGGTCATGCTAACCTGATCAAGGGACGGCTGCAGCTGGCAGAGCAGCCTAAGCTGGGCATAAGCGCTCTTAACCACAGAAGCAACTTGAGACTTCATCATAGCTGTCAACCTTCCCTTTTTTTGAGGGAAATTCCCTTATTCCAGTGCCGTTTCCCGCTGCTATCCCAGATTGATATCCTGTAGACTGTCCCCGGGACAGGTGAGGCTGCTGATCCCTTAATTTCAAGGCTGCTGATCCCTTATTTTCAAATCTGAAAGTTGACAGCTATGGACTTCATTGACAAGTTGAAATCGAGGAATATGAACCAGTTCCTTCAGGGGGGATATATGTCCCCTCCCAGAACAGGTCATCTATCTAATTCCTGGACACAGGAACTAACCACTTACAGCTTCAGTTTATTGGTCCCCATCGAGTCCATCACTGCCTGTGGTCCATGACCTTCATAGCATCCCCTGGTTCTAATGGAATGGAGAGAGAGCACTGTGCACGAACTGATGCTCCAAATCCCCAGATGATCGCTTGTAACAGGTTTCATATAACATATAGGTGACAGGACAGATGCTTGTGGGATCCCACACAGCCCCAAAGCCATGAAGCTGAGCAACAGTCTCCTAGTTCTACTTTTTGGCAGCAACCCTGCAAGTTAGGAGCAGAGCCACTGCAATAACATAAGAGCCCTGCTGGATCAGGCCAATGGTTCATCTAGTAGTCCAGCATCCTGTTCGCACAGCAGCCAACCAGTTGCCTATGGAAAGCAAGAAAAGAAGGACCTGAGTGCCACAGCAGTCTCCCTGAACCTCTACTGTGGAGGCTGATGCACAAAAATCATTTAGCTATTCTGTAATCACCTTTTCCTCCTTTAGCACACCTTTGACATCCTTGTCATCCAAAAATCACTCTCCCTAGCTAGTTTGCTGCTTCTAATTACGGTGGTACCTCGGGTTACAAACACCTCAGGTTACAAACACTTTGGGTTACAGACTCTGCTAACCCGGAAGTAGTACCTCGGGTTAAGAACTTTACCTCAGGATGAGAACAGAAATCGCGTGCTGGCGGCACAGCGGCAGCGGGAGGCCCCATTGGCTAAAGTGGTACCTCAGGTTAAGAACGGTTTCAGCTTAAGAACGGACCTCCGGAACGAATTAAGTTCATAACCAGAGGTACCACTCTATTTCTTTGGTGATTGTAGTCCTTGCTTTTAGCAATGTGCTACTTTAGTTCTTTTTCTGCATTCCTTGCATTTCTTTCCCCCAAAGTTTGTTCCTTTATATTCTCATTTAGACAAGACTTTCATTTTCCGAAAGAAGGCTCCTTGTCTCTAATAGCTTCCTTCACTCTGTTGAGCATGCTGGTATTTTCTGTTGGTACCTTTTGTGATAGATAGTATACATTGCAGGTGAGCTTCTATTATAGCAGTTTTGCACAACCTCCAAGCATTCTGGAGAGATTTAACCACCTTCACTTTACCTTTAAACTTTTTATCATTCTCCTCCTTTTTGATACGTTTCTTCTTTTGAAGCCACATGTGATCGTTGAGCTTACTTGGCAATTCTCAACTTACATACACATTCAGTTTGATAGTACTATGGTCCCTGTTACCAGCTGGTTTAACCAAGTTAAAATCATGCTTTGTAGTTGGTGCTGTGGCCAACTTATTTAGATCACCATCACTGAGGGTATTTAGAGACTGTGCCGCTTTGTTTGATTGTAACACAAATGTATTCAAGTCTATGTGAGGCCACCTGAAGTCATGCATCAGTGCAACAGTTCCTCCTGTGAATGCCTCCTTGATTTCATTCTGCATCTGCATCTTTGGCATTTTTCTTTGGTATCCCTCCTTTCTTTCAGAGTGGTAGCATTGGCTGTAATGCTAAACACTGTTTGACAACCTAAAACGGAGCACATTGTGTAATTAACTTGAGTGCCTGCAGCACAATGGCTCCATCTGAGTTTCTGCCAATATTTCAAAAGCTGTTTTGGTTTTGAGGCTTGAACTGATATTTATTTTGCCCTTGGTATGCTGCATGCATATGAAATCTACATTAAGGCAGGGTTGGGGGACAAAACGTGGCCCTCCAGGCAGTGCAGATTTATGGTCTGTGAGGCCCCGTGTGCAGCCTTTTGGGGAAGCGGGGGGCAGCATTTGTTCACCTAGAGCCAGTGTGGTGTAGGGGTTAAGAGTGGTGGACTTGTAATCTGGTGAACCGGGTTCGCATCTCCGCTCCTCCACATGCAGCTGCTGGGTGACCTTGGGCTAGCCACACTTCTCTGAAGTCTCTCAGCCCCACTCACCTCACAGAGTGTTTGTTGTGGGGGAGGAAGGGAAAAGGAGATTGTTAGCTGCTTTGAGACTCCTTAGTGTAGTGATAAAGCGGGATATCAAATCCAAACTTCTCTTCTAATGTGACTATGTCAAAATTAGGAGCGTATGAGGAGATAATAATAATGTTTGCACTGCGCTCATCTTTCTCAACACAACTTGGGAAGAATCACTGCTGTGGATAAGACAGGAGGAAAAGGTGATAATAATGATGCTTCTGAAATGCCCCGCTCCAAAACAAAACAAAACCCTTGGGAACAATCAGGAAAGATGTGACAAGAATGATGATAATGAGAATGCGTCAGCATTGCCCCTCCCCCAAAACAAATTGGGAACAATCTGGGGGAGCTGACCTAAAAGTTTCTGACCAAAAGGTCCCAGTCCCTTAAGATGAAAATATGGCCGAACCAAGTTGTGGCTGAGATCATTTTTCAAATGATGGGATTTTGCTTTTAGTAGGGAATTTGATTGCTTCTACAGAATGCTCCATTTTGATGTGTTTAGCTTATGAGGGTGGGGGAACTGAATATGGACTAAAAAGAAACGGGGGAGTGGGTGGATTGCAGGTTTCGCTGAGAAGCAAATCAGGTTTTGTGAGGGATGGGTAAAATTCACGCAGCACAATATGAAAGCTTCCTTTTCCACTATATTCAGAATTAAACTGCAAAAATAAAAAATGAATGCCTTTTATGAGTCTTTGTTGCAGTTATTTTCACATCTCATAATAAGCCGAAATGATTGGGAAATCTTCCTACATGGTTCAAAATACAAACATGGATGAAGGCTGGGGGTACCAGCGAGGTTTTAAGGGGCCCAGTATACTGAATGTAGATTGAGCCTCTGCTGCATTTTCCAAAGATGACAAATTTGCATCAAATTTGCATATACCTTAATTCGCATGCACATTTGTAGCCTCTTTTGCAGATGGAGGTGGGGCTTAAAAATAAACCGCAAGTCCTGGGAAAACTGCAGTCCTTTCCAAATCAACCTGTCTTCTGCTTCATCTTGTGGCACACACTCTTAAGAAAAACCCACCATCCTTTTCACTTTCTTCTCTTTGATTTGTAGAGAGGGTTTACATTTAATGGTAGGAACTGAATGTGTGGGACTTCCAACCCTTTTCAAGTTTCTGTGGTCCTCCAAATGTTGTTAGGCTTCAACTTCCAGTAGTCCAGCCACAGGTTCTCCACCTCTGCCATGCGCTGTTAGCCATTCAGAGCTAGAAATGCACATTAATAGGTCTTCAGCTTCTCAATTTTTCAGTTATGCAGGGGAAATGGGACCACCAAACCATCATGTTGTTGTTGTCTAACCAGTTAAATGGAGTTTGGGCAAATCATGATACAGATGTAACTGCTTTTAATTAAACATCTGGATAGAGCCACTGTGCCAACAGGGTACGATCCAACTAAGTCATGCTCAGAGGATATGCTCTGAAATTAATGGACATGACTAACTTTGCTATCCATTCAGAACTTTAATCACAGGCAAGTGTATGTCAGGCTGCGAGATACTCTTTGCCTGAAACCATGGAGAGCTTCTGCCAGTCATTGTAGACGGCACTGAGCTAGATAAACCAGCGATCTTATTCAGCACAAGGCAGCTTCCTACATTCATATGCTATGTTCATTGGGTCTACTCTGAGTATAGCCTAGTTGGATCATACCCTGTGGTGTTCTAACACAGCACATAATAAATTTATAGTCCAATCCTATGCATGTTTACTCAGAAGTTTCACAGGGTTTAAATACTTAGTGTACATAGGACCACTGCCCTAATCACTGGTACAACATGGGGTGATGCCCACTACCATGGGAGGGGGGCTTTAAATGTATCAAGACAAATTTATCCATCTATCCACCAGTGGCTTGAGCCATGGTAGCTAAAAGGGAAGCCTGTATATCCAGAAGCATTATATTTGGCTACCAGATGCAGTGAATGAACAACAGGGAATGATTTTCAGCTTCATGCCCTACTTAGGAGCTTTTCAGGAGCATGTGGCTGGTTACTCTCAGAGTGCAGGACTGGATGTGCCTTTGGTGTGACCCAGCAGGGCACTCCTTGTGTTCTTCCCCTTGGAGCATTTGAAGATGAAGATCCAAGTGCTTTTTATTTGCCCACAAAATCCCCACAGGAGAGAAAGGGAGGTGCGTTGTTCCAGCTTATCTCAAATTTTGATAAAAATGGTACATTTCTCATTTATATTTAATACAAGCCCAAATTACTCCAGTACTGCAAATTATATTATGGGAATCATTTAACATTTCTGTGAGGGAAGCCAAAGCAAATATGCCAGGATCCTATTACTTTTCAGATTTGTCTTATGCTTTGAAAAAGCATTTTAACTTGGCATGAGGCCCATTTGAAACCGGGCCTGGAGTGTTTTAGTACTTTAAAAACCTTACTGGGGTGTGTAATAGCTTGGCATATCCTTGAGGCTCTTGTCAGTGGGACGTACATTTTTGGTTCAGATTTTGCTTCTTCTGGATTTATAAAAAAATGCAAGCAGTGCAATTTTTATTGCTTATCACAGAATTGCTTCTCTCTATCAGTTACGAGCATGCTACAATTACATTTTTTCCAGGAGTATCACAGAATAAAAATAACAGAAGAAATTAAAGAAAAGTTGTATTGCAAAGTTATGCATTTCCGCTGTGGCTAAAAAGTATGCCATAGCAGCAACTACTACCTAGTGCAACCAGAGCATTTATAAATGTATTAAGTGCACAAGTACAAGCCCTGCGTGTCCAAAACCTGGGGACGCGTGTCCATTCATTCCCTCGTGGAATGTTTCTTAAATGTCTTGGAATGTTAACTAGGGGTTCTGTCATCAACTCAACATACCGAACTTGAGCTCTATAATAACTAATTGGATGAAATAAAGTATGAAGTTAAAACAGCATTTGAGAGGGTGTGTTTTGAGAAATTCACTCTTGCTCACATCATTTGCTAGCACAGCTACAGTGAGAATTCTCATGATGCCAGTGCAGATATAACACTACTGAATGATTAGACATGGCCATCAACTGGTTTGCTCAAATTGTGCCACTTCTTTTTTGGAGTGCAGATGTCTCTTGCTGAGATTAATCACAGACAATTTTTATATTGGCATTTATGTTAACCATCTTTGGAGGTTGTCAGGGTTCCTGTTTGATTCAGTATCTGAAACAACGGTTTAAAGCTGGCTGTTGATGCTGGAAGCAGGAACCCTTAATACTCCGAACTGTAGTTAACATCAGTGCTGACATGGTTAGGGCCTGCTCAATGGATTTGCACTCCAAAACAGGGTTGCCGTCTCCCTCCCAAAATTGTGAGAGACCGCCGCTGCAATGCGGGTGTGTGACATCACACACACACACACACAGGCCTGTTGTGGTGGCCAGTGGTGCCGGCTCCTCTTCCTCCTCCTTTCCGCAGCCAGCGAGGCACCCTTTTCCGCAGGAAGGGGGTCGGATGTGGAGCTGGAGCTCAGGCCACACTGCAAAGGAAAAATTGGTCACCTGAAATCATACACACTAGGTGGGCCTATGGCCCACTGGGGGTGGGGGACCTCCAGATCTGGCAGAAAATGTTCCCCACTATTTTCAAACCTGCAGTTTCCAATCTAAATGATTCTGTATTTCAATTACTAACTTATTAAGTGGACAGATATCAGGCTTCTGTGAATTTTAAGTAAAGATATACAAATGTCTAACAAAATGCTAGGGATTAATTTTGCTCTCCCCCCCCCCACTTACTGTATATTAAAGTCTACAGCTTAGAAAATGATGGACCCTAATAAATTGTAAGTCTAATAAACCATTATAACTGCCTGATCCATAATAAATCAATATTTTCAGTAACCTCTTTCACTAAAGGTTGCTCTTTCATCATTGACAAAGACAGATTTTTCTGAAAGTCATTGGAAAGATAAACCAGTTAAGCTAAGGTTGCCAGGAATGGGGGGAAAAAAATCCTAGTACTTTTTTCCACATTGCTAGAACTCTCTGTTTCAAAGAAAACCATAAAACATTTTCAATAGATGACGCAAATGACATCATTTCTGATTATTGCCATCTATCCTGGCAAAAACATTAGATTTATTTTCATTGTTTCGTTGACCTGACCACATAAAGGTGACTTCTCTGCAATTAAGATAGGGTAGATATTGTTGCTCAGTGAATAAATACAGCAGCTTCCTTGATCAATTTGGAATAATGTTCAGAAATGACACATGTTCCAGACCAAAAGGCATTGTATTGCATAAACACCCTTCTTTCTGACAATGCTTCAAGATTAGGGTTCATTTGTCTGAACAGTCACCTTAAAACCCCATAGCGCTCTGGGAATCGTGTGTATACCTCCCTCCTCAGCAACAGGAACCCTGGCTTGAAGAGGGCTTTCTTGTTAATATGTTTCAAATGAATTTTAAAGTTTTATAAATGAACATGAAATCTACATTTTTTCTCTCTTCTGCTTCATATTCGTATTATATTTATATAGTTGTTATGGATAATATTGTTTGCAATGGATGATAACGGCTTCTACGTAATATAATTTATTAGAGCTCAATTGAGTCCAATTAGGCCATAATGACGAACAAGACAAAGACTTGTGCTTCAAAAATCCTCACTTCTGCTCTGAAATTCAAGGTAAAGCTCTCACATTTCATTGAAGGGCTCCATGATCTGACTTTGGCCATTATGGTAAAAATGTGTGTCTCCTGCCATTTGGCTATCCATGCTTCTTATGTATGTTTGACACGGCACTAAGTGATATGTAAGGCTGCTTTCCTGGCTAACAGGAACAAAGCCTGTGGTGGATTTGTAATATTTCAAAGTATTGCAAATGCTTAAGGAGAGAATGGTTTCATTTAGCAAGTTCATTAACAAACCGAAACACGTAATAATTTATGCATTTATTATGAAAGGCACAGCATTTCCATTAACACCAGTTACAAAAGGATTCCAAGTAATGATTTACTGTACAAAAATATTTTACTACTGATATCACCATAAAATATTGTGTTTTGCCTATTAAACAATCAGGACATTAGTGCTGTATTCTTGAAATCATTGGCAATGGAGATACTTTGGACAAGTAATGAGGCTACACCAATAAAGTGGCTTGAAGTTTTTCCAAATCCCCAGTGCACTGGTGAAATACCATATATAAATAAGGGACATGGGACAGCTTACCATCACAAAATGCTTTTAAAGAACAGGGATATCTGAACCTTTTCAAAAATAGAAAGGCCTTATCACCTAGCATTAACTATTTCTAGAAAAAATAAGTGTCATTTTAAACAAATACGTTTTACAATATATGCACAGTGTTAGATGGATTACTTGCTATGTTGAACTTGGGAGAAAATAAGTTTTAAAAAAGTATCTCCAGTTTGGTGTTTGCATATGCTGGTATTCATTGTACAGAGTTTATGTTTTGTATACTTCAGTGTCAACAGAAGTTAGTTCAATTAAGGACTACCCATTACATCAACCATCTTGTATGCCACTGTCTATATCAACAAAATTTGTTTCATGCTAGCAGGGTTCATTATGCTGCTTCTGCTAAAGTTAACCCTGCAGTCTCAAAATCATTTACAAAAGAAAAACAAATCAGAAACTTTATTAAATTCCTTGGAAATATTCATTATCCAGCAGTTTCAGGACTTCAGTCTGTGCTCATGGTATAATGCTTCCACAGTTTTCAGGCAGATTATACTTCTGATCCATAAACTTGTATACAAAAAGAGCTTCCTTAGGCATAAATATGTTTAGGTAAGTGGTCTGCTTTGAAAATAAATTCCATGCTTGTCTATTGGTAATCTTAATAGTTGACCATTTATTTATGTAATAGTTTCCACTGCCTCAGCTCTGCTACCAAGACCAACAATTTTCTTTTGAGAAACCAAGTCAGAGAACCTGATTCTGGTAACATATGCCATGCTCATTCCAAACTTTTCATATTACCATGACCAGAATAGGATTGTCGTTCATAGCATAAGATGACATACATACAAATTCATTTGCATTAACAATAAAGCAATAGCTATAGAAAGTCCAGGATATGGGAGTCAGGCACTACTGTCCATCCCAAAATACCAAGGCTTACCAGTATGCTGAAGTAGCAGAGTGATAAAACCACTACTTAATATAATCAGCATGCCACTTAGCGCTGTATGGTTACGCTTGCTCTGACTGCTGGTGTAGCTGCAGCTCGTTCTCTCTCTCTAGCAATTTCCAATTCTATTTTCGCTTTGATTTTATCCCAGTTGACTTCAAGCTGCAGAAGCCAGGGGGCGAGGGGGAGAGAAAGTATCCATTAATCATAATTATAGTAGATGCATATAAATTAACCTGACAAGTCTTTACTTTATATGTTACATCTGCTACAGATTTCTTCATAACTTTCTGCTTGTTGGCCTTTTGTGGCTGGGCAGCTTTCTGCAATGTGTTAGCAAGATTAAGAAACTAAATCTTGGTACTATGGCAGCGATCCAGACAAGCCCATGTGGGTGCAGCAAATGCTTCTGCATGCAAATGGATTGCCAATTTTTCCTTCTGTTGGCAGCCCCTTGCAGCTCATGGGTTGTCACTCTGGAAAGTCCTCTGACTTTAGAGGCAATGGGGTTTGCTGCTGCTGGAGGGGAACTGAAAAGGCCCTTGTATGCTCGAAAGTTGTACTTCAGATCCTCACCCAAAATATTAAAATACATCATCCAAACATCTAGAGGCATTGTGCATCTCAGTTATGACTTTAACCTTTTCACTGATTTTGGTATCTCTTTTAATGGATCTGGCATTGCTTGTTTTCTCTAAATCTGTTGATTGGCTGCTGAATGTGTGACCTGACCACTTAAAGTACTGTTTGAGGTGATGTGGGTGTAGATAAAAGCTCTAGCTAAGGTTTTGTATCTGTAATGGCATATTCATAGAGGCAAATCAACACTTAATGTTGAAGCTGCGAAATGAACATGTATGTGTACTGTAATCCTACATATAAGAAATGGAATTTGTGCATATTTCAGAACCTTTAGAAAGCAATGACTCCTAAATATTTTCAAGGAAAACTCTCTCTCTCTGTGTGTGTGTGTGTATGTATGTGTGCAAGAGAATGATACCCATCTTTTGCCATATTCACTGCAGTTTGTACCACAGCTTCACAGCAAATACAAAAAACAAAAAAAACTGTTAATTTTATTACAATTAATAAATGTCTAGGATCTAAAGAAGTAAGAAATATGTTCTCTAGACCCAAAGAGTTATGCTTGTTTTTATCAAACATGACCCCATGTCACATAGAGACAGATTTTGAAAATGATGGGAGTTTCAAAAGCAGTTTGTGATCTGTTAAAGAACTCAGCTGTTAAAATTAAAAAGGCAACTGGCCCCTTGCTGAAGCCCCTTGCATTAGCTGTTTGGATTTCAGCCTGTATTCCCCCTTATTGTATATTATGTCTCCACTTCCATCAAAGATGGCACAAATAACAGTGGTGACTTAAGAGCCAAATGAGGCCTCCCTTTACCACAACTATTTTATGTTGTTTCAGAAGGCTGCTACTGAGATCTGTTATAGTACAATCAAAACTTGCCAAAGATTGCTGGCCAAGTTATGTCCCACATGCTGCTTCGCTAAATCTCTATCCCTCTCTTACACAGGAGGAGCGTGAAGGCTATGATGCAGATTGCCAAAAGCTGCATATGATTTTCAGACAATATTTATTATACCTTACTAAAAGCTATGCTAAGCAAAAAAGCACTGGGGCTTTTGCTGTAGTGGCCCCACAGGATGTCAACCCAAGAATAGGTTATGACCGCATCTGTTACTGAACCAGCTTGCACTGGTGAATCCTCAAAATTGAAAGCTTCAGAAACAGAAAAAAACCCCAACCTTAATGTTTCTAAGGTAAAGGTAAAGGGACCCCTGACCATTAGGTCCAGTCGCGGACCACTCTGGGGTTGCGGTGCTCATCTCGCTTTATTGGCCAAGGGAGCCGGTGTACAGCTTCCGGGTCATGTCGCCAGCATGACTAAGTTCCACCTATATTACGCAGCTGTGTAATATTTACACAGCGTGACTGTCAAAATTGTCATAGGACATCCCCTAACATACTTTGGGCCCAGCTCTGGAGACATTAAAAATTAAGCCACAAAATGCAGACCCTGAAAGCTAAAGATAATAAACAGTTAGTTTTATCTGCTATTGTAAAAGCACAAGCACAAAGTATTACTAATCTCATATTAGACTATAATTTCAAATTGTTTCACAGCTATAATGCTGACTTTCTGACAATGTATAGCACAGCTTCCACAAATACTTGCCCCTTCTGCATACTGCAAAAACCTCTGATTTGTTTCTTTTTTACCAAAGTCATCCAAGAACTTTTGTCGGTAAGCCAGAACCGTGTCAACGTGTGTCTTGTGTTTCACTGCAAGTTCTAGTGCCCTAGAAGAAAACAATAATGAGCTCATCAGGCTGAACTCAGAAACTGGCCTAATTACAAATGCTTTGGTTTTTATAAAAAATACATGCTGTACAGTGACTACACTAGTGGAAAGTTTTCTTGACATAAAGCAAGAAGAAACCTAGCATTAGTGCTGGCAATGATGTCTAGGCACTAGACGAATTTTATGAAGTATGTTATGAGAAGCAGTCATATTTCTATTGTCCTTACAGTGCTATTAAGAATTTGAAACGTATCTTCCCTATATAATATACTTTGCTCAAAAAGTTTATAATGTTTTTAAAGCAACATTGCTGCTTTCAAGCGTAAACAATGATTCATATAACTACAGTGGTGCCCCGCAAGACGAATGCCTCGCAAGACGGAAAACCCGCTAGACGAAAGGGTTTTCCGTTTTTGAGTTGCTTCGCAGGACGAATTTCCCTATGGGCTTGCTTCGCAAGACGAAAATGTCTTGCAAGTCTTGAGATTTTTTTCGCTTTTCGCCCCCTTTATCTAATCTGCTAAGCCTTTAATAGCCTTTAATAGCCTTTTAGCAGCTAATCCGCTAAGCCTTTAAGCCTTTAATAGTCGCTAAACCGCTAATAGCGCTAATCCGTTAAGCCGCTAATAGGGTTGCTTCGCAAGACGAAAAAACCGCTAGACGAAGACTCTCGCGGAACGGATTAATTTCGTCTTGCGAGGCACCACTGTATTGGAGAGACTCTAAACACAAACAATGCCACTCTGTGGTCCCTGTATTGCTGGAGTTAAAAATCAGTGACTCCAGGGATTTCCACAAGAGACTTTTGGGGTTTATCAACAGGAGAAGCCCCTGGCTCACCTAAAATAGGCTTCAGGGATCCCAACTACTATCCTTAAGGAAAATCATAAATATTATACGTAAGTAAGGAGCAAAGAGACCCAGTTTGGTCTTTCATAGAATCGAAGAACTTTAGATTTGGAAGGGACCCCGAGGGTCATCTAGTCCAATCCCCGCAATGCTGGAATCTCAACTAAAGCATCAATGACTAGAAATAGCTCAACTAAAGCATGTTTAAAGTAGAATGGAAGAGCAAGCACACAAGTTCTACATTGATGACTCAATTCTACAGTTAAAAAGAACCACCACCAACAAAAACAGGTTCTCTTAAATATTATGGGTTCTCTGAAATATTATGGAAGATTGCTTGGTCAGTGCTTGCCTGATGGAACAATCTTCCCAGACATGATGATTTTTTTGGGGGGGGGGTCTCCTGCCCCCCCTCCAAACCAATTTGGGGGCAAATAGGGTGAGGGGAGGAAGAAAGTCCCATTGTGTTAGTTTACATATTCATGCAGGCTTCAGCTAGTGGGACCTGTTAGCTGAATCCGGTCCTTCTTTTACATTCATAAGAAAATATATTGCCTTCAGGGCAGAATCATGGGATTAAATATTCTTTTTTCTCCCAAATATTTAGTGTTCAAAACAATTTTAGTTAAATGTCAGGGAACAATGACTGATAAAATAATGAAACTGACTTACAAGTATTTCACAATAGCATTAGTTGAATCTGTAAGGCACATGCTACATCCATAAGAAACATATTACCTTTCCCAGTTGTAAAGATTAATGTTGACTTGAATAGCTTGATAAATAAGGCCAGCTTGAAGAAGTAGTGTTTCAGCATCCTGTACATTTCCACTGAAAAGCAGGATATGAGCCAATCTTGATTCCTTTGATGGAAGATCTTTAATAGAACTGATATACTGAACTTTGTCGATCTGTTTTTTTTATTTTAAAAATGCAACAGTTATAATAAAATTAGCACATTTAAAGTTACGTTGCAAGAAACTAAGAAGCCAAATTATTAAGGCGAATCTACTTACTTCACCTATTGATGCATAGGCTACTTCTGCTGTATTCATATCTTTACTGGCTACTGCCATAGCAGCTAAACATGCCCACAATGTTTGATCCTTAAGGTGAAAGAGAAGAAATTTAAGACAATCATTTGTTTTCAGCCAAAGAAAAATGAGCAGAAGTTAAAGTCTATATCAAGCTGTTAAAGTGTCACTGTCGTCCCCCATCACCCTACCCCACATTTATTCATTTCTACTATTAGATGTCAATGTAATAAACAACTATCTGACTTTCAGAAGACAGCCCTGTTTAGGGAAGTTTTTAATGTTTGAAGTGTTATTCTGTTTTTAGTGTTCTGTTGGAAGCCGCCCAGAGTGGCTGGGGAAACCCAGCCAGATAGGTGGGGTACAAATAATAAAATTTATTATTAGTAGTAGTAGTTGTAGTAGTAGTAGTAGTAGTATTAAATATGGGCTGCAAACAGATTTGCCAGTAGATATTCTTTCTCCGCGAAGAGGGGGTACTCTACAATTAAATTTTCTATTTGAATAAGAACATTTGTTCACTACTGACACTGAAATGTAAGCAGAAGCCAGAGGTAACAGAAAAGAACCAAAATGATGGACAATAAAAATGTCAGATTCTGCTTTTAAACTATGCTACAAGAGACAACTGATATATTTATTTTATCATGACAATTTCAAGTGAATGCGAATAAATCAGAAAGTTACAAATTCCATACATATTACAGCAAAATTACTTGATGAAACTTCATTGTTAATTATAGAAAATATATTCCGATCTAGGTAAAACTGTTTGTAACCATATTGTTAAAGCTACCAGATACGAATGACACAGTGGTACCTCAGGTTACATACACTTCAGGTTACATACGCTTCAGGTTACAGACTCCGCTAACCCAGAAATATTACCTTGGGTTAAGAACTTTGTTTCAGGATGAGAACAGAAATCATGCAGCAGCGGCGCAGCGGCAGCAGCGGGAGGCCCCATAGCTAAAGTGGTGCTTCAGGTTAAGAACAGTTTCAGGGTAAGAATGGACCTCCAGAATGAATTAAGTTCTTAACCCGAGGTACCACTGTATTTCTATTTGCATGCTCTTAAGAGGGGCAAATGCATTATATAAAAATTAGAAGTAACTAATACCAGATTCAATGAGGCATTTCCCCAGGTAAATGGGGTTAGGGTTTTTGTAAACGACTGCGTAACCCTGCCATGTAAACAAATAGAAGTGAGTTGGCAACTTATGTATCTGCTTGCCTTGCTGCCCTCTGCTCCAATTCCCACCTGTGGCAAGGGTATCTGTTGCCAGGAGAGACAGCCACCATAGAAGTGAACTATACTAATGAGCCTGTTCTTGTTTCAGAAGACAGAAGAGTCAGAACACTGTGTTGCATGTTCCCTTTTCTCTTCTGCCCTTAAAAGGCTACTAACCCTTACGCGTAGAAAACCCTTATGTGCAAAAAACATAGAATGTAAACACTGTAATGGTGGCTGCCAATGCCTACATTTAAACAGCCTGGACAGGCACATATGACAGCACTCTGGAAGCAGGTGTGAGCCAAAAGGCAGCCAGTCAGAAGGAAGGATGAGCAGTTTCCTACTCAGCTCAGGCAAATGACCAGCTGCATCAATGAGAATCAACTGCATTTTAAAAAGCATTTTAAGAATTTTGGGGGGAATTAAATCCTACAAACCTGCATGTTCTATTTCAACTTCTTTGGCAGATAAAATGCCACAGTTATAATATATGATAATTTGAATTAAAAAGAGAGATAAGAACATGTCTGCAACTTCATAATAAAGAAAAGAAATATGGCTTTGTTGTTGTTGTTGTTTAGTCGTTTAGTCGTGTCCGACTCTTCGTGACCCCATGGACCAGAGCACGCCAGGCACTTCTGTCTTCCAGAAGTGGATATGGCTTTACCAGAATGTAAATAATTTTAGAATTCTCACTGGCTCTGAAGCAGAGCAGTGTGGAACTATTTAGTGCATCATAAGCTAGTTTTTAAAAACTAGGGGAGTTTCAAAAACACTTTATAGAGAGAACTATTTGCATGGCTGAGGGCAGACCCAAAAATCTGACAAAGTTCATATTTCAAAGTCCATTTTTCAAAAGCTGAAGTAGTAGTGGGTATAAAAACTACAAAAAACTTACTCTGCTGCAGAATTTTATATTTACCTTAACAAAGCGACATAATCTGACAGCATCTTCCCATTTTGAATTGTTGACATATTCATGGAGTATGGCTGGATAAGGTGAAATACTGATGTGAATAAGTGAGCCATCGGCTCTCCTGACCGTTACTTGACTTCCAGCAAAACTCACAATCTGGGGATTTTTACTAAATTCGCTGTTGAGATAAAAAATATCATAAAATTATTTGAATGTTGAATAGTTTTGTCTAAAGCAGGGATTTCAAAGTTTCTGGGCCGGAGGGCACATCTGAAATTTTGAGAAGCTGATGTGAGTACCACTCACAAAATGGCTGACACAAAGATGTGGAATAACACAAAATGGCTGCCACATCTAAAAAAACCAAGAAGAGAGACAAGACTACAAAGTAGTGTAAGCAAGCCTCCAGTATCAATTGCTTCCATCAATGGTGGAAAGGCACTTACATCAACCACTTAGAGAGAAGCTCTTTGCACCTCTCCATAATGAAAAGGACTATGGATGTGCAATCCTGCTATCCAATTAAATGTGGGCATGTTTAAGGGTCTGTGCTCAATATAGGAGAGACTGAGGAAGCACTCAGAATAGCATTCTCTTAGTATTCATTGCCTATCAATGGAAATATGGCCATATTCTTCATGTCTATATACCCCAATTTCTCCTCTAGGCTTTTGTGACATCACATTATCTTTATTTTTTGTATTAGTCACACCTCATAAAATAATTTATCTAGATGATATACAGAAAACAGAGTATAAAACAAGTTCAAAGAAAAACACACTAAAATGAATTAAACACTGAATTCAAACAGCATCAAAACAAAATGTCAACCATAGAAAACAAGAGATTTAACTCAGCCAAAGAGGTAAACACACCTCGTAGGAGCTAAAAATCAATCATCAAGTGGCAATAACTAAGGTTAAATAAATACAAAATGATGTTTAAAAAGCATGAGAGAATAAACAGTACATTAATGTTAGTGCCAGATGAGCCTCTCTAGGGAGACTGCTCAATAGCTGGGGGCCCACAATCAATGGCAGTGTGCCACCATTAACTATACAGGGGAGCTTATAGATTAGCACATAGCAGCTAGGTCTATTTACCGCCTTAAAAATGAAAGTAAATAACCAGAACAGATAGATGCTTCAGGTGGAGAGATGGTAACTGATAATTTGAAACTGCAAACTTAGTAGCTCAAATTTAGCCCCTGATCCAAATTAAACAATGGCAACTCACACTTGTTTTCTCCTGTAATTGCACCCATGTTTTTCACACTGTGGAATCTTACTCCCAATGGTTCTAGTGGAAAGTATTTTATTGATGGGGGTACTATTAATTAAACACTAGACGTAAAAGTATATAATACCTTGCATCCCTTTCATAAAGGGTTTTTGGTAAGAGATCTTTGTCTACGTATACCACATTGGGATAGTACCAGACTGTGAAGCGTGTATCTTGAAGTCCACAGAGTATGTTGCATGTGTCATTCCACGCCAGAGTATGCACCATTGTTCCTTAACAGAAAGTAAGCAGAATCAAGTATCTGCTCAAGCACATGACACTACAGTATAAACATCAGTATCTTCAACTCTTCTCTGCCAGTAAATATGACTCTAAGTAACAGTTTTGTCTTCTGTGTAAAATAATGTTTATGTTTTACTTCCCATAAATTAGAATTTGTACCCTGAAAGATTATCGCAGAACAAACAAGCACAAGCCTGCGAAAATTCATGGGTAGTTTTTTTAACCCCTTTTCTTGGTGTTCCTTGTGTGTGCTCTGAAACTTCCTCTCACTGTAGAATAGCAGGCATGGGTGTCTTGTTTCCCCCTCGCAGCACACAGGATTGTGGCTCAGTCCTCCTACTGGGGTTTTATGCCTCAGTGTCTGCTGTATGCCCTCTCTAACATCAGCTGGGCTTCCCCCACCTCTTAAAAAGGAAGTGAACATGTGCTGGTCTACTTAGGTGCAGAACCTGTATGTATGACTGCACTGAGAACACAAAGAAGTACTGAGCATATAATTTTTAATATCACAAATTACTGTTGATTGCTTCATGTACAGTATTTTAGCTTACTTACTGGACACCGTAAAATTATGTGCAGATATTAGAAACTGAAAATACCATTGGCATGACTTAATCCACGGTTGCAAGACAATTATGGGAATTAACTCCTGGAATATTGTCCACCCACCCCTAAGGGATGTTTCTATTTAGAAAATTATTTCCAGAAATTTTGATTCCATGGGAAAGAACCATTTGGGTGGGGTGGGGTGGGGTGGGGTGGGGTGGGGTGGAGGGCTTCAGGAAAATGGAGGGCTTTCAAGAATAAAGAAGAAGGGCTAGAAAGAAGGGGATAAAAATCTGTTGCATAAAGTTAATTCTTACCTATTTTGATAACCTTCTGTTCTTTACCAAATCTCTTCACTGATGTTATATAAAGGTCTCTATTTTTGTCAATAAAAGCAATTTTCCTTTCATTTGTATGTCCTTTCTGGTCTAAGGCAATTTCCATGATTTCTGTCTATATTATAAATCAGTAATATTTCATGGAGTTAGGAACTAAATGCTTTATTTTAAAAAACAAACATGAATGAATGAATCATTATAGGAATAAACATTTTGCACATTCATCTTATACACTGAGGGACAGTGAGTTGGTCAAAGAAGAAAACAGGAACCTGGATGTCCCAGTTCCAGATCCTGCTCTTTTATCTACTATACCACACAAGCTCACACTATGCAAAGTCAAAGGTATAACTTATACCAGGTCTTGAATCCTCTTGTAATAAATAGGTTGAATTATTTTTTAATCCGAATAGTGTGAAGTCTAAAAGTGGGCAATTATTACATTAATATCTTAAGTCACAGACCACTTTCCTTTAGAGCCATGTTTGGGCTGGGACACATCAGTAAGCCATGGGTCACTTTCAGGTGATCTCCTTAAATTGCCTGCTCCAGTCCCTAGCCATGCCAAAGCATTTTGGTTGGACCAATCCCAGCACTAACAACTGTGAGTAAAATTGGCCAGGAGACAAAGAGTTGGTGGGGGGAGAGGTCTCCCTCATTTGAGGGGAAAGGGCCAAAGGAAGTATTGAAGGAGACTGAGAGATAAAAAATTAGTATTTTTTATTATTAGATTCAGGTAGGTAGCCGTGTTGGTCTGACGCAGTCGAAAAAAGAAAAAAAATGTCCAGTAGCACCTTAGAGACCAACTAAGTTTGTTCTGGGTATAAGCTTTCGTGTGCATTTCGTGGTATCTGAAGAGGTCAGCGGTTTGAATCCCCATGACGGGGTGAGCTCCCATTGCTCAGTCCCTGCTCCTGCCAACCTAGCAGTTCAAAAGCACGTCAAAGTGCAAGTAGATAAATAGGTACTGCTCCGGTGGGAAGGTAAATGGCGTTTCCGTGTGCTGCTCTGGTTTTGCCAGAAGCGGCTTAGTCATGCTGGCCACATGACCCGGAAAACCTGTCTGCGGACAAACGTCAACTCCCTCAGCCAGTAAAGCGAGATGAGCGCCGCAACCCCAGAGTCGTTCACAACTGGACTTAACTGTCAGGGGTCCTTTACCTTTTTTAAGGTGCTACTGGACATTTATTTATTATTGTTGTTGTTGTTGTTGTTATTAACAACAACAACAACAACAACAACGAAACAGGGAATACAAGAGGAAACTGTTCTAGGAGGAAGAAGTTAAGTGAATGTAAAATAACCAGGAAGTAGGGTTGAAAGAAATGAGCAGCTGGGGGTAGTGCTAAGGCAGAGGTTGAATATGAAAGGAGAATGAAACAAGAAATGAAAGGAGACAGGTCAAGAAGCATGTGGGAATGGGAATAAGAAAATGTAGGAAAAAGACATTTGCTATTTAGTGCAGGGGTCATGAACCTAGTGCCCATGAAGACCTTCACTGGCACCCCTGAGACCCAGACTTTGAGTTTCATTCATTTAAAAAAGTAAGTCTCTAGCTCTCCAATAAAGAAAGTTATGAACAAAATGTGTATGGCCTATTAAATATGGGGGTGTGGAGGGGAATGTTATTATGATTATTTTATCATTGTGCTGTCTATTATTGTGTTCTGTATGATGTTTGTTATTATGCTCTGTGAATTATGTTCTTAATGTTGTACACCAGCCTCAGATCTTTGGATATAGGGTAGTATATAAACAACAAAAACAACAATAAATGTTCATTTATACAAATGAATTATCTTACTCTGACCTGTATCTTATTGCTTTAAAAAACAAAGCCAAGCACAGTTATTTTAAAAAACCCAAATATATCAAACATCTGGCCAAACTGGCAAAATATTTTTTCTTTTAAAATTGAAACCTGTATTTCATTAATTAGATGTGCGTAACTTCTAAACTCCCATTAGCTAACTGCTGAAACAGCTGTATTAATCTCAATGATCACTGAATTAAGATTTCTCTCAGTTTCAATCAACACTGGCTGATTTCTAACTGATAACATGCTGGGATACTTGGAACTCGAAACTGGGAACATAGCCAAGCTACAAAGCAGAAAGTTATTCATGCAACCTCTCTTTCAACAATCTGAGCTCACCGAGGTTTTCAGCAACATTACACCTGCCTCGCCAACCTAAATTACAGAGGATGATTTCCAGTGTTGGTCGGCTCTGATAATGACTATTGATATTACCCCAAAATATTAAATGATACTATGTACATTACCTTATGAGTAAGGGGCTTCCCATCTCCTAAGGGCTTCCCAGCTAAAGGCTCAAACAGGTAAATAACTTGAGAGAGAGAGAGAGAGAGAGAGAGAGAGAGAGAGAGAGATTATCAATAAATAATTTGACTGTTATACTCTATTTATTTTTAAGTGTTTTTATGAGGGTAGAAGGATGGCATGGGAACATTGGTGTATTTTATTCTTCACTTACTATAGTTCAAATTTTGTGCCATTAATCTATTAGCTGGTCCTTTGTTTTTCAGGGTACAAAGTAGTTTACAACCTTTACTTCATTTACCTTTTCCATAAGCTTGATAACATAAGACTGAAAAAATTCATGGTAGACCTGGGGTTTGAATCAGGGTTTCACATGTCTAGATGTAACACACTGCCAAGGCCACTCTGAATCTCAGTTCTTGTTATTTCTGACCATTTTAACAATATAACCACAAAGCAAAGAATGCTTGATTACTGCAAATGGAAAATCTATACTTTACACTCTTGTTATATGACTGTAAGGAGGAAAAACTCCAGGAACTTTTCATTGTAATGCTTTGAACTGTTATTATTGTTAGTAATTTGCTTGAGAGCTTGATTTGTGCTAGAAACCTGAAAGACTTATAACTGAAATTTAACAACTGGACAAAGTTGTGTCCTTTTGCAAGCTGCTGACTCCTTGGGCCAAAATAGGAAGTTTTGTAAACAAAAACCTGTACATGACAGAAAAATTAAAATGTGATTATTTTTATCCCTGCTCACTACATTTTGTCATAAAATGATTAAATCTTTCAGTTTGACTTACAGGAATATAACATGAAATTTTGAAAAATAAACAATATTAACAATACAATGCAGGATCTACTATGTTTTTTACAGATGGTATGGTAAAGTGCTACTGTTAAAAAAAAAGATGAAAAGGTTAAGTAGGTGCACATAGCTAGCTTCATGAAACAGAGTTTTATCCTATGTACACCATTACAGGGGACTAAATACTATTGAACTCAGCGGCACTTACTTCTGAGTAGACAAGGATGAGATTTGTGAGTTAATATATTAATTTACTTTATACAAAGTCACATTTTATACAAGAATTAACCCCATGTTTACCGTTCTCAAGACAGGAAGGTTAGAAAAACTAGCACATGTACAGCCTGAAATAAATGTTGCATAATTCAGCAAATACATGGAAGGGAGTGATTAATTCCAAACAGATTTTAAGCATTGACATCACATGCCAAATCCAGCTGATAATATGTCATCTATATTCCATGTGGCATGCACGTTTAACTTTAAAAGACTCTTCCATTTGCATTTTAGCATAGTGTCATGAGTTTCTTTTAGAAGGATACAGGATATTGGTTTGCGGTCACTGGTTATATTGGCAGGAAAAAACGATGTTATGAGAACAGGTGCTGTTCTGATGTTGTTGGTTGCATATGAAAAGGAAAAAGAAGGGTTACATCCAGTGCTAGTTTGAGCCAGCTGTGTAAACACAGGAAAATAACTTGTGACTTGAGACAGTGCTGTGCTCTTTTTGATGTAAGGTTTCCCTTGTCATAGACACTGTTTGTGTTTTTATCAAAACCAAAAGTTTTACTAACTATCATGATGTTCTTTTTTATATATGCAATGTTTATATTACAAACCCCATAATTTCTCAAAAAAGGAAGAGGAAGACCAGAAAATAGGTGGAAAACACAAAATATTGTCATCTTTTGGATTCAATAATTACTGAAGTGGATAAAGGTGGAAAAGGGATAGTTAAGAAAAGGCAAAGCACATGACCTATCAACTCCCATGTCACACTCACAATAGCAGATTCCCAGCAGAGTACAGTATATAAATATTGTTTAGTGATTTTTTTAAAAAGTGAAATTAAACCCCTCTGTTAGGTTTTAGAAATTGCCTATGTCACCGGCAATTGGGAAACACTGGCCTGCAAGCATTCCAGTTGGAGAACAGCCTTTACCAAATTTATTTATTTATTTACGGCTATTAGCCCATAAAGTATGTACAAACATAAAAGCACAGAGGCATAAAGACTAATATATTCGGCACCAGAAGGTGAACACCATGATGCAGGGGTGGGTCATTGAGCAGAGCCAGATAACAGCTTGGGGCCCGGAGAGCTCCAAGGGACGGATCCCAGAAAAGGAGAACTGAAGACGAGATCCGACATGCACTCTCTTCAAAACTGTCCGATTAGTTTTTGATGTTGTTGTTTTTGGTGGTTTTTGTGTGTGAGCCTTTACCAAAGATGTCATTGACTTTGAAGGCACTCGAACTCAGGACAAAAGGGATAAACAAGCTAAGAGGAAGGCACATTTGGCAAACCCTCACCATGATCAACTACTGCCCGGAAACCTATGTCCCCACTGTGGAACAACGTGTGGAGCCAGAATTGGCCTCCAGTCACCTATGGACACACCACTAAGACCGTGTTCATGGAAGACAATCTTACTCGGCTATAAGTGATCACCATAGAAGAAGAATGTCAACTACAGGCTATTTTGTACAGAGGTTACAGATGGAAAGAAGCCCTAAGACATCCAGTTTTCCTGGATAAACTTCTTTAGATGTAGCACAAGGAAATGCCTCTTGTTCAGAGAAAAAGTATTTCACCCTTTAACATCAGTGGGCAACTAGAGGTCCTTAGAAAACAAGGAGCAATGAAATACACAAGCTCTTGCAAGGGAAATTAGTCTTAGTTTTAGAAGGAAAGTGGAATACACCTCATGTTTTACTGAGATGATTTAATAACTTCTGGGATTTTGATTAAATCTATGTGTGCTAACAAATAGCAAATTATTTCCCACCAATTCTGGGATTTTCTTGATTAGTTACTGAAACATATTTCCCCTCTGGTGTCATTTATTCCTGTTATCTCTCCTGGAGAACTATTGACTGTTTACTTGACAAACCCCAACACGCCAAAGACAAGCATAAATCCAGATCTATCAATAAGCCTGCAAAAAAGAAATCCACACAAAAAGAAACTATCGTTGCTGCACACAAAACAGAAATACATTGGCTATAACCAAATTTATGTAAGTAACAGTTTGCTTATACAATGGGATTCTCCCCTCCCTTATCCCCACTTTATCCCCTCAAAAGCCTCTACTAAAAGTCAGGAGATCCTCAGGACAGGCCTCGGATATAGCACAGGGGGATAAGGAGGAAGATGAAATCTCCATGTGATTTTCAGTTATGCTTCCCTCAATGGAGGGCTGGCTAAAGACATTTTAGCACCTGAGGTGAACCCCCAAATAACACCCCCTCCCCACCAAGGAATAAGGGGTAAGAGACGCAGGAACAAGGCATGAAGAAAGATCAACAGTGGGCTCCACTGCCCCTGTGGATCCTGCAGCCTGAGGTGGTCACCTCACCTTTCCTCATGGGTTGGTCAGCACTGCTTCATTAAGAATAAATGAGGAAAAGTTACTCTAATTTCAAATACATGTTTGTTTATCTAAGAAATTTATATACCGCTTTCCAAGAAGACCTCACTATTGTAACAATAAGCATCATTTTCAAAAAGGAGACATTGACATGGAGCAAGGACAATTTTGAACTGCAACCAAGGAAAGAAAGGTTAACCCTTCTTATCTGTGATATGCCCACAAAAAAATGCAACTCCCTATTGAAAATAGGCTTGAAAAATGACTTATTTTGGCTAAAGCAGAATAATTCTTTCAAATCTAATTGCGGGGGGGGGGGCATTTGTGAGGTGGAGTAATCAGTTACGGAGGGAAGAGTTAAGCTGTAACCTATTGAACCCTCACTCCATTTCACATTTAGGTTTGAAAGAAACCTTCTATATGCTGCAATAGATTCTTTGAAGCCTAACTTAAGTAGGAGAGAGAGGATGCTGAAGACATCAAGAAAAGGCTTGGTAGGTGCAAGTGCACCCATAAGTGATGCATTGACAACCCCATATTTACTTCTATTTGCTCAGAAGAAGCGTTTTATGCAAAATTAACAATTTTAATGTCTGTACAACATACCTTTTTCATCAGATTTATCTCTTAATGCTAGGGTATCATTACTCAAAGAAATGGTCTGAACATTTAGTATATCTGTTCTCATTCCTGGAACCTTCGGAGAGGAAATTAAACGTCCTTCATAAGAATATAAATATAGCCCTCCACCATCTACAAGAAGAAAATGCCTATAAATAAGAAGCAGAGGAGAAAACATTGATTAACTATTTTCACACAAAACTATTAATGTAATTGTCCATATACTGTATTATTATTATTTCTTGCATAATTTAAAAATGCATTGATTCAAGTAAGTATTTTCAAATAATATATCAATGCACAGGCATTTGTAATCAAATGTCTTTCCTTTAAAGTTCTCTAATTTCTCCTCTGCTTAGGACATCTAATATTACATCAATCTGATACTAAAATGACTTGGCACGCATTCATGGTAATATTTGCATAATGATACATACACTTTATTTGGAAAGTGAGGTTTTTTTGGCTAACTGGTTTAAAAGGCAAGTGTTAATGATAGGAATTCAAAACCTACAAACACTTACTTGGAGGGTATTATCAAGTCCAAAGCAAGTTTAACCACACAGAGGTACTACTGTACACAGATTTACTCACAGAGTCAAGATTGCTGAGTGTCACATGCATGAGCATATAACAAGGCAAGCAGAGCATGTAGCTCTGGATTATTCAAACAAGGTCAAGAGTCAGATCTAGCTGGGAAACTGCTTCCCAAACAGTATCATCGAAGTCAACACATATATTTCTTCCAAATATGATCCCACTATCTCACCCTACTTAAGTAAACATTGTTTTAAGTCATGCCATCAGCAAGTTACCTTTCTGCCTGTAAAATTAAACTGACAGTTCCTTCTTTAAGGTCAAAGATTAATGGTGTATTCCAGTTTTTAGTCCTAAAGCAAAGAGCAAGACAATATACATTAAGAAAGAACAAAAAAGGGAGATAGTGTACATACTTTATATAGTGAGATTTTCACAGATATATCAGCTTGAAAACATTGTGGTAAGATTTCAAAAAAATCAGAGGACAGATAAGTATTTATCATTCCGTTTATATAACAAGAACCTATTTCACATTTTTCCATTATCATTTTAAACTAGGGCTAGACTAAGACATTTTGGCAATTGAGGAGAACCACAAAATGGAGCCTCCCTCCCCACCAGGGAAGAATGATAAGAATAATTTTAATAATAACTTTATTATTTATACCCTGCCCATCTGGCTGGGTTTCGCAGGAGGGGTGTGTGAAGATCTACACTAGGAGCAAGGGAGATAAAAAGATCTATACTGGGGTCTGTTGCCTGAGGCGGTTGTCTCACCTTGCCCCATGGGTGGGCCAGCCTTGTTTTAAACATTAGTTACAGCTTTTATGCACCAGTAGAATGTACATGGACATCAGCTAAATGCCCACTAGAGCTTTGCCATATTCCCTTGAAACAGAACTTCCAACTGTACCCCTAAACTTTGTTAGAGGACTTCAAACTTTAAAAAGTAATTTAGAAAGTTGGCACAAGTAGTGATTAAAAGGTTACAGACCAAAATAGTGCACAGTTGCACTGGGAAACAGGATGCCAATAAGCAATAACATGTGGCTTCACTGGGAAGGTCTCACTCATGGGAAAATGAACATAGCTAATTCCATTCACAGTTATGAGAAGTTTATGTCATTTAGCTTAGGTTTATGGGAGATCTCCATAAAACAATGGATGCTTCCCAAATCAAATCATGTAGCTGTGAAAAATTCAAGGTTTTTTAATTGATCAGATGGCTGTGTCTCATTAATTCAGGCTGCTTACGAGAATATGTAACACTGAAGAGATGTTGAAACTACTAAATGCCCATAGTTCAAAGAGGCTTTAATGACTCTGTCTCGAAATTCCAGTAAATCCACTGCGTCATTAAGTACATTACGAACCTAGTGGGAACAGAAGCCAACGGTTAAATAAAATTTAAATAATTTTGAAAGCAAAAGCAAAGAAGTAGCCTTATTCTTAGCTCTAAGGACAGTACAGAATGTCAGGAAACGAAGATGAATAATGAATATTCAAGTATTTATATTCCTCAAATTCAAGCTTTAAAACTCCCATTTTTGTATTTATTTTAAAGAATCTAGGGCCCATAATTTAGAAACTATTGAGCTGAAGATTGTTAATGTATTGAGTGAGACCTAGCAATATGCAGTGTGCTCCTATGTATCTTTATTCAGATCAGTAGTGTAGGGCTGCAGCCTTCTTTGAGGTCAAAGACTGAACACATGACTCCTAATAAATAAGACTCATTTTCCTTGGCCATGGGGTAGTACTAATAGTGCTTTCCCAGATTATTGCAGCAACAGACTTGGGACATACAGGGAAAGGCATTCTGTGCCTAAGTTGTTCAGGGCTTTGTTCATTACATACTGGTATCATTAGATACTGGTATCTGAGGCCTCACAGAAAGTTGACATTTGGAAAGTGAAAGTTGTTAAAAGGGAACAGCTCCTCCCATCCTGAACATGGAAATACAATGATAATTCACAATTAATGTCACTTAACTACTTATAAGCAGTAAACCAGGGCAGGACAGTGGAGATCTAGTCAGTTCTGGTTTCCAGAATCTTATAACAAAAGTAAACTAAAGCTTTTATATAAGATTGAGAATGATATGTTAATTGTGCATTTATTCTTATTTCTAAACAACATGGTTGAAGCTGGGCTGGAAACTTTTCTTGAGCCAACCCCAAAACAAGAATTTAAATTATGTGCAAGTCATTTGCATACACTGCGAGCGAAGACTCCTTTGTATACCTTTCCCACGAAGCTGTACAAGCTAAATATAACTAAAGCTTCAGGGATTACTAGACAGAGTCATTCATTACGATTCGCTGTCTGGGAATGAATACCAAAAATATGATTTTTACCTGCCAATTTGTCTTCCATATTCCCAGACACTGACTCATAACATCCCACCCAGTGGACAGATGGGTAATATAGAATTTCTGTTGTTGCAAGTTTTCCCAATTATATATTCAGCATCAAAGACAACTTCACTTCAGGCCAAAAGATATTTAGGTGCCTAATTATAGATTTGGGAGCCTAACACTGGGCACCCAGGGCTGAAAAGCTTGGCCTGAACTCTAATACTGAATGTGTAATTGAGAAAACTTGTAACAACAGAAATTGTATATTATCTCCCTGTCCTCTGGGTGGGATGTTATGAGTCAGTGTCTGGTCACCGAGGACAGAACATTTAGCAGGTAAAAAATTAATGCATTTGCTTTCAGATCCTCAGACTCACATTTTAAATTTAGGACCATGTGTTTTTAAAAGAACCTACATTCATAATTCTTTTAGGCTTCACTTATAATAAGGTAACCATAAAATAGAAAGTTGCCTGAAAATCTTTAATTGGGTCTAATAAAAGGCTCTTTAAAATATTCTGTTAGCAATCAGATTTTAGGTATGAAAAGCTTATGGTTTCTCTAGGCTGGACAACTAGTAGTAAAAATAAGTCACAGTAGATGTTTTACCTAGCTGAAAACTATTTTAACCTGGGGCTGAAATATTCTGGGCAAAGTTTCATCAAGAAGCACTATTAGGTTGGGGGGGTAGTGCTTGGCTAATGTACTGATTTTGTGATCAAAGAAAACAGACACATTTAGCGCTATCCCTGCTCTTAGCAGAAAAACCTGCACTATAGTAAAAAAAAAAAAACCTAACAATGCTGCAGCTGCTATAATGGTAAACCACAGCTGTGTACATGTACAGGTTTTTTTCCAAAGCCAGTAAACCAAGGCTATCTGTGCATGGACTATTATGCTATTGCTTCTGCAGCTGTGACTTTGTTGCCAGCTGCAAAATAATTTCTAGCATAAATGTGTGTTTTTTTATTGTGAATTTCAAGCCACTGCAGTAACCAGAGGTATACTCCACAGTCAGTTTACTCCAGGGTAGCCTTCCTAACATCAACATGCTCACATTGGGTTGTGAGAATTGACCTCAGTTCATAAACATATTGGTCAACATGCTATTATCACCAGGAGCATCCTGAAAGCTGCTCAATCCAGCTGACTGATGAACAGATCTCCCGGGGATAGTTAGCTGGCCATAGAGACGGATGTCACTCATTCACTCAGTTCATCTACAACTGAAAAGGATATTCAAAAAGTACCTGTTATTTTCTGCCAACATTTTGTGCTCACCACATTTGTGAGCCACTCACAAAGCTTGAAACATCCAACACATACCTCCATCGTTCTTCTTTTAGTTAACGTTATTCCAAAGTTTTTCCACACCCAGCGCTGTTCCACAACATGAGCAAAAATCACATGTCCATTTCCACAAGCCCCCGCTATTTGCGTGCCATCAGTAGACCAAGCAATATTAAATATGCTGCCGGTGTTTGGTTTCTCTAAGGCATAGGACCACTGCAGATTTAAAAAAAAAAGTGCATACTTCCACTTGTAATTACTTCTACAGTACACAATGCATATATTACAACAATGCAGTAATAATGCTCTGTGTATGTGTACGCATACAACATCTTTGTCTATCACTCTTAAATTATTTGTCTTTGGGACAGTGATAGGATTACTCAATTTTCTGTTCAGCATCCAGGACAGTGAGGACACTAAATAAATGTTAAATGGTTTCTGAAGCAAAGGCATGAACCTAATTAGCGAACAGTAAGGCAATGCTATTCCAGCTTTTTATTAGATGAACTGAGTGCAAAATAAAAGGAAGAAAGTTGGTATCTCTGGGATAATTTCACATAAAAGTCTAAATCGCTAAACAACAGTGAACACTTGTTATGTGGAGCAGACGATTTTTGTGAAACAGTTTTAATAGGTATCTGTGGGTGGGGAAGTATAGAGGGGAAGAGCTCTCTTTGTGGTTCCCTTGCAGGTGCCGCTGTCTAGAGAATGCTAAAAAACAACTAAAACAGCACATATACAGACACAAAATGGGACAGAGGTTGATTCAAACTTCATAAATCTTATTTGAACAAAGGGCAGAGAAAGTAGCACTTTATTTATTGTAGATGTTTTGTTGTTGTTGAAAGCTCCTCCTTCCAAAGTCAAAGGAGCAGCTGTATTAAGTCTTGCAGCAAAGAGATATAACATGATGAGACATTTTAGGGACCAAACAATTTACTTTGCAATGAGCTTCCATGCATCCTACACAATTGCCCCTCAAGTCATATTCTGGCTACATTAGAAGATAAATGCAGAATAGTATGCAAAGTGTTGGACTTGAGTCAGGGAGATTCAGGTTTAAAACCTTGCTCAGCCATTAAGCTTACTAGGGTTTGGAGTGATTACTACCTTTTACTCTAATATATTACAGTGTTATGAACAGAAAAGAATGATAAACTTTTGGTTTGCCCTGTTGCTACTACAGTGGTGCCTCGCAAGACAAAATTAATCCGTTCCGCGAGTCCCTTCGTCTTGCGGTTTTTTCGTCTTGCGAAGCACGGCTATTAGCAGCTTAGCGGCTATTAGCGGCTTAGCGGCTATTAGCGGCTTAGCGGCTTTAAGAAAAAGGAAACAAACTCGCAAGAACTCGCAAGACGTTTCGTCTTGCGAAGCAAGCCGATAGGGAAATTCGTCTTGCAGAACGACTCAAAAAACGGAAAACTCTTTCGTCTAGTGAGTTTTTCGTCTTGCGAGGCATTCGTCTTGCGGGGCACCACTGTATGCCTTATCGAGGCCCATTCTGTTTGCTAAACAGTTCCATATCATGGTGTACTTTGAAGAAGAAGAAGAAGAAGAAGAAGAAGAAGAAGAAGAAGAAGAGGAGTTTGGATTTGATATCCCACTTTACCACTACCCGAAGGAGTTTCAAAGCGGCTAACATTCTCCTTTCCCTTCCTCCCCCCACAACAAACACTCTGTGAGGTGAGTGGGGCTGAGAGACTTCAAAGAAGTGTGACTAGCCCAAGGTCACCCAGCAGCTGCATGTGGAGGAGCAGAGACGCGAACCCGGTTCACCAGATTACTAGTCTACCGCTCTTAACCACTACACCACACTGGCTTGCACAACTTTGCAATCAGTTGTGTCCATTATTATTACAACAAGGCCAATCTACCCTAATGTCCAACTGCAACATCCTCACTGGTTTATGGTTAACTGGTTCCATTGTTAAACTTTTTTTTAACATTAATAAGTTTTTCCTCATGTTCAATCCAAATCTACTATCCTGTACCTAAAGACCATTAGATGTAGTCTTGCCTTCCAAGGCAGCAGATATAAAGTATTTGCTTCTTCTACTGTAATATCCCTTCAAGTATTTGAAGAGTGCTATTATGCCCATCCCGACCCTGCCACGGCTTCTTTTCTCCAAGCTAAATGTACTTCAAACTTTTGTCATAGGACTTGTCTTCTATACTCTTGACCATCTTCATTGACCTCATCTGAACCCATTCCAGTTTGTCTACATCCTTCTGAAAGCACAGCACCCAGACCTAAGACAAAGAGCTCCAGCAAAGGTCTGACTAATGCAGGATGAGAACTTCTCAAGACTTGAAACCTATTCATCCAAAAGTTAACACTGCAATATACATTATTTAAATAAGCAGTGGTCTGTCAAAAGCAGAGAAGAGGAGAAGAAAAATTTGGATTTGATATCCAGCTTTATCACTACCCTAGGGAGTCTCAAAGTGGCTAACATTTTCCTTTCCCTTCCTCCCCCACAACAAACACTCTGTGAGGTGAATGAGGCTGAGGGACTTCAGAGAAGCGTGACTAATCCAAGCTCATCCAGCAGCTGCACATGGAGGAGTGGGGGCGCGAACCTGGTTCACCAGATTACAAGTCTACTGCTCTTAACCACTACACCATATTGGCTCTTGTAAATTGTTACAAAAACACTTGTAAATTGTTATACAGTAGAAATTAAATCAGAAAAATTACACTGTTTTTGAGGATATGCTTTCCTCTTAGTAGGGACGCGGGTGGCACTGTGGGTTAAACCACATAACCTAGGACTTGCAGATCAGAAGGTTGGCGGTTCAAATCCCCGTGACGGGGTGAGCTCCTGTTGCTCGGTCCCTGCTCCTGCCAACCTAGCAGTTTGAAAGCACCTCAAAGTGCAAGTAGATAAATAGGTACCGCTCCGGCGGGAAGGTAAATGGCGTTTCTGTGCGCTGCTCTGGTTCACCAGAATTGGCTTCGTCATACTGGCCACATGACCTGGAAGCTGTACGCCGGCTCCCTCAGCCAATAAAGCGAGATGAGCGCCGCAACCCCAGAATCGGCCACAACTGAACCTAATGGTCAGGGGTCCCTTTACCTTTACCTTTCCTCATAGTAGTTTCTTCAGATGGTAATGACTTTGTGGTTGCTTTCCAGAGCAATGGATTAATATGGTAAATGATGGAAAATCTTCAGCGATATTATGATGGTGGCATATTTTCTTGCATCTCATTTTGTGTCTATTTCAGGCTTAATAATCAGTTTTTGTAATATGGGCCTGAACAATCAGGGGAAAGCAGGAAGCTCTTAACATTCTTTTCTAATGAAAATGATCTAAGGTATGCAATACAATGCATGAAAATAATACTGAGGGCCAAATGCACATTAAATTGTCCTACCAAAGAATCTGATATAAATACTAAGCAGATGTACTTCCAGGCCATAGTGCAAAAAGTAATAATATTTGAAATAAGTTACAGCTTCACAAAATCTATTTCACCTAAAAGATGACAGAGCGATGCAGATACCTTAGTAGTACAAGGTGACCTGAATCTTCTCCAAGTACGCCTTCATGTATTTGTGATTTTCTCAGTCTGCATATGATGCAGAAGGTGACACACCTGAGGGAGGGGAGTCACGTATGAGTTCCTGATCTAATAATTAAGCAACTGTGAGGCCACAGAACCTTGGCAGGTCTACCTGTGGAAACAACTGTATTTCCAGTAATGTTAACTGTGGCTACAACTATCAATGGCTCCTGTATATCCATGCCTAAAAATGACTTCAATTTATGGTTTTAGTATGGGTGAAGTGGGAACCCTGGTTAGCACTAATTGCAATTAATGGTCCAGTATGGACCATCTCAGGAATTAGTGTTGGGTTGGGTTCTCCTCCCTAGTCCTTCTCTCGCCTGATGTACTACTTTGGAGCTTTTTTGTTGTTGCTTGTATTAAGCCAAAGTTCCGTGTTACATCTGAACCAGGTAAACCAGTTATCAAGACATGAAAATAAGCCAGAATCCAACTCATCACAAGATCTGGCTCGATACAAGCCAGAAACTAAACTCCAAAGCAGCATGGAAGGGGGTGTGCCACAGAGAATAGCTTCATTCCATTGCTCATTCTTGGCTTCATATACTTTTTATGAAGCCTCAAACAATTGTCAAAACCATCCTACTATTACTGCAAAGGTAACATTTAACCAGATATACCCTACAATCCCACAACTTTCTCCTGAATGTTTAACCATAGTTCAGAAATTGGGAATGTCACATTTGCATTCATTGTATACCGTACAATGCATATTATTAACATAAATAAGTTTTTAGGACTTATTGTAGCATAATAAAGCAGCAAGTTCTAAGACCTGTGTTTTGAAGACTATAAGACAGCCCTGCTCAAACTGAAGATTCTGAAGACACCAAGGCAACCTTTCCTATTTAGAAATTTGGTTTTCACTACAAAAGAAAAATAAATTCAAGTTTCTGAAACTCAGAACAGTCAAACCTAAACAGAAGAACAATACAGAGTAAAAGTTTTAAAAGTAAAAATAGCACATATTGAGAGATCTGGATACATGTGTCAAATGGAAAAGTTTAACATGGTATTAAGCCTGGCAAAAGGTTACTCTTACTTCTCTTGAAGAAAGATTGTTTCAGCCTAGACTGTTTAAAAAGGCCCACTTCATTTTCAAGGGAAAGGAAGCCAAAAATCAGATCTTATTACAAGAGTTCTAAATCAGTATATATGAATTCACCAACCTAAGTTTAGTTTTGGGATATGTGCAAAACATTAAAGTGTACACTTGATTTCTCAGGAGCATATTAAAAACACCAACGATAAAATTACGACTGTGTTAAAATTAAGTATAAACACACTTCTACAAAAATCTGTGTTTGGGTCTTTGGGTTTCTCTCTAGAGATTAAAAAGTTTTGTGAGAACCAAAAGCAGCAGCATACATATTTCTTGTAATTAGAAGATGCTGTCAGCGCCTCTGTAACTGATGGGAAACAATGCTCTATAATAGGTTATTTAAAAGCTATGGGGGGAAATAAATACATTTTAAAATGGGTAACTTGTAGAATATTATTACAGCCAAACTTCAGTGACATTTGAGCAGCATTGCACATTTTTTCTGTGTGTTCCACCTTATGGCTGCAAAAAAGGATCCATAAAAAGGTATTCCACAAACACATAAAATGCAGAATATATTTTATTCCCGCAAACAAAAACAGTGGAAATTGCATCACTAACAAGATGCTCACTGGATAATGGGAACATGTATGTATACATGGCTAGAAATGTAACCTGTAGTCAAGTGGACAGGCAAGTACCAGACCCAGTATACTTTGTGTTCCTAGCTGGCTTTGCTCCATACTGGTATTGTTTTTTCCTCCAGCGGTTTTTGCTTAGATTACTTGTTTCCGCCAAATGGCTATAACTTGAACTTCTTTCTTTATTCACTGTTGCCTTTCTTTGCTGCTATCCCCTTTTCAATCCTCCATGTTTTATCTGCTTTCCTTGGTTAGCCCAGCCACAGCTTCCCTTTGCTTGGCCCATCCTTCTCTGTTAGATTGTCTGGTTTGACCACTCACATTTGGTTGTACAAGGTTGTACTTTTACATCGGGGTGAAGAACTGGATCAGGCTGGTGGGCCAGATCCTCATCTACCCTAACTCTTGACAGCCAAATTTGACAGGTGAGCATGGCTGCCTATCTGTCAATCGCCTGACACCACAATGACATCATGTGATGCAGTGCTTTGAAGCCCTGACAATCAGCTGACTGTTGTAGCTTCAAAGTGCCATGCAGGACTCTTTAAAGCACCAATGATATGCTGATAATTGGGAACTGAAAGCTCTTTGAAACCCTGACATTCTCTGATCTTTAGCCAAATAGATGGGGAAGGTGCAGAAATACCTGGAATGTAGGAAACAGCCCAGTCAATGAATTGTTAAGCCACCTATTTGCCCCCTACAAAAGCATATGCAGCAGCTTTTGCTCTCTCCAAGGCATTTGAATACCTCAGACTGGCATCCCAAAGTGGTGGTCCAGTTTGCTTCTTCAGTTGGGCCAGCCCTATTTGTTTCATGTGTAAACCCTCCAAAGTTGCTTGCTCATGTATATAATTAAAAAACCAGAAGCACAGTGCCATAAGCATTACTTGCATGTGCATCTGAGCAAAATTAACATTAAACCAACTTTAGTATTTGCTTCTGGGCAGAAACAGCTGTAATACAAAGGTTTTATATTACCCATGAAACCAAGGTTTATAGTCACTGTTGTATACAAAGCTAATAGACTAATAGTGAACTAATGTACAGTGGTACCTCGGTTTAAGAACTTAATTCATTCTGGAGGTCCGTTCTTAACCTGAAATTGTTCTTAACCTGAGGTACCACTTTAGCTAATGGGGCCTCCCACTGCCACCATGCGATTTTTGTTCTCATCCTGAAGCAAAGTTCTTAACCTGAGGTACTATTTCTGGGTTAGCGTAGTCTGTAACCTGAAGCGTCTGTAACCCGAGGTACCACTGTACTACAACGGTGATTAAGAACTGAAACCACTGCTACCTTTTAAAATAATTTCAGTCCTCCTCTCATTCTTAATCTTGGAATTTAGTCAATGAATTGGCTCTTTACTAATCTAAGATATGGATTAAATGCATAACCTACTTTCAAATACCGGTATTTGGATCATTATCTCATCTAGTGAATTGTATCATATCAAAATGTGCTGTTCTGGAAAAGAATTGCTGCCAAAAACCTCTTTTTAAATTCTGGTTACAGTGCACTGTCAAATTTCAGTAGAATTCTACCCAATCATTGCCAGTATATTCCAAGGAAATCAATGGGAGGCCGCAAAGGAAACCATGATATTCCAGTGTAATTTCTTTAAAGAACTGAATTTAGTAAAAATAAATACATTCAAATATATAGGTCATACTAGGGAAAACTGGGATGCAATCCCTGAACAGAATTAAGGGAAATAAATTTGCTAGGTCTACAGTTATTGAACGGCAATATCATCTTCAATGCAGTAATGCATTTATTCCATGCATAGTAGCTACTTTTGAAAGAGTAGCCTATCAATTACATTTATTTTTTTTAACAGTCTCAAAAACAACAGTTTTAATTATGGGATAAAATAATTCATGGTGCTTTTTTCATTTCAAATTGATACTGATCATGGAGTTTAATCCCAATAGAAAACTTTAAAAATATATCTACAAATATTTGCTGACAAAAACATATTACAATTACAGAATACAAATACATATTTGCAGATGCAGCCTTTGGGAGGAAGGTACTGCAAAGAGTAGTACAGACTTCCCTCCTGGGTACCTCAATTGGTTAGAGCATGGTGTTAGTGGCACCAAGGTTGCAGGTTCGATCCCTGTATGGGACAGCTGCAGATTCCTGCATTGCAGGGGGTTGGACTAGATGATCCTCAGGGTCCCTCCCAACTCTATGATTCTATATTATAAAGGAAATCTTAAGACTGTTTTTTTCTGAGTACAAAGTATCATGCAAGTATGAAGAACAAATACGTATCATACGTATTTTATACTCTAGTCCAATGCCACAGTACAACAATCATAAGAAGTAGTCCTTTTTACTGCTTTGTTATGAAGAGAGAAGTGGCAGTAAAAGTAAGTAACCAAATGTGACTGAAAATAAAATGGCTTTCATGCACTCTACAGAGTTTAACAACCCTTCACCATGCAGTTTAAATCATCCAGAAAATATCTCAACACATTCTGAAGTGAAGAAACAAAATGCCATTGTAGTCTTTGTCTATTGGTTCTCTTTAATATCATTACTACCTACCTTCATTTACAGGAGGGCAAAGAAAACAGTAAGGAGATTATAGAAACTTGAAAATAATGCTTTTTTACACAATTCTTGTTTCAGATTTATATAATGTTGTCAAGCTTTATAAAAACTCATTCCCATCAATGTATTCTGAAATGCGAGCAGGAAACAACACAGCGTGTAAACTTTTCCTCTAGATACCTGAGGCCAGGGCAAGATACAGGTTTAAATTCCATCCCATTATTGTGCCCAAGTTTCATTACCTTCACAGTCAAGGAAATGGTGGTACAGTCTCTACTACCAAAAATCCCTCTGAAGGTAAAAATATTTTCTGACCACCGCTCCACCTCAACCACATCTTCAAGAAAGGGCACAGCTACTATAATGACTACTCATTTTAAAAAGCTATGCTCATGCATCAGAATGATGAGACGTATGGGAGATGTCCTATTGCATAGAGTAGAGATCAATAATATAATTAAAAGTTAGTATGCAGAGGCATTCACAATATAACAAGATATTCAGTAGGAAAATGTGTTGCCCGTAAGTCTAAAAAATACAGATGATGTTCCAATACTTAGACTAAACTAAACAACTGTAGTAGAGTTTTATTTTTGTACAGTAGTGCACAGGTTTTTTAAAAAATCCCTTAAAATCTGCAAAAGAATTCAGAACTATGATAAAAATGGCACTAACAATTGTCTAATGGGGCTCAATTAACATCTGGTAAAGAAAGCAGAAAAGTAACATTCCTTTATATGAAGGACCAGATTGACTAAATGATTGTAACAACAAAAAATCATGTATATGTGTGTGTGCACTCGTACTGACTGTGGCTTATAATGTTCTTTATGCTTTATATAAATGTCTCTTTCATTCTCTGGGGCACTGAGAAAGGGGTCCTCTCTTGTGATTCATTTTCTGTAACTGCGGGGGTGGGGGAATATTAGAAGGCCTCAGTCCTTCCTGATTTCTATTTCTGTGTAAGAGTAATGCGACATGACCAACAGTGTCAAAGCAGGCATACAAACCCACAGGAAGTCACCCACAAGGTATGTATGAATAGTCACAGGCGTCAGGCACTGGTCTTTTCTTCAGACACTTAGCATTTTAAAAATCAGGGACAAAGAAAATGCAACTGTTTTTTGTATTATATGTAGAAATGTGTTTGGCTTTGAACATAATCTACACCTGGCACAAATGTTAGGAGCACCTACCAAAGTTAATTCTAATACTGCGTGTTGTTGCTTTTCATGAAATTGCATGACATTTGAACTGAAGTCTGTTTCTAAGCAGTACTACTGTAAAAGTGGCACGCATACACACACACACACACACACACACACACACACATATATATATAGGAACAGATGAAAAGCAGAAAAGAGATGGAAGCAAAAGAGTATTTGTTAGCATATTTAATTAAATTATGCTTTGTAACTAGTTGCATATGCTGTAGAAGGGTTAATGATATGTATATCTCCTGATGGCTCTCGAGGGAGCAATTCGCTGATTCAGCTCCATTACATCAGACACAATAAAAATGTCTGTGTTGACCAGAAAGCCAGGTCTGGTTCTCTTCAAACACTATCACACTGGTTATGTGACTCATTCTCTCTTCTCTCTCAGCACCAGCATTGGCTAATTCTTTAGGAGCTATTTATATTTAAGTCAAGGAAAAAAATTGCATGAAGCAGCAAAAACGAAGGAGGCAAGCCTCATAAATTATTCCTGTCAGCTGTAAAGGAATAGATAGTATCTGGCTTTAGCTACTGTTAATCCCCTCCCCATTCCTCTGTAGGAAGAAAGTCCCATTTTAAAGTATTTTTCTGTAAACAGACTTAACTTCAATATTTTATGCTGTGTGTTCTGTAATAGATGAACTTACAAATGATTAAGAAAAGTCTCCGTAAAGTTTGTGTTTCTTCTCTCATTCTTCTTATGCTTCAAAACAAATACGCCACCTATATATTTTGTGTTTATAAATCAAAAATAATTCATACCGATGCCAGACTCATAAACAATACCATGGATTAGAATTCTCACTTTGCCTATAATTGTTGAAAGAGTGAAGTAGGGGATTTTTTCCATTAATAGCTTGAATGTATGACACAGTGGCTGAAAAATGTTTGGGAGTAACTAACATCAGGATTTGCAACAAGTGATGCTTTTACTTAGTCTGCAGTCTCCTCCTCAGAGTCTATCTTAAGGCTATGACTAAATGCAGAATTTGGGGTTTCACCATTAAGGTAGCAAAATGGGAGCGGAGTGGAGGAAAGCTGAGTATCCAGCCTAATTGATTAATGAACAGCTTTGGGAACCTGAAAGCTTGCTTGTTGTTTTGAACTATTTTGGTGGATCTGTATGAAGGCAATGACCAACAATGGATTTTGAAATCCTTCAAGTGGACCAGATTCAGCTTCCTTTCAATCCAGAATCAACACCCGACATTATGAAACATTTGCCAGCACCCATAAACTCCAACAGGGTCCACCAGTGCTGCTATTTCCAAATGCCCTCCTCCAAGCACCCTTTACCACATGCCCCTGCTCCAACTGGTAGCACCAGCCTCTGCCCCTTCCAAGCTAATCCAGTTGTTATTCATCAGTCTCAAAAGACTATGAAAGAGTGTGCCACTGAGGTCAAGCTGTTGGAGTTACAGTGCCTGTTGTGGCTGTAGAAACCAATATGGGATTGTTGCAGCTGGGGCAGATGAAGGCATCTGGTTTCACTGTTACAGATGCACTATGGTGTTTCTTCTCTCTGCGCTCCCTCCCAGTGGTCATTCCTCCTCTGGTCACTGTTGTGGATACACAACCTGACTGTCTCCAAGCACTGAGGTCGTCTGCAAGGGGCTCCCACACAGCAGGGTTCATGTTTCCAGTCTTCATGCCACGTCTGCAGACATCTTTGTAATGCAGAGTTGGTTTGCCAACAGGTCTGATGCCTGAAGCCAGCTCCCTGTAGAGCATATCCTTGGGGATCCTGCCATCTTCCATTCTGTGGACATGACTAAGCCAACGTAGATGTCACTGAGACAGAAGTGCCAACATACTGGGAATGTGGGTATGATAGAGCACATCTTTTTTTTGAAACTCTGCCCTGCCACGCGATGCCCAAAATCTTCCGGACACAGCACATATGGATTTAGATGTCATTCCTCGCAGGTATAACATTCTCCCATACCCTTTTGGAGAGAGCTATTGCCATAGCTGCCTTACCTACACTTTTCCAGCTCAGTGTCAATGGAAAGTATGCTGGCTATGGTGGAGCCCAGGTAGACAGAATAGTCCACCACCTCAAGCATGTGGCCACCAATGCTGATGCGTGGAGTGCTGGTAATGCCCTGACCCAAGATGTTGGTCTTCATGAGGCAGTGATGCTGCAATAAACCAGAAGCTGACTGGTTGATCAGCTCCTAGCCCATTACCTCACAGCTGCTGGGTTAGGTTATTAACAAGTACAGGTGTGCAGCTTCCCCCCAATTCTCCGCCCCTCCTTGAATGAAATTTTCATGTGTGAAGAGGATTCTTCCTGAAATCCAGCATAAACTCTATACTGTTGTATTACAAAGTATTCTCTCAGATTTTCAATGGAGTTAAAATTAATAATAATAATAATAATAATAATAATAATTTATTATTTGTACCCCAGCCACTCTGGGGGGCTTCCAACAAAGATTAAAAATACATTAAAATGTCACACATTAAAAACTTCCCTAAATAGGGCTGCCTTCAGATGTCTTCTAAATGTCAGGTAGTTGTTTATCTCTTTGACATCTGCTGGGAGGGTGTTCCACAGGGCGGGCCCCTCAATTAAAGAAGAAATGAGGTTTAATTTAAAGAACACTCTTCTAGGCTGTAACTGAATTCTAAGAAGTGTAACTGAATTCAGCAGGCCACATCTTGAGTTGCAAATAATTTACAATTTGAAAATTTAGTACCGTATTTTTCGCTCTATAAGACGCACTAGACCACAAGACGCACCTAGTTTTGGGAGGAGGAAAACAAGAAAAAAAAAATTCTGAATCTCAGAAGCCAGAACAGCAGGAGGGATCGCTGTGCAGTGAAAGCAGCAATCCCTCTTGCTGTTCTGGCTTCTGGGATAGCTGCGCAGCCTGCATTCGCTCCATAAGACGCACACACATTCCCCCTTACTTTTTAGGAGGGAAAAAGTGAGTCTTATAGAGCAAAAAATACAGTAATTTGAAATCCTATTAAGCTCTACTAGAAGTAAATGCTGCTGTTTTCAATATGGCTCACTCCCAAGTAAATATGAATAAGATTGCAGTCTGAAATTAGCAAGCCTACGAATGCGAACAATGCATACAGAGAAGTTATTCAGATTATGGCTTTGTCGTGACAGATTTTGGGGAAAAGTTTCTGACTCATTTGCCATGTTCTCACATACCACTAAACCACTATTTAGCACTACATGCATGAGATGGAATGAGCCCAAGCAAAGCCTTGGGCTCACACACTCCCCCTACCTTCTCCACCTCCTGCGTAGACTGGAGAAGGATTTTGCCAGCATTTAGCTTCACTTTCCCCTAATCTTGACTTGTTGTTGCATATAAACCAGAGATTGTGGTTTATCAGAAACTCTGGTTAGTTAAACAAGCCAGCTTCATAACTCATGGTTTGAAGTTTGCTTGTTTTGAAACTGACTAGTTTGAAATAAACCATGATCCCTGGTTCTTATGCAACAAGTCAAGATTAGGGGAACATGAAACTAAACACTGGCAAAGTCCTTCTCACAGCTGCATGGGAGGAGAGGATTAGAGATGTGAAAGCCCAGGAAAAAACAGGAAAAATGGGGGGGTACCCAAACTCCCCCCATTTTCCCATTCTTTCAATTTTTCCCAGGAAAATTGCGGGGGGGGGGGAATGGAAAATTGGGTGGGTTGATTTTTCCAGTTTCTTTCTAGGCCTTCACATCTCTGGGGATGATTCATTTTAAAGCTTTGCTCATGTTCATTCCTTGTCACTGATGTTGTGCAAACCATGGTTTAGCATTATGTTCTAACTAGGCTAGTGTTACTTTCAAACATATTCTTCAATTATCTATTGCATTATCAACAATGTACCGTATTTTTCGCTCCATAAGACACACCTTTTTCCTCCTAAAAAGTAAGGGGAAATGTGTGTGCGTCTTATGGAGCCCCTTCCGTCGCTCATCCTGCTTCGCTGGGAAGCCAGCACAACAAGAGGCGCTAGAGGCGCTGTGCAGCTCTCCCTCTTGCAGTGCTGGCTTCAGCGATAGCTGCACAAAGCCTCTTCAGTGAAGCGGGAGCGTTCCTCCTCCTGCTTTGCTGAAGAGGCTTTGCGCAGCTATCGCTGAAGTCAGCACAACAAGAGGCGCTATGTGACTGATGAATCATGGATTCCAATATTCATAATCTGAGTCAGGCTAGGTAATAGGTGGTGGCACACTGCTTAGTCAAAGAAAATTAAGGCACCACTCAAAATATTACAGCTGTACAGCAGGTGCAAATATGATAACAGTTGTTTGAGGAAGGACCAGAAGTCACAAGCTGTTGTAAAATGAAAGTCAGCTTCTGGACTGTAAAATACTAGTGCAACGTGATTTATTGTCTGCTAATAATGTTCATAACTGAGATGTAAAGTACCTATATTGTCTTTCTTTTGTGGCTGTGAATCCTCACCATGAACAGTGTATGCAGAACAGAGAAGTAGGAGACAAAGACTGAGAGGAAGCAGAGAGGAAGGAAGTATGAAAGGACAAGCGAGTGTGGAATGGAGTGAGAGAGGACAAGAGAGAAATGTATGAAACCGGGAAATGTGAATCATATCAAAAATGTTATGTATTAGAAAGTTTTCTTTTTAAAAGCCAACATAAAAATTTATGTAGCATTTTTAATATTTCAGTATAAAACACTTTAATACCAGACTATTGCATACTAAAGTTACACTAGCATGAGACCCTTTCATGGAGTGGTAAGGTGTTGAAAGGGATGGTAACTCTACTGTTACAAACTTAGCTCACTCTCATGCCAGTACCTGGAGGAAACTCTATTTCACTCTTTATAATTATATTTAATTATGATCAAATAGAATATACTATGGCAGATGTGAATCACTATAACAAGAACTAGTCTTCATGATTGATTAGCAATTTACCTACTTTAATGCTTCAGCTGCAAACACTGTCTTTGGAAAATCAATTATTTTGGCACAAAATCGCAGCTTATTTTATGAACAGCATACTTTCTGGTCTGAAAAGATTATGATTGAAAAGCTCCAAACAATACTATTTTGTCAGAGAACCTTAGTCAACCTAAATCAGAAATAGCCATTTATCCTTTTTTTTCTAGCCAGAAATAAAGCAAAAACAACTATTAAATGAGATGAAAGTTAAAAAACGTAAAACTAAATATCCCACCTACTTAGTTGAGTAAGAAGTATTTTAGAAGTAAAAATAAATTAGTGATGAATAGACCTTGAAGCTATGATTTATAATAGATTTTCAGATTCAGAGGAAAATGATAATTTCTGAACTTCCTTATTAACTAAATTTAATATCTGTTTCTAATTTGCTATATATGTGAAGCGATGTGAATGATCATTTGCAGCACCACATTTTTTCCTTTTGATTTAAATGTCAACTTGGACACATTTTGAGCTCTTGGGCATGCGTAGCAAGAGGAAAGAGAGTAACATTGTTCAAAACAGTTCTAGAAACGTGAGTGAAACATGCATACATGAATAGAAATCCGAAGCCTAATTCAGCACTTCTGTGCAGAGTCAAGGAGCACATGTGTGCAATTACACCTCAGACCCATGTCATTCACAGCCCACAGGGAGGGTGGCAATCCTAGTGGAGTAATCAGATTACCAGAGGCTGAAAAGAAGCTGGTAGAAGTTTGTGTAGTGCTATGAAGTGATCTCTGCCCGCAAGGAACTCAAATTCCTCTCAATGCTATATTAGCCTCTGGGATATGACAACCCCATTAAGAACGGAAGCCTGCTCCCACCTCGCAACATGGGTGATCACTACCAGCATATTCCCCCTTATCAGCAGGAATCCTGAATAGGCACATTTCATTTGTGGGCATTTCATCCACTACTCAGTCTAATAGGTATTTTGATCAGTTCCTCGTTTCTGCTTGACAAAGCACATTCAAAACCTGCCCTGAAATAAGCCACCAACTTTAAGAGATTGGTTGCAAACAAACCCTAGGCAGTTTCCAGAAATAGAAAACAAAACATTAAAATTGTAACTTAAAAGCAGCTATTAAAATACTCAAATGATTATTAAAATCAACAGTAGCTAAAAAGAAATAGCACACTTGTAACTTCTACATGCCTGGATAGACTTGCCTAAATAAATTTGCTCTAAGCAGGCACCAGAAAGGGTACAGTGAAGGCACCTGCCTGATGTCAATAGGAAGGGACCTTTTAATTGTAATTTCTGCCACACTAAAATACTGATTTCTTCGAAGTGTAGAATGGGTATTATGTGGCACCTGAAACAGGGCCAGTTGCGCATACTGAAGCAGTCAAGTGGGCACAGATGGGGTAAAGTGATGCCTCAAGTAAACTGATTCCAAGTGGCTAAGGCTTTATATACCAATAGTAATACCTCAAACATGGCCCAGTAGCAAATAAGTAACCAGTACAGTTCTCTTGGAAGTGTTGTATGTTGACAGGGGAATAAGACTGCTTATTAATCACATAGCATAATGAAAAGATGAAAATCCTTTGACTGTAAAACTTTAAATTAGAAATATAAGATGTACCAGTGAAATTTCTTTACTATTCTTCTTTACTACTAAGTAAACAAATATATAGTATATACATTAAAAATTCTAAGTTATGGTCCAATTTTATAAAGTTTAGATTTTTAATGTCTACAGCATTCTTTTCTAAAAGTGAATCTACTAAGCACACCAGGAAATAATTTATAAAGAACCCCACTGGACAGACACCCCAAAACAAGAGTTATTCTCAAATCATCAGTTACTTACCCCAGTTTTATCGCAAAGTCGTAAGGTGTGAAAGGACCCCACAGCAAATAACTCCCCATCCAGAGCCCAAGCAACAGAAGTGATAGGATACTCATGTGACTGTGAACTATACAATAGACGACCATAGCTATCCCACACCTATAAAACCATTAAAAAATTGTTGTTAATGACATCATATTTCAAAGGAGTCTTACTTGTTTTCCAAATACGAATCATGTTTCAGAACTACATAACTTTTCTTGTATATTACCCAAAGTGGGAGCAATGGCTATTTCCAGTCCTTTCTCCACTCCCACCCTTTATATCCACTCTCCAAGTGGAGGATCTGTCCAGATCTTTCCCTTTGCTCTACATGCTACAATGGATTAAGGTTCATAAATAATGGGATACCTTGGATATGTGTGGCTGGGGGTACTACTGAAGTAATTGACATGGGGAAAACCAAGAGTAGTACCAGGTCTGCTCAGATGTTTTATGTATCTCATCATCAGTATTCCGTGCCCCCAGTTTGATATTCTGAAGTTCATTCCTTCAAATAGTCACCTTACCCCACACCTTATTTCATAGAATCATAGAGCTGGAAGAGACCACAAGGGCCATCGAGTCCAACCCCCTGCCAAGCATATTTAGAGTATGTGCACAGGCATTTCCTTCTTTGGACCAGTTACACAGCATGAGATCCTTGGAACACTATGTGATCCAAGTAAAAAGGTCATTTGGCTTGCTCAGTATGGGCAGACTGAGGTAATATGGGTTATATCCAACTAAGTTCTACTCATAATAGACTGATTAGAATTAATGGATCTAATTTAGTAATATCTATATTACAGTTTTGATTTACCAATCTATCTAGTTTTTTATGATGCAATCACTCTTACTTCGCTGCTCTTCTATGAAAATAATTTTTGTTCTAGCACACTAGTGTGGGCAGGCATAAGCAGTACTTTAAAAATATTTAGCCATAAATAAGGTTGGCTGATATATTAATTCTGAAGAATAAAAGACATTTAAAGGAATGTGTTCTGAATAACAAACTCTTTTACTTCACTGCATTTTTGTTGTTGAAAATAATACATACCTTGTATTTGCAATCTTCACCAGCTGATAGAATAAGATCATTGACAGAGTTCCAATCAACTTTTAGAATAATTCCATCATGAGCTTTCCACTGTAGAAGAAAATAGAATTGAAATAAACTTTTTAAAAAACAAGTCAGGAGGATGTTATTATTTGTATATTACAAAGAGCTACAATTGCAAGATGTAAATTCCATTTTCATTCACAAAATTTGTATACTGCCCTTCATCTGAAGATCAAAATACAAAAATACAAAATGAGAACACAAAATACGTAATAGAAACAAGAACAAACCAATAACCCCCACTCCCACAAACACATTTAAAAGCCCATAGAAAGTTAATCACCTTAGGCAAAGAAAAACATTTTCCCCTTGTGCCTAAAGATACGTAATGAAAGCACCAGGCACACCTCTCTGGGAAGAGCATTCCAAAGCAGTTCCTGTGCCAAAACCGGGCCTAAACCCCAATTGAAATGGATCTAGAAAATCTAATACTGGCCCAACCACATATCCAGTGTTCTCTGTCTGCTAGCACAAGGGCTCTTGTGCTGGAGGACAGGTGAGTTTTAATATAGCGCAACAAGGGAATCCAATGCAACCATTGCTCTATCGGAAAATCAATGTACAATGATGACATAATCTATTGTACAACAAAGCAAACTGCTTATGCATTCTCTTTCACAACAACTTTCTGCTAAGATTGAATAAACTAACTATATATCAGTCATATATTACTTTTGCAACAGAGCTCTCTCTAAGTTAGGTTGCACAATCCATATAAAAACATTTGGATAGATAAAAATAAATGTTCACCCACTGTGTACTTTTTGGATAATTTTTTTAAAAATGGCCTAGGTTCTGCAATGTAGGGTGAATAGTTATGAATCCGTATGTGTTCCAATGTTTAGGACTATATGCACTTCTAGGTGTCAGTCCTGTTAAGACGCTGTGCTGGTGCACACTTAACATTCATGACTGATTAACTGTGCTTAAACAATCAGGACTGGGTTGCAAGATTTTGTGCTTTTTCTTCCCAGTGGTTCCCTACTTGAGTGAGTGCAAATCCCTTTCTCCCCAGCCTCCTCAATCATGATTAAGCATTACATCAGCACCACTTTCAACCACAGTTTCTAAACTTATTTCAAATTCTGGCTAAGTCTGGTTAGCCTTAATTGCAGTTAATATTGATCCCCTGTAATGCTTAACTGTGGTTTTAATGAGTGATTGTGCAACCTCTGTTAAGGAAAGTAGAAGTGTTATGTGTACATACAAACAGTTGCATTACCTTTTAAGAAGCGCAATTAGAATTATAGCACCATGTGAAGAGAATGCCCATTTATTTCACAGGATTACAACAACTGCCTTGAACTATCTGGTGCCAGGCAAAAACATTCCTCTTTACCCTGGCCTATGGCTATTAAATAATCTATGGCCTGTGGGGGAGTGGACAGTTATTATGATGACTATGTCATTATTGGGACGCGGGTGGCGCTGTGGGTAAAACCTCAGTGCCTAGGACTTGCTGATCGTATGGTTGGCGGTTCGAATCCCTGCGGCGGGGTGAGCTCCTGTCTTTCGGTCCCAGCTCCTGCCCACCTAGCAGTTTGAAAGCACCCCTAAGTGCAAGTAGATAAATAGGTACCGCTTTATAGCGGGAAGGTAAACGGCATTTCCGTATGTTGTGCTGGTGCTGGCTCGCCAGAGCAGCTTCGTCACGCTGGCCACGTGACCCGGAAGTGTCTTCGGACAGCGCTGGCTCCGGGCCTCTTAAGTGAGATGAGCGCACAACCCTAGAGTCAGACACGACTGGCCCGTATGGGCAGGGGTACCTTTACCTTTACGTCATTATTACGCTGTCTGTCAGTATGTTTTTATCTTCTGTAATCTGCTTTTTATATTGTATACCGCCCTGGGATCTTCTGATAAAGGGTGGTATGTAAACTGAATAAATAATAATCCTAATAATAGTTGTAATGTGGATACTGAGGCTCTGTTCCACACATGAACTTGCATATATGAAAGTACTGTATTCTCTATGCCAACACTGGTGAGTTAGTCCTTAACACTGTTGTGAATGACAATGTTCCTGCCAAAATAATAACATAATAATAATTTTATTATTTATACGCCAACCATCTGGCTGGGGTTACCCAGCCACTTCTGATGCACACACAGTTTTTTATTATATAAATATTTTATATAAATATATATTAATACAAATATCCTGAAACCGTATGAAAGGCTAAATCCCATTTCGCATTACAGTAATGGTTACCTGCAGAACTTTAGCATTTGGTTGCAGTGGTTTGATAATCAACTGCTTTCCTGATGTATAAAGAATCTTTTCAGAATCAGGACCCCATGCTACTGAATATATCGGTGTGCCTGTAGAAAAGCCCGAGAAAGGGAGAGAGAAAAGAAGTAAGGATATATTAGCAGTGCTTTTTTCTGGGGGGACGCAGGGGTACGCATACCCCTAAATATTTTGTGAATCTAAGTTTGGCCTCATTGAGGGGCAGTATTTGAATATGAGTAGGTAAATCCCCTTCATGGATCACTGCCTTGTCGTGGTGAAGGGGCTTGAAGCTATGAGCTATGCCGTGCAGTGCCACCCAAGATGGACAGGTCATAGCCAAGAGCTTAGACTAAATGTGATTCACCTGGAGAAGGAACTGGCAAACCACTCCAGCATTTTGCCATGAAAACTCCATGGACATAAAAAGGAGAAGCTTTGAGAAGAAAGTGAGAGTTTCCAAGGCATGCTCTGGTTCATGGGGTCACGGAGAGTTGAACACGACTAAGACGACTAAACAACAACAAGGTAAATGAGAGTACTCCTAAAAAAAATTAGTATGTATATTAGTAGGAAATCCTGCTAACTTGCTGAGTAAGGCCCAATATTTTCTAGCACTGATATCTGATCTGTTTTAAAAAGGCAAATTTACAGAGACTGTACTGTTAAAAATGGATGGCAGTTACTGTAACCAAGGTCAGCTACTGTGGCATGCAACTATTATTTATTTATTAAACTTCTGGGAGGTTCACAGAATAAAAATACAAGATAAAAACACAAAATACATAATAAAAACAAGAACATAACAAACCAATAACCCCAGCTGTTGTTGTAAACTTACAAACCACTACCTAGGAGGGACAGGCCCATGGGCACCAACTAGTGAGATGCGTTCCTGCTTGCCCAAAGGCACTTGGAGGTTAGCAGGCCAATAGGTTAAGAAAGCAATTACACACAGGGAATTCTCTTTTCCTGAAGACTTTACAAAGCATAAGCCTCTATTGGAAGGTGTTTCTATCTGGGCTGGCTTCTTGTGGAAATGGTTAGGGTTTTCAATGGAATATTAAAGAGAAATTCAATGTTGTGCTAGCGGATTTCCCTTTTCTCTCCTCCCTCCTGCACCCCTCCACATGTGCAGAAGGAGGGGAGCAGACGAAGTCATGTTGTGTGAGCAGAGGTCCTTTCTGAAAGCAGATGAGCAGAATTAGATATTGTCTTTAGATTTTAGGACTTTAGTTATTGTTACGTATTTATCACCAGTGGGCTAATGAGTTCAAACATAAAGAGTCCAACTGGCTCCAGCTGGCAGCAATTTCAGTCCTTAAAAAGACAGCACATCAGACTAATCCAGAGTACCTGGAGGGGAATAACCAAACTCAGTGTTGATGTATGTCAAAGTTTATGTCTGTACAGGATCGAAGCAGAGCAGGAAGGGCAGGAAGGAGGAGCTGAGCAAATAGCAGGGATTAGCAGCAGGCTGTTTCTTGTTCCTCATATCAAAGAACCAGATCAGAATTGATAGTTCTGACAGAGGATCAGGGTTATTGCATGACCTGCATCACTCCATCTGGAGTTTGTTTAGATCCTGCAAGTTGGCATTAGATCTATCAACAGCAAGAAACATAAGAATTTACTGAAACAGCACCATAGCTTTAGACTATAGCAATGCTAGTGCCACCCTTATTTGATAGCTGTGACAAAGTAGGCTCCAGAGACGCAAGCAAGGGTATAAGAAATGGCCTCATTGCAGGGACTGTGAGGTGACCGATTTCGCAGTGGTATATAAATTTAGTCTCTGTTTGAGATCTACAAGGTCCCAGCTTTAGGACCTGGTATAGACTCTGATATGGCTTTATAGCACTGTTATCCCCAAATCCTTATAATCCCATCCTGCTCTAGTTTTAGGACTGTAACACAAGTTATATTTTATGGAATAAAGTCAAACTTTCTCAATGCTAACATTTTCTGAGACTCTCTCATTGCTATACCACCACTAGCAAAGGTATAAAACAGCAACGTTCTAGCGGAAGACTGCTCTAAAAAGCATGATTCAAACAACAGCCAAGGGTGTTGAAGATTAAGAGAGGTACAGTAGAGGTTGCTGCTGCCACTGAGAGAGACAGGAAAAGATAAAGAATGGAGATTGGCTATATGAGTTAACATAGCTGCATTCCACATGCTGAGAAGGTCTGTGCTTGACATATACAGTATTAGCTATCATTACAGATTTGGATTAAAAGGTCTGTTGGTATGCCTAGGTCTAATTAAACTAATTAAATTACTTAATTAAAAATATATAAGCAAAAGCAGGGAATTATCCTTTTGATGTAATGGGGTTTTAATGTGCACTGCAGATGCTACCCGTGAAACTTTGCTTCCTTTCACACGCATTAAAAACAGACAGCACTGACATATTTTTCCAATACTGTGAGACTTGCCTGATTAAAAGTAAAAGATACTAGCATGTGCCTTATCTGCATTCCAACAGTAAAATCTGCACTGCTTGAAAGCTACATGTATATTTACAGATATATAGGGTTTTATAACAATGGAGTGCAGATTTCAGATATCATTACCACCTCAATCAATAAATTAAGATGCCAATGAATATTAGATTGCTTTGGTTTATTTTATTTTTATTGGCAAAGGTGCTTTGGTTGCTATGGCTAGTTCCCATGAACCCATATTCAAACAGTATTTTCTGAATTAGGCCCTAGTAAATAAGTGAAAGGTTGAGTTTTGAAAACGAAACGTAAAATAAGTTTTCTTGCCCTTTTATACCTTCCTCTAAGCTTTGACTTCTTCGCTTTTGTAATATGTGATATATATTCTACACAAGCTTCTATTACAGTGGTTTTAAAGAACCTCCAAATGTGCTGATGAGAGTTTGACTATGATTCTCCCTTTCTGCTGTCTTTTAACTTATCCTCTCACAGCTCTTTCCAGCCTGAGGAACAAATACAGAGCGCTGTTCTGTAGACTTGAAAGGGCACAACAGGGGTAACATACATTTTAGGGCTGAACAAGGAAGCTGGAGTAGCCCCACAGTGATCTGTCTAGTACAGTGGTACCTCGGGTTACATACGCTTCAGGTTACAGATGCTTCAGGTTACAGACTCTGCTAACCCAGAAATAGTACCTCAGGTTAAGAACTTTGCTTCAGGAGGAGAACAGAAATCGTGCTCCGGCGGCGCGGCAGCAGCAGGAGGCCCCATTAGCTAAAGTGGTGCTTCAAGTTAATAACAGTTTCAGGTTAAGAATGGACCTCCGGAACGAATTAAGTACTTAACCGAGGTACCACTGTAGCAGAAACAGGACTGCAGTAGCAGGCAGAAGATGCAGGTGGGGAGGACAAGGCAACTGGAAGAGAGGCAGTGGAGAAAGGGCAAGAAGGCGGGATATAAGGAAATTGTACATTTCTGTAAGTGGGAGTCTGGACCAAATAATTAAAAAAAAACCATCAGTACAAATTCTACTAAAAATAGAAGTAGCAAATTAACAATAAGGCAAGAAAAAAAATGAATTTTAAAAGCAGAGATGATAGTACTGTATCTGTGTGGGAGGAATTTTGAGTGGGAAAGATTGGGAGCTCATTTTTCACTATATTCCAACAAGATATCCAGTAAGAGAAACCGATGATACAGCCAGAAACACAGTATTTGGGAGGCAATGGTAGGGGCAAATTCGAATGTTATGGTCCTCACACAGAAGCTGGAAAAAAACCTCTTCAGCATGATTGAGCATCGGGGACATGTAATGAGTGACAGCATTTTGACTAGCCACAAATTTATGTATTGGGATGAGAGCATGCAAAGGCTGTGAGGAGTCAGAAGACAAGAATCAGGGCTCAAGATAGATTTAATATTCTCAACTGACTTTCTTTATCCTTTAGATTTAAGAGTTGGGCAAATAGATTACTAAAATAGCATAATGTGTTATTATCTGAAAGGTAAACTAATTTATTAGTTTTTACTAGCTTACCTTCTAGCATGCCGGGGGGGGGGGGGAGGACAAACCTGCTTCATTACCTGGGGCAATTCTAAATTGTGCTAACCCTGTGTATATGATCCAGTCAACATGAAGTGCTCTGAAGAGTGACTGGATCAATTAGTGAGCGCAAGCCTAATTCTCCAATTGGAATTTATGAGCCTTCAAAGTTCTTTAAGTTTGGATGGCTCATGCTCTAATATATTAAAACTGCAAGCATCTTCTAATTCTACTGTAACTGTAGTTTATTTTCCTCTCCTTTGCTCTTCTTCAGTATATAAAAGGGTGGCGCTGTGGGTTACCACAGAGACTAGGACTTGCCAATCAGAAGGTCGGTGGTTCGAATCCCCACGACGGGGTGAGCTCCCGTTGCTCGGTCCCTGCCCCTGCCAACCTAGCAGTTTGAAAGCACGTCAAAGTGCAAGTAGATACATAGGTACTGCTCCGGCAGGAAGGTAAACGGCATTTCCGTGTGCTGCTCTGGTTCGCCAGAAGCGGCTTAGTCATGCTGACCACATGACTCGGAAGCTGTACGCCGGCTCCCTGGGCCAATAAAGCGAGATGAGCACCGCAACCCCAGAGTCGGTCATGACTGGACCTAATGGTCAGGGGTCCCTTTACCTTTATCTTAATATTGTACTATTAACACCACTATGCACTATAATTATTCATAGTAACATAATTAATTTTTGTCACAAGCACTTTTTAAAAAGTGTTTAGGCTGTACAGGAAATAGAATATATATATATTTAATTCAATTCCCAACCCCCCCCCCAAAAAAAAACAACAGTTACAGAAGTACATTGATGAAGAATATTATTGAATTCACTCTACAATAAAAAGAAAGTCTTTAGATGAATGTATCTGTTCATAATCTACCATATGTTATAGGTCAAAATCCATGTTACTTTGTATAAGCCTATGAAATAAAATAAAACCTTAAAAAAAAGTTGCCTTTCCTTCCGTTCTTGCCTATCCTATCCTTCCTTGGTCTCTTAGTACATTTGTCCATTAGGCCTAAGTCTCATATTTAAGTGATGAGCATTTTAATAAGAAATCAGAAAACTGTGTTTGAAATTAAAATACTTCTGAATACATTCACTAACTTGTGCTAAAATTATTTTTATAATACATTTCAAAAATATACAAATACGTCTAAAATGTTAAAAATATCAGGTAAGAATAATATCCAGTATTGCTAGTTGCTAGAACACATGAGACTTTTGTGTAATTTCAGAAGAAAGCAAGACCCTGCCAGGAATAAGGCACAAACATTCTATTAACTGTGTTGATAGAAAACTAAATGTCAACATGTACTGTTGGCTCATCTTGGGGGTTTTTCACAGCAAATGAGAAAACATGCTGCATTTGTGATAGAAACTTCCTTCAAACAGTTGAAATCTCTTTGTTTTTTATTTTTGTGGTTAGAAATGTCTTTCATAGGCTAAGAGAATTTAGAGATTTTGTTTGAGAAAGGAAGAGATAAAGGTCTGACATTTCACCAAACCCAGTTGCATGTGACTTCTTAATGTCAAGAGAGTGCAAGATCTAAATGTACAAAGGTAAAGAAGAGTTGGGTGTTTTCAATGAAACAGAAAATGAACACAAAATATTTTGCTGAAAAGTATTGAAAAGTGCATATTTAAAATACATTAGCTCCAAATCACAATGAAATATCCTCAGTTATGTTTTATTCTATTTGTTTGTAAAAATAATAAAACTGCCTTTCAGAGTACACTGCACTGACAAGTTGGTGTACAAAATTACATTAATAAAAAAGTCTATATAAATCACAGATTAAACCACGCTACAGACCTTTTATAAACAGCAGAAACAATGAATGAAAACACAACAGTTAAGTAAATACAGATCATTTTTTAAAAATAATATTTATTACTTTTCCAACAATTTAAACACTACAAAGAAAAAATAAACAATACAATACAGTACAAAAACAATACATAACACTAACACATTAAACTAACAAAACAAAACAAAAACAATTTAAAACACATCAAATAGTTTCAATATCTTATCTTTCATTCACTTATTTCAATGACCTCCTCACACCTCCCTTTTTGTATTCCACTTCTGTTAGTTGTTTCAGCAATTCCTTTCCATCTTCCTCTGTTTTCTATCCTATAATTATCTTAACACATTTTAACCTTATTTTTCCCTTTAATTCTCTATTAATCTATTTATACTTAATTCCTTATAACATTTCTACTAAAGCCATATAACTTCATTCCAACATTTTTCTAACATTCATTAATTTTACAGTATTTCTGTAAATAGTCTTTAAATTTTTCCCAATCTTCTTCCACCGACTCTTCTCCCTGGTCTCGGATTCTGCCAGTCATTTCCGCCAATTCCATATAGTCCATCAACTTCATCTGCCATTCTTCCCGGGTGGGTAAATCTTGTGTCTTCCAATACTTCGCGATGAGTATTCTTGCTGCTGTAGTTGCATACATTAAAAAAGTTCTATCCTTCTTTGGCACCAATTGGCCGACCATGCCCAGAAGAAAGGCCTCTGGTTTCTTCAGGAAGGTATATTTAAATACCTTTTTCATTTCGTTATAAATCATCTCCCAGAATGTCTTAATCCTTGGGCATGTCCACCAAAGGTGAAAGAATGTACCTTCAGTCTCTACCCACTGGGTATGGAGAGATAAGGCACTGGAAATGGAGTCTATTACCGTCATTAAAGGCGGGACAGGCAGATTATGCTTGTCACCCCCTCCATTCCAACTTCCAGGAGTGCCAGCTTGGCCCTGTGACTGTGAGTGCCTGGGGTTGTGGGTGCCCGGCCCCTTCATGGGGAATTTTGTATGTGCTTGGGCACCCAGGGCCCCAGGGAATTGGCACCTATGCCACTAAATCCTAATGGGACCTGGACAGCCATGCTCATTAGTCCTCCCACATGTCAGTCAAATAAAAAGTCATGTCAGTCCATAATAAAACTTGGCTCATCCACAACTTGACATCTTGTGTGTATTACCAAGATCTGGGTGGGCAAGCAGGGTGGTCCTGACTTCACAATTTCACATCACCCCCAAAGGCACCCTCCTCCATTGTCTTGTGAGACAGACAAGTGCGAACAACAATTTGTGGTACAGGGCTATTGAAGAATCAACTAATTCTTCTGGGAATGTAGGAAAATATACAAATGCACACACACACACACACACACACATATATTGCAGTTACATAGAAGGATATAAAACACCTTACCTTGTTGTGCTAAAGTTGATCTCAGCATTCCACTCTTAGACCATATTTTGACTTGTCCATCTTCACCAACTAGAATAAAGGAACATTTAGCAACGACCTTGCAAATGACTGAATTAAAATTCTCAGTTTTAACACTCATAATTTTTAACATTGTGTTAAGTTAACTACACTGAAAAAACAAATTTAGCATACAATAAAAATTTCCTAATGTTTTTTTGAGGAATCACATGCCACATCATCTCATTCATCTGGAATTCCTATGCCACTCCAAAATAACCGTAATAAATCATGCTCCAATGCAGTATGTCAGTGGTTGGGAGTGGGTCATAACAGGAGGCTTCAATTGACTGGAAGAAGTGATGTAATAGCTAGTGATTTTCATGTAGGAGGTGATAGAATGAGCATGACCCTGTTTGTCCCCAAGAACTTGGAAATATATAGAATGGGAACAGATGCATACTCTACGTTATAAAACTATGCTTCCTCGGAGGGTGGCTATTTCAGGGCACTGAGATTAAATGACACAGGTGGTGTGGGCCCAAAGCTTTTCTAAATCTGCTAAGATTGCAATAAGTAAGGCTGGGGAACAGGGAGGTTAGCCTGTTCTCCCTCTTCCTCCAAGTGAGGGCAGAACATGCAAAATAGGAGGGGATGTAACAAGACATCCAGATGCATAAAGAAATGGAAGCATCAGGTAAGAATTTATACTGAGATAAATATTGATCATTAGTTAGTTTATTTTTTTGGTTGGACCTAAGAAAGATATTACTCTACTGCTACTTTTGGGTTGTTTTTCTAATGGAATAACAAGACTACCTGCTATTACTGCATATTGGCATTAAAGTATTTCATTGTTATAGGCAAATATTTGACAGTGAACAGACAACAGCTATTCATGGCTGGCCCAAAGTGTTTTTTTACACCACAAAAATTATAATTTTGCCTATATGCTTCTTTGTGTCTTATTGTCTACACAACAAATGACCAAGAATACTATTCCTTATTTTTTTTCTAAAATGACTGTCACAGTGTTGTGCTACATATTAGTTCATCTATACTAAATACTATCCTGATTCCTGGGTCCAATCATTAACAGATTAGAATCTTTATTGCACCTATTTGCAAGCATTCAAAAGTGATTAAAGCCAAACATGTAAATGTTAACTATTTGCAAATATAACATCCTATGAAGAGTCTGCAATGCAGGAATCTCAACTAAAGCATCCAAGACAGATGGTCACCCAACCTCTGCTTAAAACCTCCAAGGAAGGAGAGTCTACAACTTCCCATTCCACTGTCAAAGAGTAGGAGATAACACCCCACAAATAAGCTCCTAAGCTGCTGATATGTGCCTTCTCTAAAACTGCAGGTAGAGCCTTCCTCTTTGCAGTTATGGTGCATCTCCTTTCCACAGGAGGGTGGGGTGGCCCCCTCTTTGCTTTCACTAGCAAGTAAAGATTATTGTGTTCTGTGTGTTGCGCTGTGACAGGGTCTTCAAACAGCAGGTGTCCTTTTATGTGTGTGCTTTTACATGTGTTTAATTGTTTTTGGTGTTATTTTTAATAGGGTAACATATTTGTGTTTTTTTATATTTATATTTATATTTATTGTGTTTTTAGTTGTATCTATTTTAATTCATGCTGTGAGCTGCCTTGAGTCCTGCACTGGGAGAAAGGTGGGATACAATACAAAAATAAATGATCCTGGAATTTTGTCACTCTGTGCAATTGCTTCTGTTGCTGGTATGCTTGGGCCAGCCCTATAGCTACTTACTGTTTTTACCAGCCTCAACAATTTAGTATCAGCAAACTTGACTATCTCTCTCCTTACTCCTAACTCTGCCTTATTTTCACTTATATAAACACAAGAATTAAATGACAAGCAGTTGCTGTGCATTTATCATGGTGTTGCTTCAAAAGGTTGCTTAACAACTTACTGAACTTTATAGGAGTTGAAACTATTCACATGTGATGCAGCCTTTGGCTAGTTGAGCAGTGGGTACTGACCCTTGGCCAGGAAATATTGATTAACAATCATTTATTACTTTTGCAATCCTAGGACTGTGGATGGAGAGGACAATGTGCCTCTGAATAACAGTTGCTAGGAATCTAAAGTGGGGAGAGTGATGTTGTGCTTGCTGGCTTTCCATAGTCATTTAGTTGGCCACTGTGAGACCAGGATGCTGAACAAGATGGTCATTTGGTCTGATCTAGAAATGCTTTAGTCTTCTTGTGTTCAATAAGAGAAAATCTCAATCTAACCCCTCTCAGTATTCAGTAGACATCTAGTATGTTTTCAGTCATGTTAATTTTGTCACTACATTTCAGGAAAGTACATGTTCTTTTCTATGAATGTTATACTTCACTTTTGAAGACATACTTTTGAAGACAGTTCTCCATCACATTTTTACAAAAAAAATCCTCTTACCTGTAACAAGTGCTGTTCCCTCATAATTCCATCTCCCTGCAAGTACAGCTCCACAGTGGGCTTCTACACTTTTTTCAACTCTTCCAGTCTTGGAAATCAAATGGAACTTGCCTACACAAATTTGACATTGTAATGTTAGAAATCAAATATATACAAGAAGGTTATTATCATAGAGTTGTGACATTGGTTAAAATAAACAATTATCTGACAAATGTCACTTGATTCTTCTAAACCTTTTTCTAATTCCTTGACTAGCCAATTAGTGATCATCCCATAGCCCAACCAATAAGCAAATTCTTCAGTTAATAATCCTTCCTATAATCTCATATATACCAGAAGTGAAAACTTATTCTAGAATTAGAAATTTAGATCTCATTGAAGTCAATGGGACAACTACTTAAGTCCCACTAACAACAGTTAACTTTAGCTGGATTAGGACCTCTACATTGGTAAACAGTTATGTATCTTCCTATACATTACCCAACTTCAAGGAACCCTTTCCCCATTATTATTTCTTCATCCTTCTATAGGCTAGTTTTTCTTAGTTTTGCAAAAGCAGATATAATCCTGAATGCAATGATAGGCCTGTGATAATTCGATCCTAACAAGAAAGTATTTTTAGAAAATTAAAACATTAGTTGTTTTAAGAAAATCCTGCAGTGCTGGCCTCTCCCTGATCAAACTGATCAGGTCACAGCTACCATCTGTGATGTCATGGCACTCACTCCCAGTTTTGCTGGAGAGTCTTGCCCCTCAAGCTAAAGAACAGATCACCTCTCATCAATAAAGCCTCTCCTCCTCCCAGAGGGGAGGAGTTGTGAGCGGGAGCCATTTCCTGCTTTGCTGTCCCTGTTGCTGCACCGCACCCCCTGGCAGCCATCCTATCAGGGGGAGGCTTGGGGGCGGGGTTTAGCCGCTCAAAATGCGGCCACACCAACACTTCCACCTCATTGTGATGTGTAAGTTTCTGGGGAAAACTCTCATCTCCCACTGAGAGCAGCACTTTTCAGTCAAACTAAAGATGGAATATGCTCACATGCTATCATCATCATCACCTACATCTATATCAGCTTTCTCTAATCTGTCTTCCATCAGATGTTTTGGACTACAACTTTCATCAGTCCCAGCCACCATGGTCTACAGTCCCAGATGATGGGAATTATAGTCCAAAACATACAGGGTATCAGGTTGTGGAAGCCAGATCTAGAGAAAGATTAGTTGTGGCACATTTGAATGACATCTTATAGTCATTCTGAATTCCAGTAGAGTGGGGATAGATATAAGATGGTCAATTCATTAATTGTTGTTTGTGGTATATATCAGATACAGAAATCTATACTGGTGGAAAATGTTCGTACAAGAAAAACTTTCTTTCGTGAACCAGAAAGACTGAAGTTACAGCATTCTATTATGGAACAGTGCCTTAAGATTTGAAGGTAAAAAACATGTTGGGCAAGTGACCAAGACTGAAAAGATGGATTCAGAGCAGAAACATTCAAACTGTGAAAGACAGCTAACTGATCTTCTCACAAATCCACTGTCAGCGAACAGATCATAGGCAGAGAGTTATCTTGCAGCCTCATACAGTTTAGGAGTCACTTGATGGGTGACACTGGCCATGAAGACAATTTTAAAATAAAATAAAATCAGATGCTCAAAAACTCATTTGGTGTCTGTTGGCATGAGTGGACATATCAAGATTTTTTGAAAAACTTTACTGTTATAGGCTGCATAGAAAAGTGAAAGCTTTGACCATATGCTTTATTCATAATATAGTTTGGAACAGAATGTGAAGGGACTCAGTTTCAGCCTTACATTAATTCTCAGTTTTATAAAATACTGCTCCTTTCTTCCTGTTTTTATTATTTAATGAAACCATAAACTGTTCTCAAAGTTGAAGCTGTTTTGCAGTTCTGGAAGGCATTCAAATAAGAGATTAGAGGCCTATTCAAGTACAGCATGTACAGAACCATGTCTGTTATATTCATTTGCTACCACAGACCTCTTAAATATTCTGCTCTGATTTTAATGATTAGTCATCAGTATAACGAAAACTAGTAGAAAAAGAGCCAACATAATTTTTAAGGAACCATTACAGATTGTATTAGATGAATAATTAAAGTGGTAACATAAACATATTTCATATGGGAAGGCAGATTGTAATTCCACCAAATAGATCTTTACATACAAACTAAACAAATGAAAAGTTATTAATCAGGAAGAAAACATGCTATAAACAAAAAGGAGAAAGGTTATTGTGTATAGCAGATAACTGAAGCTCAGCTTTTAACGTATGGCGTTATATGTACTAGAATATGTAAGTGCTGGATTCTAGATAGAGACCATAGTTCTAAACAGAATTTTAGAAAGCTGAAGAATTATACAAATGCTAGCAGATACCTGTTATGAATGTCAGTTCTTATAATCCTGCCTATCAGGCATTTCTTGTTGGCAGCAGTTCCCTTTGAGGGCATAGTAGTCCTGTGTAATAAGGGCATCATGACCCTTCTGACTACCTTTGGCTTAGCTCCTGGGATTTTAGAATCTGAATTCCAAGTTCTACGGGCATTCTTATAAATGAACCAAAGGGGTTTTCATAGCAGTTTGGTTGAATGGTAGAAGATCCTTTCATACAAAATGGTGGTGAACATCTGCTGCTCAAAATATATCTATTGAGACTTGCTGAACCAGCTAAAAGGAGCATGATGACATTTTTAAAAACTACACTGCTCAAGTATCCTTGAATATGCTGCTGGGATTGTAGAGAAGCACTGAACCCATCCTCACCTGGGATCCAGTTTGCACCCTTATGGAGGAGCAAAAGAGAGAAAGCTTCAGGACTATCCTATATTTATAATAGCTTGTTTAAAAGGGCTTTTCACTTTCACTACCTCACCTATGTGTCACTGAACCCCCTTCATAGAATGATGCCAATAGCAGTGTTGACTTTGAAAAAAGAGATCTGGGAACATACTAAAATGGAAAATCTGCTATTCTGGCTCATCTTACAGGCATACACAAGGAGGCACAATCATCAGGGGGACATTCAAAGTTCAGGTCTCACACACTCCCGTTGCATAAATGATTTGCCAATGCTTATGTATAAATACTAATTTTAGATTCTGAATGTTATGAACTAAGACTAGTTGCTAGTTGGCAGGGTAAAAAGGGAACTTTTATTGTAATCCATAAGGATTTTAGAGTCTTTCTTTTGGTTTTGGTTTAACCTTACTTAGTACAATCTTGCATGCGTCAAATCTTGGAACCCTGTTCCTTTATTGTCACAACTAGTGATTTGTCAATGGGCAGTGACTCTGACAAAATTAGGGAATGGTCTGGACCACAAACCTAAAGTCCCATTTAGAAACCTGAATGACTTTTGATAAGAATAACTGGAGAAAACCTTTTGGACTTTTTGTGTGGAAGGGAAAAATATCACTATTCTCTCATACCCCCTTAAGAAACGAATACTTAGCATATGTCAGAGAACTAAGGCTAATTAGTCCTCCTTCTCCTCCTAGTGAGAATAGTGCCAAGTATGTAAAAGTGTTTCAGTAACTTGCATTGAGGCATTTGTATATGCTTTCCCAGACACCCAACATAGCACTAAGGCAATCCTTCAATCAGTGCAATGATTTCTGATTGTGCAATGCAGCATTCTCCCTATCTCCTTTGTCCTAAATCTGCTCCAGAGGTTCTTACAACCCTACATATTTGGGCACATGGTGAGAGGAGAGCAAGTCCCATTGTGCAAGTGGAGATCTTTACACTGACGAGTGCCCTCTCTATGTGAGGTTAGTTGTAGAGAAGCATCATGAGCCAAATCTCCTTTGAAGTGGGCCCATTCAGTATTTGTTTTCATGTTTACCATATTCTTATCTTATAAATGATAACGAAACTCCCATGTAATGCTGACTATGGCTTACTGCAAATGAGCAAACACATGGGCTGCTAGAGAGGAGATTGTGGCTATTTTGCTCCTCCCCTTTTTTCATTTGCTACTGCTCTGTGCTTGAGTTAAACTGCAGTTTGGCTCAGCTAACTGTCTGAAGCAGGGCTCAGGGTTTATCTCTCCCAGACAATCCACAAGTTGTAAACCATAGGATAAACCTTGGTTCCAGCTTGTGGTTTGTCTGGAGAGAGCTAAACTACAAGCTCGGGTCTGGACAATAAGCCAAACCACAGCTCAGCTCAGTGTAGCAGAAAACATCCAGGGAGGAGCAAAGTGCTACAATCTCCTCTTTGGAACCCCACATTTGTAGTAAGTCACGGTTTGGCTTAACATTATGTGGGAGCTGGGCAACTGTAAACATTTCAGCAAGGAAACAGCTTTTTTTCTCTTTAATGAAAAACCAGAGGGAAAATGTAACCCACACTGAGCCTCTGAGATAGAGCGGGATAAAGTGAAGATCCTCATTTTGTTTTGTTTTGTGTTTACATTTTTATGCTTGTTATTTTATCACCTGTCTCCTCAAAATATAATGGGATAAAAAATAAATATGGATATTTCCCATTTTGTAGCAATGTTTTCCAAGAATAGTTCACATATGTAAGATATTGGGCTATTATGGTGCCAAGCACCATAAAAGCCTTTCTATGAAATCCTATATCATGTATAGGCTACCAGTGTGGTTGGTCTTAAATGTGACAATCACAGATGATTAACTCAGCAAATCTAGGAATTCTATACTACAGCTTTGTTTTTCAGAAGATGTGTTACTCCTGTTAATCTATGAATTATAGCAGCTGTCTAGTTAGATATACTTCAAGACATAATGGTCCCTCTATTACATATGTGGTAAAATAAAGGTCTCAGTGGGCACTTTCTACTTTTTACACTGCTATTAAAAAATCTAAGATGCATTCATAAAACACAGGGAACTCAGGGGAATTCTGGTTTGCAATATTAATACCATAAATAAGATTAAAATTGGTGTACTATCATGTAAGAGGGATTCTCTTGGTTACATTCATACAGAACCAATTTGTAGGATTTTGATTGATGGCATAGGAATGCTCTGAGAAACACATTAGTGGAATATAATGTCTATATGTACATAACAGTCGCATTGTTCTCTTTTCAGTGGACATAATATGTTTCTTTAAAAATGTCTTTATCAATCTTCATGTTGTAGATGCAAAGGAACATGAAAAAAGCCCAGTGCTGTCAGTGTAATAAAACAACTTAGGCTCAGAATGACAACAATGGTAGCTTGTTCATTTGCTGTCTAAATATGGGTGTGTGTGTGTGTGTGTGTGTGTGTGTATGTTAGGATAACAAAATAAAACTTTGGTTTTAAAAAGATGTTTCATCTTTTGAGTTTTGCAAGTTGAGAACATTTCCCTCTTATGCCTTTGATATTGTCAGGAATTTTTTTTAATACTATAAGTGTGCATTTTAAAATCTTCAGCCATAATTATATCAAACAGATTGTTGTATGTACAATACATTCTATTTTAAAGTATACACAAACATATACAGCTACTTACAATAGGTAAAAACTTGTTGTCATTTGCCATAAACAACAACCTCCACTGTTTGCTTGGAAATAAGTCAATTTACTTCAATAAATGTCCACATGAATGCATCCTCTACCTCTCCTTCACATCAGAACCAGTGAAGGCGGTGAAGGTCCTCAATCTAGAGGCAGATGGTGCACGGATGGCAGCTAACAGATTGAGGTTGAATCCTGACAAGACAGAAGTACTGTTTTTGGGCAGGAAGGTGTGGAGGACTCCCTGGTCCTGAATGGGGTAACTGTGCCCCTGAAGGACCAGGTGTGCAACCTGGGAGTCATTTTGGACTCTCAGCTGTCTATGGAGGTGCAAGTCAATTCTATGTCCAGGGCAGCTGTCTACCACCTCCAACTGGTACACCGGCTGGTACACCGGCTGAGACCATACCTGCCTGCAGACTGTCTCGCCAGAGTGGTGCATGCTCTGCTTATCTCCCACTTGGACTACTGCAATGCGCTCTGTGTGGGGCTGCCTTTGAAGGTGATTCAGAAACTACAACTAATTCAGAATGCGGCAGCTAGACTGGTGACCGGGAGTAGCCACTGGGACCATATAACACTGGTTCTAAAGGATCTTCATTGGCCTCAGCCCAGACACTGAAGTCCTCCTCAGAGGGTCTTCTGCTGGTTCCCTCACTGTGAGAAGTGAAGTTACAGGGAACCAGGCAGAGGGCTTTCTCAGTAGTGACGCCATCCCTATGGAACACTCTCCCTTCAGATGTAAAGGAAATAAACAACTAGACATCTGAAGGCACTCCTGTATAGGGAGGTTTTTAATGTTTGATGCTTTATTATGTTTGATATATTCTGTAAGCCACCCAGAATGGCTGGGGAAACCCCGCCAGATGGGTCGGGTGGTATTATTATTATTATTATTAAGCGGGTGCAATGAGATATGAGACAGTGCAGGGCCCAATTTTTTTATGCATTATAAAGTGTGGGTGGGCAGATGATTTAAAGTGCAACATATGTCAGTGGGAGGGAACAGCTGGACCTCCAACATACCTGCACATTTGATTTTTCTCTTGGGGTGCTTCCTGCTAGCTTTGGATACCCTCAAAGAGAAATATCATTAGGGTAAAACATGTGAAGACAGACTCTGGATTGAGAGGACATGACCAATAGTGAGTCCAATGTTCAAGAAGGCGGTTTCTGCACATGCTGTAGGAGGAAGTGAGGGGCAGATAGGGCTCATGAGCCTGGGATGGTAGCCCATCTAGGAGAAGGAAAACTCTCGATTCTAAAGCAAGGGCTAAGGAGTAAACGCTACACATATCCGGAGTGGAGTCCCTAAGACAGTTAGATGGCAACTACAGCAGCCAAGTTGGTTCCAAACAGATTGCTCTGCTTTCCCTTGGACCACATCAGCAAGGCCAAGAGGAGGGTCTTGTTGTCTGGGCAGCCCAGGATTTCCATAAACACTGTCCAGGCTTGCATCCCAGAGAAGTCACTTCGGTACTGCTAACACAGCAATTTGACTTCACCCCCAGAGGCCCACTCCATTGTCTTTCAAGACAGATGGATGCCAACAAAACAGCGGCAGGTATCAAACAGCTGGTCTGCTGTCATTATGTCCATTTTCAGCCAAATGTCTTAAAACATTCACTTTTTTTACTATGCAAAAGTAGCTTGCTGTTGTGCACTTCTCCAAAGCCTACAGACAGAAATTATTGCTTATTTTCCAAGGGTTGTATCCAGCTTATGGTCAAAGTAGACCTATTGAAATCAATGAACAGGGCTAATGTATGTGCATTGATTTCAATGGATCTATACCGAGTATGAGTTAGTTGGATACAACTCTTCTGAATTACCCATTTAGCAGTTTTATTAATGTCAAAATGGATGCAAAATCAAGAAAAAATGGCTAATAGGTTTGCTGACTATAAATGCTTTCTCCTTAGAAAAGATCCCTTTGAGAAAAAGTAAACAAATACGGATTAATTGGATTAAAGTGTCAAACTAATCAGTTACATTAATGCAAAGTGAAAGAAGGAAATTAAACTGAAGCTGGGGGTACAAAATAAGCTATGTTCTAGTACAACACACTATGTGGGGCTACCGCAAAGCATGTTCCAAAAAGAAAGCCAGATTGCTTTCTGGCATGCAGTTTGTTGACCATATTACACTAGGTTCTGTAACAACTGCACTGGTTTACAATTTGTTTCTGGGCACCATTCAAGGTGCTGGTTCTTAACTCTAAAGACCTAAATGGTTTGTTGCCAGAGTATCTGAAAGGCCACCTACCTTTAATTTAAGATCACCTTTGGCGGCTTCGCTATTTGTTGTACCAGCAAGAAAGCTAGATTGGTGGAAGCATAGGACAGGGCTGTTGCTGTGGTAGTACATTGTCTATGGGACTTTTTGCTCTGCATGACTTTGGCTGGTTTTAAGTGAAATTACTTCCACATTTTAAAAAATTTAAATCATACTAATCTGCCATGGTATTGTTTCAAAGTTTTGAAGCTAACTTTTTTCAAATTGTGGATAGTCTCAGTTGTTCTTTGGGGCCAAAAGGCAACTCAGTATTATAAATAAAATAAATTGCTTATCAAGACAGATACCTGATTTACAGTTAGAACAGATACCAGAAGAAAAACATCTCTTCTACTAGTCTTGACATCAAAGTCTCTGATATAGACAGTTGCCCATGAGTGTCACAAGGAAAAATGTGTGCAGTATTCAATACAGCTCATGATTGCAATTATTCTTATTTGCACTAAAAGCAAGTGGAGAGGAACCATTTAATACAAACCACACTAGGACAACAGGGATTGCATGTAACACAGTATGTATGTGCATCTAGGCAGAGCTGATTCAGCTTACCAGAGCTACCCTGCATGTAGATCTAAATTTACCCTTTTCCCCACATCCATGCTACTGCTGACCTACACCTATGGTGCGCCCAAGGCAATTTCTGGATTGGACCAGATAAGATTTTGTTCTTAAAAGATACACCAGTTACAAAGCTGTAGCATTCTTACCTGAATTGCTTGCAACATCCCAACACTTTGGTATGTTCTTTCAACTGCTATTGTAATTAAACTACTGTTTTCCCAAATACATGCTTATGTCTGGCCAGTGTATTTACAGCATAAGGTTAGAGCCCAATGTTTCAATGCAAGGGAAAGCATGCACCCAGTGTACAAAATAGTGTAAAGTTGTACAAAATCAAGGATCAGAGAAGGTGAAACTTGAAAGGAGTCATAAAGTTAGTGATTAAAGATGGTGCATCATATTGCATGATAATCTCAGCAGAAACTGTAGACTCAAGAGCAGTTCCATTTAAATGACTGGACATTACTAATTTAGGCCCATTAATTTCAAAGGAACTGCTCTAACTCATTTGACTACAACTTTGCATACTGACAAAATGAAATACTTTCAAAAGCATTGTACTCTAAAATAAGCTATATACATCTCCATGATGACTTACCATCAGAACTTGTAAGTACAAAGTTCTCAGCGTGAGTTTGTCTCTTTCCACCAAAACTTTTGGGAAACCAGTGAAGATCGATGGGATAGATATCATCAGGAAGCTTCGCTACTTGTGTTGTTTCACCATTTAACAAGTTCCATTTAATAATTTGGTGATCATCACTGCATGAATAAAGATCGTCTGCTGTTGTCCAGCCTACACAACTAACCAATTCCTTATGTTTTAACAGAATTAAGGAATTTAAGAATATTGGTACAGTTAAATCTTCATACATACTGGCAAAGACATATTTTTTCTTCATTAAACTTTTTTGAAAACATGAGTTACCGTAAAATTATTTAAACAAAAAAGATGCAAGGGGTTGGTAAAGAGAGCTCAACAATTATACATACCGATAATACTTTATTTCTTACTTATATTTTCTTTACAGTATTTTTCTTTAATGGGTTTTGAGATGAAGGGAGAACTCAAAACGTCTATAGCAGTGTTTCTGAAAATTGGGTCTCCCGCTGTTGTTGGACTACAACTCCCATCATCTCCAGCTAGCAGCAGCAGTTTGAGAAATACTGGTCTATAGTGTGCACTTATAGGTTGTAACTGGTTTTGCAAGGCCTCTTTAGTGATTATACTATTAGACTTATACAAATCATGAAAATGATAAAGGCTTTTTGAGCACCAAGCTTTAACATCTCCTACATAAAATCTTCCTAAAAAGGAAGGATAGTATGCTAATAACAATAGGAGAGGTGTACCTGGCCTTAATACACCCATCCAGGACTTTCAGGTATGAAATATGCAAAGGGATAGATTTTGACCTTCTTTACAAGTGCTCTTAAAAACCAACAACTGGACCAAGTTCATAAAGGACTAGAAAAGTTGCATCTGCTGGTTGTCTAAGCACTAAGAAACCTGGAATATCTTTGTGGTCCATATAAAGCTGGCTTTAAAATATGATGCTGGCTCTTAGGACTTAGAAATACAGTGGTACCTCTGGTTACGAACTTAATTAGTTCCGGAGGTCCATTCTTAACCTGAAACTGTTCTTAACCTGAGGTACCACTTTAGCTAATGGGGCCTCCCACTGCTGATTTCCTCTTTGTTTTCCCTTAGTTTGAAAAGGTCCATTATGATTAGCACTAACCAGGAATTACATGCAAACCATTATTTGAAGCTATGTTTTGTAGGTAATCCAATTTAGTGCTTATTGGTTTGCCCAACTCAAGACACAACAAACAATATTTTTTATTTTACAAGATTTATAGACTGCTTAATTTAAAAAGGAATTAAATAGTTTACATAAAGTAGTATACAGTGGAACCTCAGGTTGTGAACGTGATCCGTGCGGGAGGCACGTTTGCAACCTGCAGCGCGTCTGCGCACGTGTGGGTTGCAATTCGGCGCTTCTGTGCATGCGCAAAGCGCCATTTAGTGCTTCTGCGCATGCGCCGAAAACTGGAAGTAACCCGTTCCGGTACTTCTGGGTTCGGCGCGCAACCGGAAATTGCGTAACCTGAAGCGTCTGTAACCCGAGGTACCACTGTACTAATTAACCAGAAAAGAGAGCAGTGAATATGTGAGCCCATTGTATGTTCTGGGTGGTTTGGAGGCTTAAAATATATTTTAATTCAACCTTTGATGTCTAGTGCAAAGCTTTCTGTGCTTTGTGAGCCAATGGTGTGCCACTCTTGTGCTGCATAGATCATATGTGTAGTACAAGGAACTTGAATATGGGGATACAGAAGTAACATCAAATAGCTAGCACTAAAACTGTTTACAATAACTTATCAACCAATAACCTTTTGCATGTCTGAGCATCAGTGACTTTTCCTCACAGATTTAAAGGTTCCATGATAACATCAGTGCATGAACAGGAACTAGATTCTATATGGGCACTTTCTTTTCTTCCACACTTCAATGCAACAGATGCTGTTAAACTTTGCATAATTTTCCTAACTCAAGCAGAAGCAAATACATGGGCAGAAGGATTATTGCCCCTCCTCAAAAACTGTGCTGTTTTCTCAAGGAATGTAAGAGTTCAGTTGGATAAGACCAAAAGCCTGTCTAGTCAACCATCCTGTTTCACAAAGTGGCCAACCAGATGCATCTGGGAAGGCAACAAAAAGATTAGACTGACCAGCTCAATTGAGAGCATTCACTTTAGTCGTGAACATGTTAATAGTGATTTGTATTTTACAAGTGGGGTGTTATAGTTCCTGATATCTTTTTTTTTTTAATTCTCTTACACAGATGGGATTATTCTAACAGCCCTTAAGATGCTGTTCAATGATAAGTCTTCTATCTTCCCTGGCTGCACAACAATATCAATATCCATTTGCTCAAAAACAGTAGGTCTGATGTTACTGTCTGAAACTGGACTGGTTTTCATGTCACAGTAAGTGACAGTTAATGGGTTTTTGAGAATGTGCAAACCCTGCTTAACTCTTCTCCTAGGACAAGAGCAACACAGTGTTGCCTAGCCGAGTGCTATCTGAATCAGGTATCATAGTTTGCTTTCCTTACAACCCTTGGCTGACTATCACTGTTTGTTTGGAACTAAAGTGAAGTCGGTGAAGGTCCTGTGTGAGTGTCTGGTTGGAGGTTGGATGGCAGCTAAGAGATTGAAATTGAATCCTGACAAGACAGAAGTACTGTTTTTGAGGGACAGGAGGCAGGCAGGTGTGGGGGATTCCCTGGTCCTGAATGGGGTAACTGTGCCCCTGAAGGGCTAGGTGCGCAGTCTGGAAGTCATTTTGGTCTCACAGCTGTCCATGGAGCCACAGGTCAATTCTGTGTCCAGGGCAGCTGTGTATCAGCTCCATCTGGTATGCAGGCTGAGACCCTACCTGCCTGCGGACTGTCTCGCCAGAGTGGTGCATGCTCTGGTTATCTCTTGCTTGGACTACTGAAATGTGCTCTATGTGGTGCTACCTTTGAAGGTGACCCAGAAACTAATCCAAAATGTGGCAGGTAGACTGGTGACTGGGAGCAGCCGCCGAGACCACATAACACCAGTCTTGAAAGACCTACATTGGCTCCCACTACGTTTCTGAGCACAATTCAAAGTGTTGGTGCTGACCTTTAAAGCCCTAAACGGCCTCGGTCCAGTATACCTGAAGGAGCGTCTCCACCCCCATCGTTCTGCCCGGACACTGAGGTCCAGTGCCGAGGGCCTTCTGGCGGTTCCCTCGCCTTCTCAGTGGTGGCACCCGCCCTGTGGAATGCCCTCCCAGCAGATGTCAAAGAGAAAAACAACTACCAGACTTTTAGAAGACATCTGAAGGCAGCCTTGTTTAGGGAAACTTTTAATGTTTAATAGACTATTGCATTTTAATATCCTGTTGGAAACCACCCAGAGTGGCTAGGGAAACCCAGCCAGATGGGCGGGGTATAAATAATAAATTATTATTATATTATTATAAACAAATCACACTGATACCAGGTTTAGACATAACACTAAGCCAGGGATTGTGGTTTGTTGCTCGCATTCACACTAAGGGATCAAAGGCAGTTTACCACAATATGTAAACTGGACCATTGTAGGACAAAGTCTGTTGTCAAAAATTTTGTGTCTTTCTTACAGGGTTTGAGCTCTGAGAGATACAAAATTTTATTTTGATACATTTGTGATTTTTTTAAAAACCACATTGTTACAAGCACTGAGAAATATCAGAACATTGTCAGCTATGCCTATGACATAGGTTTGAGATGAAGAAAGGATATGTTTTGGTTCCTTCAACAGAGATGTCTTTAATCTCATTATGATTTCTGTTATTGATCATCCAGTTGCTACATTGATAAAAAAAATCTTCTTGGTTGCACAGTCAAGACCTGTAAAACACATACAAAAAAGTAACCTGTACTAAAATATTAATACTCACATTTTAATCAATCATTACCTTCTCTGGCCCAAAGTGGTAATGCAAAGTGCTACAGATTTATGCATAAAGATGAGGAAGTGTTTGTATTAACTTTTCAATATAGTCAGATACTTTGGGAAAGCTCTGGACCCATTCCTGGCAATAAAATGCCAAGTTACAAATAATTGTTGGAAGAAAAAAATGATTACAAAAGGTTCTGCAGAAATAATGGACTTTAGAGAACTTCTTCAATTGCCATAACTCCCATTAATGTAAATTAATGGACACTTTCTTATTCACAAGAGAATATGCCATTATGCACAACATATGCCCTCTAACCTCTTGGGATTCCAGCAACATAGATACTACAACCCACCAAGGAGTTACTATGCAAGGATTTAGCAACAGAAGCAGGCCTTGCAATGATTTGCAGTCTTTTGGTTCCTGGCAGTTGACTACACAATATTGGTTTTGAGCCTATTGTGCTTTATTGTTACTGATTTTGTTCTCAATCATTGGCAAAGCTTTAACTGATATTAACTGACCAGACAAAGTAACACCTTGGCAACACAATCCAATGCTTGTTTACTTAGAAGTAAGGCCTATTGACTTTAATGTGGCTTACTCTGATATAAGTGTGCAATTAATTGTAGCCTCAGAGTGAAATATAGGGTTCAAATTATAATGGACATATGGAATTTTTTCCCTTGGGAATTTGAAAAGAATGGGGAAAACAGTTCTTTCATGACATTTTTAGTGCAGAAAAAACCTCTAAGTACCTTCCATAATCCCAAAGCACCTATGCAGAATAAAATCCTCATTCCTTTTTTGTTTTGTTTTTTAAAAAGCATGTGCTGAAACAGGGGGACAACCTGCTTTAGTTAACATATTCCATTGGCTTCTATGAAATACTTTAGTTTCTCTTACTGATGCTCCACATATGAACAGAAATGGCCATGCATTTGCCTATGATTCTAGGACCATTTCATCGACAAAGTAACCTCTGCAATCAATCAATCAATCACTGCAGTATGGGAACCAGAAGATTTTGTTTCAAAGGCTACATCTGTACAACAGCAGCAGCAGCAGCAGCAGCAGCAGCATCTTCCGAACCCCTTTTCTTTTCAGGGCTTTGAAAGCTGTTCCGAGTAAAACGGGATTAAAAATTAAGGGGAAAGCTGCATGTCAGGCTGTAGGCAGGCCTCCCTTCACCCCCCCCCCGTAAAGTCCACTGTTGCTTTCTATTCCCAGGTTAATAACTCCCGAGAGCTTCAGTGGGGTCACCCCCAAGGAAGAGAGAGAGAGGACTGCAACATTGGAGCCTTGGAAGTGATACGAGAAAGAAAGGCACCGTTGCGTACCTGGCTATAACACATTTTTGCAAAACCTGCGCATACTAAAGACCCCGGAGGTTTCGGCGGCCAGTCACTCGCTGAGTTCTCTGGACCTGACCATTTCCCATTCCCTCGCCCGCCCGCCTCACACCTGCTCCTTCCTTTTTTACCTGTGCAAGGTGAGCACCTAGTCCAAGCGCCGTACCTCTGAGAGGAACTCGGAGCGCTGAGGCCTCTGCTCCTTGTCTCCGCGCCCGCTTGCCAGTCAGGTATTACCGCTCCAAGAGCCCTCAGAAGTTCGCCTTTCTGGCCAAAAGCACTCCCTCCCTCCTCAGCGCTGTTGATGCCAACCGTGAGCGGGAAGCCGTTCGGTCTCTATAGCGACTTCCCGCGAGATTTTTCACTCCCCCCACCCCCCGCGAGGTTTCGTTACACTCTCCTTCCCACCTCAGACCCTCCCAGAGCGTGTGACGCCGGCCGTGACGTCAGGGGGCTGACCTGTCAAATTTGTATTAAATGCATCAATATTTTAATATAGCTATATCTATATACGTATAAAAATCAGTTTCTCGTTATTCCTCCGCTGTTTGTTATATTCTATTGGATCTTGTTGCTAGGTGACCGATTCCGCCTGTCCGATTATCCGCGGGAGGGGCTCGGCTCCTTTCCCCTTTTCGTTACATTTGGATATTTTATATTTTAAACCTATGTTCAAAAGCATTCTATACACACGCACCACATATACGGTATACTGTATATACTTCTCTATTTTTTGGAGGGGGGGATGCTGAGGAAAGCATGACGTGACAACCCCCCCTTTCCGCTAACTAACGGAAAACAAGATGGCGGCGCGAGAGGGTTTCCCCCCCTCCTTTTTCCTCTCTTCGTTTTTTTCCCCTCCTTTCAAACCTGTGGGAAGCCGGCCCCTTTTTTCATTCCCCAGCGTGCTTTGCGCGTTTCTAACGAATTTCGTTACGAGTTTGCCGTTTGGGCGCCATTTTCGAGTGTAGAAGCCGCCAAGGCTGCAGGCAGGAAAAGGGAGCTTTCTGCAGCTCGCGCCGCTGCTACGTTGGGAGCGCCGTCGGCCCTCGCTCCAGGTTGCCTGTTCTGGGCCGTGGATGGGGACGACGTACTCTGACTCTGCCTGGTAAGAAGACCTTTTTTGGGGGAAGAACTGTTCTTGCTTTTAGGTTTTTGGGGGAAGAGAGTTTTGAGAAGCTTCCCTCCCTGCAGTTAAGAATGGTGGGTGAAACTTTCAGTAAGGTTCATGGACTTGGCTGGTGCTTACTGGTACTTAGGAAACTTGTTCGCTTAAAAAAATTTTTTTTTCTTCAATATTAAAAATAAAACTCCCGCAAACTATTCTATGAGGAAAAAGGCGGCAGCCTTCTCTCTCCCCCTCCCCTCCCCAAACCGGCCGCTTTTTCCTTCTCCCCCGCTTTCCCCCCTACCCGCCTCCGTGGGGGTGGGGTGAAAAGCTATATTTGCTGGCGATTTCCGTTGCTATCGCTAAAAGCAAGTTAGTCTCCTTCCATTCGCTCCTTGCATTTTTTTAAATTTTTTAAAAAAAATTTTGCTGATTTTGGTATAGGCTGTCAGAGACTATAATTATAATTTTCTTTAAAAATAGGTTATTTCCCCCCACCGTGATTTTTATAGTCGCCTGAAGGATTTAATTCTTAGCCGTTGGAGCGGTGAAGTAGATATTTCCCCTTCCCCCCTCCCGCGAAAAAAATGACTTCAACTGGTTGCTCTCGGTAAAAAGGCACGTACGCATCGGAGTCTAAGGGGAGGGAGGGCTGGATGATTCCAATGCATTCTTAAAGAGCATGCATGCCAAACTATTTATTTTTAAAACTTTTGCGTTCGGTTCACAGCAAAGTTTTTTTTTTAATTTTCATTTCGCGGCCCTGACCTGATGAGTGATATTTGGCAGTAGTAGGTCTGTAAGTGCTTTTAGTAAAGCACCACTAATTAGACCCCCTTGATTGGAAGCAAGCTACGAAGGGGTGGGGTGCGGGGAGGAGGTGATGGATTTATGAAGGGTAAAAAGCCCGATTCATTTATTAGGGCGCTTAATTTCCCACAATACTTGTGAGATAACGTGCATAAATTAAAACAGCCGTTGCTTTGCAAACCTATTAACGTTTGAAAGCCAACGTCACTTCTTTCAGTCGGATTCCTTTGGACTCCTGGAGGCTATAAATGTCAGTGAAGTATATTACAGTATCTTTCCTGAGTATGCTATTGGCTTAAAGACAACGTTAATAAGCCTATTTAATTATTGGGTGTGGGTAAAATTAATACAAAACAGTCCTCATCCTATATGCATGGGCTGAGATTTTTTATTTGATGTCAGTTATTTGAAGAGGTCTTTTGAACATGATTTTAATAAACCTTGATTATGAGAAACAAATTAACATCTCCCCTTTCAGTCGTCCCCCCCTTATGTTATATACTTAAATATGGGCTTTCTTGAATTACTCTCTAGTCAGGTACCAGTAAAAAAAAGGTTGTCCTCATTTCAAGTTTTACAGTTATCTTCATTGGAATAAAAGAATGAGAACACATCTTGTTAAGGACTTTATTAAATTATTTAAGCAATACTAGACTAATTCTTGAGTCTTGAACCTGAACAGAATCCTTTAAAAATAATTCAAATAAAGGGCTGGAGATTACACTTCTTTATTGTAAAGTGATTTCTGCATTTAAGGAGATTACACCTATTAATTCTGGTTAATAAAATAGGCAATATTTTTGTTTTCTGTTAAATTAGTTAACTTTTCAATATATTGAGTTAATATGAGTTGTAAATTGTCAGTTACAGTGAAGAATGGGATGAGAGGTACTACACACTTGTCATAATAGCTTGCCAAATTGCAAAATTAACCCACATTTTAGATTAATATTAGGCACTGGACGCACAACTTTATCATTTTTTTAAAGTAATATTTAGGTCATTGGGATTTTTTTGTTTGCATTAACAAAGACGATAACGGCTTCTGTAGTTTGGTTGTTTGGAATCGGAACAGCTAACTGAAATCATGCCAAGAAAAAGAGCTAAAATATCTACAGCAGCCCATCACAAAGGCAATGAACCCTTGGATGACTCCTTCAGTGATGGGGAACCTGAAAAAGTAGCCAATATGCACACCCCTGAAGTACCTCAGCAAGGTCAGTTTCTCTTCATCTTTATATATTTGGCTCATAAACTTGGCCCTGGAGGTGTCCTGCTTAGAAGCTAGGACAAGTTCAACTTTGCCTTTAACTCTGTGATGTTTTCCACATTAGTTATAAATGTTTCAGGTTAATGTGGTGTTAGAGGCAGTATCTGTCTTCTTATTCCTAGTGTTTAGCCTGTACTCCTTATATTGTGCCAGAAAAGCAAGAAATGATTTAAACAGATATAATTTTGAGGTGGTGTGAGAGTAGTTGTTTGCATCTTGTGTGTCCTTAGGCAAGTACTGTGTATATTTTAAACATGTTTGAGCTTTGCATCTTGTATTGAGAACGTCTGCATTGAAACGAAGCAGTAGGCCACATAATACAGTACATTGGTCATCAGACATTTAGGATTTTATTGGTGAATGGGTTAATAACTGAAAAGTGACACCAACAAATTATTCAAAGAAAACGTTGCCTCAATGAGTTAAAAATTTGTTCTACGTCTTCTTGAAATCTAAGTGGCCAGTTTTCTCTGTGTGTGACAAACTTCCTGTCTTTGAGGAATAGTGCTGTTGCTGTCATTACAGCTTGCAGGGCATTGTGCAGAGATCCTCAGACCACCTCCTTTACAGTGTACGTAAGCTCTGAGCATGCCTGAAAATGCAAGTCTGTAGAAAAAGTTGTTTTCTTTGGATTTGTATGGATGAAAGACTCTTATTGCCAGCATATTACTTTGAAAATGTTGTGGCTTTAAAGTACAGTTCTAGTGGTAGAATAAGTTTGCTTGTAAATGGAAGCAACGTTCTAGATCCTTTTCCTAGTAATTCAGCCTGTGGATAGAAATGTGTTGATTCTTGTATAGTAACAGTGTTACTGGAAGGGGGGATTCTTCTGTTTTTACTACAGAGATGAAATATTTGTAGGTGTATGTAGTCATTAAGTTCGTGTGTCTTTCTGCTTTTGTTTGGAAATTTCTAGCAGTCTCAGACGGAGTAGTTGACAATCGCAGTTTAGAAGAGATTTTGAGTAGCATCTCTCCTCCCCCACCTCCAGCAATGACCAATGAAGCTGGAGCTCCTCGTCTCATGATAACTCACATTGTAAACCAGAACTTCAAATCTTATGCTGGGGAGAAAATTCTAGGACCGTTTCATAAGGTATCTTTCTTTTTTAAGTGACTTCTAAGTTGAGGTAAGACTTTCTTTTGACTTAGCTGCTCATAATAAAGTGAAAATTACAGATTGCTAAGTAACATGGGGGGGCTTTAAATGAAAGAATGTGAATTACTATTGTCTGTACTTCTGTTTTCAAGATCTTGCTTTCTGTGGAATTCATCTAGAAAAGGATGCATCTTTTTCTGTTACGAATAATTATCAATAATTCACTTATACAATATGAGTCCATGTTAATTTGAAAACATATTGATACCCTTCAAGTAGCTAATTATAAACATGCTTCTTTGTAACATTTTGCTTGCTGAATGCAGCTCATTTTGCAGAGTTCACAGGATAAAACTTCAGAAATTTGAGCTAATAGGAGGTGTCTTTGAATAGGTTGTACTTTCTACCGTTGGCTGTAAAAACTAAGCTTTCCAGTAGTTCACAATTTCCTGCACTAGGTGTAATGATATTTTAAACTGTCTACAACGCAAAGAAGCATAATTGCTAGTGGTTATTAAAGTGGAGTGCTTTCTTTTTTCTGTTATGCAGCGTTTTTCTTGCATTATTGGACCAAATGGCAGTGGAAAGTCCAATGTGATTGATTCTATGCTCTTTGTTTTTGGTTATCGAGCACAAAAAATAAGATCCAAAAAACTTTCAGTTCTGATCCATAATTCTGATGAGCATAGTGATATTCAAAGTTGCACAGTAGAAGTTCATTTTCAAAAGATCATTGACAAGGTATGTTTTACTTTTGTTAAAGTTGGGGAAGGTTTATCATATAATGTCCTATATCATTTTATTGAAACATTGTGCCTTTCTAGTTTTCTGTGTTAAGAGTTCTGAAAGGTATTTGATATACTTAAAATCCAATTCTGTGCATGTACTCAGAAGTAGGTGCCACTGTTTATTGGGGCTTAGTCCCAAATAAGTGTGCATAGGACTGCAGCAGTGGAGTTCCATTTCTGCTTCATAAGTATATTTAAGTATATTTAACTTGAAAAGTATTGTCTGCACATATTACTTACAGCAATGTAAAGCTTATTCTACTTTCAGTTTAAAGTATGTTTAAGCTAGATAAGCATATTACAGGAACTGCTGTAGAACTGAAAAGGTTTTATATGATTCAGGCTAGATACAGGGTTGTGTGTGGTGTATATGTAAACTATAAATGTACTCTGAAAGACCACCTTAAAGTCATCATCCTTCCAATAGCAACATATACTGACTTAAAATAAATTTTTAAACTAATTTTTGGTATGGTTTATTATAAATTACAAACCTGTAGACACTACATATCTGTTTAAAATTACATGATTTGCAAATTTTTTATATTTCCCCTTTCACAAGGGAAATAAATTAAAAAATTGTCCAGTAGCACCTTAGAGAACCAACTAAGTTTGTTCTGGGTATAAGCTTTCGTATGCATGCACACTTCTTCAGATACACTGAAACAGAAGTCACTAGACCCTTATACAAGGGTTAGTGTTAAACTAAATTCAAATCATTTCTCTTGCTTTTCAAATTTGTGTGTGGGTAATATGTTAATATTGGACAAAAATGCACATCTGTGTGTATTTTTAAAAATAACCCCAATTAGCTCAGTAAAACATTACCAGGTTAACTGTCCAAATAGTAAAACCAGGAGGGGGATTCTTTGTACACAACTGGGGATGCTGTTGTGGCTGTGTGTGGTGTTTTTTTTAATTGTCAGCATTGGTGGTGTAATGAGCTGAAAAAGAATATTTTAAAATATATATTGAAACACTATCCTTCTAAATTAATACACATCTAAAATAGAAATAATATTCCATCAAAGCCAGCCACATACAGTCATATCTAATCTTCCATTTATGCTTTTTTAAATAATAAATCACTTTTCCATAAGTAATTTTTCTGTGGAATTTCTTTGGAACAAATTTAAGCTCTCAAGGAATTAGGCTAGGAGGACAAACAATTAAAAAAAATATTTTGTGGGATAAAATTTCATAGAAAAATATTTTTGCATTTTTTGAATATGGATTAAAACATTGTATGTGTGGCTTATCAAAGATCTGCTTAAGTCCATGCTTAATTTGTGTATATTTTTAGGATTTTTTTAAATAAGATGCTGTATTCCCAGTGTTTTAAAACTGCCTCTTTAAAATGGTTAACCTTGGGTACTGAAGGTTTTCTTTGCTGAAAACTGGGAGTAACTTCTCTGAACTGATAGGAAACTGCTTTGCAAGTTGACAGGAACAAGATAGGAGAAGGGTAGCTGTTCTACAATATGGTGGTAGGCAAAAGACTAAGGCTACAATTCTATTCACAGATATTTTGGAGTATCCCACTGAACTGTGTTGTGATTGCATGTTTTCTCAGAAGTAAATATTAGTCTGCACATTAAGTTGTTGAAATCCTATCCTACTAAATTTTGAAAAATTGGAGAGGTTCTGTGTTTCCAAGACATTATCTGACAGCAAAAATGCTGGCATGACTAATAAAGGGCATATGTTATAAGATTTATTATGAGTTTGAATGTCAGAGTTAACTAGGATATAACAGATTTTTGAAAATAAATTATTTAATTTTGAAATCTTGGGTAGACCTGTGGCTTAAAACTAACAATTGTTTTTCTGGGTTTGTTTTCCTTCAAAACAGGAAGGGGATGATTATGAAGTCATTCCCAACAGCAATTTCTATGTCTCCAGAACAGCCTACAAAGATAATTCTTCCGTGTACCATATCAGTGGGAAGAAATCAACGTTTAAAGATGTTGGGTTTCTACTTCGAAGTCATGGAATTGACCTAGATCATAATAGGTTCTTGATTTTACAGGTAATTCTTTGAATAATATTGTTACTAAATTATTATTTTTCTAACTGCATTAGTTTAGGTATATCGGAGTAAGTCTTGTGTTCTAGAAACCTTACAGTACTCTAGCAGCACATCATGATTTGTATGTCATAGTAAATATGCAAGTCATTATATGCTGCTTTAGAATTTTAAGGAAAATCTTTTCTGGTATTATGGGTTTTTTTTGTGTTGTAGGCAGACAAGTGAGTAGAACAATTGTTATACTTGTTCCGCCCTAGCAGCACGTAAATATTGGTGTAGTGAAGATAATCTTAACCCCAATATTATTGTGCTGCTTAAGCGTAGCAGGGATTAAGCAACATTGTTGTTTCTTTCTGTCCTACATGCCATGTTAATTCAGTACTGAAATGTATAGATATTAACTACAGTATATGGTTGAAATGAACATTGCCATTTTCCTTTGACATCTTTCTAGCCTCAGAAGCATGAATAGATACAAAATTAACCAAATCATGCACTCTGAAAGATCAAATTTCATCTTTTACAAATAGTTTAAATTTTCACAATAGTGTATGATTGGACCATTTATAACTGGATTTAACAACAAATATTCACTACTCATGCTACTTAAATAAAAGTTTCATATGTGACACAAACAATTCCTCTTCTGGGAGAAAATTGGTGTAACCTGATATTTGCTAATTTCCACTTTCTGTTTCATGATTATGGCTGAATCCCCACACTAATCACCAGGGAAAGACTTTTGTAAGAAACCTATGGAATCTTAACAACAAGTACAAAGTACAGATTTTATTTGGAATTCATTCAGAAAATGTCAGGATACTATAGAAGGGCAAGCACTGGAAGTTATAAAGGTTGCAGTGGAAGGGTTGGTCTTCTGTACAATGCCAGCAAGCTTTGGGAATGTTCTTTGACATATATGTTGGAGGCACTTGTGTGGCCTGGGTACCGTTTGAAGCATGGGCTATAGCTCTGCCTACAAGCACTCTGATGTAAACATGTGCTGTATGCTTAAAGGGTATGGTCTCATTATATGTATGGATACAAGCAGTGTTAAAAACTCATATAAGCTAATCGCCAGATGGCGCTTTAAACCTTGGTTACGATTGCCACAACAGAATGTCTAGGTGCCATTCTCCACCCCCCCCCCCGTGAAGTTTGTTATTATTAATTTCATTTCTATACTGCTTTCTCTTCTAAAGAAAAATTCTCAATGCGGTTTACAGCACATTAGAACATCAAATAAAACAACCCAGAATAAAACAAATTCAAGGTTCAAGGAAAATATTTCAGATCCTTTTCTAAGGGACCTTTTGCTTTCCTTGTATTTATTCACCTGTTTAACTTATATATCTGCCCCATAGCAGAAGTACTGTAGAAAGCCAGTGTGGTATAGTGGTTAGAGTGTTTGACTAGGACCTGAGAGATCAGGGTTCAAATCCCCACTTGGTCATGAAGCTTACTAGGTGACCTTGGGCCAGTCACAGCCTCTTAGCCTACCTCCCAGGGTCGTTGTAGGGATTAATTTTAGAGGAGGGTGAACCATGTACTGCTTGAAGAAAAAGGTGGGATATAAATGCAGTAAATAAGCTCTTCTGCTTGAGAAAGCTGAAGAGGCCAGCCAGACGGTAATGCCAACCTGGCATCCAGAGATCTCTATGGTTGTAATTGGATTTGCGCCAGTCACAAACACACCTGGCACCTGGGGGATTTCTAGCACTGGATACAAGAATTTGTTTAGATTTGTTTGTTGCTTCCTTTTTTACCATATTCAGACAGGATCAGATTTTAATTTCATTGAACTTTGAAGAAATCAGACTGGTTATATAGTTAAGAATAAGAAACCGTAACCTTGTGTGGAATTATAGTAGCTGGATAAATGAATGCTCATTCTTCCAATATTTGCACAACTTTCATTTAGCATTCTTTTTTTTAATGTGCTTCATTTAATTGGTTACTTATTCATTGTGTCATAATGGGAATGCGTCATAATGGGAAGGTATGCTTCTCAGAATTGTTGAAATCAATGAATGAGTGTCATCAACATGCACATTTTATAAGATTAATAATAGTTACTTCCTTCAAAAAATAATAAATACCTGTTTTCACAATTAGTTATATAATATGCTAAAAGACCCTATTTTTTAATGCCCCAGGTTAAATAATGTACAGATTTATTACCCTATTCCAGCTCTTTGAATTATTTGTATTATTTAAAGAGGCATTATTTTCTAAGCACCCATACCTTTATAACTTATGATAACCTGTATGATTGGTTGGCAAGCTACATCCTTGAATGGTATTATTGTTTTCATTGGGCAACTGAGTAATTGAAATGTTGCTTATATTTGATTTGGTAAGCGATAATATGTACTATTTCTGTGCTAGTTTCTTTCCTTCTATCTCTCAAGTTCAAAAATGGGATATAACTAAATGCAAAACTAAACTAAGTTGATTTTCTGAAGCTTTTTGTATAGTAATTTCTAGAACATTTGAAGGCAAGTGGTTTGAATTTAAATCTAGACAATTTAATTAAGAAAATTCCTAATCTTAAATCAAGTTTCCATTTGTAGTTTAGATACTTATTAGACCAATCTACACACTAAGGACCTAACTATAGGCTAACTTATTTTAACCTCTATGTAGAACTAATATATTTAGCTGGAAGATAGTACCATCATTAATAAATATTTAGGTAGTGGTTTGGCAGAATGGAAGGCAGTCAAGCTTGTTTACCCAGTGCCCTGCTCACCCTCTCAGGTCTCACACTGTCAGGGCAGAAGTAAGAGCAGAGCAGCGCTCTTGTGTTCATACATCTTCAGTTTTGTGTTGGATTTTGGCTTTTTTTCTTCTACAGTGGTACCTCGGGTTACATACGCTTCAGGTTACAGACTCCGCTAACCCAGAAATAGTACCTCGGGTTAAGAACTTTGCTTCAGGATGAGAACAGAAATCACGCGGTAGCGGCGCGGCAGCAGTGGGAGGCCCCATTAGCTAAAGTGGTGCTTCAGGTTAAGAACAGTTTCAGGTTAAGAAAGGAACTTCGGAACGAATTAAGTACGTAACCAGAGGTACCAGTGTATTGGAAGCAGTTGAAACAAAATTGACAACACTAACACTATGTCTAGTGTAGCTTTCTTCCTGATTTGGGGGCATGTCAGGGACTAGGAAAACTTTAGATCCATGCCTTCCCTTGCTCTATCTATGGCACTCCCCCTTTTCGGCCTTACTGATGTTGGAGCTCTAACCTTGGTAGGGCAAGGCCACAAGTTTCCAGTCAGAGCTCCCTCTCTGAGGTTGTACTTCTCACTTAGTGTAGGAGTTTCAATAGTTCCTATAGCCCAGGCATGTCCAAAGTCCGTTTCAGTGGCTCAACAATCTAAAAAAAGGTCAACAACTGTGGTTGGCCCTTTGGTCCGCCCTCACAGCCCTTCACTTCATCAAATCTGGCCCTCTTTGAAAAAAGTTTGGACACCACTGCTATAGTCCCTGTGACTCTTCTTCAGGGATCATAGGATTGCAGGGCCTCTTAGAAAGAAGTTATATGAAGCATTGTTTATTTAACTAATAACTGACTCTTTTCTCAAAATTTTGTGCCTCTCTGTAGTAGTGTGGTAACTGGAAGTTAATGATGGACAATATACCAAAGAATTGGTTAGTATTTTTTATTTTAAACTATGGATTTTTCCCCTCAGTGCCATTCTGTATACCTTCAAACAAACTGAGCAAGAACCTTTAATTGCAGGTTAAAAGGTAAAGGTACCCCTGCCCGTACTGGCCAGTCGTGACCGACTCTGGGGTTGCGTGCTCATCTCGCTTAAGAGGTTGGGAGCCAGCGCTGTCCGAAGACACTTCCGGGTCACGTGGCCAGTGTTACGAAGCTGCTCTGGTGAGCCAGCACCAGTGCAGCGCACGGAAACGCCATTTACCTTCCCGCTATAAAGCGGTACCTATTTAGCTACTTGCACTTAGGGGTGCTTTTGAACTGCTAGGTGGGCAGGAGCTGGGACCGAAAGACGGGAGCTCACCCCGCCGCGGGGATTCGAACCGTCGACCATGCGATCGGCAAGTCCTAGGCCCTGAGGTTTTACCCACAGCGCCACCCGCGTCCCTTTTACTTGCAGGTTAAATGGTACTAAATGGCAATGTGGCTCAGAAGGATGGGTTTATAGTCGAATAGTATTTGTCCATCTCATGCAAAACTAATTTTCATGTGTGGTTGGTAGGTAGAGATATAAAATGGGGCTGTTTTTAATGTGTTGGCCTATCAGGATACTTAGCCCATTTGGACTCCACTTCAGGCAGCAAACTAAATTGGGCTGGTTCTACATGAACATTCATTGCAGATGACAGAACCCAAGAGAGATCAATGGAGGTTTCTGTTCCTGCATGTGGGGTGGGTATCACTAACTTTACTTTCTAGCTAACTTGCTTTCCCAGCTGTGGACTGATGCTCCAGAGGACCCCATGGGACTTTTTTGTATGGGGCAGTAAAGGGTGGAGGCTGACCATGTTGCACAAGTGGTGAGCCACAGAAATGACTCTATGAATACCTGTTCTTAAACAAGCAGCATAAGTTTAATGCACAAGATGACCCCTGCGGGTATGGCATCTGCTATGACTTGCTAGTCTTTGGCTACCAGTTTTGGACTCATAATAAATTTTAGCTGGAATCCAGAGATCCCCATGCATAAGTGGAAAGGGCTTCCACTGGGAGAAGGATTGCCTATTCTTCTACCATGTGCAGCTCTTCACTTAATGTTGAAGCTCACTGTTAACTGCCCCCTCCATGTTCAGCAGGTGTGAAGTATATCAGAGTTTAGGTGTGCCTGAAAAAAAAATCTGCAAGCAATCCTTTGGATCCCAGCCAAAATATGTGAATGTAAAGATGTAATTATAGTTCTTGACCTCAGCAGCTAGTTGTTTTTTCTCATGGTTCTTACTTCACATAGAATAGCAGTTTTATACACAAACTGTTTGATACTGTGTCACATGATCTATATGGAGAGGGTTCTGGATTCTAGCTTATAGCTAACTTGGTTCCATTTACTTCAGTGAGTCTTGGATGCGACTGTCAGTTTAATTATAATTTTAGGTTTGTCTTAAGATACTTGTATTATATTCATCTTTTCTTTCCCAGTTTATATAAAAAGATAAGCTTATACTATAACTAAAGTTATATTTTAGTTTTCTACTACCCATGATACTTGAAGGAAAAATGTTAGCAGTTAATCTGCAGCATCCTTGCTCAGCTAAAAATAATCAATTTTAAAATGTGTAGTAAATTTTACAAATAATTTTAATATTCTGATTACATTTTAAATGCATTTTTTCTTGAAAATCATCTTAGGTTTGAAAATATTTAAAATATTTTTAATTAAAATATTTTTAATTGTCTGCATTTTAATAGAAAGAACAACTTTAAAGTTGCATGATTCTGCCAAATTCATCATTGTAATTCCCTGGTTCTTATAGTTAGTTAAACTTTCCCCCATAGAAATCAGTGACACCTAAAAAATGCTTAACATTTAACTGGATGAGGCTCAAATGTATTTGCTAAACACCACCACACAATTTTATAAGTTTAGCTTCAATGTATACTTATACCAGTTATTTGTAGTATTACTCTGCTATGATTTTTGAAAAAAATATGCCATTATTCTTGCTTTAAAATCACACAAGTTCCTAAATCTGCACATCACAAATTGAATTTACTTTGTACGCAATGCAGCTTTTAACAACAACCTAATTTCTTAAAACTGGTAAAAGATAAAACTCTGAAGTATGTCAGGGTGTATTCAGATCAATTTCAAAAATATTGCATGTTTATGGTATAATTTAGAAGTAGAGGATTTTTGGTTTTGCATGTGGTGAGTTTTTATTTTGTATGATGTATTCTAACATCTATTACTGAAACCAAACAAAACTTAAGAAAAATCTGCCACAGTTGAATAATTGCAGCAACAACAAAAACTTGAGTTTTCCTGACAATTTACAAGTAGCTTGTATGCCTCATTTAAAAAAATTACACAAGCAGTAAAATATTGTTCCTATCGACTATTACACTTTCATTTATTTTTTGAACATATAGTACAGAGACTGTAATGGATAGCTCTTACAAGTCTATCAACAGATCTCTTAATCATTTATGTGGGATAGTGGTTGCTTTCATTGTTTCCTTCTCAAAATTACTATAAAGGCATATTGGAGCTTGTGCAGTTTAAGCATAGTCAAGTCATACTAACATGCTTATTTCAATGAAAGTATTGAGCACTTTCTTAAGTCTCTCCCAGTGAAAGCAAATATATTTTTAACGGTGCAATTCTATACATGGCTACTCAAAAGCAAGTCCTACTTAATTCAGTTGAGGCTTATTATGAGGAAACTGGTTTGCAGCCTAAAATACTGCACTGTGGAGTGTCTACACATTTTAAAATATATTTAACTGGTGTTAGTATTTTTATTGTATCTGTAAGTTTCTTTGAATCACTTGAGTAAAGTGACTAATAAAATAGCAAAAATATAGATTTTAAAACAACCTGTTTGATTTGCATTTCAAAGAACATAATATCCAGAATGTTAAAAAACAGTATTCAGTAATATTTCAGTAAAACGTATTTGGTGTGTATTGGTTACCCAGAGAAGCGTTTTGCTGTTGAATCTGAGGGTTGTTTCATGGTTCCCCCCTCCCTTTCTTTCTGTATTTTAAAAATAGTGAAAGTGAGTATTAAGGATTTCTTTGCTCTCTCTCTCTCTCTCTCTCTCTCTCTCTCTCTCTCTGTGTGTGTGTGTGTGTGTACACACAGACACACCAAATCAAAATAAAATATAGAAGTTGAATAAAATTCATGCAAAAATACAGTCATGTATGGTTTATTAAATTATTCTTTAGTCATTGTTTCCTTTTTTAATAAAACATAACTTTATTTTTTTAAAAACTAGAAGTAGTATCCATATTATTAAAATCATTGTGTAAATGGTAGCTCTTTATTTTAATGATTATATCGATGTTTGAGGTGATTATAACAGTATTATGCATGCAGTAATTTGTTTTTATAGTGCAAAAATGCAAATAGCTTTGCCAGCTGAAATCAACAAGTCCCTGTCAGAAGAGTAGTGAAAAAAGGCTATTTAACACTTAATAAAATATTAAAATAGGTGAAAGTCCCCAGTGTGGATAATTTTTATCAGGGTTTTCTGTTTGCACTTCTATTATAACATATCTAAAATCCATACTGATTTCTTTATATAATAATTAAAATACTGATTTTCAGCTAAGTTGGGTCCACATTTATGTATTGCATAAATAATAGTGTATTTATTATTTTAGAAAATTGTACATCATATGTTTTAATAAATAAATTACTGTTTGAGTATGATTTGAGCTGCACTGAGAGAGTGGCTGGAAATGAATTGCATACATAAGTGTATTTTATTTTAAAATCTGGATCTTTTCTTTGTCTATACTTTGTATTCAAGTGCCCAGAATTTTATTTAAAAAGTGCTAGATTCAGTGTCTTTCAATTTCTATGAGTTGGATATAAAATTTGTTGGTTGGTATTAGCTAATACTCATGGTTTCAGTAGAGAACAGGTTGTAGAGCTCAGGTAGTTTTGTCATTTCCCAGGTGGACTCTTGATTCTGATGAGTTATTAGACGATTTTTCCTGAAGCTTAGTGTCTCAGTTCAACCCCACAATAATAAACGTAAGTGTGCTGTTGGGCTATATTTAGAATACTTTTCCTTTTTAAAAAGGTGGATATTCTACCATTTTTATTTTTATATAAGAGAACCTCTGTTTGATACAAGCTCAATATATTGTAAGTGTAGTTCATATGTTCATGCTATGTTCAGATGGTCTTTTTAAAAAAATAAAGCTCCAAGTTTAAAACTCTGTTACAATGAATTTTAAAAAGACTTTATCCACCCATCCTTGGCATGTGAATGAAGCTGATGGAGAAATGATGTCCACTGCTATTTTGCTGTTCTCTGAGGATTCTGAACTACAGTTCCTAGATGGGTTGACTGATTTTCAGTACTAAAAGGTTATAGAACAGAATCTTCTCTCCTGGAATTTTACTAGCCTTTGGACAGACTAAAATATGCAACTTGGTTCAACTTGCACTTCACTTCCTTTTTAGTTCTTTTTTGTCCCACTTTCGTTGCATATGCCCAGTTTCATTGCTGAAATTACTTACCCAATTATTTTTTAACCAACCATTGAATAGTTACTAATTCTAGTTTACCATCAGACTGAACTAGAGTAATATCAAATTGCAAACTGTTACTGTTGTGTAAGGAGTGGCTGATATGTGTGGCCTGACCAGTCATGATAAAGGTTTAGCATGGCCTTAGGCATTAAACAGTTTGCCCACATTATCTTTGTTAGCCAGATATTTTCAGGCTCCCATCTTCAAACAGAACGACTGGAAGGAAAATATATTTGTTCGGGTTAATAGTAATATAGGTTCAACAGCAAGCACAAGAGCCAGAAGTCATTATTTTGTGGTACATAAGAACTTACTTGGCGTGAGTCTTCCTGTTTGGTGCCTATCACTGAAAAGTACATACCTTGTTGACATTGCCCTCCATAACCTAAATGTAATTGCAGTAATTGAAATTATTACTGCCTTTTTTAAAAGGCAGATTATAAACGATTGCATAATATCTTATGAATATTATTTGTACTTGATAATAATATTTTCTTAACACGTATTAAAGAAAACACTCTTTCTGATCCATAGGCTAGACAATAAAGTCTATTCTCCAAAGCCATAGATTGAACTTATTTATTTTTTTATTTATTTCTCACCACCTTTGTACTAATTTGACCTGCAGTAGTCCATTGTGAGCCTGTCTTTGAGAGATGTGTACAGGTACAGGTCTTAACATTACCACTCCTGCGTGGGGTACTGGTTACACAAATCGGCTGTATTTGCATGCAAAGCTGAAACATGGTTTAGTGCTGTGTAGACAAGCCTAAGCAAAGAGTCCCAGTTATTCCCCTCTCCAAACTTCTCACATGGACTGGAGAAACAGCTAAATTTCATTTTTTGTGAATCTTGCCTTATAATTTATGTTTGAAGTAGGGTTCTTCCCTAAAACAAATTTCAGTTAGTTTAACAAGTCAGTTTCATAACATACATTATAAAATTAACCAGTTTGCTTTAAACCATTACCCCTGGTTTAAACATAATGGTAAGTCCTGATTTTTCTTTAAAGTGAAACTAAATTCTGTCAAAGGCCTCAGCCATAGGGGTACATGTGAAAGCTAAATGTTTTGGTCCACTTTGTTAAAGCTCAGCTGTGCCGTCTACTTTGCTTCTAGTGTTTTGTGCAAATGAGGGCCAAATGGAAAGGCCTGGTCAGTTGTCCACCCTTGTAGAAGAAATTCAGTTTATGTGAAATCTAAAACAGTTGTATGGGTTGCCTCCTCATAATTTATTATACCTCTGTTATGATACTGTAATTGTAGGTATATATTGTTTGCTGCCTGAGGCACCTGTGGGTGGGATAAAAATAAATAGGGATCTCAGCCTGCAGAAAAAAATCACATATGCTTCAGTGAAAATGCCATTAATTCAGAGTTTTGTGAATTTTCCCTATTTAAGATCTCAAATTACAAACATATTAATTGTACCCATTCCTTATTGTTGTCACACTTGTAGCTAGGAGCAACTACATTTGTGGTTTTGAATAGAGGTCTTACAAAATTGTTACCAAATCATCTTTTAGGGGGAAGTTGAACAAATAGCGATGATGAAACCAAAAGGGCAGAATTTACATGATGAAGGCATGCTTGAATATTTAGAAGACATAATAGGATCAGAACGATTAAAAGAGCCCATTCAAATATTATGTCGAAAAGTTGAAATATTAAATGAACAGAGGGGTGAGAAGGTAAGACTTTGGATTACTAATTGTTGTTTTTAAAGTATAGAATAAAATAAGTATTGTGTGGAGTACTGCTCTTCAGGATTCCATCCATTCCATTTTATTCCCCTCTTCAGCTCTTACTCACCAGCATTCAGTATTCTGTGGCCACTGACTGTGTCCTAGAGTCTGTGCTGGCAGAGCACTGTCAGTTTTTTCTTGGGACTTACCTATCTATTCCCTGTTTTCTCCCCCTCCCCTTTGGGGTATTGAGTCAGAAAGGGCCGCACAAATGACGTCTCAATGTGAACCCAAGAAGTAGCCAATTGAGACAATGACATGGTTCTTTCTATGTATTTTTTTTTATATATCTAGATGTGTCTTCCCAGATACTCCACTTCACTCCTCCTTACCTCTAGTTTCCCGTTTGTGCATTTTAAAGTTGGATTTCTAGGGCCACTGAGCATGTTCGATTGTCATGGGGCTTTTGGGAGAGGTGGGTTTTTACTCTAAAGATATTGTATACTTTTGGAAACCTTGTTAAGGTTCCTCTCAAATCTCCTAACACCCACCCTCTTGTATGTGGTTGGTACTGCTTCCACTATGTAAGCAATAATGCCTTCTCTGAGGATTTGAATTAATATATATAGGATAGTATTTAGCATTATCTTTTTGATAAGCCTTTGCAAGTTTCAGGATTACATTTTGCATATACTGTGGGAGGGAGGGAACTGATATTTCCTGGACCAGAGTGAGCTGGGTGATTGCAGTAGAAAAACACAATTCCTGTCATTCTACTGGTTTGTGCCCATAGTGTGTTACGTGCTGTAAAGCTCTCGTCTTTCCTGTTTCATATAAAGTGTTTTTATGGTGTGCATATCCGAGCATTAAACCAACCATTATTTATGAAATATTCTGTCTAGTTGAACAGAGTTAAAATGGTGGAAAAAGAGAAAGATGCCTTGGAAGGAGAACGGAACAAAGCACTTGAATTTCTTTCTCTGGAAAACAAAATGTTCAGAGAAAAGAATAAGATTTGTCAGTACTACATGTAAGTAGCATCATTTGATATGATTTAATGTGTGTTCTTTACACCCTCAAATTAGATCAGAGGGAAGTGGAAGATTTGGGCTAGTTGTGCTGCTGTTTCTCCACAGCAGGGGTAGTCAACCTTTTTATACCTACCGCCCACTAATGCATCTTTCTTGATGGTAAAATTTCCTTACCGCCCACCAGTTCTCAATGGAGGATTCGGCTTGTGCCATAGAACCCCCTACCACCCACCTAGAATCCTGAAACACCCACTAGTGGGCGGTAGGGACCAGGTTGACAACCCCTGCTCTACATCATAGTAAATACAATGTGTTGGCTCTAAAGGTAGTTGCATTTAGTCCCCACTGAAATAAGTGGAACATAACTGTACTTAACTTAGTCTTGATTTAACACATTGCTTTTAGATTCAAGTGGTATGCTGCTACTCTTAAATACATTTTATTTGAGGGGAATAGTATGGCATAGACATCCCAAAGTGATTTATTTACTGGGGACATGAAAGATTTAAAATGTATGTTGCCAGGTCATCTCTTCAGCGAATTAATTTAGAAGGATTGGTGGTAGTTGCTACTTTGGAGAACTGGGGTGAGACTCTTATTATTTAGTTAAAATGTATATTTGAATACATTGAGCAGTGAGAACCTGTGCATGACAACAAGTGTTGTGGCACTGCTAATGCCAGAGCAGCTGAAGCACAAACAAGTTGGGTGGAATACTGACTTTGCTCCATCTTCCTCTTAAATACCTATTCTACCACCTTGGTACACTTTGGCTAGCACTTGGGTGTGATGGGTCTTCATTCAAGGCTCTGTCTAGGTCTCACAAGTTCTATCATTTAGTCTGGAATTTCTTTGTATAAAACTCTGGCACTACATGGGAGCTTTCCACAGTATGAGTAGTGACTGTATTGTGGGCTGCTAGTGGTGTAAAATACTCTTAAAAAGAGTATTCACCTTGACTAACTTCCGTTGCTCTAAATTTTGGGGAAATAAATCCTCCTCCTTAATATTGCTATTTTTTTGTTTTTGTTTTTAAATGATATTTATTGAAAAATTTTTAGAATTACAAAAGAGAACAAAGCAGAAAAAGAGAAAGAAAAAACAAACCACATCAAACAATACAAATTCAAAAAACAAAAATACACCACAAACACTCAAAAACAAATCCATCATTCTCAAATCCTCAACTGTCATTACCTTCTTTCTTTGACCTCCTCCTCCTCCCTTTTTGTGTATCCTAGTTGTTAATTGTCGCAGCAAATCCTTTCCATATTTCATAATATTCTGTCATTACATTACCTTAATCTATTTTAATCTTATCTTACTATAAAGAACCTTAAAGCTTAAAACTTAAATCTTATTTTTACCAACTTCTCATAACCATAATATTCTTACATAATTCTTTAAACATTTTTGCTAAAGCCAAGTAATTTCGTTCCAACATTTTTCTAACATTCATCAATTTTATAAAACAATCCTAGTAGTAAAAAAAAGAAATAAAAACAATCCAATCTTCATCCAGCGTCCCTTCCTCCTGGTCCCGGGTTTTGTCAGTCCTTATTATCCCGTCGATCTAGCGCAGTAACCTTGTATCCGAGGCCCTTAAGTCCCTTCCATGTCCCGTCCGCGGCTCTTCTTCATATTTATAGCTGTATTTTCCTTTGTCTCCTGCTCCTTTCACTCGTGGGAACTCCAGCTTAACAATGTTTTTGACCCTTCTCGACAAATCAGCCCCTTTTCCATAGTCCACACTAAACTCCATGTGGTATTTAAGAACATGTTTCAAAATCCCTCCAAAATTAAGAGCCCCCACAACCCCAAACATCTCATGGCCCATTGCCAGACTTGAAAAGTCCAAACATCCCTGCATAGGGGGGTCTATCCAACCCCCCATTTCCAAACCAAACCAGACTTTATCTTTCCAAATCTGGCTTTTTCCAAGTTCATTTGTCAAATCCAAAAGCTCATGTTCCTGCTGGGCCACATCTCCCTCCATCTCTGGCGCCCAAGATTCAGCAACATCCTCTTCCCTCATCTGTTCTGTCAGGGCACACTCCTGATTTAATTCCTGGGTGGGCTCCATATAATTTCCCACTGCCTGTTCAAAATTTCTGATCGCATCAGTCATCAAGTCCATCTTCTCATGTAGCTGTTCCAGTAGGGCATTTGTTTTACAGAAAGCACACAACAGAGCTTCTGAATACATTGTCCTGCAAGATCAGAAGTCTATTCCCACGATTGTAATCTGTAACAGCTGCAAGCTCCCCGGAGTTGGTTACAGTTTCACAGTCTCCCTCTCGGGGGAAAACTTCTATTTATTCTTTCTTTTAAAGACAAGTCTAACAACAAAGTTTCCTTTTTCAGATATTTTGTCAATATTTGTTCCTTTAAAATGCGAAGGGGAACAATGGAATCAATGCTTCTCTTCTTATAGCTATCTGTCAGAAACGTTTGTCTCTGGTCAATGAGCTTCAAAAAACGTCAGTCCTGACACCCCGCTCCAGGATCAGGACGGTGGAAAGTTACTTTACTTTACACTCACTTCTGCAGGTTTAAACAGTCCGAAAAAATCCCCCCTCTTCTCCTGCTTCCGAAGGGGGTTCCACAATTTTAAATGATGAAAGTTAATCTTTTGCAAGCGATTTTCTGAGCTCTAGTTTGCGATGTCTTTGCTTTAATCTATCTACAAAGAAACGGAAGGCTGACTTCCTGTTTAGCCCTTCCCGTTTCAGTGCCAAATTGAGGTAAACTTTTAAGTCCAATTTTCCTTTCTGCTCGCAAGTCCTTATTTAAAGTCCAATTGTCCGAAATTTAAGTACTCACGGGTGATTATTTTAGAAGCCAAATTGTCCCAGGAAAAAGGCAGCGCTCTCCGGCAATGGCTGTGCGGCTTCGCTCCACGGAAGAAGCAGTTGACTCTCAGCACCGCACCACTTCCCCCTCTTCGCTTCGGAGCCCTTTAGTGGGTTCCTTTGCGGGTTGGGGGGGGCGCTAAAGGTGCCCACCAAGTCCCATGGTCACAGGCTTCATCCGCCTATGATTTTTAAAAGGGTCCCCGCTTCGCTGTAGCGGAAAAGACCCATTTCGCGTGGAGCTAGTCCCTCCAGATCAGAGGGAGTCCGCCATTGCCGATGGCACCACCCCGGAAGTCCTAATATTGCTAATTTTTTGGTTGATAAATGCGAATAGGTGATACAGTGCTTGCATAGCAAACTTTTTGCTGTCATGAGTCCTGTGAATGTCCTGGAGTGTTTGGTCAGTTCCAGAGGAGGAGAGGAAGGAGATTGGAGAGTTAAAACTAGAGGGCTCTGGGGAGGGTCCTAGCAGAATGATGGAGGTGGAATTAGGACCCCAAGAAATGTCTGATCCCGGGGAGGTATTCTTCAGCTTGTGTGGTGGAGATCTGGATCAGGGGAATGACCAAGTGAGTTGTTGGAAGAGTGGCCCACCCCAACTACATCAACACCCTCTGCTCTGCCAGCACAAACAAATTGTGGAGAGCCAACCCACTCAGGTGCAGAGGGAGTGTCACTTGTTGGATCAGTGTCTTAGCTCATGCTTCACCATGTAGTTAACTTCTCATGTACTAGCTGATTTCTGTACCCTGTAACTTTCCTTACCTATGATTTGATTTAAAAATTGAAGCCTTTGGCAGAAGTGGAGTTGTGAGTTGAAGTTCTTCATCCAACATGGAGGGCCAAGAGAAGAAAATCTGCCTTGGAAGGGATTTTCAATGGGTGAAGAGGACAAAGAAGTTGCTTTGTGTGCTGGCACAACGTTGGATCTCTCCCAAATATTTTAGTATCTTTATTACGATGAGAACAATTGTCTGCATTATCAGATGTGTGAAACCTATCTTTTTCTTTTTTAAAGTTATGAGTTGCAGAAGCAGATAACTGGACTGGAGACCCAGAAAGAAGAAATACATGAAGATACTAAAGAAGTTAATGAGAAAAGCAGTAAACTGTCAGATGAAAAGAAAGATAAGAATAAAGCTCTGAAAGAAATTGAAAAGTAAACATTAATAATTCTATTACTTTGCAGGCGTTAACAATATTTGAAATTTGCATTCATGTTGCTGTTTTGGTGCATTTTGTGCAATGAGCATGACACTTTGCTTCCTTTGTTGTTGTCATCCATCTGTCTCAGGAGACAGTGGAGTGTACCTCCAGGAGTGAAGTCAGACCACTGAGGTGACCTCCCCAGAAGGAGCACAATGTGTCCACCAGAGATACTACCCCTCCCCTAACACCCCATATATATATATATATACTTTGTAAAAGGTTTTTTTTTAAAAAAACTAGCTTAGTATGATCATACAGTCTTTAACTGATTGAAAAGGTAATTGGTATGTTTCCTCTTTTTCTAGAAAACTGAATAAAATCACATCATTCATAGAAGAAAATAAAAATACATTTAAGCAGCTCGATTTGGAGGATGTTCAAGTAAGGGAAAAACTAAAACATGCAAAAAGCAAGTCAAAAAAACTAGAGAAGCAGCTTCAGAAGGATAAAGAAAAGGTACGCCTGTAAACTTCATTCTGATAAGTTTAGTCAAAATACTATTGAAAATTGACTTCAAAAGGTCAGTGTTTGCTTCATTATGCTATCTATCTGAAAGCGTTTTCTCAATGTGCTATTAAAAATTTAAGAATAAATTCTGGAGCCCAAGCCTAAAATATTTTATACTCTGAAGTAAGACTTTTATATTTCAGTGGGATGCTTCCTAGTAGAAGAGGCCCGGTGGAGTGCAGCAGCAGCAACCTTTCTGCAGTGGAATTACTGCTGCTTACTGGGAGAGGTGCAGCAGGGAGATTGGGGGTGCACAAAGCACACTGGTGGGAGTGCTGGATTGACTCCACCAGTTCATTCACACAGCTCCAACAGCAACTGCACTGCCAAGTGAGGTAGCACAGTGCCAAGTGAGGTAGTGAGGCAGCCGCTTTCCCTCGTGTCCTCCAGCCAGCCCCAGAGCATGAACTCTATACTTTGGTCTGGATTGGAGAGAGAATTGGGATAGGGGGAGCTGGAGAGCAGTGGAAAATAGGCATTGAGAGAGTGTTCCCCACTTTACACAATTTCACTTATGGGCACAGGGCCCTGGAATGTAACCCTTGTGTAAGTGGAGGGATTCCTGTATAATCTCTTGTGCAATAAAATCATTTTTAACTTTATTTATTGAAAAGTTTATATCTGCCTTGCTTGTATATAACACCCAAAACAGATTAAACATGAAACCCTTTTAACAACCATTATCGTAGAACAAAAAGTTGAAAGACAGGTGCATATTACCAATCCAAAAATGACACACCTTGTCATCTAGCCAACTATAATGTCTGCCTAACCAATAAGGTCTGAAGGCAAAAACAAAATAAAACAACACACTAAAGTGGAGGGGGGGAGAGGAAGAACAGCCAGGTGGATCTCCTAGGATGAGGAATTCCACAATCTGGGTTGCCTCTATAAGGAAGCCACTTTCCCACATTCTTTGCCTCATGGCAGGGTGATACTGGCCAGTTATTCCAGAATGGCTGTGCCAACCCAATGCAGTTTTCTTCATATGGGGTCAGTGTGCCCCCACATTTTTGAACCACAGAAGCTTATGATGATTGCTGCCTCTGTAGCCTGTACTTTTCTACTTAGACAGGCATATTTAGCAATAGACATGGGCTACCACATAAGTGCAGGTGCTTTGCAAAAGGTTATACAATTCTGGCAGCTCTCTTGTTGGTATCTGACTAATGTGTTCTGCCAGCACAAGGATTTTTGCAAGTGTAACGGAACTTTCCTTCCCTGCCCCCTTAAATCTGTTCTAGGGGTTCCACCAAGCCTCCAGAGCAGATTTGGGGGATGGTGAAGGGTGTGTGCAGGAAGGGGGGTGGAGATCTTTCACACAAGCAGAAATTATTGTGCAGATGGAATGTGTTAGTTGGATAACTCCCAAAGTAGCTGAAATTGGTCTCTAGTGAACCAGTTATTGGTAAGTGATCTTTTCCTGAGTAAGAAAGGAAATGAATTCGTCATGAGCAAATGTGTCAAGGAAAAAATTGCAAAAGAGGCTATAGTGTGTATCTTATTGCCTGAATCTTCCTGAAAAATAATAGGATACTTTTCATGTTACACCTTCATGTTGTTATTGTCAATCTAAATTTATAAAGTGTAACAAAGATATTTAATTGGTGCTACTACAAGGTGCTACGTAATACCTATTCTGCGTTTGTAAAAATCCAATTGTTTAGTGTGGCAGCACCTATACTTTGAAACTCGCTGCCTATAGATATCAAGCAGACACCTTCACTGTATTTTTGATGCCTGATAATAACATAATTGTTTAGACAAGCCTACCCAGATACTTAGAAATGCTGATACAAATTTTAATCTGTTATACTATTTTAACTCCTGTAGCTCTTATCTGTTTTAATATGTTGTGATTTTTTTCCTGATTTTATAGTTTTATCTTTTTGTAAACAGCTTGTGAGTTTTTGTGATCAAGCAGTGTATAAATTTTATGAAATAAATAAATATGAAATAATTCTTCTAAGCCACCTGTGCTATGAACAATTGTGCTTAATAGATCTGCCAGTGAAGTGCAGTTTGTTTGGTGAAACTGGTTTCCCTGTTGGAGAGACTGTTCCCCAAACTGAAAAAAATAACATTACCTTTTTCATAGGTTGAAGACTTGAGAAGTGTTCCTGCCCGTAGTGAATCTGCTATTGGTGAAGCAACAGCTAAGAGAGAGGTTCTAGAAAAAGAAAAGAAAAGGGTAGAGGAAAAACTAAAAGAAGTTATGGACAGTCTTAAGCAGGAAACTCAAGGATTGCAGAATGAAAAAGAGGTTTGTACACTTGATGCATTCAGCTATCTCCCCTGGAGTCTAGAAGCAAATCAGCATAATTAACCAAGTAATAGGCTCTCTTTATCTCTTCTCGGTCAGAACAGAAGTTAAAGTATATTGCAGAATAAACTAAGCAGCCAGCCGAGTAGCAATTACTTCCCTGCAAGCAGCTGACACCTGCTTACACTTGTGGCATTGCCATTGCACTGTACTAAACATCCTGGAAATACATATGAGCATTATTACTGTCTTATAGCATTTCCCCTTTTGAAGGCCAGTGTTTCTTACTAAGGACATTCATTGGCTGCACTATGCTAAGTGGATTCAACACTGCTTTTATCTCTTGCTTAACTAATACGGAGCTATGAAGCATGCATGCATGCATGCATATGAGGTTGATTTTCGCTTTCCTGTATTAACACCAGAATACAGAGGAAAATGGCAGTTGACATAATCTGGCTGGCTGTCTGGTTGGTTTTTCAGATAACCAGATCTGCTTGTATGTCTTTGTGCATAATGCTATTTTTATTCTCCAGTAAGGGAAATGTAGTGCTTGTTAGCAAAAGGAAGAGCGGTATTGATTATGGGTGAGCAAAGCAAGGGCTGCATGACCATTTATTTGAATGGCTGGATTAAATCCCTTGCTACATATCTATAAACTGAAACTATCTGAGTTAATCTGTGTCGTTCATGCAGTGTATTTTATATTTTGCATTTTTGTCAAAGTGGTTTACAGTTTAAAATAATGCCTTCCAATCTAGACCAGGTGCAAAAGGGATGAAACAATAAGGTGTGAGTGAAAAAGAAAGCAAATTCTGATATAGACTTTCAGACTGTTATCCAAAATGCTCATTGGAGAGATGGTTTTGGGATGAAAGGAGCCAAACAGTCCCAGCTAAACCAATGGAGAGGGCTTCTTACAGTATTTTTCGCTCCATAGGGCGCACTGGACCATGGGGTGCACCTAGTTTTTAGGGGGGGATAAAGAAAAAAAATTATTCCCCCCCCAAAAAAAAGAGCAAAGAAGCCAAGACAGCTGTCTTGGATTCCTCTTTAGCCACGCGCAACCTCTCCAGCTGGGAGAAGCTGCCCGCGGCTTTTTTTTTAGCTGTGGGGCTGGGAAGGGGGAAGCCGGAGCAACCTCGCCGCTGCTCCTGGGGCCTTTAGCCGTGGGGCTGGGACGGGGGAAGCCGGAGCTTCCCCAGCCCCCAGAACAGGCTGCTATCCACAAGCCTTCGGAGCCCGGCGGGAACGCCTGACTCAGAAGGCTTGCGGAGAACTCAGAAGGCTTGCGGAGAACAGGCAGCTATCCGCAAGCCTTCGGAGCCTGGCGGGAACCCCCGCCGGGCTCAGAAGGCTTGCGGATAGCTGCCTGAAGCCTGGAGAGTGAGAGGGGTTGGTGCGCACCGACCCCTCTCGCTCTCCAGGCTTCAGCGAAAGCCTGCATTCGCTCCATAGGACGCACACACATTTCCCCTTCATTTTTGGAGGGGAAAAGGTGCATCCTATAGAGCGAAAAATACGGTAAATATTTGAAAATATTGTGGTTATTTACAAAGGCAGAACTAAAAACAGCATGTAAAGTTAAAAGACAGCATTGAATCCATCTGCAAAACCAATAGGAAAATACATTTTACACACACCAATGACTTCAAGATTTACCAAGGTGGAAGGACTGCTGATAGAGGTAGTTCTAGATGGGGAGGATACAATCAGCATTTCACTGAAGCTGATTTTTTGGGGGGTCGCTGGCTTATCTCTACTTTTCAGGAGTGGCATTGCAGCTGAGAAAAACTATTCTGGGAGAATTGCCAGAATCTGTGCATTACCACTTGAATTGTGAGCAAAGGTTTTGGTTTTTTTAATATGACCTTTACAAATTTCATTTTCATAGGACAAAGAAAAAGAACTCATGGAATTCAGCAAAACGGTTAATGAAGCACGTTCAAATTTGGAGGTGGCACAGTCAGAACTTGATCTCTACCTTAGTCACCATAATACTGCAGTATCTCAGTTTAAAGCAGCAGAAGAAGCTCTTCAGACTGCTTCAGGAACACTTAAAGAAAGGTTAGCCACTATCAAAGAACTGGAGTCAAAACTGCCTCAAGCTGAGCATGATCTAAAGAAGGTTAGACGTTACTGAAGATTTGTTTATATTCCTGAAATGCTTAACCTTCATACTGCAATTTAAGTGTTACTACTTTCCCCAGAAATGTTTGGTGTTAAGACTGTCAGAACTATTACTATCAATAGTATTAAAACCTGTAAAGACACCCCGCATAGTTCCTCTAAAATTACTTTCTTAGATGGCGCCTCCCCCCACCCCTCCCGCTTCTGCTGTTGCTACTCTAGGAAGGAAACAAGCCAGAGGGTAGTTTTGCATTCTGTGCAAACCAGCACACATGGTTTGTTGGGGGAAAACAAACTACAAGTACTGTTTCACACGTAACATGAAGCCAGCTTCTGGCTTATTCCCCCACTCCAATGCAGTAACAACACAAGTGAAGGAATTGGGGACTGTTGAGCAGCATGCATCAGTACACTGCTCGTTAACATTAAACTAGTTAGATAGAGTGGAGTCAAGGACACTCATTGAATAGGATAACTTCTCCCACTAGGCTGGATAGGCAGTTCATAGGTTCCATCTTGAGGGCCTGCACCCAAGTTATAATTCACTCATCTTCTCCATTTAGTTCTGTCCCTTAAGATATGGCCCCAATTAAATGCCTTTTACATGGGCATTAATCCTAGCGTCTGAGTAGGGTTTTGATGGTCATCTCTCAGTGCAATTTCTACAGTGGGTGTTAATACGTTGGGATGTCACCAGTTTTTTCTTTAAATAAAACATTTTTGTAAATAATCTCTTTGAGAACCTGAAAGGTGCTATTCAGTTTCTTCATCTAACTACAAAATCCTTGTATGCTGTTGACACATCCTTTGTATCCACTTCCCAAGGTGGTATGTGATGCTAACAGAAAGATACGGAAGTGGAAAAGAGTTGCTATTGAACTGTTAAAATATTCATACATGCCAAAAACGTGGAAGCAGATACTGAGTGTGAAAAAGTTTTATTTAATGATATATTTCATGATCTGGCTGAATAAGGGAACTTCTGCACCAGGACATCTAGAAGTGATAATTATGGTGTCCCTTAAAACTGTTAACCATATTCAGAATTATTTGTGAGTCAGTGAGCAGTAGATTCAGGGATTTACAATAATTGGCTGGTTCCGGTGGCCAAACGAAGAGTTGCCAGCCCACCGTTCTCAAGCAAGTTTCTGCCTGCCCCTTCCAGGGATATGTTGCTGGATGGGTGTTGTCACCTGAGCACATTCAGGCAATGACATTAAATTTCCACCATTTTTCTTGCTTCAGTTTGCCAGTTTATTCCTGTGAGGAAAATGCTATCCAAGCACTTTGGTCCCACAGCTGCGAAACAACTCAAAGTCTAGTAGTGGGCCGGGGGAACGGCTAAGTCGATCTTCCTTGCAGCTTCAAAGATAGGGAGAAGACTGGCTGCTCCTCATGTTTGCCAAAGAGCAGTTTCTAATTGAACTTGCCTTCTATGGCAGCTTGTCTGTGACTGAAAATTTGTGGTGGCATCTCCTAGACATTAAAAGTTCAAATGCGCCTGTTAACCCAGAAAGTCTGGGAACCCCAGCCTAGTTCCTCTATAGTGGAGTTTGTTACTAGAGGAATACCATTTCTTTAGAAAATCTCAATTCTGTAATGAACTACTTCTGGAATTTTCAAAAACAAAATAATTTAATGCCTTTTTTGTTTAAGAAAGAGAATGATCTTAATAAACTTGTAAAAGATGAAGCAAACATCAAGAATTATGTTCAAGATCTGCGTCAGAAAGTAGAAGAAGCAAGAAGCTCATTGTCAATAAATAAAAGTCGAGGAAGAGTTCTTGAAGTTTTACTTCAACAGATGAAGTCTGGGAAAATCCCTGGAATTTATGGAAGACTAGTAAGTTCTTATTTTTCTTGCCATTTCTGTATTGTTCTTTTTCCCATTGCCAGTGAAAGGTTGTAAGATTGGGTAATGTCTCCGCTTTGTGGTTGAAGGTAGGAATAGAACTAGAGGGAAGTAGGCAGCTCCCATAATTTAGTTTGCATTCTGCCTTGTTTGAAGTAGTCACATCATTCTCAAGCTCCCATTCTTCTAAGGCCAGCTTTAGTTGTGCGTTTTATTGTATTTCTCATTCACCTGTTGCAGCATATGCGTTGTTCACAGACATCCCCTCTTCCCTTTGGTACAGCTTAGCTATTTGTCTCCTTCAGGTGTTTTATTGCATGGTGTTCTTCTAATGGAATTGTATGGTGTTCTAATGGGATCAATTTCTGGATAGCAAAAGTTAAGGACATTCTCTTCCTTCAGGAAGATCTTTGTAAACACTCTCAAAAGACACATAACGTAGCAACTATATCTTCTATCCCTTTTTAGTTGGCCTCATCTACAATTTCATATCTGTCGCTGAAACATTTCCTTCATAGAGCTATGCTGAAATGCAGAGCTGTACAGTGGTACCTTGGTTCTCAAATGCTGAAAACCTGGAAGTGTTTTCAAACGTTTTTTGGAAGCCGAACATCAGATGTGGCTGTCGGCTATTGTTTCCGGGGCGCCTGAAACAATCAGAAGCTGCGCCTTGGTTTTTGAACATTTCAGAAGTCAAATGGACTTCAGCTTTCATGCCCAGTCCTATCAAGGTTCCATAGACAACAATAATTGGTTGTCGCAACCAGCTGTCCAGATCCTTGCCACCCTTTGGAGCAGGCCTAGAACTTTAGCTGCCTGAAGGGCCATGAAGGTTTACATAAATAGGACTGACGTTTTCTGGCAGTTTGTCATTCCACTCAGCTTCTCTTAGATCTATAGTTAGGGAAGTAGGTGTTTTTTCTCTTAAATCACCTTATATATTAATAATGTATGGCCTGTTTGAGCTTGGTGAATACGCAGACTTAATTATGGGAGGTACCTGCTTTCCCCCAAGATCTGTTTCTGCTTTGGGCTACAAGGTTTACCCAACCTGATCTTGCACTGGCAATGTTAAGCTAACCTTCAGATAGATACACAGTGGTACAGTGGTGCCCTGCAAGACGAATGCCTCGCAAGACGAAAAACTCGCTAGACGAAAGGGTTTTACGTTTTTTGAGACGTTCCGCAAGACGAATTTCCCTATGGGCTTGCTTCGCAAGACGAAATGTCTTGCGAGTTCTGCAGTTTGCTTCCTTTTTCTTAAAGCCGCTAAGCCGTTAATAGCCGCTAATAGCCGTGCTTCGCAAGACGAAAAAACCGCAAGACGAAGAGACTCGCGGAACGGATTAATTTCGTCTTGCGAGGCACCACTGTACTTCTTCTCTTCCTTTATCTGAGTAAGCTAACTTTGTTAGTGAAAATATTTAGCAGGGGAAGTTGTCGTACTTGGTAAACCCAAGACGCTGAGGCAGCTTTTGAGAAGACTGCATGCACAATCATCTCCCCAAGACAAAAGTTGATTTCCAAATTAAAGAAAAGGTTACTCAGCCTCCCCGAGTCTTCAAGGAAACATGCAAAAATACTGGGCAGCAGCATTTGTCTGGCATCTCTGAATGTAACCAAGCTACCTTTTTTTCTGTATTCACCTACATTACAGTATTGGCCCGAATATAAGCCACACCTGCAAATAAGCTGCACCTTTAAAATGTTAGAGGGTTTTTTTCCTCTAGTGGCAGATGACAGAAACTATGACACCATGAGACCGGTGTAAAACCAAACAAATAAAGGTTTTATTACAAAACAACAAAGCTTGTGGGTCTTTTTCCTTGCAGGCAAAGTTCAAACTGCAACTTTTCCTCCTTTGGTAGTCATGACCAGCTGTACCCAAGCTGCCCAAAGCTCACAGAAACAGTTCTTAAAGGTACAAACATCTTTACTGTTTCTTTGCAGAATGACTTCCAACATAAAATTCATGGGGAGGAGAGAGGAAAAAAAGACAATACCTGACTACGGGTACCATTCCCTCACACTCCTGGGCTGCTTCCTGGGGGGCAGCCGCGCCACTTTGCCGGCGGCCTTCCCCCCGAACAGTTCGGAGGATGCTTAGGAGCGGCGGGAGGGCTGAGCGCTATTGCCCCATGCTCTCTGGGTGGGGGTGGGGAGAGCTGTGCCGCTTTGCCAGTGGTGTAAGGTCGCCAATATAAGCTGCACATTTTTTCTCCAAATTCCAATCATGAAAAGTTAAAGTGTGGCTTATATTCAGGCCAATTTAGTAATATTTCACTGTCTCTTCTCCAGTCTGGAAGCTGATTGCCAAAGTGCCCTGTGAACCTATCATGCATTCTGCCCAGGTGTAGCTACTTTAAGAAGAGATTAGCCAGAACAGTATGCAAATTTGAGCAACTGCCTTTTGAGATACTACCCCATCGCATTTGTTCTGAGTCATCATTTCTTAGTTAACATCTTTTCCTCCATAGCTTTCAGGAGAGAGTTCTGCTTAAATTCTACCCTAAATCATGGGAGCAGTGTGAAAGGACATTAAAACGACAACGTGAGAAGTTCTTTTATGTTAAGGGATGAGATCCATTAAAACCAATGAGACTTACATGCAATTATGCTTAGGACTGGATGTCTGGTACTCATATTACTAACCTAAGTGCTTTCTTTTCTTGCTACTAGGGAGACTTGGGAGCCATAGATGAGAAGTATGATGTTGCAATTTCATCATCGTGTGGAGCGTTAGATCACATTGTAGTCGACACCATGGATACCGCTCAAGAATGTGTTAAATTTTTGAAGAAGGAAAACATTGGAGTGGCAACATTTATAGGGCTTGACAAGGTTTGTAATAACTTTTTTTAAATAGAGAACTTTTTAAGTTGAAAAAGTCGAAGTTGCATATAGATTTGTTTTTACATTACTATGTTCAGCTGGTTTTTACAGTGTCATTTTTTAGATTTTAAAATGGCTTTTAATAGTAAAACTGTTTTATATATGATGGGTACAAATCCTGTAAGGTATATTTGTATAAATAGTATCTTATTACAGCCTGTTAAAATAGTCTTACTAGTGACAGCTCATGTTTGTAATAAACATCACAAAGTCTCAGTTTTTAATATAAGAGTAAATACATACTAGGAGTTATATATCTGCATAACATAGATTTACATAAGGGGAAAATGGTGCTTCAGGTTCAAATGCGTATTAGAGAGTAAACCCTATGGAGTTCAGTGAGCTTTATTTGAATAAGCCTGTATATGATTGCACTGTTGTAATAAAGTATTTGAAAACAATTAAAATATGAACAAAGATCTATGAAAGTAAACTAAAGAGGTATATCAAGGACCTGTGCAGTTCTTGATGGTTAGTTTACTGGTTTTGTGGTGGTTTTAATCCTTCCAGATGACAGTATGGGAGAAAAGCATGGGAAAAATCCAGACTCCTGAAAACATTCCTCGTTTGTTTGATATGGTAAAAGTTAAAGATGAGAAGGTTCGCAGTGCTTTTTATTTTGCATTACGTGACACTTTGGTAGCTAATAACCTGGACCAGGCTACAAGGGTTGCTTTCCAGAAAAACAAGAGATGGAGAGTTGTAACTTTACAAGGACAAATCATAGAACAATCAGGTATTTAAATTTTTTAAAGTTGTGGTTAAAGTTTTATTTGAATGGGAAATAAAGAATTGCTAATTTGTTCTTGGTCCTTCCATAGGTACAATGACTGGTGGTGGAGGAAAAGTAATGAAGGGTAGAATGGGATCCTCTGTTGTAGTTGAAACATCAGAAGATGAGGTTAGTATGCTTTCTCTAACACCTTCTGGATTCCTAATGAGGAGTGGGAAGAATCTTTTATTGGTTACCTGCCAAGTGAAATCAGTGGGACAGAAAAGACCCATCTAGTGCCAGGGTGGCTGTGGTCAGGGGCACAATCTGTGGATATGATGGGGAATGAAGGAACTTTTCAATCTGGCAGATCGAACATCGCTCATGGAATGCCCTATTTTGGCCCCTGCGACCTCTGGGACTGGTGTGCTTGCTTGGTAGCAGAGATGCACTTCTATAGTAACACCCCCAGCCAACCTTTAGCAGGGGCTATGTTGGTTCTGAAAGCTCTGCTTTTCTTATATTAAGTCTAGACATATAAACACTGAAATATATTTTGATGAATTGGGGGCCTTTTTAGTCTGGTATTGAGAACAGTTGGCTCTCCAGATGTTGAAACACAACCCTCTCATCAACCACGTTCATTCACTAGCTGAGGCTGTTGACAGTTGAAGTCCAATAACATCTGGAGGGGCATAGGTTCCCCATCCCTGGTTTATTTGCATGTTATATACATTCCTTTTTTTACATTTTATAACTTGCCCCTAGGTAAATAAAATGGAATCTCAGCTGCAAAAGGATCTCCAAAAAGCAACACAGTTTCAGGAACAAAAAGTGCAACTTGAAGAAGCAATATCAAAATTGCACCAGAGCATTAGAGAAATGAGGAACACGTTAGGAAAGTACAGTGCAAACATTCAGGTAATCATAAGTTCGGCTAAAGATACCTTACTGCTTTTTCTCTTAGCTCTGGATACACCAGTCATGTCTTCTGATGAAGATTATCCTTTAAATATACTATCTTATATGAAGGATTTCAGGTATTTTAAAACTTGTTCAGAACACAGGCAATAGGAAAGTGGGCTGTTTAGCTTTGGCTGTTGATACTTGTTCCTGCATTGTATGGAAGAATGTTAAGAGCAGTTATTTTGAAAAGAGTGTTTGAGCCAGAGAGAATGTTAAAAAAAACCCCCACAGATTTTAGAAAAGGCAGGCCAGACAAACTAGTTTAAGATAGGGAAGAGAAATTGTCTCCAAAAAGAAAAGGCAAAAGGCAAGTTGTACACCCTATTAAAATGTTCTTAAAAACTTATAATGCACCTAATGTTTTCTGGTAAGCCTGTGGGCAGCAATTATCTTGGGGGTCTTTTGCCTATATTCTGAGCCAGCACAGGCTCTCATCTAAGAGTTATTTGTTAAGGTCTGTCTCCCAAGTCCAAGGTTAGGATCTTTCTTGGAGTTAGTCCTTCAGTCTCACCCCCCCCCCGAAATAATTATGTTAGTTGGTGTGGGCTGTTTTAGCTATTTTTATGTATGCAAATGTTTTATATATGTTTTTATTGTGTTGTAAATCACTGCTAGATGCCTCATAAGGAATAGTGTCACAAACGAAATTAATAGTAATTAATAATTGTGTTCTTTAGAGTTTGTCAGAGCAAGAGGCTCACTTAAAAATCCAGATTAAAGAACTTGAAAGAAATGTGATTGCTGCAGCTCCAGACAAAATCAAGCAGAAAGAAATGGAGAGAAAATGTCATTGTTTCAAAGAAGGTATGTCAACATTGCAGTAAAATATAATTGAGGGTGAATCATAATTGATGTGTTTTAGGGGTCACCCACTTTTTTGGCCCATGGGCACATTTGTGGGGGGAGGGAACCTGTACACGCAGATCCAGCTTTTAGTCTGCTCACTATATAAAACTTCACTTTTCTGAACCTACCTCTTTGTGCCCCTCACTCTTATCTGCTAGAAATCAAATGAGAGATTCAATAATTTGGAGTCTATTGTATTTCTATTCAGTAAAGCTATCCTTTCCCGTTAGTCAATAAGCCTGATGCTAGTAGTTATAGATAATTTTCCTTGTAAGAAAACTATTCAATCTACAAAGCAAATAATTTAACAAATGCTGTTTAGGAAATTACAATTGAAGTAATGCACTAATTGTATTATAGCTAAGTATACATTTATTTTGCACAATAATAAACCTTGTAAACATATAAACATTTGAACACGTAGTTTGCTCATACCATACTGTTTATATATTTAGCACTAGAAATATTAATCAAGTTTTGGTTCTTTTTTGTCTTTTTTTGTCTTACAGATTATGACAAAGTTGCTGTAAAGGCTGGTAAATTGGAAACAGAAATAAAGAGATTGCATAATCTCATAATTGACATAAATAATAATAAGCTTAAAGGTCATCAAGACAATCTTGATAAGATAAACAAGGAAATAGATCAATGTTCTTCTGCTATTACTAAAGCTCAGGTTGCAATCAAGACAGCAGATAGGTATGGAAATGATTTTATATCCTTTGGAACCAACATAAAAAATAAACAGGACACTCATTTCATTATAGTGTTTAAAGAAAACAAGCAGCAAAATTATCAAGTAATGGATTTGCAACATAGTAGCTGATTCTTTTTAAAATAAAGGCTTCTATTCTTAAAATGTTAATTTGTGTGCTAATAGATTCTGTGCTTGTGTTGTGTGTTATCATACACAGTGGTACCTCAGGTTACAGACTCCGCTAACCCAGAAATAGTACCTCAGGTTAAGAACTTTGCTTCAGGATGAGAACAGAAATTGTTCTCTGGCGGCAGCGGGAGGCCCCTATAGCTAAAGCGGTACCTCAGGTTAAGAACGGACCTCCAGAATGAATTAAATTCTTAATCTGAGGTACCACTATATTTAGCCACTGAAATAGTGTGTCAGGAAATCCATGGACAATGGGGTAGGAAATAAGTATCACAGGAAATGATAGAAAAGTAGGAAAACGTAGGTGAGTAGTCTCCAGAAATTGCATATAGTCAGAACAACTTTGGAACCAGCCCCACATGACCATCCCTACCTTTCTGAAGCAGGCACACTGAGCAGGCCTTGCACCCCACGCAAGGCAGCAAGCTTTTAAGTTCTCTGCCTTGCTTACCAGGCTTTGAGAAGCTTCTTCCAAGAGCCTGATAAGGAAGTCTGAGAGCTGTGAAGCTCTGCCATGAGAACCCTTTGCAGAAAGAGCTTTTAATTCTCCGCCTTCCATGTGTTCAGTTTGTGCAATTTCAGCTGACCAGCTGCCAAGCACGTAACGCTGCAATTGCACAAGTTAAATGCACAGAAGTTGCAAGTTAGTTATATTTCCAGTCCTTTCACTCTATAGAAATTTAAAATCTGCGGTGTGTATTTTTCATAATGAAAACAGATTTTCGAAATGGAAATGTTACATCCCTTTGAATAATTAAAGATGGCCATCATATCACAGTCTTCTAATGTCAATATTTTGTTTTATATTCCATTTTTAAATTTGATTTATACTCAAGGTTTTAATGTCAGTAGAGTAGAGGCTTCTTACCTACTTTATTATTGTATTGTATTTGATAGAAACCTAAATAAATCAGAAGATGCTGTTCTCCACACTGAGAAGGAAATTGAAGAGAATAAAAAAGCCCTCCAAGACTTAACAGAACAGCTGAATACACTGGAAGAAAAAGCTGCTAAAGTTATGAATGACGGCAAAGAAGCTGAAGTATGTATGATACTAACTTACATTCTTTAAATAGGGTGTGTTTTAAAAGATGCAGAACAGTGTATTAACACTAAAAATGTATGTGATGTACAAGTAGAGTTTTAATGCATGTGGTAATAAAATCCACTACAAGTCTTCAACACCAGCAAAAATTGTGTTTAAGAGAAAATATGATTCAATTGCTCAATTTATTTATATCATTTTAAAGGTACGCTCATATTGCATAAAAATGAGGCGCTGTTCACTCCAGAGAATTTACTATTAACACATTAAAAGCATTACTCTTGCTGTTCCAGGTAATAATTCTATATGCATCAGAAAAACGTGTGTTTGTAAGGGGTGTGTGTACAAAAAAAGCTGACTTTTCCCTCATTCTCCAGGCATTAGTGTACTACCAGTCCTTTGCACAGCTCAGAGGTGGTGAGAAAAGCTGGTGTTCCACATGTCACTGAGTTGATGCTACTCAACACAAGGCTGCACAGAGACGCCCCCTCCCTCCCTGCCCCTTTGTTAACACCTGCTGCCACTATCCTAAAACATTCCCTGCAGCATTTGACCTTCCAAACGGTTATGTTGGACAATTATTTTGACGATGGGTATTACCTGTGTTTTTTCACATTTTAAAGAGACATTAGCATCTAGAACAAATTGGAGCTCTAGAAATGTAAACCCTTTCCGGTAACTGAATAATAAAAAATAAACTTCCACCTATGATCTTTACTTAGGAGTCTTTGCCAGAGATTCAAGCGGAACACCACTCTATGCTTCAGAAAATTAAAGCTATCCAAGATGAAGAGCATTTGCTTCAAAAAGAGGCTCTTAATATTAGGCTTAAAATTGAACAGCTAGACAGTCACATTGCGGAGCATCAATCAAAGATTAAATATTGGCAAAAAGAGGTAAACACTTTATAATACCTTACTATTTTAAGAAATACTATAATATTATGTTTTTGGGGGAAACTTTTTTTTACTGCTTTTCCCAATCCTGTAATATAGCAGGAATGGGTTCTTTGTTTTTTTGTTTTTTATATTGCATGTTATCTATCATACAGCAAACTACCAAGATCCTGAAAAAACTATAAAAGTCACAGACTATGCCTCATGGAAGAGTATACTATTTTTATATCCCACCCAGTCTCTTTATTATCTAGAGCCACTTTGCTATCCGCAAAGCATGAGCCTGGCTTACTTTTTTAAAGAAACAATTTAATTTCTGCAGTGTCCTGTAAAATAGGGAGCACATGCCTTGCATTGCTACAATGTCTGTTTGATATAGTTAAAACTCCATACTATCCAAGATTTTTTTGTCTTGTTTTCTGGCTTGAAATGGATCATTATTCTTATTTGGATCACACTCAGATAGTGCCTAAATCAAGTTTGTTAAATCATAAATCATTAAAGTTGTTTCTTACCAATAGGCTGCTTTTTCATCAGAAGACCTTTAAAGTGACTACATATATAAATCTTAAAATATCAAATAAAAATGCACAATTTCTAGATGGGTGTGTAACTAAGAATGCAAACTTGTTCTATTAACATACAGTTAAGGTACAAGAAAGTTCCTTAAAGTGTAGCTGTAGAAATGTGAATATGACTTGTTCATTAATTACTTAAAATGTATTTTAGATATCAAAAATATCACTGCATTCTCTGGAAGATGAACAAGTAGAAGAACTTGCAGTGCTCAGCCAGGAAGAACTTGAGGCTATAAGAAACCCGGATATTGTAACCAATCAGATAGCTCTTTTAGAAGCACAATGTCATGAAATGAAACCAAACTTGGGTGCCATTGCTGAATATAACAAAAAGGTAATCATACTTTTTTAAAACCAGTATCTTGAATTCGTACAAGCAGTTACAGATCTGTGGCAAGACTGTTACCTGAAATGCTTGTTCGACTAGTATTTCTTGTTTGTCATTGAGAGAACCTCTCCTTATAAAGAGCTAAGTGGCATTACTTCCTGAGGAAATTATAAAGTTTATAGATTCCTTACAAGTGCTCACTTCAGCTTGCATGCTTTAGCAGGAAGAGATTGGATGAATCCCATACCAGAAATATTTCCAAAGGAAATTGTGGGCTTGTTATGTGAATGCTTACCTACGATCTCCAAGAGAGTGCATTGTGTTTGGTAAGCAGGACCTGTGTGTATAGCCCAGGCATAGGCAAACTTGGCCCTCCAGATGTTTTGTTTTTTTTTTGGCCTACAACTCCCATGATTCCTAGCTAACAGGACCAGTGGTCAGGGATGATGGGAATTGTAGTCCCAAAACATCTGGAGGGCTCAGTTTGCCTATGCCTAGTATAGCCCAACTTCTAGATACCTTCTCAGAAAGTCTCTTCTTTCTCACTTTTTGTATGGAGCATTAATTGATGGAAGGGGAATGCTAGGACAGCCTTCTTATGTCCTTCCTTTGCACAGGTGCTAAACATACAAGCCAGTTACTTCATAATCAATGTTCGAAACTCCCATTGTTCTAGACACATTTATGACAGGGAATTTCATTAGCATGAGCAGTTTCTGAGTTCTGGGTGCAGTACTGCGCCTGAGATTTCAGATTAAAACTGCAGAGTGGAAGGAAAGGAGGACCTTTTTCTGCCTCCCCACTTCCAGCTACAATCTGAAGACTGGACCCTCTGAAGAGACCCTGTTAAGAATATTAGGGGGTGGGGTGGGCTAAAGAAGGACTAGACCATGTGAAAAATGAACTTAATATTTTAACCTCAGTTCATTTTCAGCTTTGTATTGTTCTTAAAAAAGTGAGCCTAGACCTTTCGTTATTGCACCCATAACCTATGTTTAAGGTGTCATTTAGCTCCTAGCTTTCATATCTCAGTTTCTAACACTGTTCACAATGGCAACAGAAACTTAGAATTTATTTTGTATATTAAAATTCTGGATAAATAGAATTTTGTACTTAAATCTATCTGATCCTTAACAGAAACACTTAGGAGTCATATCGAATATGCACATTTTCAATTTTTAGGAGGAACTGTACTTGAAACGTGTGGCGGAGTTGGATGAAATAACCAATATGAGAGACAAATTTAGGGAAGCTGAAGAAGATCTTAGAAAACAAAGGCTTCATGAATTTATGGCAGGATTTAATGTAATAACAAATAAACTAAAGGAAAACTACCAAATGCTTACATTGGGAGGAGATGCTGAACTGGAGCTTGTAGATAGTCTGGATCCTTTCTCTGAAGGAATCATGTTCAGGTAGGTATTTTCTGTAAATATCTTGAAGGTATTTTGATGGTCCTTTTACCACTTATATGTGGTATATTTATGCTCATTAAATTTTGACTGCAGAATTAACCAAACTTGGCTGACTCACATGCAATGCTAAATTAAAGTTATGTAGCATAAGAAGGATTGTAGCCCCCTCCACTGGTCTACATAGCTGTTAAGATTGTGAACTAAGATAAAATTCACTAAACTTGTTTTTTGTATATAAAGCAGATCCTAATTCGAAATACTGAAGTGGCATAATAGTGCTCTACCAAACAGCACTGTTGTAAAATTACTGAGATAATGTATATAGCATATACTTCTAACCTGCTTAGCACTGCTTAAAAGCTTGGTTGTGGAGATTGTAAATTGTAAACTCATAAATATATTCCTCTTTCTTTCAGTGTTCGTCCACCAAAGAAAAGCTGGAAGAAGATTTTCAACTTGTCAGGTGGCGAGAAGACACTTAGCTCGCTCGCTTTGGTGTTTGCTTTACATCATTACAAACCAACTCCTCTTTACTTCATGGATGAAATTGATGCAGCCCTTGATTTTAAAAACGTATCCATCGTAGCATTTTACATATACGTAAGTAGTACAGAAGCCAATATCCAAGTTTTACATTTTTAGTAGTATCAAATTAATGCTAGTTTTGTGTAAAATAATTAGAAAAGGTCTTGGGTATGTCTGCTTCTGGTGCATGTCAATGAAGAGCAGTGTTTCTCTGACTGAAGTGAAGTTACCCAAAAGGAAAGGGTTAAGACCCAGTACTGTCCACAAAAATAAGGAAAATGTCATTAAGTCTTTGAATTTACATCTTAGTTGCTTGGAGCCTTCCCCAGTTTGCGCTTCCCTTTACTCCAGAACAGCTTTTTTCACAAGCTCACAAACAGGTAAATCTGTTGACGACTGTTAACAACTGCAATTGGTCTTTGAGATCTTATATAGAATGTCCTGGGAGACTGAAGTGTTCTCCTACTGGACATAAATCTGACATCAGGAATCACAAGACAGAGAAACCAGTAGGAGAACACTTCAGTCTCCCAGGACATTCTATACAAGATCTCAAAGTAGCTGTCATCTTACAAAAGAATTTCAGAAATAGACTGGAAAGAGAAGTTGTTGAATTACAACTTATTACCAAACTTAAAACCATGGAGAGACCTGGTCTGAATAGAGACATTGGATTCTTATCTCATTGTACATGATAAAGCTATTTTTGGCCATCTCATCCCTTGCTTTTTCCTCTAAGACCAATTGCAGTAATTAACAGTCGTCAACAGGTTTACCACACCTATCAGCCAATCACCCATCCCCACCACCCTTCTGAGTAATACCCCTCTCCACCTTCTCACTATATATAAAGGTCTGGTGACTTCTGTCTCAGTGTATCTGAAGTATGCATACACACGAAAGCTCATACCAAGAACAACCTTAGTTGGTCTCTAAGGTGCTACTGGACAATTACTTATTTTTTATATATGTTTCTAATGGAAGAGATTGAACTAGTCTTGGTGGTTGTTAATTACTAGCACTACTGCTTGAAAAAAACTGGGAAACTATTGTGGGTTTTTTGCCAGGCTCATTACAAATCCTAATTGAAAATATGTTTCAATTTCTAGGAACAAACAAAAAATGCACAATTCATCATCATCTCTCTAAGAAACAACATGTTTGAAATTGCGGATAGACTAATTGGGATTTACAAGACTTACAATACCACAAAAAGTGTTGCAACAAATCCCAAAGTGATTGCATTGAAAGGACTTGCTGAACTTGGTTCTGTAGGGTGCTCCTGAATACAGAAATGATGTCTGTTTAACCAGTAGACTTTTCTAATGAACATTTCCTAATACGCATTTTTCCCCAGTTTGTGTTTTTAAATGTGTTAGCAACTTTTTCAAAGCTACTAGCATGTTGAAAGAAAGAAAAAGAAAAGGAAGTTCTAAACTGCAGCTAGATGTACATTGCTCTGTGGTGCTTAGCAATCACCATTCCATGCCAGTACACTTTATTTTTGAGGTAAAGCCTATAATTGTTTTTAAAGCATTTAATGTTTTTATTTGTTAAAATAAAATCATAAATTGACTGAGGTGTGATTTCCTTGTATTCCTGCATATATACCAACTTCTAAAGAAAACTGAAATGCGTGGAAACTATAGGTTCATATTAAATATACATACAGTTGCAGAAGCCCTCATCTCCTTACCATTGTAAGGTTGCCATGTTGCAAAGTTGCTTGTATTCTCCAGCGTTTCTTGTGCTGCGGCAGTCTGCGTCTGGAGAAAGGTTGGCCTTGGTTGATAGGAGGGCTTCCAGCAACACTCTAGGTGTATTTCTCAAATTGAAAGTTAAAATGCCGTTTAAATTTTACTTCAGCTTATTTCCCTTATGGGACAGAGGCAACATTTCAAGCCTCATTTTTGTTGTAAGACAGAAAGAGCATCCCTGAGGATGGCCTCTTTCTCCTGGTATACCTTCCTGCACTTAGCTTCCTCATCTAACACAGATTGGAAAAAGAGCTTCTGCCAAAGCAAAATAAATGTGTAGCCCTTTTGCACTACCCAAACCATTTGCTCCTGGAGCAACTGAAGGTTTGTCTCGGTACAGAGGCTACATCTGAAACATGAAAATGAGATTTCTTGTTTGTTTGTTTGTTTGTTTTTAATAAAAATGTTAACTGAAGGTATGCAAGCACAGTTCAAAATTCTTGGTCCTCCGCTATAACCATGCTGGTCAGTGAGCAGGCCGGAAACAAAGACTTTTGCTAATGACACCCTGAAGGTCCACAAGATGTATTTACTTGCAGGCTTCAATCTCAATGAGAATCCATTGTTGAGGTGCTGGAGGATATCTTAACACCACCACCCTTTCCCTCTCTGGTTGGGAATGGGATGAACTCCACAGGTCCCATAAAAAGATTTTTTGTTTTGAACAATTGATGTTTTCTTCCCTGGTCTTGTGCAGTATGGGTGAGGCTCAAGAAAGCAGACATGATTCTCTTGAAAGAAGGCAGATGCAGCAAACCACGTGTAGTGCAAGACTCTAGCTAGGTGGTGCAGTTCTCCTGGTTGACACTGAATAGTTGACAACCTTCCACCTCCTGGGAGATGTATTAATTACATTTAAGTCTCTGCTGAATGTATTTTTTTTCTTTTGACCTAGATGACTAGATACCTTAAAAGATCTGAGGTACAGGCCCATATGGCACAATTAAGTGCTACTGATTTCAATGAGATTTATTCCCAAAGTAACCAATATATGTCCAGTGGCAAGAACATTTATAGATTCCTACTTGTTCATTTTACTCTTAAGTATACCCTTTGCAACCCAATGATAAGGATATGATCATTGGTCTATGGGAACCTGAAATTTACAGGCCTCTCTGTCTCCCAAGTGGAATGTTTCCTGACTGCATTATATGTGCACAACTGATTTTGAAAAGACTGAATCCTCCTTTCTGGAAAATTTAATCCTTAAATCCCCGCCCCCCCATAATGTGAATGGTACACAAGGGCAGCAAAGTTAAGTTTTTCAAGTTTTATTTAAAATACCTTCAGAAGTAGGTTTGTGATAGAGATGTGACAATTGTCAGCAAAGGTTGTTCGCTGTAATGAAGATTAAGATATTAGTACATGGAAAAATACAAATTCTGCAATCCGAAAAACTGGAAAAATAACTTCAATACATTTTCAATTTTTTTTACATTTTAAAAGCATGAAGCTGAATACGTAATAAAAAGCCCCACAAGTCTTAGGAAATAAATTACAGGTGCAAGTTACGTAAGGCTGTGGTGGGTGAACAACCAAAATATAAATCCCATAGGGACTGCTCCACTAGGCAAGATATCAGTGTGTAGCTGCCCACCATCCAAGTCCTAAACATGGTAAGTGGTAAGATTGGCAAATGATGTACTAAACTACTAAGTAGTTTAGTTTTCAGTTCCCATCTGGCTCTTGTGATGTGGTCCAAAGGAAAACAGAGCAATACATTTGACACCAACGTGGATGCAGGAGTTGCCAGAAAGATGTACAAGGCACCACCTTCTCCCACAGATACCGTATTGGTCTGAATATAAGCTGCACCCAAATATAAGCTGCACCTTTAAAATTCAAGGGGGGGGGAGAGAATACCTGAATATAATTCTATCATAAAAGCCAGTTTTTGTAAGGTTGTGAATTTAAGCCACACTTTAACTTTTCATGGTTGAAATTTGGGGGGAAAGTGAGGCTTCTATTCAGGCCAATACAGTATTCTGCAAGGCAGGGGTTTAGTAATTTTCCTTCTCCCAGGTGGGCTGCCTTCCCAGGTTGAGGAGCCACATTTGCCCTTCAATTCTCCCTCTACAGCAACATGCAACCCCCCCCCAAAAAAACCCCTTCTTGACCGTTGGACCCACTATTGGTCTCATCCGCTCAATCCACTGCAGGCTGTCTTTGCATGCAGGGATAGTGCAGATAGTGCCCATGAGTGGGCAAACTACCCCAGGAGCATGACGTCCCCCACCAGAAGTACTACCCCTTGCCTAACACCCCATAGATATGGAATAGCTTATTACCAAATGCAGCAGTGCCTATTTAAACATACAATTAACATCCAGGTCTGTGCTGAAAATTTCAGATGATCAGTGCAGGACACACATATTCACCAGAACAGTGATGCACTTGTTCAAAGGAACATTCATTTCCTGTAACTTACACATTTAGAGTGACATGACATCTTGGAACTTAGATGGGGCTGTCGCCTGTAGGGGTTATGTCTACTCTTGAATCTCTCCAGGAGGCACTTCTAAGGTATTTATAAGAAAAATATTCCAGCGCCCTTCTTAGAACTGACTCAAGTTCAAACCTCTGTTGAGCCATAAAGGTAGAAATCCTGTGAGATTTCTAATAGATCCTTACCCCACTCTGAAGTAAGCTTCATAAAAAGTAAGAGACCTATTTCTGAGTAGAAGTATTATGAATTGTGGTGTATTATGAGATAAGCAACGTAGTCTGTTGAAAAGTGTAAGTCTACATCTCTAATTTGATAAAACGTGTAATTCATTTATACAAAAATATACAGTGAACATACAGAAACATTGAATCCACCAAGTCTTATGCCAGCAGAAAAACTAGTTTCAATTACGGCATACTATTGCCTTCTGTGTATATCCCTAACATAATCACCAAACTACATATACAGGTACAGTTCTGGTTTGTAGGGTTTTGTGATTTCCTACAACAGCTGTAAAGCAAACACCTTCTAATGTTCCCAGACATGCTGTTTTGTCGCTTTGGGAATTATTGGCAGTTATTTTTCATACTAGTTAACGATTAACTTTGTTTTCCAGGAAAAAATGCATTTTGAAATCTTTGGTACTTAAAACATTAAACACTGATGGGGCAACTAAGAAAATTAGTGGAAGGTTATAGGGTACTTAAGATTAATGTGTCACTAAAATACTATGACATTCATTCCAGCTCTTTTTGCACTAAATAATACTTTGGAAATAGCGTTTATACAATATGTAAAAGTGTAAGAAAAGACAAACAAGGATTGAAGGTCACAAAGATGTGATAGCAGAGGATGCTAATTCAAGGGATAGTCTACTATAGCTCCCAAACTGCCTTTACAGGACCGTTTAATCTTTACTTCTTTTCTAACACTTTATTTACACTTTAATCTTTACTTATATCAGTTTGTGAACATATTCTGAGACCAGAAATTCCCATGTATTGGTTTCATTTTAATAAAATTTCCATCCCCTTACTATAAATTGCTGGTAAATCGGCCAATAGGCTCAATCATCTGATCTTAATGGCTACCATTCTAAGTTTAACAACAGGCTATAAGAATCTGTTTTTAAAAATTAAAATAATCCATGAGGTCCTTAATATAGCACAGGTTGCTACTTGAAATATTCACATGGAACTAGGAAATATTCTGTATAGGCATTCAAGTAGAAAATTAGAGGTATACCACAGGGTTCCCACCACCATCTGAAACCTCTTACTAAAATCTTGATAGAATGTTTCCAAGGACTCCATAACAAAGGGGAATGCTACTTCCTTTACAAATGGAAAGGGATGTTGGCTAAAGATAATAGTAGCCACAACTAAGAAAGTGAGTATAATTGCCAGATGCTTTAAGGACCTGAAGAATTCTTTACGTGGTTTGTTCTCCTTTTCACAGGCATGGCTACATATTTTTTCTTTTGAAATTAGCTTTATTTTGGGAATGACAATCTTGTTGACCTGACTAATTTCACTTTTGGACCACACATCTTTCAGCACCTGCCCTATTCGCGGGTAGATTTCTACAGGCTTTATATTTGGTAACGGCTTTTCCTTCAAAGCTTTAACACGCTGGCGAATATCATCAACCTTCTCCAGAAATAAGAGGGGAGATTCCTCCTCCTGAATGGCTGTATTCAGTGACATCAATTCAAGTTGTTCTTCCCGTATGCCTTTCATATTTTCAATTAGAGGTTCATATTCTGTCTCAATTTGCATGTTCACTTCTTCCAAAGCTGCAAGCAAAGCTTGTTTTTTATGATCAAGTAAATCACTGAGTCTCTTGAAATATTGCAACACAGTTTTTTTATCCTCCTGGACAATGCTCTCACATTGAGCTTTATGCTCTTCCAGGTTTTCAATAAGTAAACACACTTCACTCCAGTGTTTATCTGTCAGCTGTTCAAGGAGTTTGCCAGGAGTTTCCTTTTCTTTCATGTAGGCACTTTGAAGGTCGTCTATGGGATGGCCATGGTGTTTTCCTATTGTAAGACAATGGCCACATACTAGTTTTTTGTCTTGAAGACAGTAAACATTTAGAGGTTGTCTATAATGTTCACTACACGTAGCGACATCTGGATGGTCCTCTTGCTGATACTTTTCAATTATAGCCTTTAATACAAAGTTGACAGGCAAAGATTCTGTGCCAGTCGGTGGAATTTCAACAATGCTTCTACAGTTGGGACACTTCAGTGGAAGTCTTAAGGGTCTCCATATGGAAAAGTTGCCTGATAACTGAAGAACACTTTCCAAACAGTTTCTACAAAAAGTATGTGAACATGGCAGTACACGAGGGTCATCAAATATACTGTAGCAAATGGAACAAGTTAGTTCCTCTTCAAAATGATGCATTTCCTAAAAATAAAGAGGGAAACGTTTTTAAAGTTTTATATATATATGTAAAGTCTAATAGAATCAAGTCATTCTAAGTTGGTTTAATTAAGCTATAGTATTTATTGCATGTTTTTCAACATAGTTTAAGAAATTAATATAGAAATTGTTTTTTCTTTTTTAAAAAATGTGGAATGGGCCAAAAACTAATCAGTTATATATTACGGATTCCCACTTACTCTATAAAATGATGTGTTGCCAAGCTATAACTAGCACAACCCTCTAATGAAGCAGGAAAGGGGTTTCTGTCAAACCATCATACATGGACCATATGATCAGAGAAATCAATGCTGCTTATGACTTATAAAGTATATATCTAAATTATGCCACCACTCATTGTTTAGTCATCTTAGTCATGTTGAACTCTCTGTGACCCCATGAGCCAGAGCATGCCTTGGAAACTCACTTTCTTCTCAAAGCTTCTCCTTATCTATGTCCATGGAGTTTTCTTGGCAAAATACTGGAGTGGTTTGCCAGTTCCTTCTCCAACCACCACTCATATATACAGTTTATATGGGGCTAATGTCATAGGTTTTCTATATATTTTTTATTCAAGTGCATTTCTATTCTTAAATAACAGTATACATTAGCTATGCAAAAAGACACTTAGAAAACATTTCCTCTTAAGCAATGGATGTATTATCACAGGTAAACTAAAGAGTGTATTGAGGTTCATTTATGTCATCAGCAACATTAAGCCATAAATGCACTTGTTCATCATTGCAGGACTTTTCTTGTCAGACCAGGGCTGCCTACTCATGTTCAAATCCCTACTCAGCCATGAAGCTGAGTGGGTGGCCTTGTGCTGGTCACCAATTCCCAGCCTAACCTACCTAGCTCAATTATAAGGATAAAATGAAGATGAGATGCTGTATGCCCAACTAAACTGATTAGAAGGGACGGATAATAAAAAGGTGAGGGGAAATGTGTGTGCGTCCTATGGGGTGAATGCAGGCTTTCGCTGAAGCCTGGAGAGCGAGAGGGGTCGGTGCGCACCAACCCCTCTCGCTCTCCAGGCTTCACGCACATCTCCGTAAGCCATGGGAGCCCGCACCGGGCTCCCACGGCTTGCGGAGAGTTGCCTGCATGCCGAAGGCTGGGCGCGCTGAGCTCAATGCGCCCAGACTTCGCGCAGCTCTCCGCAAGGCGCGGGAGCCCTGCGCTGGGCTCCTGCGGCTTGCGAAGAGTTGCCTGTTCTGGGGGCCGGGGTCGGGGGAAGCTCGGGCTTCCCCCGCCCCAGCCCCGCGCCTGGGGGGGAAATAATTTCCCCCCTTTATTTCCCCCCAAAAAACTAGGTGCGCCTTATGGGGCGGTGCGTCCTATAGGGCGAAAAATACGGTAGTTCACCCAGACCCAAATAAGGCTTCCTTTTAGAGAATGTTAGGATAAAGATTGCTCACTCTTAGAGGAGCCCACCTCTTGTATCTCTGCAGGAGCTACTGACCAGTATATGCCACCAATTTGGAAGGAGGCAAACCTAGAGCAGTGACTCAAGAGATGCAACAGCACCCTCCCCTTCAAGTGCAAGTAGTTCTGCTGTCTTTCTGAATCAAGAATGATGGAGTGGTCCAAGTGTACTCAATGCAGCAGACTGAATAATAGGAAACAAAACAGTAAATCATTCAGAGTCAGAAAGGCAGTATGTGAATAAATGTAAGAACGATTATGGTTACCACCAAATATGGCTTAGTGCTAAATGTTGGCAAAGCCTTTGAAATGTACCTTGCCAGGAAAAATCAGTATTGAAAATGATATGTTCGTTGTCATTGATTGTTTAGAAAGGGGGAATCCTTCAAAGGCAGTGCCATGTTAAGTGTCAGCTTCAGCATCCTGCAACCTTGAAGTTTGTTTTTTATCACAGGGTTTAAAAAAAATAGAGCAAGATCACCTATTTTTGGTCAGTCGTGATTTGTGAACATTCCTTTGACCTCTGCTCCATCCAGAGAACAGCAGGTTGATAAATTACAGTTGATAACTGTTTCCTTCAGGCAAGCAACGGAGCTCCAGAGTTAAGCAGCCATTCTCTATTCCATGGCCACACCGAAGAGTCTTTTGGACTTGCAAATAGTCTAGATGTCCTGTGACTGAAGTCTGGAACTTACTTAATCCACAAAGCATTGAGTCTGTCTTCTTTCCTGGTGTTCCAGAGGAAATGCTTAATCCTCACTGCTGAGAAACTCCATTGCACATTTACCATTGTCATCTGAGCGGTGATCAGGAATCTTGGCAATGGGATAATTTGCTGCAATGTTGTTTCCAGCTTGCTCTCTGAAAGCTTGTGCAGGAATGTAAACACAGTTTTGTGACTGCAGAATTCTTACCTCTTGCACAAGATAGAAAGCCCAGCCTTCATCCCACAGTAATGGTCCAGGCTTCAATAGCTTCATTAAGTGCCTGTTGCAGGAAACTCAAGTTATGTACTAGAAACAACACCCTTGTACAGGTGTTACACCAAATGATCAGTAAATACAGATATTACTTTGCTTGTGCAATGATGTCCAAGGTGTCTTGATCCAGATTCTCCTTTGTTTTGCTTCTGGGAAGCTGAGATTGCCAGAATTAACTCAGAGAACAAGCTTTTAATGGAATCTTTTGACTTGACGTGATGATGCTCATAAAATCTGACAAAGTCAAGCTGTTCTCTGGAGTTAACTGAAGTGGATATCCACATGAGTCATCATTCTGAAAAAAACAGGTACAAAAGGTACAGGAACTTGCACCTATCTGATTGTGCTGTTATCAAAATGTTTCTTCCAAAAATATTAAATTAGTGTCAGTCTCTTCCCAAATACTACATTCATTGTTAAGAAGTTAAAGTTCCAGCATGTCCAATAAAATCTGGGGATTCTTCTTCTTGCAACACCCTCCAAAACTGCATTCCTTTTTGTGCTGCTGGCAAAGGATGCCAGGAAACCAAAAAAAGGTCTGAAAATCACTTATTTGATTTGTAAAGCTGTTGGTTTTATCACCAAGTTCACTTGAAGGGTACACCTATGAACATACTGGGCAGTAGGATATATGTCCTGGATCCTCTTCTGCATTCCAATGCGCTCCCCACAAAATCTGATTGCCCCATTGTAGCTCTGAACAAAGAGTTGCTGCTTGTTACGTCTCCTCCTAGTACATCTCTTTCAGCTGCTAATGCACAACTATAACAATAATATTCCTTCAGTGTGAATCCACTGAACCATTCCACTGGTGAGCAGTCAACATATGGGTGAACACATTGGTTGCGTCCTCAGTTTCAATAGTCAGAAAATGACTTTAAATAGTCACAAAAAGCTTTTTGACTTCTGTTTAATATAATGCTTCACTGGCATCTATATGCAGTCAAGCATATTGTTTCTTTCACAGACCTTAGAACACTCTGGAACTATGTACGTGAAGTTCCATGGATGAGTCAACGGACGTCAAAAGAGTAAACATTAGTTGAATACAACCATGGATTTTCTGAATCCGGACGGCAGAATTCAACACTGCACTCCTCCAATTGTTCCGTATGCACAAACACCCCACTTCCACCTGAGCACTGTTCTGAAGGTTCTCCCAAACCTCCTCCTGGAGGCAAATTTCAGGGGACATGAAGTGGGGGAAGAGAGCATGGTACAAGTGGAAGTCCTTGCACAGGACTTCCACCAGTGGGGCTGGTTAGGTAAATTCTGCCTTGTGTCTTGTCATGACCACTAAGCATCAGTGGAAAAGCACCCGGAAAGGCTATTTCTGTTGTTCTTTTCATGACTGTGCTCACTTACACACAGTTGCCTTTGTCCACCGAAGAACGTAAGAAGTGTCACACTATGCTTCAAAGAGGGACAACTGTAGATTTTTGCCATCTGTCATGGGTGCTTTAGTTGAGATTCCTGCATTGCAGAAGGTTGGACTAGATGACCCTCTATGTCTTTTCCAACTCTACAGTTCTATGATTTACATCTCCCCAACAATTTGGCTTATGGTTTGTTTGTTGCTGGCTTGCAAATGATGGCTTGTTAGGGAGCCACAAACTAGAGTCCCTGCACTGCATATCCCACATATGCAAGAGGAAGAGCAAAACAGGAGTAATCAGGCAGAGCGTACCAACATGCTGCTCATTCACAATAAGCCACGGGTCATAAAGTTTGGTTTGTCATTCATGTGAACACAGCTATTGTTTAGGAAACATATGATGTAGTATCGGCAGGACACAACTGAAATCAATGCTTTAAATTTGCACTTTTTTCTTATTTAAATAACTGACTTGATATGACTCAATTTTAATCAATCTACACTGGTTGCATGGCTAAGGAAACAGTAGTAATGTACCTTAAAAATGTAAACAAAACCCAGAGTATTTGGAGAAAATTCCATTAGATACTACAGAAAAATATAATAAATAAAACAAACAAATAGCAAAGTACAATTTTCAATACTCACGGAGAAGATATAGTGAAGTCGTATTTGTCAGCCCTGGGATTGGTATATTCTAGAAATAACAGTTCTCTATTTATCTGGAATAAAAAGTGAAGAATTTGGCGATTATGTTTTCCAACCTGGACATTCAGGGGTGATAACAAGCAGTAAGGCATATTTTCTGAGCTGAAGTAGTGATGCAGAAATCCTATAATTATAATTTATTCACAATGGGCTGAACCTTTCTAAGAATAAGGCAAAAAAGTTTGTTCTCAGCAGGGAAACCTTTACCTCCATTCCTTAGTTCTCTACCACTCTGATGACTAGTAATTATATGAAAGGAAAAATGCACTCCTGCTTACAAAATTTTATTGCCTCATCACTGATGTTTCTCAGCAAATAAAACAAAGAACTTCTTTCACAATGACCTATAACTCTAGCATCAGTGAAACTTGTTTTAAAAAGAAAATGCTATGTATTGCATGGATATTTTGTTGCACATCACACAAAATAATACGTAAGTAGTCTTCCAATGACTATAGTACAATTTCTTAATAAATTAGGAAAGAGGCGTGGCTCAGTGGTGGAACACATTTCTTCCAAGCAAAAGGTCCCAGGTTTAAACAGCAAAAGCCTCATTTGAAATCCTGACAAGGTACTGCCAGTCAGTGTAGACAATACTAAACCACTTAGCTTCTTGGTCTTTCCGATCACAGTTTGAACACGTGCAATGGGGTGAACTCCCGTTGCTTTGTCCCAGCTCCTGCCAAACTAGCAGTTCAAAAGCATACCGGCACAAGTAGATAAATAGGTACTGCTGCTGCAGGAAGGTAAACGGTGTTTCCGTGCGTTCTGGTACTCGTCATGGTGTCCCATTGCGCCAGAAGCAGTTTAGTCATGCCGGCCACATGACCCAGAAAGCTGCGGACAAATGCTGGCTCCCTCTACCTGAAAGCACAGATGAGCACTGCACCCCATAGTCAAATTTGACTGGTTGTCTAGGGGTCCTTTACCTTTAAAGGTAAAGGTACCCCTGCCCGTACGGGCCAGTCTTGACAGACTCTAGGGTTGTGCGCTCATCTCACTCTAGAGGCCGGGAGCCAGCGCTGTCCGCAGACACTTCCGGGTCACGTGGCCAGCGTGACGATGCTGCTCCGGCAAACCGGCACCAGAGCAGCACACGGAAACGCCGTTTACCTTCCCGCTATAAAGCGGTACCTATTTATCTACTTGCACTTAAGGGTGCTTTCGAACTGCTAGGTGGGCAGGAGCTGGGACCGAACGACGGGAGCTCACCCTGCCGCAGGGATTCGAACCGCCGACCATGCGATCGGCAAGTCCTAGGCACTGAGGTTTTACCCACAGCGCCACCCGCGTCCCCGCATGTGACTATAAACCTTTACCAATGGACTAATGCTCTAGCATGGTATAAGGTAGTTTCCAATGTTCTTATTATACTGACACTGGGATTGGAGCCAATCTTTTTTCTAGCAGATTTTTCTTTGTCCCATTTTTTATTTCTAAAAAAATCTAATGTTGTGCCTATATTTCACAGAAGGCCCTTCCTATGTTTCTGAAAATTCTCCTGTGAAACCCACCTGGAAACACATAGGAATTGCCATAGAGGTGTAAAAAAATACCCAGTTAATTGTTACTATGGTCATTTGAATTTAAAAGTATAAAAATTATAGTTCCCTTATCAGATACGCATCTAGGAAATGATGCCAGTTTACCAAGAAATGTGACTATAAACCAAACACTATATAGCTGGAAAGTTCAGCTGGTTGCATGGGGCTGACAGTACCAAGGTTGCAGGTTTAATGCCTGTACGAGACAGCTGGATATTCTTGAATTGCAGGGGAATTGAATAGATGATCCTCGGGGTCCCTTCCAACTCTTATGATTCTATAAAATAACTACCAAACTTTTAGAAGACATCTGAAGGCAGCCCTGTTTAGGGAAGCTTTTAATGTTTAATAGGTTATTGTATTTTAGTGTTTTATTGGAAGCCGCCCAGAGTGGCTGAGGAAACCCAGCCAGATGGGCGGGGTATAAATAATAAATTGTTATTATTATTATTATGAGATACAGTGGTACCTCGGGTTAAGTACTTAATTCGTTCCGGAGGTCCATTCTTAACCTGAAACTGTTCTTAACCTGAAGCACCACTTTAGCTAATAGGGCCTCCTGCTGCTGCCACGCCGCTGGAGCATGATTTCTGTTCTCATCCTGAAGCAAAGTTCTTAATCCGAGGTACTATTTCTGGGTTAGCAGAGTCTATAACCTGAAGTGTATGTTACCCGAGGTACCACTGTATCTGCTTAAAATGGTTTAAGTCACTGAAAGACAGGCAAGCTTATTTAACTCAAGCTTTTATTATTCTGGCATGTGTCAAGCATCCACAAGTTCAAATGTAGGAAAGTAGGTAGGTGAACAGAAGTGAAATACTTTATGGAAGAAATACAAAATCGAATCTGAACTGAGTTTAAGATGGAAAGGAAAGATCAGTTCCCTGGTACTTGTTTCTTTTTAAATGCAAGTTTGCAAACAAAGTCTGAGAGTTTTTCAATATTTATTAATGCAAGTCACTGTGAGCCACTAACATTTTACATTCTTAATCACAAATTAATATAAAGGGATTGAAATTTAAGGAAGTTTAAATAAGGGCAAGCTGTATATGCTTTAGATCTGGACCCCTCCGGTCATTTATTTGCCAAGTAGCCCCACTCTTGAGTAATGGTATTGTTTAGATACAAATAGCTGGAGGATCGTGACCCAAGAACAGTCACCAGAAGGGGCATTTACAACTTAAGGGATAAATCAGTATAGCAAGAAGTTGACTACAAATGATACTTGCTTTTGAGTTTTCTGGGTCTTAGGACAGCTGTATTGTTCCGATATGCATCCAAATGTCAGAGCAGAGTGCTACTAACGAAAATGCCACGAAGTTCTTAGTGGTCACCCTGTTTTCCCCCTCCCAAAAGGAGTTATCTTTACTGTTGCTCTTCTTTTTACCTACAGAAACAGGAGCACTTTTCAAGGCTCTCTCCGCCACTCCCTTAATTTCTCCCAAAACACTTCGGGGACGGGGCAGTCACGATAGCAACGACCTAGTACGCCCATAAAAGCCTCCCCTCCCCTCTCCATTTTTATTCTACTTCAAAATAATACACGTATCCAGCATTACAGGCTCACCTCCACCTGCGGCAGCAGATCCCTCGCTCCCCGCAAATTCCTCTCAGCTTCCCCTGAATGGATCCCAGCCGGGGGCTGCTAAACCCTTCTTCCCTTCCTCCTCCAATCAGAATCGCCGGAAAGGAGGAAAGGGAAGCAGCCGCGGCAGCTCGCTGCTGCGCACGCGCCTGGGCAAGCCGGTCGTCTCGAGCCAATCAACCGCTTCGGAAGGATCAGTTCAAAAGTAAACGGCTGGACGAGGGAGGAGAATTTTATGAACGCGGCACAACAGTTCCCTCAGGTCAGCCGTTAACGGCTGCTGGAGCGGGCTGCGCCTTAGAACATATTCTGTGTATTTTTGCCCCTCTCTGTTTCTTTCTTATCCCCACCCCCGCTAAGAAACTTTGGATTTCTCTTCCGTAAACGGTGGATTATTTTTTTAAAGAGAGAAATTAAAAGTTAAAACCTTACCAGTCAGGCATACTTTTCAAAATGATGTGATTTTAAGAGGGGGGAAAGTCAACAGAATATTGGCAACCTAACCATGCAGGCTCAAGCCACCCCAAATTAAACTGGGCTGGTCCCCATTGATTTCAGTAGTAGGTATGTACTAATAACTATATGAATTATTGCACTGAGATTTTAAAATAGCTAACTTTGTCTGGGTTGTGCCTAAAAGCAAAAGCTCCTGATTAGGGGAAAAGAAGCACTTGTGCCATCTATCTAAAAATATAGAAATTCACATATGCAACCAGTTGTCAGTGTAGAATCTCAATCTTCCAGAATTGTCTGACATAACCAAGAAATGAGCCCTATGCTAGTATGGGCTTAGCTCGCTAATTCACAACTAATTAGTTAGCAAGTTCACAGCTCTGTGTTTGCTCATAATGCTAAGTCAAACTAGCTGAAGAAGTGTGCATGCACACGAAAGCTCATTCCAATAACAAACTTACTTGGTCTCTAAGGTGCTACTGGAAGGAATTTTTTTATTTTGTTTTGACTGCGGCAGACCAACACGGCTACCTACTTGTAACTAGCTTACCTGTGGGTTATCAAAGCATAGATTTCAGCCACTGTTCCCACATTACCAGATGCTAAGCCATGGATTGGTTTACCACTACACCTGGACCCGGGCTTGTGGTCTATCTCCCCTAGATAAGTGACGTAGGAAAGTAAGGACAAACTCTTAGACAAGTGAGCACTCTTCAACATTTGCACTAAGTTTCTCGCCATCCTGGAAAAAAGTGACAAGTGGGGTGCTGTAGGGTTCTGTCCTGGGTCCACTGCTGTTCAATGTCTTATAAACAATTTAGATGACGGAATTAAGGAAATGCTCATCCAGTCTGCAGATAACACCGAAACTAGGAGGGGTAGCTAATGCCGCAGAAGACACAATTGAGATTCAGGATTACTTTAACAGATTGGAGAACTAGACCCAAACTAACAAAATGAATTTCAATACGGAGAAATGTAAGGTTCAGCACTTAGGAAGAACCAGTTGCACAACCATAAGATGGGGAACACCTGGCTCACCAGTACTACATGTGAAAAGGATCTAGAGGTCTTGGCAGACCACAACTTTAACATGAGTCGACTGTGTGATGCAGCAGCAAAAAAAGCTAATGCTATTCTAGGCTGCATCAACAGAAGTTTAGTGTCCAGATCAAGGGAAGACAAAGCACCTCTCTATTCTACCTTGGCCAGATCACACCTGGAGTACTGTGTCCAGTTCTGGTTGCCACAATTTAAGAAGGATATCGACAAGCAGGAACGTGTGCAGATGAGGGCAACCAAGCCTTATGAGGAATGGTTGAGGAAGCTGGGTTTGTTTAGCCTGGAAATGAGGAGACTGAGAGGAGATATGATAGAAATCTTCAAATATCTGAAAGGCCGTCATGCTGAGGATGGAGCATGCTTATTTCCTCCTGCTCTGGAGGGTGGGGCATGAACCAATGGATTCAAGTTACAATAAAAGAGATTCCAACTGAACATCAGAAAGAACTTTCTGACAGTAAGAGCTGTTTGACAGTGGAACAGACTTCCACAAGAAGTTGTGGACTTTCCTTCCTTGGAGGTTTTTAAGCAGAGGCTGGAAAGCCTTCAGTCATGAATTATCTAGTTGCGATTCCTGCATTGCAGGAGGTTGGACTAAATGACCCTTGGGATCCTTTCCAACTACAATTCTATGATTTATGATTCTAAGTTTCCAAGCACCTTGTTAAAGATATGTTAACTGAGCATTAACAGCATACTGATGTCATATGATCCCAAAGATACAGATAACTTTTGTTATCTTCAAATAGATATTAGACAGCATCAGTAACACAATCTCTGATTATGGCTTATCAAAGTCAAACCCTGACCTGATAAAAGATTTCACTAAGTAGATAAATCTCACTAATGACCTGGGCTAATCTAATATAGATATTGGGCTGGCTGGTTCTTAATCAAATCTCACACATTTTCAAAATGTACATTTGTCAATAGAAAATGCTTACCTACTTCTCCAACACAAAGTGTCAGAAGTCATACTTTGGCCACTGTTAAGAGAGGATAATCCTGCAGCCAAACTGTGTCAGGGACTAATGCCTGCAAGGAAAGTGCTTCAAATGACCACTGGCAGATAGTGATATCATTACGCGTAAAATAAAGAAATATTATGTCATATGGGCTATATAACATGATTTGGTCTTACTATTTTAAAGCTAACTAGTTCAATTCCCCATTAGCTTTTACTGAGAATGATTCACACAACCTTTCTAGAGGTATGGCGGTAGCATAGAGTTGGTTTCAAAAGTGACATTTTTCTCAGACAGTACTGAATTAAATCCTGTGGCTGTGTTGTTTAGACTAAACACCCTTACAAGATATGTAACTTTGTGAGACTATAGTTTAATAGAATCACAGTTAGTTGTTCTGCCCCCCAAAAGGGAATTGTGGTTTAATTTCAGTTTACTAACCAGGACCTTAAACTTCAAACTATAATTTAAGGTCCTGGTTAGTAAACTGACATTAAAACACAGCTTCCCATTTTGGATGTAATGGGTAACTGTGGTTTAATTAAACCAGGAGTTAATTCCTGAGAAAGAAAAGGAGGGGGAGCATGTGGTCGTCTTGCTTGTCCTGCCTGCTAAATTAGCAAGTCTGGAAATGAATGCCTGAACCAGGTCAGTACCATACTCTCACCACTTTTTCACTCTTTTCTTCAGGTGGCAGTGGAGATTCTCTGATTTCTAAACAAGCAACCCTGTTCAACATCTGCACTAGACTGTCCTGGATAGAAAACCAAAGAAAAGAATGCAAAGCACTCCCTCTTTTGGACACTAGAAAAAAATGATCTCAACAATGAAGTGGATATGTTATATAGCACTGAGTGATTGACATTGTGATCTACCATCTGTTCCACAGATAATCCTCAAGACTTCATAAGTGAAAGAGCTCATGTATATTTTCTCTATGAACTAGAGTATTTATAATTTATTGAATCATGCTGAAGTAAAAATGCAAACATACTGAGATATGTCTGGTAAAGTAAGCTTGAAAAAGCAAATAATGATATAAATTTGCCACTGTGTCATAAATAATGTTATGCTTATCTTTCCAGAAGACGTAAACACCTGTCTATCCTGATAAAATTAAATTTATATTTTACAGCCTCTCGTGTAAACATCTGGGAAATGTCTGGAATTGTGTCTGGAAAGATAAAATCCCATTCCCTGCCTCCCTAAATTAAATAGGCAAGCTTTGACAATACAAGCCTTCCCTCCCTCTAATCAGTGTTGCTTCCAACAGTTTTTTTTCCTTAGGTGACTTTATATGAAACCAAATGCATTAAATTTGTTTTCTGTGAGCAGACTCATCATCACCATAGTTCCACTTAAGCCAAGCAGAATGAAACAGTGAACGTATTTCACAGAAAATCAGGAATGGAGCCATTCTTATTAATTTTTAGACATGTATGTACACCCACTTTACATAAATTCCTTAAATGAATAATCTAGTCACAGGGGCCAAGTTTCCATTATCATGGTGGCATTTTTTAAAGCCACTGCAATCATTGGAATCAGTAGTTTCACGTTTTGTTATCCATATGAATCATGGATAATCCAGGGGCAGATAACTTGTGTGCCGAAAACTATGTGTAACTCTTGCTTTTTGTTTTGTTTAAATACTTTAGATCATGGTATGAGTGTCTTATTGTGCTGGAATCCAAACTCGCATTTGTAAAAAGGTGCCAACCTGGATTCCAGCAATACTGGTGAAAATAGTACCAGAGCCTTAAGCACACTTCTTTGAAAGTTAGTAACAGTTTGAGTGCAAAGGTCTGGAGCAGGTTTTTGCTTTGCAGGGAGGTAGACCTGACCAAAATGCAATGGCACAAGTTACTGCTTGTACCATTAGCCACTTGGCCTATCAACAATATCGAAGAATGTTACATTAACTGCTCACTCAACATTCTGTAATAAACATTAACAAGAGAGAACACAGTAGATTAAACTTTCAATGGGTAAATACCTTTTTATTACTGTTTTCCACATTCCATTTTATGTCATAGTAAATATGGTAGTCATGTGCTATTATATTTTTCTATATATACACTTTTAGTGTGTAAAGTATTCAATATCAGGCTCACCTTGGAGCAGTACGATAGCAATGCTACCAATAAAAACAAAAGTAAAATAATGCCATGGCTAGAAGTATATTTATTTGATTATCATTTTATAGTTCAGCAAATATAGAATTAGCCTTGTATCAGCTATTATCATTTGCTGTGGACTTGTTATTGCACAACGTACCGTAGTTATCAAACTGAGCTGCTTGCAAAGTTCAGGCCAGCTAAAAGTGCACTGCTTGTATTATTTTTATTAAATGTCTATACCGCCCTTCATCTGAGTAACACAGGGTGATTTACAACATGCAGTGTCTCTAGTTGTTACAACAGAACTACTGTGCGATCTTTAATAAAGCCTTACCTTGTATAGTTCAATGTCTGCTGAAGAGTGATCACAAGTTTGAATCTCTTTCTGCTGAAGGGGTGTGGGTTTAAATGATTTGAAACAAAGTACATTTGAGACTGCCAAGAACCAGCTAAGACAAACAGATACAGAAAACATAGTGTGATGTAAGCTGAGAATCAAAAACTTGAATGATACATTGTCAGTGAAAGAAAGCATTTTATTTAATCCATTTTTGGGGGGCGGGGTGTGTTAAGATAGTCTTGAATAAGCACCATTGTCCACATTGCACAGGACTCCCAATACTGTTAGAGTGCACTTACTAATGTGCGACAAAATCTGTAACTTAATACATCTGCTTTTGTAAATTTACAATAGGACACTACAGTACTCATTTTCTGAGTGTTTGACACTGGTGTCCTTACTGGAATTTAAGGAGTTTTCTCTTCTAATTAACTCTGGTAGTTGGCAGTACATTGCCTCATCTTTAATAGTGGCTCTCATGGTTTATTGTTTTTAAAACTGTAACTTGCATAAAAGAACAAAAATTTCTAAAATGTATTTAATTACTAAAAGGCAGGATGCCAAATCAGATGTCTGACAAGAAATCACACTCTGTCCCTAGAAAGCAGTTAAGTTTTTCATCCTATATGTGTGAGCTACCATTAGTAAAGGATGGTAGGACAATCCGCACATGTGTTGGAACATGTTCTCAACATGTTCCTGATTGAACTCTGGCAGTGTAAAAAGGTTCTGGATGAAAGAGAGCCCTGGAAAACAGAGTTTGCTCATTTTCTCCTCCCTCCCAATCCGTTTTTGTTTTGCATGGTTCTTTTCAGATTTGAAATTTGAGGGCAGGCCCAAGTTTGTTTTTAGTTATAAACTGCCTTGGGAGCTTTTTTAGGCCGAAAAATTGAATTTTAAGAAGAAAAACCCCAAACACTGCCTCTGGCACTGGAGGCAAAACATAGTCGTGATGACTACTAGTAGCTATTGACAGCCTTATCTTTAATGAATTTGGCCAATCCCCTTTGAAAGCTGGTGGCCGTCACCACAGCTTTTGAGAACAAATCCTATCGCTTTAACTATGCGCTGTGTGAAGAACTACTTCATTTCTTCTAACGGGATGACTCCGGATTCCGACACGACGTTGAGGGGGGAAAAGTTACCCCATATCTACACAGTTCCCGATTTTACACACCTCCATGGCGTGCGTTTTGCCTTTTAACGAAACGCTCGAGCCCTCAGAAAAATCAGGCGGGAAAAGCGGGGCGCCATTTTTGCGCCTCGCGCCCCCCTCCCCCTCCCCAACTGCCAACGACCCTCCTTACGAGACGAACGGGTCTCGGTTCCCTCAGAGGCAAGCGAGGGCAGGAGCCGCCCCTGAGGACACGGGCCGCCCTAGGCGCGGTTTCCTAAGTTTGTGGCCATGGAGAAGGCGACCGCCAGCCTCGGGGAGTCGAAGATCGTCCGGCTCATGCTGCTGAGGCGCAACCGGCTCCGGCGCAAAGGGAGCCTGGCGGCGGCGCTGGCTCAGAGCATGGCACTGGCGGTTCTGGGCACGGCAGCCGCCTACCCCATCTGGGTGCTGGTGGAAGACAAGAAGCGGAGGGCGATTGTGCTGGGGGCGTCCTGGGCGATACGGCAGGACAACCCGGCTCCGGGCACGCCGCTGCTGGGCCCGTCGGGGGGCCCGATCATGCTGGCCATCGCCTGCTGCTGCTTCTTCAGCGTGCTGACGGGCTCGCTGGCTCTGGCGCTGGACTTCGTCGGCGCGCGCCCGTGCCGCTCGCTGGCGCCCCTCTTGCACTGCGTCACCGCCATGATGATCGCGTGCACGGCGGCGCTGGGCTCGTGCCTCTTGGCGCTGATCCGCGAGCGGCTGCAAACCCAGCCGGAGCTGCAAGGCTTGTCGGCCAGCCCCGGGCAGAGCCTCTTCTTGGCTTTCCTGTCGTGTACTTTGGCTTCCACCGCCACCGGGTTCAGCTGCGTGTCGCCGGCCCGGCTGGAGCCGATGCACTCGTCGTGGGACGTCGGCGGGGCCAAGTCCTTCCACGGCACGTCCGCCACTTCCCTGCCGCCGCCGCAAGCGCCGGCGCCGCTGCACGACGAATTCCTCCCCTCGGTTCCGAGGCGCGGCCACGCGGGCAAAGTGCAGTGGCGCGAGTACGTGAACCAGCTGCCGCCCATCTTCCGGGAGGAGCTGAGGAGGCGGCAGCAGCAGCAGCAGCAGCAAGCCGAGCATGGGCACAGCTCAGGGGAGCAGAAGGGCAACGTGGAAGAGGGAGAGCCCGTGTCCAGCGCGCGGGGCGCCATACGCCAGGGGACCGTGAAGAAGGACGAATCGCATGCAGACACTCTGTTTCTAGGGTGAAGTTTATTAGGGAAGCTACATACCACCACAGCTGGAGAATGAACGCCAGCGGGAAAGGGCGACAAGAAAACAGTTGCAAACTACCTGTCGATTTCCTTGAGAAAGATGGAGCTAGTGCGAATAAAGGAGCACTCAAAGATGACGAGTGATGCTAAAGGTTAAAAGAGTGACTGCCTTATTTCTTTCGAAGCTGTCATCCCCCTTCCTCTCACTAAAGGAATATCCTTAGTTTAACCTAGGAAAAACCTTACATAAAACATTTATTTCCATGTAGGAATCAAACTGTAACCCCGGAAAAGAATGCTGAAATAACCTTGCTTTTATTTGTCCCTGACAAGTCCACCACGTCATCTTGCTACTAGGATGCCTTAATGTTTCAGCACAATCTGTTCTCAAACCTGAAACATATATGTAAGGGGAAAACAATATTCAGGATCTCCATATTAGAAACCATCTTCCAAAAACAGGGGATAAGGAACCTATGGGCCACTTGATGTTGGAATCCTAGTCTGAAAAAGCACAGGTAGCATAACCACTGGTCAAGGATGATAGTTGTAGTCAGACATGTGGAAAACCACACATTCACCCATGCCTTAAAACAAGTGTGGTGGTGGTTGAGGAAAATCTCTAGTGAAAATTACAAAGGACAACTAAATGCAAAATTCCCCAAATAAGCCTGTTTTATAAAATGCTGAAAAAGTTTGGACATTTTAAAATGTTTTGTTTATTATTTAGTGCAGTTGCTTCAGCTGAACAAGTCTAGATGTGCAAGGACTTGGCCATTTAAAATGGCAGCCAAACTCTAGATATGCACATGCCAGTTTAACATGCAAATTACATTTTTAGATTAGATTGTGGCTACTGTGCATACTTCCACAGAACCATGTGTAAATTCCACGAAGCAATATTATTGTATAGTTTAAAACAAAAAAATTGCTAGTTCTTTCCTAAACCCTTAATAAAAATCCTTACCTCTCAAATATTATTATAACTTGTATGTAAAATTTAGAATAGGAACAATTGACTGGTCTACAAGTTCTTCTAGATAACTACACATTCCAAAGCTTCACTAATGTCGAGCATTTCCAAGCCATAATAGGAATATACCAAGCTATTTGTGATGTCCTTTTAGGCCAAGAAGTTGTTTTCAACCTCTCTGTTTCTTGCAATGCATTATCCATGATGGTTGCTTATGTGCTCAAGCCTTCAACCAATATTCCCAAATGAAGTTTGTTGCTATCTTTTACTTTTTTCACAACATTTGCTCCTGACTATTTTAGCCTCCTTGCATACTTTCTACCATAATTGCTCCTTTAATAGAACACCACTAAGATGAATAGGATGCTCCACAATTTGCAGTGGAAACAATTCTCTGCAATTCAGTATCTTAAAATCCAGAACTTGTGACATGTAGCTTCAATGCATTCAGGACGGTACTGCTCATACCCAACTTCAGAACTGTACTGGTTTTTGAAATGGGTATTTTGATGAACAATGTTATTTGTGCTTATCTGTGTATAACTAGAAACATTTATAAAAAGGTGGTGGTATTTCCCCCTGCCCCCCCCAAAACCCTTTTTTCTCTGCTTTCAAAAATTGCTTGTGCCTGAAACTAACTTAGCAGTGTTTCCCATCTTTTCTTAAGTTACCCAGTACTCAAGGAGTTAGTACATGAAAATTAGCAGGACTCATGCACTTCCCCTCTGCTCCTGTCCCAATTCCCCTCCCTCTTTTCCTGACTTAAAAAACCATAGCTCGCCACTAAAAGTGACTGTGATTTACCTAAAACTGAAAAAAGGAGAGGGAATTGCCATGCACAGGCACATGTGTTGGCATTATGTTTGAACAATGCCAATAAATTATTTCTGGAACCTGCCTACTATGCATTAAACACAAGCAGCAGCAGCAACGTATACCATTTCACACCTGGTCATTCCACAAAGAATAGTTTTAAGAAAAACTGAAGCTTAGAGAAAGACATGTCAAATGAGAATTACTATTTGTTATCTTCTGGTAGAAATAACACTTTGAAACCCAAACAATTTCAGTAGTTTCTTATTAACAGGAAAACAATTCTGCTAAAGTAGATTACAGTATATTGAATTCTGTGGGAAGGGATAGTTGTGGAAGTTCTAGGACAACGGCTATGTATGTGACAATGCATTTTTACAATTGATTAATAAAGGAGCAGAAAGGAGGGTATTTCATTGCAGATGTTTTTCCCTTGCTCTAAATAATTTGTGGAAGGCATGGCCTCAGGCCTAAAGAGGAAAAGAGCATATTGAAACTATGCTGCTGAGTGAATGGGACAGAGGATCTACATTCAAATGTAGTCAATTTAAGAGGCATGATTTCATAAAGGGTGAAAGGGATTATCAAATAAAAGCATTATAATTTTGTTCTACTTGCTTAATCAAATAATGGCACACAAAAGCAGGTTCTGTAAATATTTGTATAGACAAAAATGCATACACCAATGTAACATTGTTGTAAGTTTTAATGTTTATTTTCCCCAAGACAGCCTAGCCTGCATTCTACTTGGATAAATTTCACAAGCTAGTTTTCTGCTGCATCTAGTTTTAAACTTTTAACCATGTTTCTGATGACAAGGAATGCTGCAAAAATACTCTAGTCCAACAAAGAGTTATGATCACAAAATAATCTTTATCCATTCTACTGCGTTTCAGAATTACCAGCTGATTTAAAAAAAACAACCACAAGGTAGATATAGATGCTAATGGTGGCTAACCTGGTATGTTTTCTTATAGCAAACTGTTGTTCATGCAACACTTGTGCTCAAAGGGGAAGGCACAGCATTTCCTACAATGAGCCACCTTATAAAGAGTTCTCCTTTTGTACATATTTGCAATGTCACTTTAATTTAGTGTGCAGAACCTCAAAACTGAGGTATTATTCCAATTATAAAAACCACTTGCATTTTGTATGCAAGTTAAGAATACAAAGTTCTCTCTAAAGTGGCTCAAAATAGATTGTTCATGGCTGCCTACATCTAAAGATAAAAAGTCTAGAACAATTGGACAGATTAGGTGGTATTATTAACGGTGTTCAAACCATGACTTGATTTGTACATCTATTCACATCTCCAATCTTTTCAGCAGTACATATGCACCAAATTTTATTTTGAGGTTTCCATATCATTTTCATAGAAAACAAAGTTTGAAAACAAATAACATTGAAACACAGCACGGTATCCTACCACAACAGAAACAGCTGGTTACAGGACTCAATAAAATCTAAAAATGAGCTATGCTGTAAATTACCACATGCAAAAATAGCTTTATGTCGTCTCTGAAAATGAAAAGGATGGTGTTAAACTTGTTTTTTTATTGTTTTCTAGTATTATATGGCAATTTGTGTACTGCAACACAATAGTTGGAAGAGGGAAACGTTTGTATGAGTTTCATGCAAAAAATCTACACAAATTAGTTTTGATGATATGGAAAGCTTTTTTTTGTAAACAATGAACAGTCATCTGGTGCAAATGCACAGGGAAGCCTTCCTCAAAGTTTTCTGACTTTACAAGCAACTAGTAATAAGCCATACAGGAAAGAAAATAACTAAAATAAAAGGGGTGGGGAATAAAACAAAACACAGGCTGCAGGAGTAAAACCATAGTCTGCTGCTAAACCGGTCTCTGTTTTTGTGTCCAGTGTTAACACTTATACACTCCTTTTGATGATTGACTAGGGTTATTATCAGCCCCCTGAAGGCAAATCAAGCTTGCATGCGTTCACATACAGCATCACAACCATACTCTCGTACACACCCCACTCCAAGGCTAGGAGTCTGCTTCATGAGCAAAGAGCCCCAGATTTGAAACACACACGTGGCCCCACAGCACTGAGTCCAGACATTCACTCAATGTTGTCCATTCACACGGTGCTTCATTAGCAAGACCTGGGCTCATTCTCCTTGGACTTATATGGGCATCCTATTCTCCTTTATGCTTACATGGCTTGATGATGGAATAGTACTGCATTTTCCCCCCACAATTGCGCTAATTAAGTCAATGTTCCTCCTCAGGCACTGAAGATCTTTGACCTGTAGCCCTTTTCCTTTGAACAACCTATATAAGCATTCAGTGTGAAGTTTTTCATTACATTTTGCCACTCACTCTCACTCGCACCCACTCGCCATCTTGACTTCATTCGGGCTTTTCTGTGATTCCAAATGAAATCTTCACCATTTTCTTCCCCGATTTAATGCAGCAGCGGATCCCATGAGCCAAGCTTGATGGATCAAACCTTATTTTATTCAGTGCTGCATTGTACCTAACTTCCAAAATACCACTCTAGAATTGGAACCCTTCTGCAGGTACATTGGCAGATGAATTGAAACCAAATGTTCCACCTTGTATTGCCTCTGGAACAAGGCTTGGATCTTCATCTATCTGTAAATGAACCACAAAGACCAGAAATAAGAATCTTCCAGGCTTCCAGTCCCACCTGCCTTAATGGAGCCAGCCCCCACGATAGCAGGTGATCATCGGCAAATGAAAAACAAGAATGACAGAGGGCAAATCATCATTGCAAATTCACCCCAGGGATGGGGGGAACGGGCTTCACTTGCAGTTCGTCTCGGTACTTGGCTCTTGCTCTGGCATGGAATGCGCTGAGTGCAAAAGCACTTTGCCTGGCGAAAACCCTCCTACACCGCCATTAAGAAGAGGAGGTTCTCCATTGAATTGGATCCTTAATTGGCTTTAAAGTACTGGCATGTGATGGAAAAAGGTTGCAACAACATACTGTGGAATATAGCAGCTACATGGGTCAAAGGTTTGAACTGAGATAAGATTTTCTTCGGCGTGAGAGCTGGTTGGGGAGAGGGAACCCCTCAGTTTGTTTATTCTAAGCTCTTATATAGTTATGATTCAGCAACCTTCTCGCGAATATAAGATAAAAAGATATTTACAAGTGAGGAAGGGACGTTGGAGTAATAGTGATATTAACAAGCAAAAATGGAAACAGATTGATCTGAAATAAACGAAGGGGGAGGGGAAGCTCAAGTATGACTATGTTGGAATTATTAAGACCAGGGGTCAGCAATTTTTTTCAGCAGGGGGATGGTGCACTGTCTCTCAGACCTTGTGGAGGGCCAAACTATATATTTTTTTGGGGGGGGGAATGAAGGAATTCCTATGCCCCACAAATAACCCAGAGATGCATTTTAAATAAAAGGGCACATTCTACTCATGTAAATACACATTGATTCCCGGACAGTCCGCAAGTCAGATTTAAAGGCAATTGGGCTGGATCTGGCCCCCCAGCCTTAGTTTGCCTACCCATGATTAAGACAGATTAATTCCCCTCAACTCTGTTTAAAAACAACAAGGAAAAAGACTGAGATTTTTGTGTGCTACTGATGGAATGTAATCTAAGATAAAGTTTAAATGGGCCATAAATCTCTTGCTGGAAGGAAAAAAATTGGGGGGCTGTGATAAGAACGCTGCAGGGATTCTGGGAGTTGGAAAGGAGTATTAAATCTTCAGCACGTTCGAAAATTGCCCACCTTTTCCTAGGCTGAGGGGAAAATGGCGAAGAGCTGCAACATGTTTTCCTAGTGAGACAGAATGGTTTCCAGCAGACTGTTGCCTGTTCCGAGACATTGAAGCAAGGGACGGAGAGGTAAGACCTCTGAGAAACTTCGAGATTCAGTTCCGCCCCAAGCCACAATGGGGAAAAACAACAGCTGGGAAGTGAAAGAAACAACACCATATACGGACAGAAGGAATCTCCATGGATATAATAGTTTTCACATGCAGGGCAGAATAAAGATAAAGTTTGAGTTCCTCACTTGAAGCTTTATATATTTATATATTGTAACATCAGGAATGGAAATCATTAATTATGTATCTGTTGACTGAGGGATTATTATTATAACTGTAATGTAACTGACATTGATTAAGATTATGGAATGCAGTGATACAAGATCGGAAATGCACCCAAACCACCATGCGGGGAGCCACTTTAACTAAAATATATTAATAGGAAGTTGATTGGCATTTTTATAATTGTATAATTTGGGAATTAATTGTTATTGTTCTAATTTGGCTATTATTGGGAGTATATTGGAAAACTAACAAAAAAATAATAATATTCCAATCCAACCAAAGTCCACTACCAGATTTTTAACATTCAGTACTTTACTTCAAAATACTCAGTTTCAGAATTATGTACTTACATCATCTGAAGAGAAGAACTGATCAATGATCTCATAAGCCAGTTTGTAGATGTCTTCATTTTCATGATTTTGTAGTTGTTCAATTTTCTCCAGCCCTGTAAAGTTTAACACAAAAATGTTGAAGGAACCCCAGACTAGCTGTAAAAATGAAAACAAACGTTTTTTCAAAACACACTGGTAACCAGTATGTCCACAAATCATATTTCTCCATAGAAACTATGAAAATATTTCCAGATCTGTGACAAAAATACAAAAACAAAAAACTGAAGGATCACTTTATCAAATCTAAGACCTCGGTATACAAAGGCAAATTTTTAATCGTACCTCCACATTCTTCAATAAGGTTGGCTATGGTTTCTGCCTCCTCTTCAGCCATTTTTAATATATTACTTAGCCCATCCAGCACTACTTGTACAACCTGAGCATCTTTTACTGTTAACAAGTTGCAAAAGGGAGGAATTACATTTTGTTGAATTAGGTACGCCACCTAAAAAAAGGAATAGAAACAGACATTAAGACAATTAGGATCAATACAACTTACATAAACTGCTTGGAGGTTTATATGATTAAGACATAAACAAATTATGAAATAATAATAAATATACTAAGATGGAGTATGGAGAAAAAGGAGTGTTAATTAAAACGTTTTCAAACCTACAGAAATTCAAGTAAAAGGATTCTCACTATACTCAATAAGTATTATGTCATCTAATAACTCATAATTGGTTTTGACTTTAAAACCAAATATATTTTTGTTAACTCATATTAAATATGTATTTGATGAATTTGGACATAATAATAAATTGTAAGTTGGTGGATTCTAGCTCCAGATATCGAGGGGGCTTGGCTTTTAGAATAGAGCATCATGCAAGACTCACCTGTGAGCCAACTGATTTACATTTTTAAATCTGCAAGGAACACCAAGTGATAGCAAAATAAACCAAACCAAACCTTAGATCCAAAGGTGCATTACAGAAGCAAAACTCGACTTCGCTTCATTTTTGCTGCACTCTCCCCTATTTCTCCAGATTCCACATCACCACATACTATTCTGGAAGGTCTCTGTCCCTCAAAAACATCTTTCAGAGGGGTGCAAAGGACTTTAGTGAGAAGGGCAGGCAAACCCTATTGCAGGAGCATCTTCTGTGAAACAAGCTTCTCTTGAGCATAGAAATGCTTGGAAAATATTTATTTCTTCCTCTCCCCACCCTCCACCAGTTGAGAAAGAACAGAATTGCTAGCCCTACGTTCAAGGCTTACAATGCAGCTCTCCCGTCTGGGGCATTTTATATGCATGTGCGCACTCAAGAGAAATCCAAAGGACAGGACCCGTATCAATGGCTTCAGGTTACAAGAAAGGAGATTCCAACTAAACATCAGGAATAACTTTCTGGTGGTAAGAGTTGTTCGACAGCGGAATGGACTATTTTGGAAGGTGGTGGACTCTATTACTGGAGGTTTTTAAGTAGAGGTTGCAAACAGAAAAGTTCTACACTGGTCTGTGTGAAATTGATCAGAATTGGTTCTAAGTGGACGAACTGATATTTGAAAGGCAAGTATCAAATAATGAGCACAATGGTGGTTCTTGCAAGAGGACCCATCTGTGGCTTTGATCTAGTATAATCCAGTGAAAGTTATACACTTTCAAGTCCCATTGATGTCAAGGGAAGAATTAAGTGTTTGCTTAAAAACTCTCCCACTGAAATCAGTAACACTTCTAAATGCTATTATTTGGTTGAATTGTGCTTTGTGTTTTGTACATTCCTTTACTGTTTTAAAACAGCCAGCCAGCCAGTCAAACTAGGTTACTTACTTGATCTTTTCTTCCACTGATTGTCAGGTTGCTTATAGCCCAAGCAGCTTCTTTCTGTGTACCAAAGTCACCCTAAAGAGAAGACAGTTGGAGGAATATCTTTACTGTCTACACAGGGGGTACACTCAGGCAAGTAACATGAGCTGATTCAGGCACCAGTCTTGTGACCACAGAAGAAAAACAGTGGATGAGCAGAGCCTCCATATCCCAAAGCTAAGACAACTGGCTTTAGGATGCCAGCATCTGAAGTGTAAGTCAGCCACAGCAGGAAGAGCTGGGACCCTTCAGATGTTTTTGGACTGCAGCTTCCAAAATCCCTGATGGTTGGCCATGCTGGCTGTTGCTGATGAAGTTGGGAGTACACACCAAGAACTGAAGAGATGCTACAATACCTGACCTTTCATCTGAAACAAGGACCTAGGCACAGCTTACCAGCTGCCTATCAAATGGGAGTACAGGGAGAAGAGGAAAGTACTGAAGAAAATCTCTATGACTGGAAAAAGCCCAGCAGAGGAAAAAGTGATGGATGGGTGGAGATCTTCAGGGGAGGATTGGTGGGCATAGGAAGAAGGTTGAGCACCTCCTATCCAACCTGGAGGCCTCTGCTACTTTACTTTGAATTACTCAGACTGTGGGTCTCTTGGGGACAGGCACCTGTCTAGCTGGAAAAACCAGCTTACTGCAAAGAGTGGTCTAGAACCCTCCATCAAGCATACGTACCCAACCAGCATACGTACCCACCCAGCACATTTTATGTTCCACGGCTATTTCAGTACAACATACACATAGAACAATACAAAAGCTTAGCAAAAGATTAGTTTTGTCTAACCTTATCTAAAAGGTGTATTATCATTGGCACAAGGTTAGCATCTATCACCGCCTGGACTTGCTGCTGATTTCCTGCAGTGATGTTAGATAGGAACCAAACAGCTTCCTGCAACAACAACAAAACTGTGATTTAAAAACTATCGACAAGAAATACTTTGAATAACGAAAGTATTAATCCATCTCTGCAGAGCTAGACTTCTTTTAAAGGTGCAATACAAGCACAACTGAGAACTATTTAAATTTGATTAACCACACCCAGGCAGCGGAATTCTGCATCAGCTACAGCTACTGGACTGTCTTCAAAAGCAGCATGATGCAGCCCGCATTGCAATAGTTTATACAGAAGTTTTTTAGAGCACGGATAATGGAGGACAAGCTGTTTCACTCCAGGAACAGCTGTAGCTAGAAAACTAGTTGGAGTGGGGCATAGTGGCTTCTTGGCACCGAAGCTACCTGGTCCAACAGTGACAGCTTGGAATTGAAGAGCCCTCTCAAACTATGAACCTGCTCCTTCAGAGGGAGTGTCTCTTACTGGGATTCAGTTTCAAGTAACAATACCCAAGGATGGCATGCATTTTAAAAAATTGGCTTTAACACTACTGCAGTTTAGAAGAAAGATCAGTATTAGATAGAACAGTTTGTAGTATAACAGGTGCCAGCTGTAGCACTATGTTTATCTATATGTTGACAATTTTATCTACACTTGTTTAACAGTTTGGTGGATTTTACCTGTATTTTATTCAGAATTTTATTATGTACTTTATATATTAAGAGAGTTCTGTGGTTAAGTGGTCTATAAAACTTACTATATATTTTTTTAAAAAACTACCTATAGAAGAATAAATGAAGTTGCTACAAGTGCAAATATTTTTTGATAAATGTAGAACCCAAAGAATGTGTAATTTTTGTTTCCCATTTAAATCTTGCTTATTCTTGAGTATGGGAAAAATGATGATTTCCTAATCTAAATCATATGTTTTAGGTGTCATTAAACTGAACTCTTAGATCAGATCACATTCCTTTTGCCTAACAAAAGGAACCTGTTAGAGGTTTAAAATGTCTAGATGCAAACTGCGAGCTTATTTTGGGCTCTAATCACTGGCAATGTTGCAGTAAACCCAGATGATTTAGCAACAAGGCCTCAGATGCACTGCGAAATCAACAGCTTCTTTATCAGTGCCCACAGTTTACATCACTATATAACTTTTACACAACCAACCCCTTTTACTTCAGACTAAAAATTGCCCCCCTTCCCTAATTTACACACCCCTTACTATTCCCTATTCCCTATTACCTCCATTTCATCATTTCCAAGAGTCAGTTTATAATTCAGGTGTAGGCAAAAGACAGGCTGGAGAACCACTGACCAATTTTTGATGAACCACCTTATATTTAAAGGCCACCAATTGCTAGGATATTATTTGTAGTATTTATTTTAGGTCCTGCTCTTCATTATAACTGATCTTAGGCCAGGGTACAATAAAAATCCCGTTAAAAAAATAACCATAACCAAGAACAATGCTGGACTAGAAAGGGTTATATCTGATGCACCACAAACAAACAAATAAATATGCTCCTTGCAAAGGAATTGCTACATTACAATTTCTACAAAAGTCAGAACAACCTTTCAAGTAAAGAGATTGACGATTATCCCGTACTTTTGTTTGATAGATATGTCACACAGTCCCCTGGTATCAATTTTCATGCATTCAGCATCATGCCCATTTTCATACCTTATTAATTTTTTCTTTGGGGTGAGTCAATAGGGCAGGGAAGTGTGAAAGAGCTTCACAATTCAGAACTACCTGGGTCTGTTCATCAGTACCAGTAACAATATTTCCTACAGCTCTGAGTGCGGCAGTCTGAAAGAAAACATTTCAAAAGTTAAAACTTGATGGCTTGAGCAGCATGTTTTAAAATCAAGCATTATAGTATTAAGACTACATGATTTGACTGAGGTTGAAATTCTATTCACATTTACTTCTGAGTAAGCATGTACAGGATTGCACAACACAGCTTTAATAGATCAACTGTACCACTTAAATCAGGTAGAAGACATGGTTCTCCCCCCACCCCCCGGCAAAAATAAGAACTTGTAACTTTACAAATCTGACAATGAAAGATTTGAGAAATTAGGATTTCTGAAACAGCTACTGTGTTGAGCAGCAGATTCATCTTTTTCACGAGCCAAATTTGATGGTGAAAATGGTAATGGGTTGAGCTGGTGTTACACAAATAAACCTTAGGGTCACATACTTAGTAATTTCCTGGCTTTCAGCAAATCACTTGGCCATTGCATCTGAACTAAGAAACAATGGTTTGTGCAAAGCCTGATTTGTTTTGTCAGATTAAATGACAAGCAATGGCTTGCTAAAAGGCAGGTTACAAATCAGAGTGCAAAAAAGAACTTAGTCCCACCTCTCCATATACTTCATTATATCTGAATCAATCTACAACGACTTGCAGTTTGTATCCAGAGCTGGAAAATTGAAGTGGAAGGACCTAGCACCCATTTTCAACCATTTTGACTCTAATTTGATAGCATATCCCATATTCCTAAGTCTGATAAAATGAAATATTAAAGAATACCTCTCTTTTACAATGAGCATTAAACTTGCTAGTTAATAAAAGCTTGCACTCAACAGAAACTAAAGAAAGCTACTGTCCTTTTATTTTTTGAATCTATTTTGTCCTATGGGGACAGCAGCTTTTAAAATGTTTATTCAAGGCAAAAACACGATTCCACATTCCACAAAATATGAGAAACATTCAAGTCAGAATTTTTTTTTACATTTCTGAGCTTGACAAACACAGTGACTGAACACAGTAAGAATACAATGTGCTTCATACTGTAAATTTCTAATGCAATGCTGTCAGCAAAAATGCTTCAAATAAAGGAGAAATGGTACAAGACTCACTTGCACTTTAACTTCCTGATGGCTGAGAAGAGGAACCAAATGAGGAACTATCCCCGAGTCTATCACCATCTGAATCTGTTCATTGCCTGAATCTGTTAAGTAGGAGAGGGCCCAGACTGTATCTACCAATATCTGTTCAAAAATCAACAAGACACATTAGAGTAATACAAAGGAGGTTCTGCAAGACACAATGAGTCATATATAAACAAGCATTTCCCATTGAAAACAGTGATGTTCTCAGCCTACTTAGTATTTTAAGTTTCTGCAACATACCACAAAATAAATCACAGAGGGTATCTGACAAAATCCCTTGCAAATTTTTGTTTCATACTTCCTTTCAAAAACGTTTCCTGCTGAATCTTAAAACACATTATGCTGCCAACTCCTCAGCTATGACACTTGTCTAATTTCCACCAGCAAGTATATACATTATATCAAAAGGCCTCTGGCCTCTCCTATGTATTGGCAGAGTGGCTTCTGATTTTGTTGCAGGTTAAGTCCCAACCCAACTAAGAACACAACGTACAGAGAAGCAGGTTCTGCAGATTCAGTTCTGAACTGAATGGGTGCTGCATACAGAGAATGGCTGTCCAACAGATAAGTGCCTCAAACGCTAAGCCCTTCCAAAAAGGATAGAATTGTCTCACTCAGCTGATCCAGAATGACAGTTCTTATTTTAAGGGAATGATCCCGTCCACCATGAACTTAGTGCTTGCCTATGGATATATGTTAAGTAGAGAACCAGTGGGAAGTATATGCAAGTCTCATCAACCCCTGTGGGAGATGAAATTTGTGCCAGTGCACATAGCTGTTCTGCAGTTACCGGGACCATAGCCCCCATGTAAACTGCAAGTTGTCTGTATTTGTGAACTGTCCCTCAGTTTTGTGGGAGCACTGACTTCTGAAATAAGTTTTACTCCTTTGAGAGACTTTTGCTTCGTTAATAAGACTGACAAGTATCCACCAATATAGCCAAAGAGGCACAAATTGCTTTCAGGAGTAACCTGGTAAGGCTGTGATTTGTTTTTTCAATACACGCTTATAATTAATCTGTGAACAGGCCGTGCAATATTGAGATACTCACATTTACATCTGTGTGATGAATTAAAACACAGAGTGCTGGGAGGATCTAGGAGAAAGAGAAAAGGGTATTCAAAATTCTGCAGGAAAGCTCCCAGTGATAAAATTTCAACAAAGTAGTAGTTTTACCTCCTGGATCGTTTCCATTGGTGGAGGCGGGTCTTTGTGGCGACACAAGTTGACCATTACCCAAGTAACATTTCTTAAGAAAGTTATTGGAATAGATGGGCTGATGAATGACAGCAGAGGCTTCACCACTCCAAGACTAATGACATAATCTCTACACTGGGGTCCATCACCTGTATAAACATGGAGGAGCTTGTGGGTAGAAGAAGTATCAACACTGGTCTATCAAAATTGCTTTTCCCCATTAGGATAGCTCTCTCTGTATGTGAACATAAGCAACTTCCAGGTATAGACTCAGTTTGTTAGAATGGTTGATTTGTAGAATTAAGAGTTGGAAAGGGTGCTTGCAAGTCATCTAAGTCCAGCCTCCTCCTTGATGCAGAAAATCTACAAAGGATGGCTGTCCAGCATCTGTTTGAAGACCTCTGGACAGAGACGCCACTCCCAAAACCCCTTTTGGGAAAGCAGAAAACAAGCCCTTGCCTTTTTCTGTAACAGCCCTTCAGGCATTTGAATAGTGTTGTTGGGGCAGCATTTGAAATAATGAGAAATGAGAATGCTTCTACATTTCAGCATTTTTAGCCAATGTGTAAAGTCAAATTGACAAGTGCTATGGAGAAATTTAGAGTAATACACATTTTAGAGAAGACCCCTAAATAACCCAGGAAGTCCTTTCTCCAAAAAATTGTAGAAGAAACTGATTGTTCATTTTCAAACTTTCTTCTTCTTCTTACCTAGTAGAAGCAGAACAGTTGCTGCTGAGAGAAAATAACTAAGAGAGAAAATAACTACAGTGTAGCTGTAAATCAGATTTTTGGAGGGGGGGGGGAGATTCCGCACTCCACCCCTAAGCATGACCATTATAAATCCCTTTTTGTTACAAAAAAGAGAAAAGGGTGCTTATCAATGTTCTGTTAACATGGCTGTAGCTATTATGAGACAGAAATAACTACAACAAATGCTCTTAGAATACACTGCCTGCTTTTTAACAATTTAATCTTGAATTTTCCCAAGTATGGGCATCTTGGCTGCCATAAATCTTATGCCTCATCTGAACTCTCCCCTCCACATACTCCAAATACCATGCTAGGTTGTTCACTGAAATGTAGTATTTCCAATCTATGAAAAAACAACAGCAAATTCAGGAAACTTGAATACTTTGCATGGTTTGGGGAGGGGGGGGGGGAGCAGGACTATTTTTTGTCACTAACAGCTATGTTGTAAGTAGACATTCAAGAGGTTAAGCCTTTTGAAATATGGAAATGCAATTGTGGAAAATGTTTCACCAGTGAGGCCCCTGATTTATTTGTGAGTTCTCCTAAATAGAATACAAATTGGTGGATGACATAAAAGGTATGCAAATATATGCCCTCTTTTGCATGTGGCTGCGGAGGGCCCAATCCATATATAATGCACCAGGTCTAGAAAATCATGTTGGCACCTATGCACAGGATACACTACCATGACTAGATATATTAAGCTGGCATAATAGCTTCTTCAACCTGCCCTGCCCATTTTTGGACATGCATAAAGTCAAGTATGAAGTCATAACCTTCTTGGCTGAGTGTCCTAGAAGACCTGCCCCCTGTCTTGAAGGTCTTTACCCACCTGGCCTGGGGGAGGGGCTGACTGACTCCAGCCAAAAAACCAGAGGCTGCTGAACAGACTATTGGGCTGGAGTTTTGTTTTGTGGGCTTTGTTGGGGGGGGGGTTTGCTGCTGCTCAGCAGCAGAAAAGCTATAGACTTCTGATTCTTAACTGTAGTAGTTTAAAGAATGTAGCTTGATACAGAGAACTAGAAATGCATATGCTATGCGTAGGTATCAGATATTCCACCAACTTGGGAGCTTTGCTTGCTGTGTGATGAATACCGACAATAAGTTCACCATGACCTGAATAACTCATGTAATATTCTTCCATGTGATTTACTTGTCTGAACCTTCATGTGCCTAACTAAAATATGCTTTGGGAAAACACTCCCCAGCACAATTGTGTACAAGGCATCGCTGGAGAAAAATAGCTTTCATTCAGTAATAAAATTCTCATTGTCATAGTAGTGGAGTTTCTGCACAGAAATGCAACAAACCTATGATATTGCCTAAAGCCCATACTGCCTGCTCACAAACATTTTGATGGGGCGAATGCAGCAACCTCAAAAAAAGTGGGACAGCATCTGCAAAATAAAGAAAAATATCATTATGACTCATTTTTTTTAAGTCTCCATAGCCCCTTGGCTAAGATCTAAGATTTAAACTTTAAATCATGCAATATATAAACAGCCATTCCTCATTCAAAGAAATTCAGATTGCAAATCAGGCATAGTCGCAATTTGTCTAGTTATCACTCAACTGACACATAATTTCAGGGGCTTAGTGCATGGAACTGAACCTCTTGAGAAAAAAGTGCCTTTCTGAACCTCCAGTTCTTCCTCCAAAGCACTATAATGTTCAAAATAAATCTTTCAAATTTTGTCCAACAGGCAAGATGCACAAATGTGTCTGGAACATAACATATCTCTCCAATGAGATGTAGCACACTCAGTATGCAGACAGAACAATGATGTGTAAAAGTGGAATTACCACACACTTATTTATGTTCCTTTTGCATTATGACTGAAGGTAGCATAAAGTCTCCGTCATTGCCACTTCAGTTTTGCAAAGCTCTACAAACGGTATCCTTCTCCTGTGGAATACTTCTAAGCATGTAAGGCACTAAATCCCAATGACAGCACATTTTCCATTTTCTATATTTTTTATCTTTAAGCAGCCATTGGGTTGGATCCAGACCTCCTGTGAACACTGCTGACAATCTCTCCTACTTCCTGCAGCCTCTTGAACAGCTATGAAGGGTTGGGAGAGCTTGTGAAATAGCATGAGAGTTGTTACTGGGATTTGCCGAGGCGGCAGGGAAATTGGTGAAAACCAACTTTCCAGCAGGAAACCCACATTGGTTCTTCATCCCCTCTGAGAACTGAAGAAGTCCTCTGCTAAGGGCAAGTCTGGATCCAACCCATTATAAAAGAAAACTAGAGAAGTAACTCTTTTTAAAAAATATAAAAAGTCTTTTATACCGATCAAGAAACACTGAAAACAGTCATATATCAGCAGTGGATAGTTCCAGAGATATTCTTCAGATTATATATATTTTAAAGGCAATTCCACATATTCAAAACGATGTCCAAACACTAAACAGCAGTTAATCTTAGCTACGATTAGTGAAAATAAGTCAGTTTAAAAGCTTGGTTGGCTTGTTTCCCACTAATCAGAGTTTGTCTAGGTTCAGATGTCACGAGCTGAAGTTGTTCTAAAAAGGAAGAGAAAGTTTATGGATGACTCTTCATAGTGGTGCCAGAAGGAAGGCGGGAACTAGGCTTGTTATTGTAATGCTAAACTATGGTTTAGTGTTACATGCAAATATGGCCACAAGCTCCAAATCAATTCATTACTTACTAAATCCCATATTTCTGATCACAAAGCAGGAACACCTTCAGTGCTATCCAAATTTAATTTCAATTTAGTGAGAGATTATGTACACACCTTCCTTTTCAGTGTATGATTCATTGATTAGCATTTAGAATTTAATCATCCTGGCTACAGCATCAAAGAACCAACTCATTGGTACATGTGAATGAATACCCAAAGAAGAAATATAATGTGTGCATAGTTCTACTCAATCAGCAAGGCATTTTTGCAGGAGTTAAGTACTGATTAACTTACTGGATTGAACGACAGCTTGCGTTTGTTCAGAAGTTCCGGATGCAATATTTGTCAGTGCCCATGCTGCTTCAAACTGTAAAGATGGACTAAGAATATAATAAGAAACAAACAATAGTTTATTACAATACTTTTGATCAACTGCTTGAGAAAACAACTGTTCCTTTAAAGGCACATACTCACTTGTCATCTCTTTCAAGGCAGTGCACTAATATGGGTAATATTCCAGATTTTATTAAGTCATCAATAGGTGGGTTGCGATCACTGGAGAGTAGTTTTCTATTCAGAAATATTTGGAAAGTAGAATATCAAACTTTCGGGCAAAGTTCAAATGGCTCCAATTGTTTATTATAGCTAAAAACATGAAGAGCAGCTAACAGGGATTTCACAGCATACTCCATTTCCTATCTTAACATAAAAATTAAAAAATATGGTAGTAATCATTCTGATATTTCATAAGTAACAATCAAATACAATTTAAATTTAAACCAGTAATTCTGAATGCATTAACTTCTCCCCCCCCTTCCTGACATTTGTAAAATATATTTTAAAGTCCAAAATGTCTTAAATTAAATCAAAATTAAACTGAAAGGAGATCAAAGGCAAGCAAATGTGCCCATTTGCCTCTTTTTAAAAAAGAAGACACAAGATAGCTACCTGGGCCGGAGTGCTAGACAGTACAAACACATGCTCATTATCCTGCTACAGAACATCATATACAGAGATTGCTGGTGATTGAAAGAATTGAATAAGACTGGTTCTCTCCTTTTTTAGTGGGTAAAGTTCTTGTCAGGATGGAGAGAATGGATGGCTGCAGAAATGTGGAATGCTCTCCCCCAGGGAGGTTTCCCTGGTACCTTTGTTACAAATCTTTAGGCGCCAGGCAAAATCATTTCTCTTCTCCAAGGCCTTTTGGCTAATTAAACAATCTATGGCCTTTAAACTGGGGGAAGGGTGTGGGTTATTGTTTTCATTTGCTATTGCATTATGCATTCTTGTGTTTTTATATTGTAAACCACCCTGTGAATGATGGTATATAAATTTTAAAAATAAAATAAAGAAGTACAGTGGTGCCCCGCAAGACGAATACCTCGCAAGATGAAAAACTCGCTAGACGAAAGGGTTTTGCATTTTTTGAGTCGTTCCGCAAGACGAATTTCCCTATGGGCTTGCTTTGCAAGACGAAACGTCTTGCGAGTTTGTTTCCTTTTTCTTAAAGCCGCTAAGCCGTTAATAGCCGCTAAGCCGCTAATAGCCGTGCTTCGCAAGACGAAAAAACCGCAAGACGAAGAGACTCACGGAACGGATTAATTTCGTCTTGCGAGGCACCACTGTACATGTGTGAGCGAAAGTGTGAGGTGCCAAGCATCTTGAGCAAAAGGGTACAGGGTGGCTCTAGTCCTGAAGCACCAGACCTATCGTAAACAGAACAAAGGTTTCTTGTATACCTTGGAGAGGAGTTTAGAGCTGGACAACTGGCTGGTCAAGTATTTCATGAGGCCAAAGAATGACACTACACATGTGACAGTCTACTGCTGTTTATTTCATTATCATGCCATGTGTTAGCAAGAGAAGGGGTGAGAACTGTTTTTCCCCTAATCTTGAAGCAGTCAGGTTCATACCCATGATACATTAGATAATGCATGAAGATAGAACAGGTCAAGCTGTTGCCACTGATATATGGGAGAGCTGCTTTTAAAAACTGACATTAAATATTTTAATATATTAATGAAATATTTATAGACCACACTTTATCTATCCAGGTACTAGGTCTGAGTCCAGAATATAAAGCAAAAAAGGCAAAAAAATATGAAGGCAGTTAAAACTATGACATCAAAATATTGAAACCATGGGTAGCCAACATGGTGCCACCCAGATATTGCTGGACTATAAGGTAAAGGTAAAGGGACCCCTGACCATTAGGTCCAGTCGTGGCCAACTCTGGGGTTGCAGCGCTCATCTCGCTTTATTGGCCGAGGGAGCCAGCATACAGCTTCCGGGTCATGTGGCCAGCATGACTAAGCCGCTTCTGGCAAACCAGAGCAGCGCACGGAAATGCCGTTTACCTTCCCGCTGGAAGTGGCATGCTTTCAAACTGCTAGGTTGGCAGGAGCAGGGACCGAGCAACAGAAGCTCACCCCGTCGCGGGGATTTGAACCACCGACCTTCTGATTGGCAAGTCCTAAGCTCTATGGTTTAACCCACAGCACCACCCGTGTCCCAGGATTGCTGGACTATAATTCCCATCAACTCCATCCAGCCTAGTCAATGATCAGGGATGATGGGTGTTGGGAATTCAAGAACATCTGAAGGAAACCAAGCTATGAATAAATATAACCCTGGGATAATCACTCACTTAGAAATCCTTAAAATACCCCATCAAATAAATCAGTCTTGATCTGATACCATCATGATAGCAATGTTGGCACCAGCAGCACTTTTAAATGAAGGGTATTTTACATATCAGGTGCAGGTTAGTTCACTTCCCCTGACAATGGAACAAGGAGAAGAGCCCCTCTGGCAACTACTTCTTCAAGTATGTGACCCAATACCTTGAACTGGGCTCAAAAGCAGATAAGCAGCCAATATAACTTTGAAAATTGGCATCAAGCAACTCTATCAGGCCGTACCCATTAAAATTCTGACAGCTGCATTCTACACTTATTGAAGCTTCCAGTTTGTCTTCAAGGCAGTCTTGTAACTTCATGGAAGTTACAAGAGCATGGACTGCTGTGGCAAAATGGTCCCTGTCCAGCCAAAGCTGGTTACTTTCTTTGGCTCTTTTGAATTTCTCTCTTAATTTAACTGTTAAGATGGCCCTGGCATTCCAGGATAAAAGTTAAAGAGGGAAAACGCTTATTTCATGAATCATTCAATTACATGTTATATAACCTTCTTGAAAGTTATATTTGGCAAACTAACAAAACATCTGACCAACCATCCAACTTTTATCATCTATTAAAAGTGCACTATTAAAAAAAAAATACCCTGAAACAATTTTCCTTAAAATATAGATCATTTTATGCCCAGTTACTTCTGGCATTTTGTGAAATATTGATTTCATCAATATTTGCACGCGAAAAATGGAATTCAATTGTTGATCAACGTGCTCCAAACCATTTTAGAATATGTCAAATACAGATTATCAAAGTAGTGTTCACATTAAGAGCAGCTGAAGAACCAACATTTTCAGTCGTAACACAGTACAGCTACCGATTCCATTAACAAACTGTACTACCACAGAAGAAAGCATATCTGTGTAAATTATTCTCTTACCTTGCAGCCTGCACTGCACTTAACTGGATACCTTGGTTGTCACTTGAAGCATTCTAAGAAATAAATATATTTAAAAATCAGGACTTTCACAATATAAGTGAATTTTAAAAACAGAAGTGGTTAAGATACTTACCTGCACTATTGCCTCTAGAGACGTGTTTTGCTGAAACAAATATCAAAGCATTAGAAATGTATTCAAAAAGGCATACGTATATAATATTTAATCACCAATTAGTTCTTACCACTCTGAAGTCACCATCTATATCAGAATCTTCACAGATATCTTCATGAGGTACGTTTCGTCTCTTTAACAGATGCTCATCTCTTTTGTTCTTTTAAATACAAAATACAAATTACATTCAGACAAGGGGTATCTGCTTTCCCCAATGCTTTAAAAGTGTATTATAAATATTTGTAAAATTTAAAAAATGCATATATGTAATGTAAGAAAAATGCAGTGTACAAAGCAATAAAAAATATTAAGGGTAGAAAATACCATAAGAGGCTTTTAATTCGTCTTACAGTATAGAAAAAGTAAATGTGTTACATGATTTACACAACCTGACACAGTATACATTTATATTCACCACTGGTAATTTGCCAACCAAATTTTATGTTCATATAGGTAACAGTTTTGTGTAATTCTAAAGCTTGCATGTTCCAAAGTTTTAAATGATCAAGTACATAAACTTTTTGGGGAGGAACAGAGTAATGGAACTAAAGAGTGGTCTATTCGTGGAGTTTTACATGGAGCAGTTGAGGAATGGCAGCCATGGATGAAAAAGAACTATGCAGCTGAAAGGTTACTGTAAGTCACTTTGGAAATATCTAGAATTCTGAAAAGCAGCACAAAAGCTAACTTAGAACAGTACTTAGAACAGTATCCAACAATGCAGTTCCATTAGTGAAAGGTCTGCCTGCATTAGTGAAAGGTCTGCCTTGATCTTACATTAATATGCATTTATTTGATATTGTTCTTTTCCCACTCCAAAGTTTCAGACTTTTTCGGAGGAGCAGAGTGATGCAAGCAAAAAGCAAGTTGTCTGTGCAGAAATGTGCCTTACATGGCAATAGTCAAGGAACAGCAGCAATGAGAGAGAAAGGAGTATGCAGAGCAAATAGCTATCCCCAAACATTGGATGCTCTGTAGACCTCCTCTAAATTCTGAGCACATATCATCACACACATATTTTAAAACTTTTTCTGCAGTCAAAGGGAGAGCCAAAATTCTCCTAATACATTTAATACAAATAACCTCAATTATTTTTGAAAAGGATTTTCCTTGCTACACATGCCCAATTAAACTTAAGTGCAATTTCTATCTACATAAGGAAAAGAAGTATTATCAGTGATATACACCAAAACAAAAAAGTCAATTGTACAGCAAGGAAATAACTTGGGTAACTAATCACTTTATAATGTGCAAAGCTTAAAGAAATCCATCATTATACATAGAAAACAATAACACATATTTAAACAGCAGTATTAGTAGAGCTCAATGCTTCTAGTGAAATCAAACAGAGGTGAGACGAATCAAATTTAAGCAGTTTAGCATTGCAGCTAGTTACCAATTAAAACATTGACCATGGCTGGGAAACTTCTAATGACAGGGAAAAGTAGTACTTCAGGACTGAAGCATCTGGAGTTTTCCATCAACAAATAAGAAACATAAGTTTGTAAATTTATGAACTTTGTATGTTCGTCATACTCAGTGAAGAACCATTAAAACTTAAGTCAATTGATTTCAATAGGAATCTGCAAGTGTGACTGGGGTGATTTGGGTATACGAGTTTTTTCATATATGTGCCATCCCCGGAACATAATCTTCATGCAAGATGCTTTTGTACGAGAAACTGAAGTCACCAAACAAAACTGACTGGCATTAGATTTAGGGCAATTAAAAAATAGTGCTTCACACAGTTCATAATTAGCCAATGGAATTCACTAAAAGATGCTGTAATGGGCATTAGTTTAGGCAGCTTTTAGAAAGATTAGAAAGTTTCATGTTCTCCTCTATGGATAGGCATACTATAGGATGCAATTCAGGAGATAATTGCTAGAAATTATGGGCTTGATCCAGTCTAAAATGGCAGAGCTTCTGTGGCTCATGTTCCTTGACTGATGAGAGGTGGCAGAGGATTCTTTAACATGGGGAAAGGGAAAGGGAACAGAGCACATCTCTTTATTCTTTATGGCAGTGGTTCACAAAGGGTATGGCGCGCCACACTGGTGTGGCAGATGAGGATGGCAAGTGTGGTGGGAAGATTCAACGACAAGTCAAAGGAACATTTAAATAGTATAGTAATTTTTTTTTTATTTGCAGAATATGGATAGGTATTTTTTTCAAAATCAATCACTGCTCAGAGTTGTTTCTTTTTGTTTTCCAATGTATTTATTATCAATAATTTTTTTTGGTGTGGCACGAACCAATTTTTATTCTAAAAGTTTGGCCCTGAGAAAAGAGTTTGGGAACCACTGCTTTATGGGGACTGCTGCACCTGCAGTGGATTGGATCAAGCCCACGCTAAATTAAGTGATAAATAGCATTAAATCTTACCTTTCTTAATTCCACAACGACTTCATTTCGTTGTCTTCTCATAGTCTGTAAAGTTACACAAGAAAGTTACATCTAGTTTCCACTGTTTATTAAGGCACAAACTACAGTGTCTTGAGACCTAAATGTCAATGTGGGGTTCAAACAATTCCCCACATGAAATTATAGGTTAACTATTCGAAGCATGAAAACTGCATACCCTTTGTTGTGGCTGTCTGAATTGGCTGCCTCAAGCCTTAAAAATGAATATTTAGCACTAGAAATTTGATGAAAGAAAAGTAGGTACAGTATTCCAACTACTGAAACCAATGTAACTAGTTAAGGGGAAGCCTGGGGTCATATTTTAATACATGGTTTTTCTTTTATAGCTCTCATGTTTATTTTTCTTATTTATATCTTACTTTTCTTCCATCATAGAACCCAAAGCAGGGATCACCCATCTAGACACTGACCAGACCCAGACCTGCTTAGCTTCAGCCAGGTGATGCTTTTAGATCATACCCTCATCCACTATGGCAAAATGAAGTAACCTAGCTATTGCCGAATCTCATTGTCTCATGAAAGTAAGTCTGATACAGAAGATACAGATTGAGTCTCTCTATCTGAATACTACCTAATGTTAGCAGTGCTTTTCTTCTAGAAAAAAAAAGGTACTGTTAACTATGTATCCTTGAGTACTTGCAGAAAAGAAACACTAACTGTTAGGCAGTTGACATGTTTACTAATTGTATACAGACCAGTGAAACCTGCAACAAAATGAATAACAGTAGCCCACCTGGCCTGAAAAAAAGGCTAGCATGATCAGGTCATGGGTGTGAGCAGAAGGGAAGAAAAAAAATATCAATATTTTTTTGTTTTCTAAGCCTCCTGGACCTTCTTCTGCTGTGCTACATAAAAACACAGTGCTGGCTGTCAGACCTGAGCCATTTGGGGGGCCAAAACAAGAAAGGAAAACTGCTCTTTTCCTTTCCTTCCTTAAACATCCCTGTACGTTACAGGAAGTGGAGGTGATTTCTAAAACATTAGGAGACATATCATCTCAAACCTAATCACACACACCCTTATTTTCTTCAGCTGGCATCTACATCTATATTCACTAGGAAAGCCAAACTCAGCCAGTTCCCTGAGCAGACACAGTATACATGCATCCCATAATCCTCAAAGTTAGAGAATTGTGGAATGTGTTCTGCTGGTGCTACTTAGCTCAGGGAACTTGCCTACACGGTTCCTTGTCTATCATCACTGTGGTACTTTAAAGAACGGGCTGAAACAGCTAAGGAAGCTGTATCACCCCGTCCCAATATTTTTAGGAAAACTTTCAATTGCTCTAAATAGAAGATTGACAATTGCTTTAAAGAAGCATATTTTCATACCAATACTATGGCTTTCAAAAATTAGTATAGATCTGTGCCAAATTTAAAAGCAGTGACAAAAATAAGCAATGCATAGAAAGATTATAGAGAAGGAAAACATCTAAAAATACAACCCTATCCAACACCTAACCAACAGTACTGTTGCTCAATATTTAAAGTAAGTATTTCAGGCATGACCATTCATGTTCTATTGTCCAAAACTGACATTGACAGCCAGAGGTTTCACACCAAGGATTTCCTATAGGAAGGCGTTTCTAATACACACCCATCAGCATACATACAGGCAACAAAGTATCTGATTAAACTCAGACAGGGTCAATAGTTCAAGCATGAATGAAAACGTGGCTTATAAAATCTGAGAATATGTTGAGAGCCACTGCACAAGCAAAATTAATAGGGACACCAGAAAATCACTAAAGCATCCCCTGTAGCACTGGTTCTTAAGGTTTGTTGTACTCATTATACGTACTTGGAAACTACAACTAATTCAGAATGTGACAGCTAGGCTGGTGAATGGGAGTGGAGGCCATATAACACTGGTAGTGAAAAACCAACATTGGCTCTAAGTACGTTTCCAAGCACTATCTGAAGTGTTGGTGCTGAACTTTAAAGCCCTAAATTGCCTTGGCCCTGTATTCTTTGACATTTCCACTGCAGCAGAGACAAGTTAGTTCTTTGTTTAAATTTAAAACGAAGTGAATTGCCTCTTCAGCAGGTGGCATGAATCTTAAAGATACCACAGTCCTTCAATTTTCTCCTATATTATTATGGTCTCAGGGATCACTTAAAACAAGACCATGGTCCACTGAATTGCTAGAGACTCTGGCCAGCACTGCTCATCTCACATCTTGCCTCACATCCATAAAGATTGGCAGTATGGCTTTGAGTTGCTCCTGCCACCTTCTCCAGTTTGTACTTATATTTCTGAAAATCCAGTTTAAAAAACTGGAGCTGCTAGTCCAAAGGCAATCTTAATATCACGAAGCCAATAGATATCCTCTGAAGTACAAAATCTGATTTTAATGCAGAAGTGACTCCACTTCCAGGATCAAGAACAAATTTCTGCTATCTGCACAGATCTAGGAACCCTCTTGATCAGGTCTTACCAACTGAACAAGTAAACCAAGAGATTGCTTTAAGTCAGTGTTTCCCAACTGGGGGCCATATGGGAATGCCAGGATATTCCAAGGGGGCCACAGGTGAAAATTTTGTAAATGGGGCACCACAGCACAAGGCTAGGGGGCCACAGAGGTAAGTGAGAAGTGAAGAAAAAAAATCAGTAAAAAAATAAATATTCCTGATTGGTTGGCTATCCGCTTGGCCAATCGCAAGCAGGGAGGGGGGGTGGCCCACGAAGGCTTAATGTTTCTTTTTGCCATGTGTGTTTTCTTAGAGCAGTCCTGATTTGTTTCCTGTGGGAGAGGGCGATCGCTGAGGCTCTCATTTTGATCAGTAGAGCCCGTGATCCAGAACCCCCAGGTCAGTTAAGTGTAGGGGTGGGGTGGCAATGGGTAGGCCAGTGTGAGTCGGAGCTGCTTGTTGCTACCGCCAGTGCTAGACCCAGTGGCAGCCTGGGCCTGGCTCTGCACGGCGCAGGGTGCAATCCACCCCAGCACCTAGCTGAACAGGGTTGTCTGGTGCTGCTGACTTGCATCTAGTAAATAACTAAGTGTCTACACAAAAGAAAGCCACACTGAGTTCAGTGAGCCTTACTCCCAGGTAAGGGTTTGTGGGGCTATAGAGTTTTATCTGGGCAGCCAGGGCTCCTCTGGACAACAATATCTTTTTGCACCAGGTCAGTGAGGACCACTTGCTTTTTAAAATTCTCCCATTTTCACATAACTCCCTGTGCGCCTTTTGGACTGTATCTGTAGGTTTCCCCCTCTGTGTCAAATAAGTGTTGTTTACTTTTTATAATACACAGAACATGGATCTCCCTCAGGAGGTTCTGGACTCTCCTTCCTTGCAGGTTTCTAAGCAGAGGTTGGATGGCCATCTGTCATGGATGCTTTAGCCAAGTTTCCTACATTGCAGGGGGATGCACTAGAAAGATGACCCTTGAGGTCTCTTCCAGCTCCACGATTCTATGTTTTCCTGCTTCAACAATATTTCATTATCATTTTACGTAACTGTATTTTGTATAAATTATAAAGAATATAAAGCATGTTCTATTTACAAACAAGTTACTTATATAACTACTTTTCTACCAGTAGGATGGGGGAGGCATGGGTATAGCCAATATTTTTGTTAGGGGGGCAGAACCTCAGATTTGTATTGATTTTTACTTATGGGGGGGAGCTGCCCCCCCAGGCTATGCTCTTGGGGGTCCACAGGTCAGGAAACACTGCTTTAGGTGACTGTATTTTTAGATGTAGCAATAAGAACAGTGCATGATCTGAGATTATGTCCAGGATCTCTTGCAATGACGGCATGTAATCAGAAATGTGGGTCAGCATCCTCTGAAATATTGTAAGGATCCTGTGATACATTTCACTCAATATGCACTCGAACTATGTAGCAAAGTATTTCAGGAAGGTCCTAAATCTTCCCACACTCCAACTACAAACCAGCAGAGATTTCAGAGGTGTAACATTCAGAATGTATTGTCCCCAAGCTTCAGCATCAATACAGAACTGCAACATTATAAAAGTAGGATTTGCTGATGACAGCAGGGCAGAACAACTTCTGAAGGAACTGTTGAGCATAATGACACTTGAAAAAATTCAAATCACACTACATAATGCATCTATGACAAGCATTAGGAGAGCACTATAGCAAAGGTTTGCTATAGGTCAATGTCAGAGAAACACCGATTTGTAGAGTTGTACCCCAAGGGTCATCTAGCCCAACCCCCTGCAATGCAGGAATCTCAGCTAAAGCATCAGTGACATAAGGCCATTCAACCTCTGCTTAAAAACCTCCATGGGAGAAGCGTTCACAAGCTCCTGAGGGAGTTCCACTGTCCATACCACTGTCAAACAGCTCTTACTGTCAGTGTTCTTCCTAATGTTTAGTCAGAAATTCCTTTCTTGGAACTTGAAGCCATTGGTGCGGGTCCTACCCTCCAGAGCAAGAGAAAACAAGGTTGCTCCATCCTCCATGTGACAGCCTTTAGTTATCTTAAGATGGCTATCATATCGCCTCTCAGTCTCTTCTTTTCCAGGCCAAATATAACCAATTCCTTCAAACCATTACTCATAAAGAATGGTTTCCAGACCCTTGATCATCTTGGTTGCCCTCCTCTCCACATCACCTTCCAGTTTGTTAATATCCTTAAGTTGTGGTGCCCAGAACGGGACACAGTACTCCAGGTGTGGTCTGATCAAGACAGATTAAAGCAGAACTTTCCTTGTTAAGGATATTATACTTCTGTTGATGCAGTCTAGAATAGCATTAGCTAAGCATGTGGTCTAGTAAGACCGGTCTTTTTCACATGTACTACCGGTAAGCCAGATGTCCCCATCTTATATTTATGCAGCTGGTTCTTCCTGCTTAAGTGTAGAACCTTACATTCATCTCAACTGAAATTCATTTTGTTAGTTTGGGTCCAGTTCTCCAATCTGTTATGGTCATCTTGAATCCACATTCTGTCTTCTGCCACATTAGCTACCCATTCCAGTTTGGTACCATCAGCTAACTTAATTGGACCTGCCTCCATTAACCCCAAACCCCACTATTCCAATAATTAAAAAAAAAAGACAGCAAGCTGGTTGTTCAACTCCACAACACATCTGATTGTTTAAAACACAAAGCTAGTTTAAAAGCCTGTGTTTGGACTTTACAAAATAGGTTTACTCATAGTCCACTAACCGTTAAGTAGTGTGGAACTGTGTTATTGATTTGCTCCCCTGATATATGTTATCTTGTATAACCTAATGGGCTTATTACTGTGACATAACTCTATGTGTGCTCAATTACCCCAAGAAATCCAGAGAATGTAGATCTGAGCATCCTAGGCTTTTTCAAGGAATATATGCAGTTTTTTGGAGGGGGGCTCTAAATGCACATCAAATATCCTGCACCCACAGCAAATAATTGGATCAGAGTGCATGAATATTTTGGCAATCAGAGCCTCAGAGACACTAATTTCAAAATGACAGAAGGTATCTTGTACACTGGCATAAATCATGTTTCCCCCTGTCCTTTTCATTACTTTATCTCACAACGATCAAATGTTATCTGTAAAAATACTGCTTCAAAATTTATCTCTGAAAGAAATGGGTGTTTTACAAACTCCTGAAAATTAAATCATATGTTGGATTTTCCAACTGCACATTGGAAACTAGGATTGCAATTATAAACATATTTATTGGAGACCAAGCCCAGCACAATACAATGAGAATTAATTCTAAGTAATAAACACACGTGGGATTGAACTGTAAAGCTTATTAGAATTAAAAGTGATCCAGTGTAAAATGCAGTGTTATAAAGGCTTATGTTAAATGTGCCTATTCAGAAACAGCAGAACAGTAAGTAAATCCAGATCATGGTCACAAAGACAGATGGATTTTGGATGACTAAGGAATTTGATTCAGTACTGGGGATCCCTTTGTCCTGGGAGCACAGGACTCAGGCAGAAGGTCTGTTTTCAGGAGAGCAGGGAAGTGGAACCTAGGGCTACCATGAAATATTCAGTTCCACACCCCATAGAGTGCTGTACAATCCTACTCTACAGAAAAGCAAAGTGGGAAAGCCCTCTTTTTAAAAAGCTGTATAGTTACCATGTCAACAGCTGACAGACTAATTCCAGTATTTTTCATGTTTTGAATGAAAGCTTTAAATAAGCATATCACAGAACAGATGCAAAATGTTCAGCAGTTGCTGCCTAGAATACATGACATTTATGAAGAATTCAAAAGTTATGCTAGCTGCTGGCAAGTATGCAGGTAAATTGGTGAAGGGCAAAAATTCATGATATTTTCCCAACTGATTATTCAGAAATACACAATATTTCTTTGAAAAAATGCAAAGCAGAGGGCAGCACTATACAAGTCATGAATTCTTCTGGGAAGTCTTGGAACTACAGTTTTTTCAGAGAGATCAAGGCTCTTGAAAAAAATCCATCAACCTCACACAATTAACCACTTTCACTTAAGGAAAAATTGTCATTTTTAGGCCTCTCTAAATGAAACATGAAGTGCCATCTTATATACATTTACTCAGAAGTCCCACTGAATTCAATGGGATTTACTCCAGACAAGTGTATGCATAGGATTGTAATTTTAAGTTAGAATAATAGCTATACTGTGACTATCTTCTCAATTTAAAGATGAGGTTGAGGCTAAAGGACTGTTTACCTGCCAGCAATTCTGGGGGCAAGAGAGATATAAACTGGGACATATTGCTTTCATGCACTTAACAAATGCATGTTAAGTGCCATGGGTGGCCAATCTGTGACACAGACAACGTAATTGGCGGGTATCTGTTCACCAGAACTGTGTGACTGCATGTTCCATAGCTCAGCATCTAGGGGCACAAACTATCTCATGGCACACCAGGGGGTGGGGTTACATATGTATTCATTTGGCTATAAATTGGCACATGCTCAGAAGAAGAGGAGTTTGGATTTGATATCCCGCTTTATCACTACCCTAAGGAGTCTCAAAGCGGCTAACAATCTCCTTTCCCTTCCTCCCCCACAACAAACTGTGAGGTGAGTGAGGCTGAGAGACTACACCATGCTGGCTTTCAGACATGCCTTGTGGCACCAGCTAGCCAAGAAGCCTGACCACCATTGTTATACACTGTGGTGTATAACTTGGGACAGAATCCTGAGCTGCTCCAACCTGTATTGATATTCTACACTGCTGAAAAGAGGGGTAATTATGTTTACATGCTTTTGCTCTCCACAGCTGACTATATCCAAAGCCAGATCTTTGACAAGACACTTGAAGTCATACTCTTATTTTATTTTTAAACACAGGGAAGACACAGACTGTCAACTTGGTGAAAAATACTTGGAAATATTTCCCATTTAACTGCTTTAAGTTTAAACTAGCATTTAAATAAAATGCATGTGAACATGCTTCTGCTGAACACAGGTGAATGGTTCTGGGAGCAGTCGCTACCTTTGAAGAAATGCTGATTAAAATTTGGTTTTAATATGGTCAACTTGGGGCTGGGTTTTACATATTTTAAAACGCTGCATGCGTATTCTGCCTGTTTGCACCGTGACAGTGTGGCTAAGGAGGCTAATTACATCGAGTACTGCCAGGTAACACGGTAGTTTTGTGTGTGTGTGTACACACACACACATATACATTTACACACAAACACACACACATATATAAATATATAAAGCAAACTACCGTGTTACCTGGCAGTACTCGATGTAATTAGCCTCCTTAACCACACTGTGTATATAAATATATAAAACATGTAGCGCCCTAAAAGCTATTTTTGCCGTGGTGTGTAGCTCACAAAGTCTGGTTCCTACGGAGAAAACGCGTGTCACGGGAAGCGGAGAGAGAAAACAGAAGAGAAAACATGTCATCTGACAGGCAGTTTCCATGTCAGGCAGCTGAGTGGGTGGGTAGAGAGGGGCGCCTCCATCCGCTCCAGCAGGGCTGCTGCCCCCCTCCCATTTCCCGCTCTGCTAACCCTGGCCCCAGCTACTGCCCCTTCCCACCCGCCTGCCGGGAAACTCCGAGGCCCAGGACGGAAAAGGAGAGGCAGAAAAGGCCTGCCCCGCTCTCTCCTCCAACGCCCCCCCCTCGCGAAGCATCCTCGCCACGGCGAGCAGAAGCGGCCAGGCCTGGGCCCTCCCAAAGCCCGCGGGTACGGAGTGGCGACGCGTCCCCTCGTGAGGGAAAGCCAGCCAACCCCACCCACCCGCCGGCCGGCCTTCCCTGTCTCTCCGCTGACGGAGCGGCCGACTCGGGCTCAGGCCTCGCCTCGAGGTAGGTAGGCCTCGCCACGGGAGATTAGCAGAGACGCCACAGCCAACCGCCTCTGCGGCGGAGGCCTTGTCCGAACTGATCCCCGACCTCGCTTGCCGGCCCACCCGGCCCCTCCCTTCGCGCGAAGCGGGCTGCTAGGCCCGGGCTAAGGAGGGAGAAGAGCTACCTCCAGGTCTCGGCCTTTGTTCTTAAAGTTCTTCAGCCGTTGGTTGTCCAGCTTCTCGTTGTCGGCCATGGCGGGAGGTAGGGAGCGCGGCCTCTCCTCTTGCCTCTCCTCCCTCCTCTTTCTCCGTCGACACCCAGGCCGGACCCAGCCGGGCCCCTTCTTCCCGGCACCGCTTCCGCCCCTTCGCCTCGCTCGCTCGCCTTCCCTTCTGCGCCGCGGCGGGTCTCCCTGGCTGGCCTGGCTTGGTGGCGGGCTGGCGGGCCAAACCGGGCGGCCTCCTCCTCCTCCTCTCGCCTGCTCAAGTCGCTCACCGCTGGCTTAGGCCTTCCCAGGGCGGCGGAATGTGCCGGTAGCGAAGGGGAGAGAGAGCGAGCGAGAGAGAGAAAGATAGGGGGGAGGGAGGGGAGGGGACGGGCATGGGGCAGGGGAGGAGGCAACAGCCTCGCTCTCAGACGGACGGCAACGGCCACGCCCACCTCTCCCTCCCTCGCGCGCTCTCGCTCTCCACTCCTCCTCCCGGCACCATCCCCCTCCGACAAGCGCTGGCCTGATTGGCTGGCTCTCCTTGATGGGCAAAGGGGAGGCTCGCCGGCACACTGGAAAGAGTGGAGGTGGGCGGGAGGAAAATACGCATTCGAGGGGGAGGGGGGAGGAGGAGAGGAGAAGAAGGCGGGGCCGTGAGGGGAGCGGACGGCGCGAGCTCGTGTTTCGCAGCGCATTTCCTTCCCCAACCGCCAGGGGGGAAGCGGCTCTTTCCCCGCCCCCTCACGCGCGCACACGCCCAGGCGCGAGGCCCTGGCAGCCATTTTGGGGGCTGTGAGGCGGCTTCGGGAGCGCCGTCCCCGGAGTAGGGCAGGAGGAGCTCGTAGGCTGGTCGCTTTTGGCAGGGGAATAAAAGGCACGTCCGGGTTGTTTTCGGCAGATTTCTCCCTTCCTTCCCTCCCCCGCCCACCGTCGTATCGGAGAAGAGCCGGAGAAACTCGCGGAAAGCCCTGGTTCAGTAGTTGCGCACAAAGTCGCGTTGAGTTCAGTGGTGCGAGGTTAACCCTCAGGAAAACGCGGCGTAGGATCGCAGCCTGTGTGTGTGTGTGTGTATCTTTTTTTGGAAACTTGAGTCGCCAAAGTCAGCAGGTAAGCCGCGGGGGTCAGGCATGTCCCGGGGGGAGGCACGGTAACGCTGCTCCTTCCCATCTCCGGCGGCTCCTGCCAGAAAAGTCCCTTGCGGAGCAGAGGCGGACTCAGCCTCGCACACTGCCAAGAAAGAAGAGCGCTAATCGAGGACGTGAAATCGGGCGCGTCCTAATCTGAACGTTTGAAAAGACGAAACGGCGCGGTTTTATTGCGCCTGCTGGGAGAAGCGAATATAGAAACGACACGGGCGCCGTCCCCGTTTTGCTGTCCTCTGTGCGGTTCCATTGGCAGTTGCCAGGGTTGTAATAAACTTATGAACTCTTGTTACAGTTGTGATAATTGTATTATTCTCGACTTGAGTTTTTTCTGAGGGCACGGGGCCTTCCTATGCAGAAATTGTGCACGTGATAAAATTATCTGAAGACTATGGTTCCCAGTTACTGGGGGTCTGCGGAATGCACTCGGGGGTCCGCAGCTCCATCCCTTTCCTCCCCCCAAAACTTATTTTTTTTGTCATTTTGCATGGTAATATTGCAGGTGTTATGGTCTGTTTTAGTGCTGTGTACTTTTTCCACATGTTGGCCAAAATCGGTTTTGAAGTCATACCGCAATAACGATTCTGACCAGCAGTACGCAGCAATATATATTGCTCCTCGCATGAGGAAGAGCAGGGTAGCTGATTTCAAGGTCCCATGGATATCGCACAACGTTTCTGAGCTGAGGGCGACCAGGGCAGCCGACCTCACTTCAAGGCACAACCTTCACCTGGGCACCAAGGCTGAGCAGCTTCTCACAATCAACAGGAAAGCAGCAGCAGCCACAGTGGGAGTGCATCGGCGCTAGCTGTACCCCCCATCCCCTCCCACTCAAACCATGTATGCAAGGTGACTCCACTTCCTCTCCTCCCCCCACTCATCTGATCTCCGTGACTGCTTCTTCCCTCATGCCTACATCGTGATATATTGGAATATTGTGATGTTTAGCTGCTGATATATCATGATGTTGAAAACCTATATCGCTCAGCCCTAGCCTGTTTTTTTAATACACCTAAAATCCTTTACTGATTAGGGGCTACCCCATATTTTGTTCAAAAAATTGCTTTGCAGAGGTAACTACCATTGAGTTATCAAAACTTTCAAAAGTAGAGGGGGCTGTGGCTTGGCTTTTAAAAAATAGGGGGTCCTCCATAATTAGCTAATTGGGAACCACTGATCTAGGGCAAGAACTTTAATAATTTTGCACACACACAAAAAAGCAAAACAGGAGATGCAATCTTTTCTACTTTGGTTTTTTGAATATTGGTGGGAACTCTCTCCTGGTGAAAATTCTTAAGTATCTAGTGTGACATTCATACTGTCTCCCCACCTGCTGCTCTTGCATAATTGTTAACTGCATGTAAAACCATAGTATGTGTTCCATTCCATTCAATGCTCTGCTTTTGGAACGAATCTGGAAATGAGCATTGGGAAGAGAAAATACATCTTGGTGGGAATGGGTGCTAGCCAATTGGTGCCAGTCAGAATTAGCTTCTGTTGCTAACTTACAAAACTAGATTATTTTTTCAACAAAAATAGCAGGTAGCTGTGCTTGTTCATTAAAAAAACAACCACCAAAACCAACAGTTCCTGTAGTAGAAAGTCTGGACTCCAGTTCCCATTGGCTTAAGACAGGAAAAAGCTTATGATGGGAGAGTGAAGGGAAGCAAGGGTTAGTAGGTCACTCTGATCCCTAAATGGTGCAGTGCCTGAGCCAGCAACCTGGGTTCTCCTTGAACCTTTTCAAAATGGTGAAAGCAGAACAAATACAGGCACCCTCTGATTCTGGTTGTTTTCCAGGTTATCAGGCATGATGGTGGAGCACGCATAAGCCTGTTCTGCCCCCTTTCTGGCCACTTGGGTCCCTGTGATGTGTACATGAGCAGTCACCATCACACGCATATCAAACACATGTAAATTGGTCATTGCCTGTACCTTAAAGAGAGAACACAAGGCTTTAATGTTCTTTTTTGGGTCCTGAGTAGTTCCAATGGAATAATAAACCTGTGGAGAAGGCATGGGCTGGAGAATCCCACAGAGACCAAACTGACTTAAAAGGTTTTGTTTTCTGAGGGGAAGGGTTGCATAAAACAAGGGAATGAAATTGTGAACCTGGCTAGATGAGGGGTTTGTATACTAGAGTGGAAGTTTCGAGCTGTGGGGCATTTAGGGTCTGGCTTACAGGACAAAGTTGAATTTTATGTCCAAAATTGAATACTGATTCTAAGTCAGATTGATATTTATCATAAGCATCAGTGTAAAAGTACTGAATGCAAAAAAGATTCTGTATGTAGCCTTGGATAAAATATCATAACCTTAAAAAATGCAAGCGACTCGTCAATTTACTGGTAGAGATAATGTTAGTTGAAAAGAAAGGTGCTTTTGTTCTTGTCAGCTAATGAACAGCCAGAAGTGTGTGTCTGTGTTGGTCATGTACAAAAGGCATCTTCTGCTAAATAAGATTGATTTTTATCCAACCAGAGCTTTTGGTCCTCATGGAAGAGAGAACAAATTTCCCTCTTGTTAGGGAAGGTAACTAGTATATACCATTGTATACTTCCTCTATCATGATTGCAAAGAAAACACCATGCCTTGATTGCACTGTCACTTGTAGCAGAAAACTCAAAGAGCCAGGGGCGCATCCTGTATGACAGCAAGACGAAACATCACAGAAACAATCGCTAGAAGAAAAAAAGCAATATTTTGCAACCAGTGAAGCTTCTGCACTACTTTAATGAAGACCTCAGCACATTTCAGCATGGTCGAAAAATGCTTCTTGGATCTGAGTGTTCTATATTGCTTACATGCATCATATGCAGGAATTATCATCCCCATATGTTTTAGCTTCTCTTATATAAAATTCCACATGCTACACAGTTTGAACAGGCATCTTTTCAACGTTTCACCAAATTTTAAAGTTTTCTATTGCATTAATTTGGGGTGGGGGTTGTTCCTTTGAAAAAAACAAGGATAACTTTTTCCTGCATTTTCTTCTGGACCTTCACATCTTTTTCTTAAGAGTAAGTTAAAACATTTTCATTTTAACTGATAAAAGCTGATCTTTATGCGAGGAATTCAAAGATGTTTTTTACTTAGAGTAGACCCACAAAAATTAATGAACATGACTAAGTCCATTCATTTCAATGCAACTACTCTGAGTATTATTATTGGCCTTTATTTGCGTAAGTTTAAACAATAAAATCCTACAAAGTCATCCAAATACACTGATAATCCAAACACATACACTACATAAAAGACTAGATAGCCACTGTTGAATAAATCAGGCAACTTTCAATTTAGTTTTAAAGATCTGCTAAATACCCCGAAACAATCTTGGTAGTTTACTCTGAGTAAAACTTAGTTGAATACCACCCTATGTCCCCATATTATTACAGTGGTGCCTCGCAAGACGAAATTAATCCGTTCCGCAAGAGTCTTCGTCTAGCGGTTTTTTCGTCTTGCGAAGCAAGCCCATTGACGGATTAGCGCTATTAGCGCTATCAGCTGTTTAGCGGCTATTAAAGGCTTAAAGGCTTAGGGATTAGCTGCTAAAAGGCTATTAAAGGCTATTAAAGGCTTAGCAGATTAGATAAAGGGGGAAAGCGAAAAACATCTCAAGACTCGAAAGACATTTTCGTCTTGCGAAGCAAGCCCATAGGGGAATTCGTCCTGCGAAGCAACTTCAAAACGGAAAACCCTTTCGTCTAGCGGTTTTTCCGTCTTGCGAGGCATTCGTCTTGCGGGGCACCACTGTATATATTTGTATTGTTATTTACTGATAATATATTATGTATAGTCACTATCTTACAACGTTCGGTAAAGTTTGTTAAAATATGTTCCTGTTGCTTGCCTGTTACCTGGGAATATCAGTGCAGACCATAATGGGAATATTGCTAAGGACTTTGTGCTGGATCCAAGATCTCATATTTCCCAGTTTTGTAATGATCAGAAGCTTATATCACCTACCTATGTTCCATAGAAATGATTGTTGAAGCCATTGCTAAATTAAGAAATAATTTAGGTTGTAATTCTGTACATACCTGCTTTGGAATAAGCTTAATTCAAAACACCCACCCACACTCACTTCTGTAAACATGCATGTATAGAGTCCCTGTAGTTTGAAGACAAGCTTAGAATATTCACATGGGAAAATGGGAAATGGAAGCCAATTAGTCTGAACATATTCTTGTCATTTAACATTAAAGGAGGAAAATTTACAATATTCATAATTTAGTATGTGCCCCCCAGACACATCATCCCAGGAAGTTTTCCAGTCAGTTGCTTGCCTGTGAATCTGGCTCAGCAGAAGTTTTTCTAATTGCTTAGACCAGTGAATAGCTAGCTCCAGAAACTTTCATGGGAGACCAGCTCTGGTAAAAGGTGAAAAGAAGCCTCTCTGTTGACTTTCCTTTGACCAGAGCTGGCTGGTGACACCCAGTCTTAATCACTGCCAGGCATCTCTCAGATTAATATGCACACCCAGTTCAGAGTTGAGAAGCAGGCTTAAATCCTGACAGCCAAGCTCAGTAATGGACCTGTGCTTGGGATTTTTATTCAAATATCTTCTTATGCTTGGTTGTGTGTGTGTTTGTTTGTTTGTTATTTTAATTGACTCTTAAAGGCTTGTTACTCAGTGCAGTCCCCAAGTGGCACATCTAATTGACAAAATAAAACAATAGAAATTCTGCAATGGTCTTTCCAATAAACAATTCCACTTTTCTATATTGTGCAGCTTGTTTTGAACTTCATATGCAACAGTAAGTCATTTCTTTGGCCACAGGCTGCCATGGCACAGATAAGATTAGAATTTTGCCTCCAGTGCAAGCTGAGACAGAGAAGAATTGATAAGGAGACAGCCTGTTTGCTGTGCACATGTAATTTCAGCAATAGTAACCAGAGTAGGCAAAAACTAATGGTTTGTGTAAATACTGTTCTTTTCAAGTTTGCCCTAGTTAAGGAAGTCTCTTTCAAAGTTAGGAACAATTGCTGAGAATTTATGAGAGTTCTTTTATCTCGTAATTTTTTCTGGAACTCCCCCAATGTTACAGCAATGTTCAGCTCACTGATTAATGTCCCCCCCCCCCCAGAACTTAAGAATGATTTGCTGGTACACTGTGCCTGCTTATTGCTTGCTACATCCCCTGCTGCCTCCTTTCATACTTACACTGCAAGCTCTGTGGGGCACAAACCGCAGCCCTGCCTGGGGGAGTTTCATGGGGCACTGCTTCTAAGCTGGGCTCTATCTACTCCTCCTGCTTCTTTCCTTTATACTCTCATGTCCATTTCT